TATGATAATGCCATTATAAATATATAAGGATGCAATTTAAGAATTAAAAATTTTTACTTTTAAGGAATTTTATTATCTTCAATACTATAACTTTTAGATTCATACACTCTATAACTGGAAAATCTACGTATTTTTGAGGTTTAGTTATTTTATCCAATAAACATTATTCATATTGGATAAACAACATCCATGTAATTTAAGGTTATTTTATAGAATATCCAAATTATGAATTTGTTTTCATTTGATTTTAAATAACATTAGAATCAAATAGTTGTAATATCAATCTTTAATTATTAAATTAAGATTAAAATCTTCCTGTAAAAATAGCATGGATATTTGAACAAATTTTGCTTATATCAAGTTAAAAGGGCACTATAATATATATTTAAAGTACAAATTCTCACAATAGATTAAAATTAATTCAGATATTAATATCAAATAATAATTGTTTAGAATGTTAGAATGGAATAATTTAATTTGATTTACAATAATATTTATCAATATAGATTCAAGAATTATATTGTATCAAGAATAATATAAGAAATTATGGATGTATATACGCTAGATCATAAAATTAATAAGAATCATAAATAGTAATTAAGAATTCTATATTCAACAAGAATAGGGGCGCTATAGGCTCTGCAATTATGGCTGAAAATGTAAGAATTGCTATTGTCAATTTGAAATTATTAAATAATATTGCAACTTATCAAGGAGGAGCTTTGTATTTTTCAATTAATAACAATTAATTTAATATATCTCAAACAATTCTTTATAATAACAAAGCTAAATAAGGAGGAGGAATTTACTTATAAGGTAATAGTAAATTAAATTAAGAAAATTTTATAAAATCATGGATGAAACTGAATTCAGCATCTCTTTTACCTAATAATCTTTAAGAAATGCCAACTCATTTATCTTTATCAATTAATAATATTGAGATGAAAACTATTTAGAAAAAGATAAACAATAAAACATCAGATATTTTGTTTTTGTAACCTTATCTTGTAATGGAATAAGGAAAGGTACAATTAACGAAATTATTAATGTTACCAAGCAATTAAGTAATTATTAATTACAAAATATATAATCCATCATAACTTAAATTTGAGAATTATTTAGAAGAATTTTCAATATCTTATAAAAATAATCTTAATGAAAAATTACCTAATTTTTCTAATTCCACATGTGAAATTTTTATGTAAACATTAATAAATGATACTCTAATTGATTCGACAAATATTGCAAATATTGAATATCATTCTGAATCAAATAATTTTGATTTAAGATTTTTATCTATAACTATTAATCCATAAAAATAAAATAATTAAACCAATTAAATTTAGATTGTTTGTCACCTTAATGATTAATCTGACACTTTGTTATATTATATTGAAATTAAAGGTTTTATGTGTTAATTAGGAGAGTTTTATTTTTAATCAGGTTGTTAAATATGTTAATCAAGTTAAGGATATTATTCTGTAACATACAATACTACAAAATGTTCAATATTTGATTAAAATAAATTTGAATCTATAACTTCAAATTAGATTTAACTCAAGAAGGGTTATTGGAGACCTGATTATTAATCTGACTTGATTGAACATTTGTTGATTTTTGTGAAGGAGGATGGGTTGTGTCACATGATTTATGTTTAGTAGGACATATTGGAGGTTTGTGTGAAGAATGTGACATGTATAATATTAGAGGACAAGGAAATTATTTAAAAAATGAAGAAAATACATCTTGTCAAGATTGTTAAGATGCAACTAATAGTGTATTTCCGTTTGTTCTTACCTCAATATGGTATTATATAATTATATGATTTAATAGAGCCCTTATTTCTACTCTTTTAACTTTAAGAAGTATTGATAAGTCTAATAAATTATTTTCTTCATTGAAAATAAGATAAGGATTTGTGAAAATAATATTCAAACTAAATCAAGGTAATATTATATATATATAAAAATCATGAAAGTATCTTACTTAAATTATTTCTTAATTATTTATGGATATTTTCAGTAATTTTTACTTTTAATTTTTAATTTTAATTTTCATTTACATTTATTAATTAGACAAGTAACACATCATACTTTATGGCTAACAATATGGATTGCTATTTATCATAAATCTATAATATATCTCTAGTTTATAATAGAATAATCACGATGACCGTGATAATGGTGTGCTAATTATTAATAATATATATGGGGTTTAAGTTATATTCAATAATCAAACACTAGAAATTTAATAGCTGCATAATATCTACTACACTCTTGTACTTATATGTATCAAATTATGCTTCATTAATAAAGCAGTATAATTAAATAATATTATATTAGACTTTTTTCATTATTGGCTAAGAGGATTATATCTGATATAGAATATATTTAAGGAGATGTATCGTTACTTTATAATTCATAAAATCATTAAAAATGGATAATTGGCTTTGTTTTACTTGGATTAGGATTGATTGGATTTCTCATCCCATCTGCTCTCTTTCTACTCTTATACATCTAAAGAGACAAACTAGATAAGATAAAGTTTAGAAAGCATATATGTTATCTATTCAATGAATATAATAATGAAAATTACTTTTGGGAATGGATAAAATTATGGAAAAAAACAGTAATTATCCTTATTATGACATATTTTGAAACAAATATATTTTTAAAGGCTTCATTGCTTGGTTTATGTTTACTACTGTATTAATTATATGCAGTAAGATAAAAACCTTATATACTTAATAATTTAAACGAATTAGATGTATCAACAGGATAAATATGTTCCATTGCAATATTTTTCGCTACAATTAAATATATAAATGAATAATAAGGGAATAAATCTACCTCTGTTCTAATCGAAATGATTTTAGTTTTACTCTGTTTGAAACTAAGTTATCCTTTTATTATTGATTTATTAAGAGTCTATTATAAAAAATACAAAATTTTGCTATTAAGTAATTTATATGATGCATTGAAAATAATAAATTGCAATTTGAGTCTAACTATTTATTGTAAATAGAAAATTAAACTAAATGAAGTAAAATAATTTATAATAATATATTCCTATAAAGAGAATAAAAATTTAAAAAAAATTTAAGAAAATTAAGAATTCATTTATTAAAAATATCAAAATTTTAATTAGAATAATAAAATTATTTGGATTTATTAAATTTGTAATCAACATCTAGACCAGCACTGGCTGGTCTTAAGTAAAATGCATATAAGATTATTATATTAGATACATACAGAAATCAATATTTATGAATTATCTAATTTAAAGATTATTATTAATTTTATAATATATTATTTATACTATGGTTGTAGTTTTAATTATCGCCTCACCTTTAGTTAGTTATCTTTTCATAATAATATCTTAACACTCTGTATGACTTTTGATTCATTATAAATGGATTATTTGGCATATTTTCCAGAATTAATTATAAATAATTGTAAACATTGTTATGTATTTCAAATATGCCACAATATATATTAAATAAATATAAATATAAAGAAAGTTTTGGTATCATAATATGTAATAATCTAAATTTTAAATAAGGGATAGATTTATTAATTTATGGTATTTTTAAATTATTTATTTACATAAACATATTATAAATATTTAATTTATAAATTTATGCCTTATCCATGATGATAAACCTTTCATTTACATGATAGCCAAAAATAATAACATTGATTTTTATTTTACAAAGTGCAAAGAATGATTAAGAAATCTAAATAAATTAATATTTAATGTAAAGTCTGTTAAGATTTGTTTGTAACGGCCTTAAAAATTTAATGATAAAACTTGAATTTTCTTTAATTAAGCCAATATCGGCAATAATAAACGTTTGATCTCATGAAGTTCAGTGGAAAAAGCATTTCAAATACGTTGGTTCTTTAAATTTATTTTATTTTGAGTATGAAAATTCTAATTTTCTAATATACATTGTAATATAATTTTTATTTAGATTATGATAATAAAAAATAATTTAAACAAACAAACAAGAAAATTAGATACTGGGAAAAATTTTAACAATAAAAATAGAAATAATGATAGATGAAAATTAAGCGAAAATCTTGTTTTATTGAGAAAAAGATTAAAAATTATATATCTTACAAATAATGTTCATATAATATAACTAATTGTTAAAAGTTAGATAAATATTAGAATATTAATTGCTTATAAAAAGAAAAAAAGAAGAAAAAAAATGGATTATAAACTATTTATTGTTATTTTGATATTTTATTAATTGGCAACTAATGAATAATTCTAAATTAATAATTTAGATTTTTATGACAAATTTAATACATATTAATAAACAAGAAGGGAAATCCTCTCTATTTTATCGTCAGGCTTAGATATATATAAAATGTTAAATATAGTTTTGAATTTAATCCAATAATAATTTTGCTTAACTTTTAGTAAGGAAATATAATTAAAATGTCAACTCAAAAGTGTTATTCCTTCTTTTACATGTTATATAATCTAAGAATAATAATTAGAAAAACTTGTTGTTCTTAAAAAGATTTTAATAAATAAAATAAAATTTCAAAATCACCAATTAACAATTAAAGATTTGACAATAGTAACAATTTATAAATGATTATATCTTGTATATTATCCCATTAAAATTTTTAATGATAATTATGAATAATTAGTCGAATTTCATGATCTCAAACAAGTAAACACTAGTCTTCTATATGGATTTAATAAGTGAAATCCCTTTTCACTCATTTGGTACATCAAATATTTCTAAATTGCCTTTTAAAAAATATAACCAAATTTTATTGAATCAATCATCATCATTAAGAGGAGGTGGATGCTGTTCAACAAACTCAGTGATGCCTGAAACAAGTAGATTTAACTAATTCCCATAAAGTTTTGCATCTAATCTGATCGTAGAAAAGGCTTCATAGTTTAATGATAAATACCATTAAGATGATGTTCTTTGTGCAATTATATGGTTTTAGAATCACAAAGAACATATTTAAAAACTTTGTAAGAATGAAACTTTAAATTTATAACACTATGATCTAATTGAGCGTACTTTTGAGAGCTTAATAAAGCAATTAGTGATATACTTAAAAGTATCTGGATATATATTTTATACATTACTTTAAATATGCAATGATTTACTTCGAGTTATATTTTATTATTAACAAATAAATGAAGAAAGATATATGTAGGAAGTCCTATAATAAAAATTAAAAGAATATATTTCAGAAACTGAAGAATAAATATCTGTTGAATCATAAAAAATATGGCTGACAGGAACTGATTTTGAGCTTTAGATGATAAAAATTGGTATTGCACATTTACGAACTAATTCAGAAACAGGCACGAACTTAATAAAAGCAGTATTATTTGGAATAGCCTCTTCTATATCATAATTAAAACCTAGTGAAGAACTTCTAGATGCTCTTATGGAAGCTGGAAAATATCTATTGCTTAATTTTTACGACAAGTAAATAAAGAATCCTTTGAAAATATATGAGCTTTATTATTTTTTTGAAAATTTGAAATGGTCAATAATTTTCTAATTAAAAGAAGGCTATTCAGTTAAACAAACAATAAATTAACTTACAGATGGATATAATAAATATATAGGAGCTTCATAAAATTGGTTAATTCATTTTTGTTGGATTAATTTAATCTCAGGTTTAATGTCATATAGGCCAATAATTTATCGAGCTGAAGTTGAATAGATGTTGAATCAAAAACATCATATTAGCTGGAATTAATTGATTGTTTCTAATTAAATTGTTTTAATGCCTTATGATAAGACTAAAGGAAAAGTAAAATATTCTGGGAGAGGGACATTTATTATTCGAGAATTTTAAAATTTAAAATTATTTTAGGAGTACTTGTTAGATGAACAAGTCAATTCTATAAAATTATTTTCATAGTATTTAAATTTTGATTTTAGTTCATAATAAAAAAGCTAAATCAATTTACAAGATTTAACAATTAGTTTATTCACAAATATTGATGATTTGGAAATTCTTTCTTCATTACAAATAGCCTTATTAAATTGCTACACAAAAATCAAGGAAAATTTGAATTTGATAGATAATTAAACTTCTAAAGATGAAGTAATCTCAATGTAAAATAAAACTGAAATAAAAATTTATAAACAAGATATTCAATATCTTATTAATCAGTAAAAAGACTCATTTTTGTAACTATTATATATATTCTATGAGATAGATATTATTAGAATTAAGGAAACCGAAATAATCAATAATATTGAATAAATTTTGAGATCAAATGAGAAGAATCTAGGACTGTTAAAGGATAAAACTTATATAGAATAGATGCCTAATTTAAATGAAATAAGAGTTGAAGCTGAAAATAGATTTGTAAAGTAATTGCAACAGCTACCCAATTTAATAGTTTAATTTACTCAAATTTTAATCTCTTACGAGGATATAATTTTAGATGAAAATAATGTAAAATATGTTTAAAAGACATAATTAAAACAGACATTGATAAAGTATCAGTAAGAATTGGAAATTTTTATATAAGTCATTAATAATTTCTTAATTAATTTCATTTGTAACATAAAAAAAATAAAAAACAATATCAAATAAATTAATTCCTAAATATCCCTTACAATTCCTTAAGAGTAGGTTTCACAAAAAGATATATCAGAATAATTAATTCAATTTTATAACTCTGCCTTAATTAAAAATTTATCGAACTAAATTCTTTAGGTTTATTCTACTGATTGGGTAGAGAAATATTGGGAATTTAATAATCTTAACGAATTTGGAAAAAATATTAAAAGATGCAGTGAAATTGCATTAATTTTTAAATTTTACAAAAAATTATTAAGAATTTAATAACAAAAAATAAATGTGTTACAATATGAAGATAATATTGCAAAATAGTATTTTAACAATAAAAATTAGCATACTAATTTGTTGGAAAACGAGAGCATAGCTACAGATTAAATTAAAAGCTTAGTTCTTGAAAGAAAAGTTATGATACAAGAATACTTTGATAAATATCCTAATTTAATACTCAATAAGTAAGAAATAAATGAAATAAATATAATAGAAGATAAAATTAGAGAAGATATAATCTCATTATAATAGAAGTAATGGAATCAAGAATTAAAGTTATAAAGTATTATGATTTTATAAGAAGCCTTAAACAAATTATCATAATTAGGATTGAATAAAGTCAATAAATCAACTTTAAAAGAAGAAATAAATTTAAATTTTACTAACTCTCTTTCAAATTTAAATAAGAAAATGTATGGAGATGATCAAAAAGCTGAATAGACAGAATTGCTTCCAAAAAACACAATTAATGATTTAGATTCTTAAATTTTCTTTAATTTTGAAAGCTCTATTACTTAAATAATCGCTGTGATAATAAATACAAAAAGACTAAGAAGAATCATATAATAAAATTATAATTTGTTTAATTGGAGTTCTGAAATTTGGGGGTCTGAAAAAAAGATGAATTTTAATAAAGTATTAAGAATTTAATAACTGAATTACTTCATATTATTTAGGACAGTTGTTTTTCTATCTAAAAAGAATAGCAAATTGTTTTAAATTAGGATAATATTTAGCATTTATCAAATCAAAAATGTATTGACAAAATGAAAATTAATTTAATTCTCCTTAATAGTCATTCAATATATATAATATAATCATAAAATGGAAATACAGAAATTAAATATTGTTTAATATACTAAGAGTTGGTAAAAAGTTTAAAAGATTCTACTACATTATCTGATTAATTTTATATAAATGCAAATAAGAGCTTTTTTCAGGTTGGAATGTAATTGTGAATTCATCAATGAAATTAAGACGATAGCAAAAATGAGATTCAAAGACCATAATACAATATTGGAATCCATTGAACTTGAAAAGAATGAAGAATTGTTCAAAAAGTTATTTAAAGTGGTGACATAATTATTATGATTTCTAAAATTTTATAAATATTTCAATTAAGTAAATTAAAATTAAAATAAAGTGATAGAAGAGTCACTAGCTACAAAAATGAATGAATCATATTTAATGATTGAAATAGCTTAACAATATTTTAAAAATTTTATTGAATTCTCTTCCACAAAGGATTTGGATTCTTTTCAACTGGTAAAGTTCTATAAATTATGTTAAAAATATGTGTAAAATATTACATTTCATAAAATTATACTTATTTTATAATTTTATTATCATAATAAATAATCATAAAAAACATGTAGATAGGAATTAAGATAAAATCATTATGTTGGTCTTAAATCCTTATAAAAGTTCTTTCATCTCATCTATAATAAGTATAAAATTTAATCTTATTTTTGTTGATATAACTGATGCTTTCTAATTATTTTCTATTTTAATCATTAAATTTTTTTGTTAAGAATCACTTAGTATGGATAATCAAAATAAAAAGTATAACTAAGCTTCATCTTAAAATAATATTTGTATAAATAAAATACCACTAGCTCAATGCTTTATTAAGGAAATTAGAAGAGGAGTAGAAGAGACTTATTGAAGAAGAAAGAAGAAGGATTATAAAAGAAAGAATTAAATAGAAATAAGAAAAATGAAGATACCAATATTATTAAATCAAAGTTTTAAATTAGATATTTATAAAATGTTTTCATTTTTTTTCAATAGAAAATCATTATTTTAATATCTTAACTGTAACAAAAATGGAAGGAAAATAGCTAGTTTAATATAAAGTTATGCGTTAAATAGAGATGACTGAATTTAAGTACTTAAGTTTCATGCCCCCTTATCATTTGAAGAGCAGAGGAATGTAAGCTACATGTTCTATTCTTTATGCCAATACTTCTATTGACATCTTTTTGAAAGAGATCCTCAACTAACTGATATTTTCTCAAATCTAAACATTTCAACTATCAATATTTTTGATAAAGCTTAATCTAATACAAAGTTCTTTATAACTATATTAATAATTTTTATTACAATTATCTTTAGTTGATCATGAAAATTGTGAATCTTTTTTATTGCGCTTTTATTAAAATATTTGTCACCAATGCTCAAGGAATTCATATTCACAATATTTTTCTAAAATGCATATCCATTACCAGTTTAACAGATAGATCCAAAAATTATTGTCCATTAAATCTTTGGAATAAATAAGAGAAATTCAATTCTTAAAAAAGCAAAAAGTTCATTTGATTGCTAAATAATTTAATGAAGATTTAAATCTTAAACACCCATTTTTATATTCCTCATAATATTAGTGATTTTTACAAAATAATAATACCCATCCCTTTACATCAATCCATTTTCTTTTTTTCAACCTCCTCTATTATATTTTTATAACCAATAATATTTTTACATTTATTTGTTATCCAAGTTGAAATCTAAAAACAAATTTGTTGGTCTTTTTTCCCTAAAATATTTTTAAATATTTATGAATAATTTCAATAATTATAAGATAATCTCTTAAAATTGTATTTTCCACCTTAAACTTATTAACCCTTATAAATAGTTCCATTTGTTTATTTAATAACCATTAACTCCATATTCTCTTTTAATTGTTTATACAAGATTATTCAAGATTTATTTATTTTTTATCTTTTTTATTTCTCAAAATTTTAACATTATATTTATCGTCTCTTTTTTTCTGTTGTGAGATTATAGATTATTTACATTAATTGGTTATTTATTTAATAAAACTGTTTCAATTAAATAATAATTTCTTATCTACTGCTTTATTCTGTAAATAGTTATTCTAATTAGTACTAATAAATTCAATCAGGTGAGTTGTGTCATATGCTTTTTGCATAGGCCTTTGCAAAGCTACTCCAGCTTTCTAGACTTTAAAGCTACATTTTTTTTTGTCTTTTAATCCATTATTAAACATTATTTTCTTCTAAGAAATTGATAAAAATATCTAATTCAATAAAATAGTTATCAAAAGTATTAAAAATTTATTAAGAGTACTGTATCTTAAATCTTTCATCTATTTTTTTTGAATATCTGAAATTTTTTCCTTAATCAATAATATTAGAAAACATAATAGTGATTTTAAATTATATTTAGTCAATTTTTCAGAATTACATTTTATATTGATTAACCTTATTTTTATTATTAATTAAGAAACTAAAAACAAATCATGAGTGTTTAATTTTAATATTTATTTTACATGACGAGTAAAATCATTGAGTTACTAACTACAATTTTTAGAAATCTAAGATTTATTTGAAATTATAAATTTAATTTTCTTATTGATATCACTTTGGTAAAGTTAATTAATAATATATTAAGGGTAATTTATCAATTTTCCTATCAATTAGACGTAATCAAAAATCAAATCAGTTATTTAAATAGCTTAAATTAAAATATATTTTGTACCAGATATTCCATTCAATCTAAGGTAAATTATATTTTAATTTAGATCATGAAGGTATTTTACTTTATTTTTTTAATTATTTTACGATGCTTTCGCATTAGATTTTCATTCTTCTTTAAGCTTAATCAAATAATCAAGTAATACTTCCTAATTTATGGCTACTTATTTTGAGTGTTTTTTTTTCTGAAGCAAATTTATAACTATTGGTTGAATAATATCTATTATTAAAAAACTTAAATTATATTTATACATGGCTATGGCTATGATTATGTTGTATTAAATGTTAATTTTATTTATGTATCCCCCTCCCTTTATTTCAAGAAAGATAAGCTTAAAAAAATTAGTAGAATAGAAAAATTGGGTATCTATCGAATGAATTTACTAGAAAAACCTTCTTTCGGGAATGGAGTAATTTAAATGATACTCATATATTTCTGAAAGCTTTAACATTTCAAACCAGATATCCTTTCAAGACATAATTTGTTAATCATAGTTGGATAGTTATCTTTTCTTTGCTGTAATGTATCATATTAATCAATATTGAGCTATCCATTTATTTGATATATACTAAAAATTATTACTAAAAGCTCAGAACATAATTTTTATCAGCTTTGATTTATAAATTCAATGCCTCTCAACCAAATTAAAATATACAAAATATTTATCTAGAAAAATAGGACTAAATAGATATAGATTACCAGAAAATATATTACAATATAAATTAGAGAATCTTAAAAGAAAATTAAGATTAAAAATAATATAATGTAAGTACCTAGAAAATTTTGATTTCATCGATTAAAAATCAGATTGAGTAATATTTTATCAGAAGAATAATAGGTTTAATTTAATGTATCATCGTAGTCAGTAAAATGAATTTGATAACTTTTAAATGTATAATAATTAAAAATTTAATTTCACATTTTCCTTTAATATCATTAAAAAACAATTAAATCTTCAAATAGAACACTAACTTATATATTATTGTTTGTTTTCGATATTGCAAATAAAAAATTTCTAGTCTTTTTTTAATACTGAAGAACTCACAAATAATAATTTTTTTCCTTAAAAAGTAACTAATAGTATCATTTATATAATGGTTAATGTACCCATATATTCTAAGATTTAATCACTAAGTATTTAAAGCTCCAAATTATATATCATTTGCTGAGGATTTTGTATTAAAAAAATGAAGAGTTTTCTTTATTGTTTTGTATTATTACATAAATAATATATTCTTCATAGTTTTTAATAAGAACCTTTTAAAAAATATGTAAAATATTACCAAATATTCATTGTATGTTATTGTAAAATGATTATATAATTATTTCAATTGCGAAATATGCTTAAAAAGTTTTCGATGATAGAGAAATTTATAACTGCTTGAATTAATCTAATACATGAAGATATATGTTAAAATTTTGATTTAGAGCAATTTAAAATGTTAACAGAGATTACTCTTTTTAATTAATTCATATTATATTGTTCAATTATTTTTATATGAAAAATATTAAATATAATGCATAATGTACGAATCTTGGTATATATTATAAATTTGATCAAGTCATGTTACCTAAGAATAATGTCCAAGTTATATAAATTAATTCTCGGATTTTAAAGAAGAAAATTTTTGATGAGCATTTTCAATTATTATTAGAAAAGTGACAACACTACTCTTTGGAGATATTCTTGTTTATCGTGAAATTATTGGTATTAAAAGTAAAGATCAGTAGATAAAGGCCTCTATAAATAGTATAGAAAGTAATTTTTTTATAACTTTTCTCTACTCCATCCATAATCTACATGATAAATTATGATTTGTACTTAATTGGATATTTTTAAATAACATAGTGAAATTAATTGAAATATTCTTCTCTATCCCTTATTGATTTTTTTTATTGAGTCATTTATAAATTAGTTGAATTTGCAGTTGCAGTTGCAGTATTTATTTCTCTCTAATACTTTCTTCTTTCCTAATCCACCGTAATTTCCTTTTAAATTAAATGGAATATTCACTTTTCTAGTCATTTATAGATTTTTAAGATGTTAAAAATACTTCGTCATATTTTTGGTTCAAGTTTTGGGTATTTATGATTAATTATTTGATAAGTTATTACAACTGATTTTAGTTTTCAGCAAATAATATTATTTATAAAAACAAAAATATGTTTTTTTCATCATTCAATATATAATGATATTTCCAATTTTCAAATATCTCTATTAATATGAAAAAAATGAAAATAATATTAATTTAATCTGGGACCTGATTTCATATCAATTTTAATTTTTGATTATTATAATATGACCATATTTAATTATTTAACTACTAATCATAAAATCCAATCTATTATTCTGTAATAATTAGACCATTCATTCATTTTTTATTATTAAAACTCTTTTTTTTTATTTCGAATAATTATTTATTTTAAATTATTTTATTTTTGAGGTTTTTAACACAAATGATATCTTATTTATTCAAAATTTATTTTTTATAGAAATAGAAAATGTAAATTAGATGTACTTAAGCTGATCATTTAAATTAACTAATAATTGGAGTTTGCATCGATAGTGATTGTCAATATAAAAGACCCAATTGTAATTTTTGTCTGCCTCATCATGGTCAACACTTGAACAAATTAACATCATTAGAACTTTTTGATGATTGGATTCGTAAGAGAGCCCTTATTGTCCAGAATGTTGAATAGAAGGCTTAGGAGTGTAAATTAGCTCTTGATGGCCTTCTAAATAAATTTATTAATCCATACAATATTAATTTGGCATAGTTTCCTAAATTAGAACTTTCATAGATTGACAACATAATTAAAGGTTTATGTTTAATTGAATTATGGGAGAACTTATTCTAATAATCAATTGAAGAAATTAAATATATATTTAAAGAAATTTTGTAAACACAAAAATATTAAACATTCACTTTTGAACTAATGAATTAAAACTCTATTAAGTAATAAGACGTTTGTTTTGCAATTGCTATTAATAAAGATAATTCAATTGTTGTAGCAGGTTGCGATAAGTAAATTAAAGTATTTGAACTCAAAGAATCGAAATTAAATCAATTACAACTCTTAAGTGAACATTAATTACATGTGTAGGCTTTAAACTTTATGAAAAAATCAAATCACTTTGTATCTGGAAGTAATGATAAATAAATAATAATATGGTAGATGAATCAAAATAATTAATGGACTTGCTAACACAAATTGGATGGACATTCTTTTGGTATTTGTACTTTAATTTTGAATAATAATGAAAATCTTATTGTATCAGGTAGTTATGATTCATCTATTAAATTTTGGAATAAATAAAATGGATGGTTGTGTTAATAAACCATTAAAGTTCATACTAATTATGTCTTTTAATTAAGTTTAAATGAAAAATAAGATAAATTGGTATCTTGTTCTAGTGATTCATAAATATTAGTAATAGAATACTCTTAGAAGGATTAGATATGGACTGTGATATAAATTATACAAGTAGAATAATATGGATATCGATTGAGTTTTGTAGATGACAATTAATTTTTATTCTAACCTTCTTCAAAGAATAAATGCATGTATATGAGATAAACAGTAGTAATCAATAATTTGTTAAAACCAAGCAAATTACTGTGAAATCGGGTTCAAATACTTGTGGAGATCTATTTCCATAATAATACATATAATCTAAATGCCTCTTAGTGAATAAAAATGGTTAGAATATCAATTTAGTAAGGAAGAAATTAAATGGAGAATTTGAAACTGAATAAACTATTCAATTTGATCATCATTATATTTTTGGTTAATTAAGTAATGGTGGTGAGTATCTAATCACTTGGGATTTTACATCTAAAGAGATACAAATTAGAAAATGTAAGGAAATTTGAATAAATAATTATAAAATTTAGAATAAAAGATTTTTATATTATTTCATGTTATTTATCACCAAACTAAGTCTTATTACAACCTTCGATAATTTTCTTGAATATATTTATTAATAAAAATATGAAGTTAGATGTTAATCTCCTTTAGTAGGAAAGAAATTTTGAATGGAAAAGTAAATCTTAATTGAAATTAATCAATAATAATAATAATAATTACTCAAAATATCACCTTAATTAATTTAATTTTAAATATGATACACTAAAAATTAATATAAAAAATAAATCAAGATGATATGATATTCATTTATAGAAATATCAGTTTATTATTTCAATATATTAAAATATTATAATCTTAAAAATTTATTATTTATTTTCAAATAAAATTATATTAACAATTATAATTATGGCAATATTCTAATCTTCATAACTTACGATAATATAAAGAGAAATATGGTTTATACCATTCTAATAAAAAAGATCCTTCATCAAAATGAGGTTAAATTCCTAGGATCCTTGCATTGTTTTATGATTTTCATTGATCTGTACCATTATAAAGACAATTTAGCTTTTCTGTTACCTTAGGGATATCCTATCTAACCTGCATTATTCAATATATCACTTAATGAATTTCAATGTGAACTGATTTAAGAAAATATTAGAATTTAATTGTTACTTAGCATTTAGCACTATTTCAGATAATTCTCGAACCCCACTTAATATATTTTTCCATGAAGGCTAACTTCAACAATAAAATATTCAAAAAATATACAATTAAGATGAGAAAATATATTTAATCAATTTACAAGACTGCCAAAATCTTAAGATGAGTTTGTAAAAATTTTTTATAAAAACTGTCAGTCGACAATTCTAATTTTCACCAAGTTTGTTTTAAAAATTATTTGTAATCATGTTATTAAGCCTGAAATTAAATTAAGAAAAATAAGACTAAAAACTAAAATATATTAATTATAAATAATATTCAGGAATAAACAAAATAAAAATATTGCAAAACGTAAAAATATATTTATAAAATACAATTGTGAATTCAAATAAATAAGCTACTACTTAAAGATTGATTTGATTTTTAGAAAATTATTTTTGATTACTCTAAATCATTAAATTTATTTATTATAACATATATATATAAGTTATGATTATTTCAATAATTTGCTTTGTTGATTTTTAACTAAAATTAATAGAAAATTAAAATAACTTAAGCTAATTTATTATAACATTCTAACCTATAATTTAATTTATTTAGTTTCTAATCTAATTATTATTACTATAACTATTTTTAATTAATGAATAAAGCAGAACTTTTTTTCAATATTATTTTAGTTTAGATGGTTTTTTCATCAATTGAAGTATTGAATGATTAAGAATAATTGAGAATTACGGAGATTTAAATCGAAGAAAATTAATTTGAAGAAAATACTTGTATTTAAATAGGGTTATTTTCTAAATATAATCCTTTGGGCAATATTTTATAAATTGGAAGAGTTGGAATTTTTGATAGCAATTGTTTCCACCTATTTTCAATAGCAGATAAATCTACATCAAGTCTCAACCTTATATATTATGATTGCATTGAATATGAATTAAAGCAAATAAAAAAAACAGTAGAATTCATAAGTTATGATCAATTTTAAATAAGTAAATTTGCCAATATTGATATATATAAATATGAGAATACTTGGCATTATTTTTCAATATTGTAGTGTGCTGATAAATTATAAATATAAATTTTTGAATTTGGATAATAAATTTTACTTGAATTAATAACAAATACAAAATATCCATTTTTAAGCACTAATATTTTACTAACATTTGGAGGAGGATTGATTGTATCAAATTCATAAATTGATTCAATTTAAATAGGAAGAAAATTTTCATTTTTCCCAGGAAAATTTTATCTTATTGATTATTAAATAATTTAATTCAATCCTAATATAAATCTTTTAGAATATGCTTTTACAAACTTTTAAGAAACTTCAATTTGTAAATGCATATAAAATTACCCTTAAACAATAGATGATGTTGATATTAAATGGCTATAATAGGAAATATTCACTATCTCATATGTAAATTGTGATTCATTTATTTTTGCTGGTTGGTTTAGGATATAAGAAGTATTTTAATAAGACCAAGAATTCACATATCATTTTTTAAAATTAAAACCTAATTTTGAGAATTCATAACTCTCTAACCAAAACTTATCACCTTTACAATTTTTTTATAAAATATCACCGTTAAAAAATTAAATTGTGATTACAACATATAATTATTCTTTTCCTAGTGTAAATATTGATTTTTCTGATAATCCATTTCTTATCACTAGAATCTTTGATATAAATAATAATATCAAATTATGGCATAATATATTTGTTCAACTGTCTTAATAATAAATAAGTGTAAAATTAAATTTCTTTGAGTAAAATGATATATATCCATATGAGATATATTTAGATGTGTACTAATTTTCAAATGTTCAATTTAAATTATACTATGGGAATTTATATTAAAACTCTAAAAATTACCTAAATATATAAATAAGTAATCTAGTATTTTTGAACTGTAATAATTAATTTTAACAATAAAATTGTCATTTTAGTTGTGAAACTTGTGATGGACCAACAAGAACAGATTGTTTAAGTTGTTCTGAATCATCCAAAAGATTATATATATCAGCATTCAAATCATGCATTTGTCCATATGGTATGATAGATAAGAATTTTAATTGTTTATCTTATTAAGATTATAATTTTGAAATAAAGTAGGAATAGAATTAATAATAACAATGTTAGTTTGGTTACTTTGAATTGGATTAAAAATGTATTAAATGGTAATGAATTTAAATATTTAGCCCGTCAATAATAAATGAAAAATAATTCACATGTTTAGAATGTTTACATAATCCTACTTCTTGGTATTAAATATCAGCTTGTTCAACCATCTTAAAATTACATATTCGCAATACAGCTAAAACCTTAAGACAACAAAAAATATACTATAAATATGATGGTGATAGTTTATAAGCCTGTTTATATTGTAATTAAAATAGTTTACATGTTGAAGAAGAATAATATGAAGAATTAAAATTATTAGATAATGTATTTATTTCATTTTGTTGGAAAAGTTTTAGTTCATAAATATAACAATATAATTGTTATGAATGTCCTTTTTATTATTGTTTAGTATGTTAAATGCTTGAAACAGGGGCAGTTTGTTTAATATGTGAATCTCCATTTTACTTAGAAAATGGAATCTGTACATCTATGCCACCAAACACTTTATAATTAAACGAGTGCCTCTCTCCTTATTATATTACATCAAATAAGGAGTGCAAATATTGTCCTATAGATAAGTGTAAATATTGCTTTGAATTCTATAGTGATGATTTATCAAAATGCACTTTATTTAAGGATTTTGATATATTTCTTTTAAATGAACAGCTTAAAATAGGATGTGCTTTGTGTGAAGATGGTTATATTTTCAACTTTTTAACTAATTTATGTGAGTATTCAAAACCAAAAGCAAAAAATTGTTTAAAAGCATTTATTCATGAAAATAGTAATGAAATATGTATTCTATCTTCAAATGATGATTTTTCTGTTGCACCTGAAATAGTTAATTGTGAAAAATACATTTAAAATTGCTTATAATGTATCTTGACCAAATATTTCGTAATTAAATGCACCATATGTAAGAGTGGATACACAACCACTTCCTTAGGAGGATTTTGTAAATAAAGTCTACTATAAAATTCTAAGATAAGTGTAGAAGGAGATATATCAAAGTAAGATGGTTGGGTTTAATTAATTCAAAGTTTTATGATGAGCTTTCTTCCTAATTAATACTATTACAGTTTTGGATCTACATGGTAAATATAAGAAATGGCTATTCAATGTTTAGATGGGTATGCAAGAAATCCTCATGGTCGTTGTCTTAAATATTGTGATCTAAATTGTGAATCATGTAAATTTGAATATACTGACATATAAGGAGAGAGATTTGAATGCCAAATATGTCCCTTAAACTATTATCAATAACCTATAAAAGTTCAGATTAAAGGTAAATGTGTTAAATGCACTTAATTATGTTAAGTATGCTCTTATAGATCAAATGAGGAGATTTAAGTAAATTAATTTATTTATAAATAGATAATTAATCCTAATTTTATTGTTAATGATCAAAATGAAATTTATCTAATGAAATGTAATAAATAAATTTTAGATCCTAAAATTCAATTGGATCCTTATTTAAATATAGCCAAATATTGTTTTGATGGTATTTGCAGTGGTCAACTATCTATAGAAATTGGTTCTATATTTTGTTGGTTATGCACATGGGCAATATATGAGAATTAAATTATTAATTATGAATATTGTAATGAAATGGGAGTAACAACTATTAATATTATAAGATAATACGAATAATTTAATTAGGAATAATATGATTATGCGAATTATTTTATTGATATGACATCTCATTTAAAAGAAAATATATTTTCTTTATAATATCTTACTCTTTAGTTAATAGGTTTTGATAATAAAAAAATGATTTTTAGTAAGGATATGTATCCTTTTATTTATAATTTTGATTCAGTAGAATTTCATAATTTAGTATTTTACTTAATTAATTCAGATGTTTTAGGAATTTTTAATTATAACTAAAAGGTAAATTTATTATTTAAAAATTGTATAATAAATTCAAGTTAAATTATAAATACAGTTTCAATATTTTAATCAAGGAAATATGGTGAATTAAACTTTGAAAATGTTTCTTTAACAAATTTAAATTTTATTAATTCTTCCTTTTTAACACTTTTATCTTAAAATGATATTTAAACAATAAAAATAAAATCTTTTTACTTGAAGAATTGCTCATTTATAAACTCTAATCTATTTTAATTCGAACTTAGTAAATTTACTATATTAATTGAAGATATTAATATAGATGAATGCCAATTTAAAAATTCATCTATATTTATCTTTATTTCTAATTTAATTATTGATAAATTGATACTATTTAATTAGATAATTGTTAAACATACTGAATTTTATTAGTCATCAATAATAAATAGTACAGATGATAGTTCACTTAGAATATTGTATTTGAATATGTAATTAAATACTATTTTAGAATCTAAAGCAATTATACATATGAATAATTTTTCTATTTTTTATGTTGAAGTCATATCAAATAAGTTTATTAAATCTAAATTAATTGTAATAGAAGTTATTCCATCCTCATTATGCGAATTTAACTATATTTTGGCTTAAAGAAATCATTTCAAATAATCAAACTTTTTGAAACTATCTTCAAATTCTGAATTTAATGATTTAAGTGTATAATTAAATAATATTTATTTTGAAGAAATTAATGAGGTAAATAACTCATTTGGTTAAAGTTTATTAATAAAAATTTCTTGTTTTAAATTATTAATATCAGATTTTAAAATTATTAATTCAAATAGTTTATAAGTTTTATAATTTACTAATGTTTAAGAGATAATAATTTCAAATTTAATTTATCATAATGATCAGATATTAAGCAAAATTCCAATATCTTTAGATTGTGTTAATTAATTTAATTTTTAACATCAATTATTAGAAACAATTGATTGCAAATTTATAAAGATTGTTAATGCAAGAATCAATAATTAATAAAGCTCCGATTTGGCATTACTTTCCTTTATATCTAATAAATAAGATTCAAATATAACACAAGAGAGAATTGATCTTGAAAATTTTTAAATTATTGGAAATTTACTTTCCAAACAATCTTTAACAAACTTTTTATCTATAATTACTATTTACTCAGAAAATTCATAATAAATTATATTAAAAGATTTTACTTTTGAATCTAATATTTTTCATTAACATATTGATGATCCATCTGAAACATTTGCTAGTTTAATTTATATTTATTCATCAAAAAGTGAAGTAGTAATTATTAATTTATTTTCTTCAAATAATGCTTTAACTAATTCTTCTTCTTCATTTATATCAATAAATTCAAAAATTGTCAAATTTATTAATTATACTGTTTTTAATCATAATATTTTAAATTAAACTTTATGGAGTAAATATTATGAAATTTAATTTGAGTTTAATGAAGAATAGAGTTAAATTAATTCAATAATTTAATAGACATTTAAATTTCATAATAAAGGAGGGGCATGCTTAATTGCTACATCTTCATTTAGTTGTTTGAATAGTAGCTTTACAAATATCCTCTCTTAAAGAAGTTCTCTATTTGAAGTTAAAACTTAAGGATAAGGAAATATTATCTTAGAAAATATAAACATAAATTCACTTAACTATGATTTGTTATCTATGGTTGATTATTCAGGATCAATTTACATTTACTCTGTTAATAGTCTTTTAGATCTTCGAATAAATAAGATTAATTTTTAAAATATATTTAATAGAAGAAGTTCCTCAATATTTACAATATACCCATCTTAAAAATAAAATTATATAAGCATATCTAACATTTAAATAATAAATTGTATATCGTTAATAAACCCAATTGCTAAAATTGAATTTATGTTAGATAATTCATATTAAAATAAACTATTTATATAAAATGTAACTATTTTGTAAAATAAAGATATGTGGATTGATTATATTTAGAGAATAGGATTATTAAGTCTTTCAGAGATATCGGAAATTGTTACTGAAAATTCTTTGATCTATGTCAAAGGTGGAGATTTAGAAATAAAAAATTTTTAAGTTGAAGGAATTTTTATAACTTAATTATTATCTATACATAGTCCAACTAAATTATTAATTTAAAATATGTAAATAAATTAAATTCTAACATTTTATCCTTTAAATTTAATAGAAATAAACTTATCACAAGATATAAAATCAAAAATATATTTTCATACTATAAATTTTGAAAAATTCAAAATATATTAAATTATGAACAATAATATTAAGCATTAATTAAAAAATATAAATTATACAATAAAAGGATGTTTTATTATTAAATAAAATTAAATTTTTGATGATTCTTTTAAATAAGATTTATCTTTTGATAATTTAATAAGTAAATTATAGCTAAATGCATAATAATCAGGATCCTTAATTTACTTGAAAAGTACTTCAAGTATGGCTTATATATATTTTACATTTATTGAACTTTTGAATAATATTTGCAATTAGTTTTTATAAGGTCTAATAAATGTGTAGATAGAAAATAATTATAAAGTATTTATTTCAGAATTACATTGTATTGGTAATTACGTTGAAAAATTTGGTTGTTTAAATTTAGAATCAGAAACAAATTTATCATCAAATATTATTTCAATTAGTTAATCAATCTTTCTAAATAATAATGGTACTTAAGGTGTTGCTATTAAATCATCAAAGGTAAAACTAAATTTATAGTAATGTTTAATCATGTACAATAATGCAAATTAAACTGGAGGTGGATTATATTTGGAATTAAGTACCAAGGATTTTAAATTGAAATAGGTTTCAATTCTACATAACATGGCTAAAGAGGGAGGAGGTATATATTTTGTTGGAAATTCGAATTTGAATTCATTAAATTTTATATAATCCTCTGTACATTTCAACAGAGCTATTTAATTAGCAAATAATATTGTTGAATCTCCAACTCATTTAGTGTTATCAATAAACTCTTTAGAATTAATTTCTACTTCATATATTATTAATGATACTTAAATAAATAGTTTGTTACTTAAACCTTATACAATTCTTTAACAAGGAAAACTAATTTTAACTACATATTTATTAATACCCAGTAATTAATAAGTTACTAAATTTTCAATTTATAATCCTAGAACATAGACTTACTAATCATATATTCAAAATATATAGATTTTATTAAAAAATAGTTAAAATGAAATGCTACCATTTATTCAAGATTGCTCTTGTTAAATAGAAGAAACTTTATTTTTTTATAATTAAACTTTTATTTAAGGACCCTTGATAGCAAAAAATTAATAATTAAGCCCAGAATTAAATTCTTTGGATCTCAGTTCTTTATAATTTGAATTCAATCCGTATGAAGAAGAATATTCTCATTTTTAGATAAATATTAACTGTTTATTAGAATAATCTTCTAAAAAGCTCTAATACTTTTTATAAGCAAAATCTTTAAAGTGTTAATTAGGAGAATTTAAGGTTGATAATGGTTGTTAAAAATGTTAATCAAGTCAAGGGTATTATTCTGTTACATATAATGCAACAAAATGTTCAATATTTGACCAAAAAAAATTTTAGAATATAACTTCAAATAGTTTATAATTGTTAGAAGGATATTGGAGACCTAATTATTTATCTGATTAAACAGAATATTGTTTTAAGAACCAATAATATTGTAAGGGAGGATGGGATGTTGGAGATAATCTTTGCTTTTTAGGACATGTTGGAGGTTTGTGTGAGGAATGTGATAAATATAATATATAAGGACAAGGATATTATTTTAAAGATGAATAAAGTTTAACTTGTTTAAAGTGTTTCTAATTTAAAGATAGTATTTTACCATTTATTCTAACTTCTATTTGGTATTTATTATATTTAATTTAGGGCTTTATTATCCATTCTTATGACATTAAAGAGTATTGATAAAACAAATATATTATTTACTTAACTTAAAATTAGATAAAAATTTAATAAAATTATTTTCAAACTTGATCAAGGTAAATTTTGATTATATAAATTATAGATCATGAAAGTATTTTATTAAAAATGTTACTAAATTACTTTTGGACTTTTTCAGTAATTTTCTCTTTTAATATAAAATTCACTTTTGCTCTTAGCTTTATATATCAAGCAAGCAATCCATCATATTTTATGGCTAATAATTTAGATTGTTATTTATCTTAAATTTCAGAGATAGAATTAATATATTCTAGAATAATAGCAATGATAATATTGATGATCTTTTAATTATTGATCATTTTAATAGGATTCACTATATATGCTTTAGTTTTTAATAGAACTTTTAATAGAAGTATGATATCAGCAACTGGTTTATATCTATATGTTTCAAATTATGCTGCAATAATAAAATAGTATATTATTGAATTATTATTAGATTTTGTTCGATTTTATCAAGTAGACAAATATCAAATATTAATTATATATAAGGGGATGTTTCCTTGGTTTTTGGATATTAAAATCATTATAAATGGATATATACTTTTGTAGTTCCAGGACTGGGTTTTTTTGGGTGTTGTATACCTTTTTCATTATTTTTTTTGATGTATATAAAGAAGGAAGAATTAGATAATATTAAACTCAGAAGACATATTTGCTATTTATTTAATGAATATAACCCTAATAAATATTTTTGGGAATAAATAAAATTAACAAAGAAAACTATTATAATTATAATTATGACATATTTTGAAATTAATATTCTCTTAAAGGCATCACTTTTAGGATTGTGCTTATTATTTTATTAATTATTAGCAGTTAAAAATAAACCATATATTATATAAAGTTTAAATAATTTAGATTTGTAGACAGGATAAATTTGTTCAATTGCTATTTTTATGGCTTCTGCTCAATATGTATGTGATTAATAAGAATAAGTTTTTTATTCTATTCTACTTCAAATATTGATTATGTTACTATGCATAAAACTATGTTTTCCATTTGTTTTCGATATTGTTAGAGTTTACATAAGGAAATATAGAGTTTTATGTGTATCATTACTATTAAAGTTGTTTTAATGTATTAAAGCTGATTTCTGTTTTACTAGATACTTAAGTTAATACAAAAAATAATTGATAATAAAAGATAAAAGGTTAAAATTACGTTTTTATAAATTGAAGTAATTTTTACTTTCAATTTCAAAAGCATAAATAAAATAATAAAAGTAAATTCTTAATTATTTTAGGTATATAACTACTTTAATGAGTTCTCAATCATCTGTTAGAGTTAAATTGAATAATTCTGAATTGGATTCAAGAAAACCTTTGAAAATTGAATTAGAGAGATTATTTGAAACAAATAATTGAAAAATTTAATAAATAATTATTAAAATTAGATATATTTATTTTAATTAATAATTATATAATAATTAAGGATTAAACTAATTATAACACAATTCATTTCTCTTATATATTCATTAATTGATATAATTACACTTAATTTTTATTTTATGTTAATAATGAAAAATGAACACCATCTTGACTGAAAGCTCCTCCAATCATTCCATTTTTGTTATATATAATTTATTAAAATTCATAACTATTACTGTTTATTAATTTAATAAAGTTAACATTACTTTTATTAGTAATAGCAAGAATTTTCAATTATGAATTCCATTTTAATGGTGAAATTTAAAATTTATGAGATTTTCCTTTTAATTATATCTATTTTTGATAATGAAATAATTAATCTTAAATATTGAATTCATATATAAAAATAAGTTCTTAATCTTTGAGTTTAATAATTAACATATTATTATTTATAAAGATTGATTTACTATTATTAGATTATATTCCAATCTTTTATTTTTCTATCCATATTTTTTAAGTATCTTTTACACATTATTCCATGATCAAAATATAATTTTCATTTGAATTAATTGTCAAATAAGTATCAAATTCACTAATGCTTAAATCTGATATCCAATCATTATAAATTTATAATTGTTAATGAACTTAAAATCCATTTTTTATATTTAAAATTAAAATTTACTAATACCCTCCTACAATCACTTAATCTTCAGCATTATTTAATATAATACAACTCGCTTCTATTGGGATATTACATTTATAAAGAATTTTTTGATTATTTATTGCAATTAAAGATTAAACTGCTATTTATTTATTTAAGCTTCCTGCAACAAAAGTATTAGATTTCTTAAAGCACATTATTGATGAAATGTACATCGAATTTTAGATTATAGCTATTCTTTTTAGACCTTACTATTTGATTTATAAAACATTATATTTAAACCCTTAATTTACCAATAGGATGGTAGAATTATAATTAAATGATGCTTCTTTATTAAGATTATTGAATTTTTTCTCCTTTATCGAATCAATTAATTAATATTAATTAGCTTTAATATTTCTGTTTGATTCATCACTTTAATTTACNGATATATTTATTTTAATTAATAATTATATAATAATTAAGGATTAAACTAATTATAACACAATTCATTTCTCTTATATATTCATTAATTGATATAATTACACTTAATTTTTATTTTATGTTAATAATGAAAAATGAACACCATCTTGACTGAAAGCTCCTCCAATCATTCCATTTTTGTTATATATAATTTATTAAAATTCATAACTATTACTGTTTATTAATTTAATAAAGTTAACATTACTTTTATTAGTAATAGCAAGAATTTTCAATTATGAATTCCATTTTAATGGTGAAATTTAAAATTTATGAGATTTTCCTTTTAATTATATCTATTTTTGATAATGAAATAATTAATCTTAAATATTGAATTCATATATAAAAATAAGTTCTTAATCTTTGAGTTTAATAATTAACATATTATTATTTATAAAGATTGATTTACTATTATTAGATTATATTCCAATCTTTTATTTTTCTATCCATATTTTTTAAGTATCTTTTACACATTATTCCATGATCAAAATATAATTTTCATTTGAATTAATTGTCAAATAAGTATCAAATTCACTAATGCTTAAATCTGATATCCAATCATTATAAATTTATAATTGTTAATGAACTTAAAATCCATTTTTTATATTTAAAATTAAAATTTACTAATACCCTCCTACAATCACTTAATCTTCAGCATTATTTAATATAATACAACTCGCTTCTATTGGGATATTACATTTATAAAGAATTTTTTGATTATTTATTGCAATTAAAGATTAAACTGCTATTTATTTATTTAAGCTTCCTGCAACAAAAGTATTAGATTTCTTAAAGCACATTATTGATGAAATGTACATCGAATTTTAGATTATAGCTATTCTTTTTAGACCTTACTATTTGATTTATAAAACATTATATTTAAACCCTTAATTTACCAATAGGATGGTAGAATTATAATTAAATGATGCTTCTTTATTAAGATTATTGAATTTTTTCTCCTTTATCGAATCAATTAATTAATATTAATTAGCTTTAATATTTCTGTTTGATTCATCACTTTAATTTACTCCCATTATTATATAAATGTTATTTAAATCACAAAGTTATATAATGAAAAAACAGTATTTAAAGGAATTGTTTATAGATTTTTCAAAATAATTTCTTATATAATAATAACAAATTGATAGTAAACTTTTTAATGATTAAATCTATCATTATTAGTTAACTTTTTATTGATAATTTATAAAAACTAATCTACATTATGATTTAATGTCTATATGATTATCTAAAGAACACAAAAAATATAAATATATCTATGTATAGTCATTCTTAAAAATATATAATCTTAAGAGATTATCATATTTTAATATTAATAATTAATAAAAATGAATAAGCCTTTTACAATTAACATAACATAAATACATTAATTTGAATATTCAATAAAAATTAATAACTTGACTGATATCAATTTATAAGAATTATCATAATAATAATTTAGTTTATTATTCAAGATGACTAAAAAGATTCAACATTTTACTATTTAATTATAAGTAAGCTCATTTAAATAAAATATTAGATAACAAAGCAATTTTAATCTAGATATTATCAATTAATTCTTATCAACAAATGTAGACAATTTAAATGATTTTGAGAGTAAAACATTATTGTCAATTCAAAATTTTGCTCATGTATATTATTTGAAAACAATGTTTTAATTTTACAATCTCACTTATTAATTATTCCAAGACAAATTTAAATCTTTAAAAGAATTGAAAAATAAGTTAATATTTTTCAGATTATGATTTAATAAGATAGAAATGTTTTCATTTTAGCAGTTCTATAATTTAAGATTTGATATATTTTAATTATTGTATAATAACAATTATTTTAAGATCTTTTGATAATGATTGAGTTAACATAAAGAAAAATCTTTGAAAATGTTTGAAACATGTTAAATAAATGTTATTTATAGAACATATTTCATTGTCATTTGAATCTTTTTTCTATTTCAGTCTGTCTAATACGAGCCAAAATTGATTCAATTTTATTTTACTTTTCAATCCATATATCACATTCAACATCAATCTTATAACATTTATGCCATTCTATATATTAAAAATTTTCTTACCATTCATAAATATCATTGACCTGAGTTTAATAATATCTAAGAAGACTTGGTACATTTCTTTGCAATGAGGTGGAGATGTTTTAATTAATGGTTCTAATTCTAATATTTTGTGTAATTCTGCAAATTATTCCTCTGATATTGATTCAACTTTTAATCTCCATAATGTTTCATAATTATCTTTGAATAATAATATAAGATATTTTGAAATTTGAATTCCAACAGGATCCTTTTCAAATACATCCTTAAATTATGTTGATTTAAAATCCATTTTATTTACAGCATTAATAATATTCATTCTTGTAGTCATGAAATCATTATTTAATTCTCCATTCAATTCTCCATAAACATATGTCTTAATAGGATCCATTTTATCTTCACACTCTTTAATCTTCTTTTTGATTTTATCTAACCTATTTGTTAAAATTGCTTATGTCATTTAGTCAGCCTTTTTACTCAAAGTTCTAAATTAAAGAAGTTGGTTATATTCAACAAAGTCAAAAACCTTTCCAAGTACTTCAGGTCTAAGAATAAAAAGTCCTTTTGTCGGAGGCATTTCTGTATCAATTTATATCATCTATTTGACAAATATATTTAATTAATAAAAAGAAAATGAAGATCTTCTGGCTTTAATATCCATAGAATTTAAGAAATTTGGATAAAATCTAATATCTTTTGCTTGAATACTATTTTATCATAATATTTTATAAACCCTTTTAAATAGGATAAAAAATGATAATTTCAAACAAACATTATTCTATTCTATATTGTTTTCATATGTTTACCCATCTACAAATCTTTCATATATTTCTAATATTAATTATATCTAATTGATTGTAAATAATAGAAAGAATTTAATTGTTTTGTACTTCATCATATTATGGATTTTCATTTATTCATTTTTTTAATTATTATAATGAAAAATAGAAGATCATTATTATTTTATAATAATCCAATCTAATTCGATGTATTTCTAAATATCAGAATTTATTAGGATTATTAATAATATAAATTACACCATTTTTCATTTATATTAAGCTACTATTCATTAGTATGATTAATGACAATAGTATTATGCTAATATAATCCTTTTAAAATAACAATTCAAATAATTAAAATTTAAATAGTAAAGTATTTTTATATGTTTAAATAATTTGTTTATCATATTTTTTTTAATATACATTATAAGAGTATAATTACAACATCCTTACTTATTATTATGTAATTCTATTTAATAGACATAAAAATATTATGAAAATTAAAGAAAATTTAAAGTATTATGTTTTTAAATAGAGTGGCGAAATTAATATTGATTAGAATATAGGATTTCTAATTTAATATTTATAAACTGAATGGATGAAGATGATAAATTAAATATTTAATGATTATAAAACTAGTGTATAATAAAGAAATACATCTCTTTAAATTAGAGAATCCAGTCATTTTAGAAATCAAGAATCACATTCAAAAATTACATCCTTAAATAAATTAGAACTATTCTTTATTTTATAGGGATGATGAAGGAGATTTAATCAGCATAAGTTCAGATGAGGATTTAAAAGTCTTGATGGAAAGTGTTAAGAACTAGACTGTGAAGATTACAATTTAAACATCAAATACATGGATATGTAAGACTTGTACACTTGAAAACTTAGAAGGAGTAGTATGTATTGCTTGTTCATCATACAAGGAGGGAGAACCTTAATAACATGGTTAATAGTATTAAGGATTTTAATAACCATATTATCAACCCTAATGTTATTAGGCTCCATAGTAATTTGGACCTCCTCCTCCTTAATAACCACCTCCTTAATTTCCCTTTGTTCCTCATTAAATGCCTCCATGTCCACCTTTTGGACATTTTGGAATGCCTGGCTTTGGACATCCTCCTCATATGTTTCCTGGATTCCATCATTTTAAACACCATCGTCATCATCATTTGAAATGGCAAAAATTTCGTTAGATAATGAAAGATCCTTAATTTAAATAACAAAAAGAGAAACTATAATAGTTATTAAAGGAAGTTAGTTAGACATTAAGAAATACTATGTAAAATACATAGTAATAATAATTTTATTAGTATATTTATGAATAATTATCTTTAGATATTAATAGTAATGGAATTGGAATGAGATGGATGAACAAAGAGCGACTAGATTAGCTGAAGTGTTACAATGTAATTAAGAATAGGCAAGGGAATATTTATTAATATTCAGAGATTTGACACTTGATGAGATTGTAATGATGGTAGAGAATGCAGAATGATTCATGAATTATATTAGATTTATGGAATTAAATAATAATTTCTATATTTATTAAAATTGATAAGTGCTAATATCAAATAATTAGCTTTGAATAATAAAAATACATAAATGTAAGTGAATTACGAAGCATTGATTGATGGTATTAATAATTGATTAATTTTAGAGACAAAAAATAAAATGTAAAAATGGCAAGAAATCAACGAATAGAACATGTGGGAATTGTATTCTAATAAAGATGGATATATTGTGTATACAAAGAAGAATCCAGAAAATGGAATTGCTATGAATAGGACTCAAACAGAAATAGCAAGAACACCTGATCAAATACTTGATTTAGTAGGAGATGTAAATAAAAGACCATTGTACGATGAAAAAATCGAAACTGTACTAATCATTAATTTATATATATAGGCACATGTTATAGAATAGATAGATGCAAATACAAGAATAATTTATGTTAGAATCAAACCACCCATTCCATTTATGAGTAGTAGAGATTTAGTTATGGTTCAGAAAGTCTATAAATAAAATGATGGCATTATTATAGTTTGTTGTAAGATAATTATTAATGCATATAGCTAAATCTATTATACATTAGAAAACTCCTCCTATTCATAAAGTTGAAAGAGCAGAAATGCATTTAAGTGGTTGGATTATCATTCCATAACCAAATCAAGTACAATATACATAATAACTATTAGATGACTAAAATTATTGCTATATAATGTTTTGATCCAAGAGGAGATGTACCTTAATCAGTGACTAATCAATATGCAAAATTGTAATCAGATATGATGAAAGCAGCCGTAAAATATATTGCACTTAATTATAAATGAGTATTTATCAAAATATTAATATTGATAATCATTTGTTAAATAAGTATTTCATTCCTAAAAATATATTTTAAACATTAATATTATTTTCTTTTTATTTTCTATGTAAATTGTTAAGTGTTGTAATTTTTAATATATCTTAAATAAATTCAAGGAAAAAGGAAGAAATTAATATTCATTTTACTATGGTATCATAGTTTTTATAATTTAAGTGATTACGAACAATGAGATTATCAATTTCTTAGCCTTATTTGAATTCAATTTTTCATAAAAGAACTAGATGAATATAGCATGGCAAGATTTTTAATATTCAATTAAGAATCAACAAAATTCCTATGAAACAAGCCTAAATGCGAATATAATTCCTCAATTTTTCTTCATTTATGGATATATTGAAAAAGTAATATGTTACATTATATTTTGCTAAGTACTCTGTTAAATTAATTATTCCTTAACATCAAGATTCTTTTAATCCTATTACTATTGTTATGAGTATAGATTGTTTATATGATTTTACTTTATGGAGTATAATCTAAGATATCAATATATTAATTAATAAATTTATTTTTAGTGAAAAAATGAATGAAATGCAAGTAAAAAAGTACTCAAATATAATCAAAGATAACCAAATTTGAGCTCAATTTTTGGATTTATTAATGAAATAACATAGAAATTTTTCAAGATCCAGAAGAAGTTCATCTCCACAAGAGAAAATCAAAAAGACTTAGAAGGGTAGATAAAAGAAAAATCGTAACTCAAACAATTCATCATGTAAAACCAACTCATAATCACATGAAAAGTAACCTCGTTAAGTTCACGAAGGGAAACTTCTTAATTTCATTAAGGAACTAGAAGCTTAACAGGAGAAATAAGTTTCTAGTTTGAAATTAAGTCAATCTTTTATTGAAGATGTTTAATAAAAATGTATTTATTATATATCTATTTTAAGTGACTATTGAGGAAGATCAAAGTCATCAAGAATTTGATAAATAGTTACAATACAAAATATGTTATGAATAAGAATTTCACTAAACATTGATAAATGAGAATATCTATCTTGGAAATAGTCTTTAAAACTAAAAGATCGATGATAAACTAAGAGCGAAGATGATTGATTGGATGATAGAAGTCTTAGGAAATTATAATGAAACCACATCTAATGCTACTTTTTTCAGATCTGTTTCAATTATGGATTACTATTTATAAAAATCAATAACGGAATATTCAAATTCTCATCTTCATTTAATTGGCATTACTTCTATGTTTATAGCTAGTAAACTTGAAGATATTTATCAGATTCCATTAAAGGATTTTGTCACAAGAATTAGTCATTATAAATATTCATCGTATTATTTATATTTATTGTAGATCCAATATTAAAGCAATGGAATAATCAATATTGGAAACATTAAATTTTGAGATTACATTTCCAACATCTCTTGATTATTTACAAAATATCTTATACTAATTTTTTAGTTCGAATGACAAGTAATTATTGTTTATTAAATTTAGTCCTATTTTAAAAAATATATAGAATACCAGTGTTTATATTTTAAAAATGTGTCTACATAACTATTAAATGACATCCATTAGTTAAAACACTCTGGCATCTTCAGCATTTATTTATTCCATCAAAGATTTTGTTTTGAAAAATAACTAAAAGAATTAAGAACTAATAATAAATTAATTTGTAATTTATTAATACTATATTAATATAGATAAATAAGACTATTTAAATTTATTAAATTAATTAAAATGAGATTATGGAGTGTTTAACTGAGATATAAGATCTAATTTAAGATTTTTAAAAGAATTATCCAACATTACAAAATTTAGACAAATATAAATGAGAATTTATTTGTTCAAACATTATTTTATTATAATTTAATTTATGTAATAAAATACATGTGAAATTCTGATGAGGAATTTTGATTTTTATAATAATGCAACTTGGCAAGAAGTCAAACCAAAAATTAAAGCCATCATTGAGTAATTTTAATAATAATCAAAGACAAAATTTGAAGATCTTAAATCATTCTATCAAGATCTTGAGTATGATCATTCTTTTATTTAATGGATGTTTCCTAACTTTTATGCAAGTAAGTTCAATCCAAATTCTTATAAACTAAATCTAGAAGAAAGAAATAGGATGATTAAATCATAAACTATTCTAAAGAGATTTCATTAAAATTATATATTAATTTTACGATTCTTTGGAATATAATTAAGATCAAATTAAATTGTCATTATAGATTTAACTGATGATTCTATTAAATTTAATTACTTCTCTTAACCATAAACACAAATTATATAAAAATAAAAGAGCATATAAGGTACTATAAATTAGAAAGTATAATCACAAAATGTTAATTAAAAATAAAGTGAAAACTCTAAAATTAAATAAACTACTATAGATTAATTCATTAAAGATAAATAGTAAATTCTTAAGGATGACTAATAATTTTAATAATAAAAAAAAATAGATAATTAGAAAAATATTTAAATTTAGAATACTAATATTGAATATAAGATTGATCAAATAAATGAAAATTAATAATAAGAATTAGTATTAATTGATAAGAATTAATTTGAATTATGTTGTTTAAAAAATACTCATAATCTATTAAGATTAAAGAGAATTCTTTCATCCTTGAGTGTTTTGAAACATAGAAAGGAAGCAATTTAACTTTGTTAGTTTTTGAAAAAATAATTAACTAATTTGGGAAAAGAGAAAATCTACTAGGAGTATTTTAGTGGATTTGATAGATATGATGAAGAATTAACTAAAAATGAGTTAAAAAAGAAAAAAGGTGAGAATAGGTATTTCAATGCTTACAAGTTGCTTTATGTAGATGAAGATTTGGTAGAGAAAGTAGACATTTCGTTAATTTAATGAGTTAATAAATTAGGATAATGTTTTATGAAATAATCATTTTTTAGTTGATAAATTTGTATTAATTTTAGGATTGACAGATTTAAATTTCTCCATTTTAAATGGTTCCTTCTTTTCTACTCCTTAGATAGCTGCTAATTTTTTATGATTGCTTTCATGAAATAATTAAGATGCTTTGTTACTTTTGACTATTGATGTTGTCAATTTGGAATCCTATAATTAGTTAAACATATTGCATATACTTGAGATCCAGCTCTTTATTAATATTTATCCAAAATGTTTGATTCAGCTTCAATACCATAAGAGTTACCCATAACCAATTTCATAGGAGTTGATGGTCTAGATAGAGAGTATTAAATACCTATTTTTTCGACCATATCGAAATTCCTCTTCTGGTAATTCAATGGCTTAAATATTTGTGCCCTTGTTTATTTTAAGTCTGGCATCATGAGTCTATCTATACTTGTACATATCCTGAATGATTTATAAATGAATCAGTTACATGTGCTTTGACTAACCCATTATTTATAGATTATTTATTGAGTTCAGCAAAATCTCTATTGGGTACTCTATCTTAAGATTCTTGATGAAATTTCCATGTCATGGTAACTTAAGCAAATTGAGATTTTCATAAATACCTTCTTTGGCTCCTTCTTTATCTCTTGATAATGGCTATCCATAAATAAAATCTTGATTAGGTAAATTATATGTAGATGGTTTAGCTTTTCCAACATCATCTTTCATCAAGAGAGGATTGGAATGATTATGTGAAAAAGGAGGTGCAGTTTACATAAATTATTTTATTTATTAATAATTTGTTTTTATTTATCATTATTAATGATAATAATAATAGATTACTATATTGTTATAATTAAAACCATAATACAATAGTGATATTATATAGAATATTTCACAGCAAGAATATTATTTAGTTTCATTATGAAGAGATTAGTCAATAGAAGTGAAATTAATGATTATTTTAATTAATTAATTAATTAATAAAAATATATATATATATTAGTAGCAAAAATGAGTTAGGAGGAGATTTGGGCTAAATAAGAGGATATAAATTTATAAGCTGAGGAAGGTGAGTAAAGAAGGAAGAATAAAAAAAGAGTAATTACAAATCCCAATTAATTAACAGGACATTGGAGTGAATAGGAACACAATACATATATAGATTTTTTGAATATGCATAGAACAGTGATGGAATCATAAGATTAAAAGAAAACAAGCAAGATTTTCAAATTGATGAGTGAAACCATAGGTACTAGAAGTCCTTCTTAATGCCGGTGAGATTAGTTTTTTCTCTATCTTATAGGTCTCATCATTAGAAGTTTAATCCTTTTTTACATTCTGTTAAGAAGAGATCAAAAGGAGTGGGTCGAAAGAGAAAGGAGAATGGAAACTAAGATAAAATTGATAAATTTAATGATGATGGACTGTTGTAGTAGTTTATGATTGGACCTCAATTTTATTAATAATAATAGGGTTTTTAAGATTTCTAATTTCAATTTCCTTAGATGTCATATATGTTTCCAATGATGGATCAGGTGTGTAAGGATGAGGATAAATTAAATATATATGATTAATAATAGTTGTATTATCAGTAATACTTGTTGGCATAATAGTAAATGTAGTAGTAAATGGATGAGAAAAATTTGTTTTGTTATTTTATGTAACCCTAACAGATTTAGATGAATTTGAATTATTATCCACAATAGATGATATCTAATATATCAGATGATTTAAACATCAAAGATAATCAATTTGATGAATAATGAAATAGTTTTTAAATTTTATAGTTTGAGATAATTCGTTTTTATTTAAATAATGAAAATACAATTAATATTAGTTCTTCTAATAGCAGTCAATACTCAATCTTTTTTGGAAGAGTCATCACAATATTACTAAACTCCATTTGCTCCCATCATGATCTAAGAGGATGTGTAATAATAATAAGGGATTGAAACAGCAATGGCTCCTGAATAAGAATATGTATATGATCCAGAGTCAGTTTTATAATCAGCCAAAGAATAATAAATTTTAATAGCTAGAAATTATGAATAAAACTTACCTGCAAAAGGTGATTGCATAATATTGTATTCTGAATGCAACTTTAGAGGTTCATCATTTAAGTATTGCAATAAACCAGATGAAATTTTATCATTCTAACTCCCAATTTAATCTGTTTATGTTCCTATTGGGTATTAATTATATTTAATAAGATCTACCTTCCAAATGACTGATGCCATAGAAGGAAACAAAATTAATATGTTAATGAGTTAAAATTGCATATTATCTGGTTTACATTTACCAGAACCATAATTATAAGAAGTTTAAGAGACTGGTAGTAGTTGGTTTAGTGAATTGAAAGATTCTGAAAAGGCAATTTTAGATGAAGGTGATTTATCAACACCAAAAATATAATTCTTTGATAATGATGGAAATGTGATTAGTAAATTGTTTTTTGATTATTCCATCAGGTAGAGAACAATATTAAAAAATGGTTGAAGAAGATGCCAAGAGATCATATGAAATTTTAACTGGATAAACTAATTTATCATCTCCAGGAGAATAACAACCATAATAAACTGCCACAAATGTTAATATTGAAGAAATGCCAGCTGAAAAAGAAGCATAATAATAATAATAATGATGGATTATTATTAATTTTAAATAAAAATAATATTAATTTCTTATATTTATAATAGTATTAAAAATATCAAATCTTGTAAACTATTCAAAACTATGAATATACATTTTACATACATCTTCACTGTTAATATCATCTGGTAGAATCTTGTCATGATGTTAATGTTATTGTTACATTAACTATTGTTATTTTAGATATTCATGTTTCTAACTTTATACAATTATTATATAATAATTACGCAGCTTATGCCAATTACACATCCATCATATTAATTTTTAATTTGTCTTTGTTATTATTAGATTTCCCTTTCATTTTTTAATTCTATTATTATACAGATTATTATTGGTTTAGTTACTATTAGAATTATCTAATAGAATATTAATTAAATAATATATTACTAAGCTTAATTAAAATAACAACTAACTTCTGTTGCTTATTCTTTCCCTAAATATCCAAAACTACTTTCTTCTGAATCATTAACTCCTTAATATTAGTATATAATTCTTACTTGAATCATCAGCCAATAAGGAATCACATAAATCTAATTATTTATAACTAGTTTCATATTATTGAATTATTTTATCTGGAATTTATTATGATTATTATTATTATTATTATAATAATTAATTGTTTTTTTAAATCTAAGAATGTTTTTGTTATGGTAACATATCTATATTCAAATTTCCTTCAGTATCATCTTAATTAACATTTTCTGCACTTTAAATAAATTATTCAAACATTCTATAAAAATATAAATTAATTTACTCTATTATCGAACTATCACCAACTCTTTTTAAAAATACTTTCATTAATTATTCTCTTTATAATAATTTTTATATTGCTTCAAATTATCCTTATACGAGATATTTCAATTCTTGAGTTTCTATTTTTTAATATATATTTATATATACCTGATTCTAATTAAATATTTTCTTGATTATTGTTATTCTATTTTTACAATTCCGAGATTTATTACTTCAATTAGATTATTTAATCATTCATTTATTATTTATTTTCTGATAATTATTCATTTTCTTACTGTAAGATTTCTTATTTCTTTTTGATTTAAAGTAATACATTTTCCATTTTCTTTTTATCTAATTGTTATTAATAAGATTATTATAAAATCTGAATCTGTCTTTTAAAGAAATGATCAATTTAAATAGCTTAGAATGTATCTTAAGTTGAGGATGGCAAATTGAATTGTTATTGAGATACTTAAAGATTTGGTTCTTAGAATAGTACTACTACTAATTAGTTTAGTATTTAATTGAATTTAGTCATAAATGCTAATTCTTTAGTATCTTATGGTAGATTTTAATCTCGTTCCTATAATAACAATTTAATTTTCTCTTTGACTTTTTAAATTTGAGATTAATCACTTGATACACTATTACTATTGATTTTATTTTTAACTGAATGATGGAAGCTAGCATTTTTAGTTAGAGCAGGAGATTATTATTCTATATGTATCATAGATTGATTTTTGCGTAACTTATGTGAAATCTTAACAGTTTCAATCAATTCGTTGTTTATTGAATACTTTTATTTAGTGTTTTATTATTGTCCACTTATTACATTTAAAATACTGCTTAATTTTTATTAAGACACAGGTTAATTTATAAATGTCTTATTGACTTTCTACAAATTCTCATAAGACTTTTATCTTCCAACGACAGGACTATTGTTGTTTGAGATGTTTTGTGATTAACTTTCAATGTGATTCTTGGATCCAGTTTTAGTTAACTTCTTTTCCAGGATTTTACCTTATAATTTTAACATCTAACTGGCATATATTTATTAAGCTATTCTTTCATTATCACATTTCTTCATTATTATTAATAATCTAATTATGCTAAAATAAGAGGAATAGTACGAACAACCAGAGCAACAAGAATAACAAAGGGAATATGTTAAAACAGCACTTTCTATTTGTGAGTTGAATTATAGACTAACTTAAAAGGAAAATCAATATCTTTAACATAATAGGATTGATGTTGACTTCAGAAAATATTTGAGTTCATTTAGTATCATTAAAAAGAAGGATTATAACATAAGTTAGATCTAGAAGTAATAATATCCTTTTTATATTAGAATCTTCGATCGTCAATGTGGCGAATATGATCTAATACTCTTGAATGAAGGTCGAGATAAAAAGGAATACAAGAAAATGCTGATCAAACTTTAAAGGATTTAGAAGAAAGCATGGAATTTGAATTTGGATAAGAGAGAAGATATTAAATAAGTATGTAATGCTTATGAATTCCCAGACAAAATTTTAGATGAAATTGCTTAAACTATAAAGAATTACAATAGAGAATGAATTGTATTTATAATTTATCAATATATCATTATTCTTCAATCTTCAAATAGCTCTCTAATCTCAATTGTCTCATGATCAATTCACAATTTTATTGAACTCCCCAAATTTCAAATTCTTGAATTTTAAATTAATTTTGCTTCGAAAGCAGTTCATTACTAAATGTTGAACTACTATTTAATTCTCCATTCAAGAAATTTTAATTGATCTTAATAGAAAATTGATCTTCTTCATCTGGACCACCTATTATAAATCCATTTTCATTGCAAAATTAAAAACATTCATTCATTTTACTATTCTTATAAATTCTAAACCCATTATTTTTAAAACTAAATAAAAAACTCTATTCATTTCCATAATAATTCTTATCTATATGCCATCCTTCTTCTAAATATGCTCCAAATATTACATCCCAATCATCTTTCAAAATTAATAAATGTTCTTTAAGATTTTTTGTTCTTCTCAAAAATTCTTAAAATGAATTACCATGATATTTAGGACTATATATATATATATATAATTTACTTAAATACTTAGTACCATGGATTATCTATAACATTTTCTGGTAAATTATTTTATAATTATTCAAAATGTGATTATGAAATAATACTACTTGGTTTATTTAAAGTAGTTGATCTTATTTAATACATATCATATTTATGTTCAATATCTAATTTTTATATAGATATGATATCATAATATGTAATTTAAGATAAACATTCCATCTAATTATTTTTTTATTAATGATTTTGATATTAATGTAATATTTTTCTGAATGTCTTTTTATTTGTTTAATAACGATTCAATCTTAATATATAATTCATAAGATGATATATTTAATCACTTTATAATCTTGATATAATTCCTTGATTATTTGTTAATTATTTTATTAATTAAATAATATCATCAGGACATGTTTAATTTAATAATAAAGTTATTGATAAAACTGATGGTTTATTTTCATGATCCAAAACTGGTAATTCTATACCACTTTTACCAAATAAATAAAATTAAACCCAATCATCTCTATTTTTTATTGAATAGATATCTTCTAATAGTATTGTAAATGAAAACTTTGATAATATTTCTTCATTAATATCTTTTTACTATTTAGTTGTTGTTCTCATTAATGTATCAATTACATCATTATTATTTGCAATGAACTATCTATTATTTCTATACACCATACATTTTTGTTTTATTGAATTCCAAAATCCCTTTTATTAAACCATAAGTAGTCCAATACTGACATTCAATCTGAAATATTAAGACATTATATGCAAAAGGAGTAGGAATTACATAAAATTCATCTATTTCTCTATTAGCTGTAGCAAATTTCAATTCTACAGGATGTATTTATTTAAAAATAGGTGCAATCATTATTTAATAAAAAAAAATATAATTTTATTCACATTTCATTATGGTAATTATGAGATTTGATCACTAATAAAATTTGATATTTAATCTAATTTTTTTGATTTCAATTTGTTTAATTATTATATTAATATTACTCTATATTCTTCCTTATAAAAATTTGATTTTACAGATTCCTTAAGAAAATTATCTAAAACATTAATGTCCAAATAACCTTCCAAACCATCTTAAATATAATTATCAGGTATTTCAGCTTCTAATTTTTGAGGAATATCAAATGTCATTGGTATAACCTTTTACAATACTTCTTTAATTAATTATCTACTATTCATTTTAATCTCTTAATATCTTAAATGCAAATAGAGTATAAGTTTCATAGGTGAAAAATATTCAGCATTTTCATCAGAACAAAAACTTTCAATATAAACAAGATCCTATTCAGAAAATCTATTTTATTAAATAAATGATTATACTTATCAGTTAAAGCATAAATAATATTTTTAAGATGTTTTTTATGAATCAAATCTATTCCCTCTATTCCTAAATCAACCAATTCAACTTCTCTTGGATCATATTGAGCTTATTGCATTCCTTTCTTTTAATATTTTTTACATAAATCAATAATATCCACTATTACTGGTCTTAATAGAAGTAAATGATTCTTTTATAGAGTATGTTATAATGATTTTTTATTGATATATCTGATCAATTCATAAAATTGATTACTAGCTTAAATGAGCAATTGTTTTTGTGATTTAATTACATTGTAAACAAAATCATAATTTCTTATATACAAACTTAAAACAATAGTATAATGATGGATAATATTATTGCTTATATATATAATAGATATACAAGTAGCAATACAAATAATATTACAAATGATAATAACATATAAGGCATATGGTTACCAATAATAGAAATAGATATTCATTACAAATAATAGAGTAGTTGACATCTTAATTAAAGAAGAAACTACAATACTAAAGTATCTTTTATTTGCTAATGGAAATAGATCTGTTTAAATATCAACTGATCTTTTAGGTAATATATTTTCAAAAATAGGTTCCATAAATGGTGGTACTACTTATAATTCATCTTCTAATAGATTATCATATTCTTTTTTTATTAAACATTTCTCTTTTATCATAATCATTGTATAATTTAGATTGATAATCTTGATGAACAAAATAAAACAATAAAGCATACTAACAATTATGATATTAATGAAATAAAGTAAAATTATCATGAAAAAAAAGTAGATTGTAAATATAATGTATTATTATGTATCCCATACTGATATTTAATAAATAATATCAGCACTTATATAGCCAAGATAATTTGATAAATTAAAAGAACTATCTAAAACATTTGGTCCCAAATATGGTGACATTTGATATGTAAATTATAGTTTAATCATAAGATAATCCATACATTCTTCTGTCTTTAATAAAACATTCTAGATCTCAATTATTTCTTATTCTATTTCTTTACTATTAAATAATTATTATTATTCTTTTTTTTAATTTAATTCATCTTTTTATTATTTATATAATTAAACTAATTGATATTTGTTAAACCATTTATTTTCTTGATTTTACCAAATTTACATTTATTTATCAAACACAAATATTTGTAGAAAATTAATCAAATAATTTAATATAATAATTAAACCTCCTATTAAAAGATATGCATAAATATTATATTTATAGTTTTCTTCATAATCCTTAATTTCTATAAGTAATATATCTTCATTAGGTTTATCTTATTAATACTAATAATTCAATAACCAAAAATCAAAATAGTTATTATAATAAAGAGCAATAAATACTACTATTACAAACATGCAATACATAGTTTCTAATGATATCTTCCATAAATATTCTCTATATATTTTATGTAATGATTTAAAATACATTTCTCTCATTAAAATTAACACACACAATATCAATATAAGGGTTATTAAAAGAGCTATCTTGTGTCTTTAAGCTATTGGTGCAATAGATATTACATCTAATATAGGTTCTCCTAAAATAGACTCTTCTTGAAGTTTCTTTCTTGGTAATTTAGCATTAGTTTAAGGTTTTTGTTCATCTGGAATCTCTTCATATTTAATTTTATATGGAGATGGAGGTGGTGTATCATGAATTTTGATAGTCTTTTAAACTGCACGTTCTTCTTATTCATATAAAATTTAGTTCATTCTTGTTTAATCTGAAAATTAATCTTCTGGCATTGTATTTATAGTAGACTTTGTCTATGTCTATTAATCTAATTGTAATTGAGTTTTGAACTATGCTGTATGATTCTAAAGATAATTGGCATCTAAATGTAGAGTAGTTAAATCGATTGCTTAAGTCAAATTAAATAACAATAAAATAATCATTGCCTATAATAAAAACGTATATTCAATTATTATAATTCTAGAGACTACTTTGTATATAATGATGTACTTCTTTGGTCTAATAATATCTCTTAGTTTATTTTGTCAATTTATTATGAACTGTATAATTAGTTTTATCATGAATAATTAAAGTTAATTTAGGATGATCATATTCTAATTCTCCCCTTTTATCTCCTTTCTATGTAAAACCTTGAAGTCTTAAATAAATATGAAAATCATCCTCGCAAGGTTGTTTACGATACCTCTACTATTAATCGAATTCTCTCAAAAGTTAACAAACCCATTGTTCATTCTCTCGATTATATATATCTTTTGATACTAATTCCTTTAACAATTTCTTATATTCAATATTTTGAGTCTAAAAGATCTTATGAACAACTTATCTTATTGCATCTATTAAATCTTCATGTTCCTTATACTTCTATAAGATCTCATTTGCTAATTTATTTTAATCAACATTAGATCTTTGATCATATTTTTCAAATAGAATCTTATCCTTATTAATATATAATTGATAGAATTATGTGAAAATTCCTAATGAAAATACAATATTAGACATATCACGGACAATAATAGTAATCACATTTTTAATTAGATTATAAAATGTTCCTTGCACATCTTATTATGTATCAAATAACTATTCAAACATCTTAAAATAGAAATTAGAATCTGTCAAAAATTCAGTTTAAATTACTACAGGTTACTCTAACTTTTCTATTTTTTTAAGATAAATATCAAATAGAAACTAACGAACCTTTTATTAATATATTTCATCCAATGATAATATGAATTTACTACATATCAATTTACTTACTGTCATTCTAAATCTATTCCTCACAACTACTTAAGCTAATCCTTTATTCTACAATATATATTAATTCTTTATACAGAATTGAAATAAGATTCGTAATTCATTAATAATTCATCAACATAAGTGATATCAAATCTTTTAGGCTCTAATAAGACTTTTAATATAAAGTCCTAGACATCCTTTATTTCTTATGAATTCAACATCTAACAAATATTATTAATTGGTGTGTTTTCAATGAATCCAAGCCAAGTATCACGTATAAGTTATCTAAATTCTGTTTCTCTTTATGCCTTTTGATTAATTTATGAAATTTAACTAATAAAAGAATTCTTAAAACTATCACCTAATTACAAATGTTTTACCATTTGTTCATAAAACCTAGAAATTTAAATTATTATTACATTTTCTATACTTATTCACAATTTTAAGGTAGATAATAATTGTATGAGTTCAAGAATTCAAAAACTTTCGCTGTAGGCTTCATTTATTATAAATAATTGTAATATTTATATATGATTTTCATTAGATTAAGATCTATTATAAAGAATAAATTTTGAAAAACAAACTCTCTATAATTATTAGATAATATGGTGTGATATGTTAATCATTATTCTTATTCTGAAAGAGTAGTTCCTTCAAGAGCTTAAGATTGTTATTCTTATTTACTCTCTTATTCTAATTGATCTTCTCTAATAATGTTATCCAAATCAGTTTATAATTTGATCATAGCAGGACCCTTTTCAATTTCCTGAGTCATTTGTAAATAAGCATTATAGAATTACTTAGGTAAATGATCACCTGCATCCTATTCAAGAATATTTCCATTCATATCAGTAACAGTGTAAGAATACACACCAGCATTATTGGATAAATCAGTTACTTCACCCACAACTCCAGGAATATATTGTTCATTGGTTTGGACTAATGAAGCATGTTTCTTGGCTTTTTTATCATGTTTAGTCTCTTCTTATGTAATTTATGCCCAATGTTCTATTTAAATGAAGAGATCATACAAGCTTCCTTAGGGTTAAGATGATAATCAGAATCTCCCAAATTGACAAATTCCATGAAGGCACTATTGAAGACTCTCTTCTAATGAACTGCTCCATGAGTCTTTCTAACATGTCCAGCTTGAGTTGCTATTAGCAAAGCACAAAGAAGAAGGGATTTATACATCAATGATAATAATATTAATAATAATCGTTTTTACACTTTTTGCATATGGTAAATTTATTTTAATTAATAAATAACTCAACTTTATGGATCCTTAGCTGTTAAAACAAATAAACTCATTAAACCAATCATTACAAATTTCAATGAAGGATAGTCATTCAATAAGATAGTAATATATCCAACATATGGTAACACTCTAAAAAATAAGTAATAAATTGAAACCCTTCTATTTTTCCCATGATATCTGATCTTTCTAACCACATTTATTTTCTTGGATATAAGGCTCTATCATCTACTTAATTATTATCACCTTTGGTTAATATTAATTAATCTAAAGGATCATCACTTCTATTTACTATATTATATGTATTCTTACTTCTATTAAATTTATAATACTCTATGCACAATTGGAATGTCTTAATCTTTGATCTTGTAAACAATCACATCTCCAACCTCAAATGGTTTATTTAAGAAAGTTAAGAATAGTATATCACCTCTGTAATATGCAGGCTCCATTGATCCAGATAAAACAACAACAACTGGAGATTCTGAAAATGACACGACTTATAAACTCTTCCAAATTGACAATGCTGATCCTACTACTATTGCTAATGAAACTATTTGTAATATTATCTTTATGTATATCATTTTTCATTATACCTTTCTAAATTTCATGTGTCTAAATTCATCCACGTAGCCAAGTATCACATCCATTATTATTATTCTTAATAAATTTAATTACAAATTTATTCATTAAATAAATAGAAATAATTAAATTTCATTATGAATAGATTAGAGTCTTTTCTCTAATATTATTATTATTCTTTATCATTAATTATTAATAATTATAAGATATAAATATTTGGATTGAATAAATAATTATAATCATTTAATCAATTATTTAATAAAAGTTTATGCAATCTTTGTAATTTTAATTTTATCTATTTCACTCTTTTTAGTCCAATGAGCTACTTATCTTGCTGTTGCATAATATTTTTTAAGTATTCCTTCATTTTTACCAATAAAATTATAATATAAACTATCAAATAGATCAGTCCAATTATAAACCTATTTTTCAATTTTGATTTCAGATTTAATTGATTTATTAAAATTACTCATTTTTTACATATAATTTGATGAACATATATATGGTCTTGTCATCATTATACCTCCATCTGCATGTTATGTCATACCAAACACATTAGGTACCATAACCCATTCATAACTGTCTATATGAACTTCCATAAACCATTTAAATACTTCTTTTGGATTGATTTCTGATAATAACATTGTATTTCCTATATACATTAATCTTTCAATATGATGAAGATATGCATATTTAATAACCTTTTAAATCATATGATCAATTGGTGGTAATTTAGTATCACCAGTATACCAATTATTATTCAATTTATTTTAATGATTAAAGAAATTAGCATTCATTTATTATTCACTTTCAAAAAAATAAAGTAATCTAACATATTCTCTCCATCCTATAACTTATCTAAGAAATCCTTCAACTGATTAAATAGGTGCTTTATTTTATTTATAATATTGTAATGTTTTATCAACAATAAGATTACTGGTAATTAATCCAATATTCATCATTGGAGATAAAATTGAATGATTAACAAAAGGATAATCTGAATGAACTGCATCTTAATATGGTCCAAATTCATTTAATTTTTATTTTAAAAAACAATCTAACCATTCTTCAGTTGAATCATGATCTATAGGATAAATTGTATTTTTAATGTCACCAAAATTATTTGGAAAATGTTTAGTAATATAATTTATTGCTTCATCATAATAATTTGATTTTATTAAGTCAGGTTTTTTAGGTACTTTTGTTCCTGGTTTTAAGGGTTATCTATTTTCTGAATCATAAGTCCATTATTCTGGATCTTCTCCTTTTGGACCCATCAATATATTCAATCTTCTTCTTTACCATCTATAAAATGAAGAATCATGACTATAATTAGGTTTACCATCCTTTAATTTAACATATTCCTTATGATATTATTACAAATCATTTCTTGTACATAAATATGAAAGATTTTCTTTAATTTCACTTTGTATTCCTAATTATTATAAAATATTTTAATATTTTTATAAAACAGGTTTATCAATTGGATCATAAAAGTCACATTAAGTTATAATAATTTTATCAGTACTCTAAATAGATTCTAAAAATGCACTACAATTTTCATTTTAATCAATATATTATATACTTACATCTTTTAAATTATTCATTAAATAATCTTAATATGATTTCATAGTAGCTCTATGATAAACAAGTTTTAGTTTATGATAATTATATGCTCTAAAGTATTAATCATCCTCTATTAAAAATATTTTATTGTAATTTTTCAGAATATCGATGTTCTTATATAGATTAACAGGAAACAATAAGAATACTTTAGTCTTTGTTTCTACATTTAATTATCTTTTTTAAGAAAAAGTATTCTCATTTCTTTCTTTTCTAAGACTAAGTCTAAGTTTCTCTTATTTTTGATGTTTGATGTTATTAATTGTAGTCATTAAATTAAATAAATGATAAACAGCTATAAATTTTTATAATTGGATTAATATAATATATATATATATCATTATTAAACTCTTTTATTTATTTATTTAGATATTTTTCCTGCTTTACCAGACATATAAGTTTATTAAACAATCTACTTATTTTAATATTCTTCTTATTCTTATTGTCTCCATTTATTACCAATTAATTATATTTCTTTTTCATATTATGCTAAAGTTGGTGGAGGTAAAACCTATTAAATTATAGATCCTATTATATATATATATAGTGATTAATACCTAATTCTTCATGATAAATTAACATTGAAAATTTAACAATATTTTTATGATTTGATTAACTAAGTGAAGCATAATCAAATCTTCCTCTTAAATCTGTATATCCATCTTTATGAAATGTCTCTTAATCATTTTTATCTTTTGCATATACTTTAACATAAACTTTAGATAAGTATTAACCTTATTAATTAAATACTCTTATTTATCCTGAGTCTACCATAGTTTATACAAACAATGATGTTGGTTAATATTTACAAGTTACTTATTTTTATTAACCTTTTATTGTAACAAATAAATTCTCTTTTGAAATTTCTTTAGGTATTAAAATTTTCTATTAAAATAAACTTAAATAATTAAAATATATATTATTACTTCTTTTAAATTTCTTAACCTTCAAGTTTATGATTTATATTTAGATTTGGTAAAACAATTGAAAAATCTTATATTATATTTTTCATAAATGGATTATTTGAGAATAGAATTTCAATATCCAATTTATAATATTCTATTTTTACTTCTGATAAATTTGAATATGTAAGATTAATTGAATCTCCTTCTATTGAACCTGATAATGTTTCTTCTTTTTTAATAATCTCTTATTATTTTTATTATTAAGTTATTTCTAATTTAGAGAATTAATTATCTTCTTCTCCATCATATTCTATCAATAAATTAATCATTTCATAAAACATATTTCTCCAATGTATAACAGGATAACTTAAATACTTTTTACATATATCTCTTCCTTTCTAAAAATTAGGATAACCAGTATAAAAATCTAAATATGCAGATAAATAATCAAATTATAATTATTATTCTTTTTATTCATCTTCACTAATTTATTAATATATTTAAACTGCTTCATTTACTCTCTCTTATAATAATAAATAATAAATAAGAACTAATTTATCTATAGTTGAAAATTAAGGCTTTTCTAAAAGATAAATTAAATATTTTGTATATTACTTTCTAAATTATACATTTAATATATTATTCTCTCCTTTATAAAGTTTATGTACTCTTTTAATAATAAGTGGATAATATTCAAGAATTCTAATTTAATTGATTTCAAATAATGAACATTTAAAATGTGTAAAATATTATTTCAAAGCATTCTAAGCTTTTTATGTCATGAATAATTCTTTTAAACATTCAATATTATTATGTAATAATGAATAAGCAAAACTATTAAAATCATAAAATTTTCTATTTCTATATATTTACATGACTTAATTATAAAATACTTTATTGTTAAATTTATGATATAATAATTTTGGATTAAATAATTTTGAATTGAAAATATTCTTATTCTCTATATAATTTATTATATCTTAATTATTATCTGTTAATAAAACTTCATTTATATTTTCTAAATTAACCTTTGTCTTTTCATCATAAACTTAAAATATTTTATCTTTTGCAATCTAAATGACTTTTCCAAGTTTTGAAATATTAGCTGGATATATTGTGAAATCTCCTTATTTAGGAAAATAGAAATAGTATTTTTAAATTTAAGTTTAATAAGGAGAAAGAGTTAATGTTAATGTTTTAGTTGAAAATGTTGTACTAACTGGAATTGAACCATTAGGAATTTCCATTAATAATTAAAAGGTTTAAGAAATTGCTGAACAATTAGAAACAACTACTTTGCATCCATAAACCTTTTTTATAGAAAAATAGTTTAGATCTTCTTCCTCTTCATTATCTTGTTACTCATTTATTTCTTCATTTTTAGGATCAAAAAAAGACTAATTAATTATAATTCTAGAATTAGGTTACACTTGAGCTTCTTAAATCTCCTTTATAAATATGAGAGCAGAAGTTGGATAAATTAATTCTATACCCTTATTTCCTATTTATTATTATATATGTTTAGGAGATTAGAATGGTAAACTCATTAATGCTAATACACTTATGATTTCAGTGAAATTAGAAGTACAATACATAAATGAAGATGAAATGAAGTTTTAGGTGAAATACCCTTTTTATATTGAGTGATTGGCTAAATCAATGTAAAAATCTGACACCTTAATCAAATTTCTAAAATATGTTTAATTTATTCCTACACTATAATGTTTCTCACAATATTCTTTAGTAGCTTCAACTTTTTCAAAAGATTAAATTAAATTGTCACGCATGGAATTATATTTTCTGAATCCTTTTCTTTTAGAAACACATCCGACTGTAGACTTCCCGGCTGTATATTGATTTCTTGATCCTCCACGAGCCTAAACAATTTCTTTTTAATCATTTTTCTTAATTTTAGGACTAATACTCCTAATAATACTTCTAACAATACTCATACTCATACTAGAACTTCTACTACTATTACTATCACTACTATGACTATCACTACTATTATCCCTCTCCTCATCCCCTTCCTCATCCTCATCCCCTTCCTCATCCTCATCCTCATCCTCATCCCCTTCCTCATCCCTATCATGTCGAGAGCGTGATTTAGCTTTATCTTTTTATTTTATTTGAGATTTATCTTTGAATTATGATTCAGAACTTTTTATTTAACTTTATTTTTCTTATTCTTAACTTTTATTTTTTTCATTTTTCATTTCTTTTTCTACTCCTAAGATTGTATCAAAAAGCAATTTATATTTATCATCATCCTATTTATTTGCAATTGTTTTAAAGTTTTATTATAAATATTTAGCCATAATCTAAGCTTCTTCCTGCTTTTCTGCAATTTCTTAATTATAAATTACAAGAAGTGCTTATTCCAACCCATTTAATTATTAAAATAATTAGACTTATTCATATTTCTAAAGAGCTTAATGATCTTAAAGTAGAAAGTAATCTATAAAAGATTTTTCTATTTTATTTTTAATATGATCCAGTATCACTGTTTCAAAAAATGGGTAGTCCTTCATATAGAGAAATAAATTCAATTCATCACATTAATATTAATTATAAAATTTCTATTTAAACTGAAATGTTTCTCTATCCCATTTTAAAAGATCAGATATAATTATTAAATCCTATTCTTTTATCTTTTATTTATTGATTCTCATTAACTCTTTCTAAATATTAAATAATAAATTCAAAGAGTCTAATTAAAATATTTCTGTTGATGTTATGTCTTATATTTAAAAAGGAGTCTATGGGATGATTTCTTTTGTACTTCTAAAAGTAGAATAAAATTTATTCTTCTCCAATTAAGATACATGACATAGATCTTTTATTTAAATTTAATTATTCGATAATGGTAGTACTTTTATACTATAATTGTCATCTTAATATGCTAAAATCACAACTGTTGAATAATGTACTGGAACTTCAAAGGAATAATAATTCTTATCCTTATGAATATTTGTTATTACTCTGCCAGAATATTTTAAAAATTCACAAAAAGAATCAAAACTTTATTGATGATATGATGATAGTCCTGATTTTCTATAAGCTTTTGATGCTAATCTCTAATTGTGTTTCTATTTTGATAAATTATGCAAAGCTTATTTCAATTATTCTTCTTAAGTTTCAGTACAATCAGTAACAAATCGATTTAATAAGATTTAAGGTTTTTCAAGGGTATTACCCACATATTTTGGTTAATTTTTTCTTTCAATTATATATCCTAACTCATCTGATTATTTTAAATTACACAAATAAATATTATTTTTAAATTCAATTTTAAGACTATTGTCAATTACATAATTAGTCATAATATTTTGCATTTATTTATCTAAGCTACTTATATCAGGATAAAAAGTAGTTGCTATTGCAATTAAATGATATTCCTTATCACTTAATATATCACCTTTAACCAAAATATTATTATCATTCTGTTAGGTTACAATATTATTTAAATACATTTCTCTTTCATATTATTTTTATATCCTTTCATTTTATGTATAGAGGAATTCTTTAGATTATTATAAAGTATTATCAATAACTTTGAATTTAAAAGTATATTATTCATTTAATAATTATAGTAAGAATTCACCTTTCTAAGTGAATTAAATAGTTATTTGATTCTCTTCAAATTAAATCATATTTCTATGATTTTTAATAGGAATTATTTCAGATAATGATGAAAGTTTAATTTAATAAAACTAAACATTTTCTAATTTAGAAGAGAATGGTAAAGTAAGTGTTTATCCAAAATTAACAGATGATTCAAAATATTTTTAGTATACATGAAATTGATTCAAGATGTTCCATTCTTATTTTAATATCTAATAATTAGTAGATAGGACAGATGAATTTATATTTTCTATATTAGGTAGAAATCCTAATTTGATTTATCCATTTTAATCAGTTATAAGATTTTCTTTGATCTAATCATTAATGAAAGAGTGTTTAAATAAAACTTAAACTTAAACATTTTTGATAGGTTCACCATTCTTTCCTAAAACAAATATTGAATATCCATCTATATCATCAAATCTTAGCAATTATTTTATAAATATTTATTCTAATGTATTTTTTTAAAGTTGAATATTAAAAGTTTATTCTAATACTAAATCTTCTTTTTTGTGTAATTATTTAATTTTACCTTATACATCTACTTATATATTTACTAATTTTTAATTAATATGAAATTTAAATTCTAATGGGATTTAACTTTCAAAAGAAATGTCTTTAAAGTTGAATGTTTAAGGAACGCCTTTTTCATTTTAACATGATATTTAAACTTAAGCATCTTTAAAAATTCCAAATCCAATATCAGTATTATTCAAAATTAATTTAGGAATAATAACAATTGATGCATCTTATCCTAATTATATTTATTCATTTGCCATTATGAAACTACAAATTAATTTAAATTATTCAGGTTTTAAAACAATAGTCTCCTTTTAATAGAAATCTTCATACTAAATAATAGCTTAATATTCGGTTTCCTCATTAGGGAATGGTATTATAATTTCACCTTTATTCAAATTATAAAAATTTTGATCAATCCATAATCCAATTTTATCATCATATAATTTCTCAAATTTTTCATTGAATATCTCATACTTATATCCAGCAGATACAATTTTTTCCTTTAAACATAATCGTCCTTTTTCAATAATTGCTCTTGAAGATAATCCATTTCCAATAAATTCAATAATAAAGGTTCCTCTTTCAGTTTTTTAAATAGATTCAAAAGAAAACTCTTTGATTACCTTTTTAATAGGAGGATAATCATATATAAAATTAATTTCTTCTGTTGGAATAAATCCATCCAAACATAAATTTGATGTTAATTATTCACTTTTAGCCATATAAAAGTTTTTCATATTTATTTGAAATATTTTAATAGTCAAACTTTAAATATTCTTTAATTCAATAAATAATTAAACAGGTTCTCCATGTATAAAATAAGGTTTATTATTATCACATAAATACAAAATCTTACTATTGTTCATCTATTTTATTTCATTATTTGAAAAATATGTATTTAAATCTTAAACTTCATCTCCTTAATATAAACGACATTTAGCTCTCTATTCCTTCAAATAATAAGATTCCAAATATTATTCTAATATACTATAATCTTAATTTGATTCAAAATACTTTTATAAATACTTTTCAATTAATTAATTAGTATTCATCCCTAATTTTATATTATAAAATATTTACATCTTTCAGTTTTATATCCATGCCATTCATCCCAATTAGATTAAAATTCATTTCTGATTTTATTTTGCATATCCCAATGTTATTTAGTGATATTTTAATAAATTTCTGTTGGATTTTTTAGATAATCTAAAAATATATCAAAATCATAAAATTAAATTTCAATTCCTATTATAATTCAAAATAAATATTTACCAAATTAAAGTAATTCTCTTCTAATTATCTGTCTAAGAGAATTAAATTTGTCTGGTAATTATTTTGTCCAATTGTATGATTCATTTAAATTTTATTATATAACTTTATTTTACTCTATATTCAATTATGATACTTAAATGTCCTAATCTAATCTAAATTTTTTAAAAAACAAATTTCCTACAAAATACTAATTCTCTAAATATTTTCTATTTAAATTTATTATCTCTTCCATTTAATCAATAGTTAATAACTTGAAACAATTACTTGAAAAATTAAAGTCTTTTTTTGCTATTAATTTGTTGAAAAATTAGGGAACATTATCATTTAAAATTAATCCCTCTTTTTTTTGGCATAATTAATTAAAGAATATTTCAATAACTTTATTTGGAGCATTAATTAATTCTTAAAGATCTAATTACGAAAAAAGATTAACAGATAATTTATTGATTCCCTTTTCTGTATAAGCATCCTTTAGATAATCATCCAAAATCAATTTATTATTGTCAAATTGTGAAACTAACTCTTTTACTTATACATTAGTATTAAAAACATTTGATTACTAAATTAATCATTAAAATTACATTTATAGAAATATTTGAAGATAAATCTTCAAAGTTGATTTTAAATAATTTCTTGTTGATTTTTTACAAAATTTATGTTTCTTTTTGAATCATTTCTTCTGTTTGCAAAGGTTCATTTATAAGATTATCATATTCAATAAACAAACTTCTTAAACGAATTTTCTAATAATTAATAGTTTTCATTTATTTATAATGTTTAAAATGTTCTTATTCTATTGAACTAAGTTAGTATCCTTTCTAATTTAAGATATTTAGAAAATATTAATAATAGTATTGATCTGATCCTTTAATCAATTTTGATAATCCATTTTCCTTTGAAATCAAGACAGCTTACTCTAATTGTGTAAAATCAAAGTCCAAAGTATCAGAATTATTATTCTTCTAATAACCATAACAACTTTCTTCTATCATTTTTATTTTTATTAAATCAAAAAAATTTTTTTTACTTGCTTTTCAATATCAAATATCCCCGCTAAAATAAAAATATCAATTGATTTAATACGAATATGGAATCTATTTGTTATAATTACTTTTGATTGAATATCTTTTTTGCTTATATTTTTGAGAGTATAAATTAATAATAAAATTTATAACAGATATATAAATTTAAATTTGCTTCTACTATTAAAAATACAAGATTCCAAGAGATATGTTAAACATCTTACTCCAACTTAGAAATCTATACACTTTAAAACGATTTAGTTCCCTTTTTCAAGGATCTTTAATTTAATTATAACTATGATGATTATATATATTAATTCAAGATTTAATATATATATATATATAAAATAATTAATATTATTTATATGATGTTTATCAATTTTTAATTTCATCATATAATTGCTGAATGATTGCTTGATAATGTTTCTTTGCTACATGTCTTTGCATTTTCAATGTATCTGTCAATATACCAACCTATTAAAATGGTTTTGATTCAAGATATATATTTTTAACTTGTTCATATCCATTCAACAATTCTTTAGATCCCTAAAATAATTTATTTATTAACTTATTCAATTAATTAAGTCAGTACATATGATCTTAATTCTTTATTAGCACATAAGGTAATATGATCACCTTCGATTTTCAATTTATCTGCAAATTATTTAAGAACCACTGGATCTACTACTACAACTCCTACACAATAGTTTTATAAAGAATCCCCAAAAATAACTAGTTCTGAAATCCCTTTCAATCTCAAATAACAATTTTCTACTTTCTCTGGAGATACATATTCACCCTATGATAATTTAAATAAATTTTTTTTCCTATCTATTATTTTTAATGTTCCATTTATTATTTAACCTATATCCCCTGTATGTACCCATCCTTCATTATCAATTAATTCTTTAGTTTATTATGGATCTTTAAAGTATCCTTTGCTTATACTTGGTCCCCTTATGCAAATTTCACCTCTCACTTAACCATCGACACTTTCATCTGTAACATAACCCATCTCTGGTATACTTACTAATTTAAATTCTTAAGAAATTGTTGGGCCACCTACATGACCACAATTTGGATCAGAGATATCTGTTACAAAAGATCCTCCCATTGATTCTGTTTAGCCATATACTTCTACTATTTGACAACATAAAGTTATTTTTAAAAAGTTCAATACTTTTGTTGAAATAGGAGCAGCTCCAGTAAGAATTATTCTTTGTCTTCCACCTAAGATTGCTTTAGTTTTTATAAATGCAGCATCTAATTATTCATGATAGGGTTTTCCAGTTTATTAAAAATAATTTAATTTCATCTCAAAAGCTTTATCAAACTTTTCTTATACTTCTGGAGGTAAAGAATTAACAACATTTTGTATTCCATCATAAAATCTATTGAAAACTCTTGGCACTCCTCCAAAGTAAGTTGGTTTACATCTTTAAATATCTCTAGCTAAATTTTATATGTTTCCACTATAATAATTGATTTCTGCAGATTCTAATAATGCACCCAAATGAAGGACTCTTTCAAATACATGAGGTAAGGGCAAGTATGATAAATAAACATCATTTTCAGTAAATTTCTAATCTGGAGGATAGTCAAATATATGCATCATTTGTTAAAAATTATACTAACTTTAAAGAGTTGCTTTGGATTACCCTGTAGTTCCACTTGTAAAGATTAGTGTCATCGAAATATCTGGTTATAAATTTGGATATGGAACAATAGCTGTTTTACCTTTTTCCAAAATCTAATTCCATGTTACAATCTCCTTCCCTTGTGCTCTTAACTTATTTAAATCTTCTTCTTAGAAACCTTCACCTACTATTACAATGGTTTTCAAATAGGGTTAATCAACATCTATTAGGACTTTTATAGTGCTTGATTAGACAAAGCAAATACTAATTTTAATAATTATTCACATACCTAACTTAAGTTTGTTCCAAAGAATATTTAATACTGTTTAATCCTAATGTATCATAAAACGGACAGGATGTAAATCCATAAAGGATACATGCAAGATCCAAAATGGTCCATTCCCTTCTGTTGGACATATATATGCCCACAGGTTTAATAGTATATCCTTAGTCATCTTTTACCTCTATTATTGAATCTCTAGAACAAAGTTCAGAGCCAATTGCAGTAGCAATTTCAAATACTTCCTACTTATCTTAGAAATATAAACTTTATATGTAATTTAATCATATTATTGGGATTCTTCATTGTATAAACCAAGTGTTTTCTTATTGGGACATTTTTATAGATTTTCAATAAATTATTACTATAAGGTAAGTTTAAATTAAGGAAAGCCATCCTAATATAAATTTGTTAAATCACTTTAGCACTTGGATGTCGATAGATAGGGGTTTCATTTTCTTTAGCATCAGATACTTTACAAAGATACTCTCTAATTTGCATCATAATATTTTTAATATTTAAATTATGTTTATATTTATAATTGCATTAAATAAATATCTTATAATTTTTATATTAAAAGGCTGTTTTGTCTATATAATTTAGATATGCTATATAATGTATTTTCATTTATTCAAACAGAGATTTAATGAATTCTTAATATTTTATTCTAAGAATTGTTATTATTTTCTAATTAATTATTTATAAGTAAAATTATAACTATTTTTAATTTATGAAAAGCAGATTTTAATAATAAGTTGCATCTTTTATAATTTAAGGTATTAAATTATTAAGAATTAAGAGAGATGTTTTTTGATTCATATATTATTATTTTTATTATTACAATCTCTCTTTAGGTAGTATTAATTCTAATTAAACTAGATTAATAATAAGTAAAAAATATCAATTTTATGGAGTATAATAAATTTATAAACTAGAATATATAATAAATATTAGATATTGTTTGAATATGGCAAATAATTATTGTAATATTTTATGAGATTTCTTTTGAATATCTATTTTAATTAACTATTAGAATAATATATAAGAGAATATGTAGATGAGAAAGATATTAAATGGTTTTGGATTGAACTTAATTCATATTTTAAAATATTGAATAGAGAAATAATTAAAGTATAAAATTCTGTTAATTCATAAATATTGATTCGTTTTAGTAATAAATATTATATTTAATATATATGAGCTTATTTAGATCAGAATAGATGGAATACTATAATCTAGTGATTCCAAGAGAGTCAGCATGGGATGTAATGAACACTTTAGGATATTTTGATAGCGTTCACATAATTGATTATGATGCGACATTACCTTAAATAAATAGGCCATTTTCAAATTATGTGAAAAGGTATTTCATTTAGAGATTAAAGATGTGATGATGTGATGTAGAAGATTGAGTAGATAGAAGCTGAAATGAGAAATTTTAAGATTGAAAAAAGATATTGTCCAGATGTGATTGATCTATTAAAGAAGAGAAATGGAAGTCATAAATAATTTGAAGAATTAGAATAAGATATATGTAAAGTAGCAGATGATTTGGAACATTAATAATAAACATTAACTAGTTTATAAGAAAAGAAAAACACTATAAGAGAGAATTTGGAAGTATTAAGAAACGCTGTTGCATTTTAAAATGAGGATTCAGAAGAAGCTAGTTTATTAGGTTTTTAGAAGATGGTGGGAGTAATATTAAAGGAGGATGAGTTGAGATTTAAAAGAATAATCTTTAGAATAACAAAGGGAAATATACATGTAGAAATTATGGACATTCAAGAACATTTCATATAATAAGATAGAAGAAGTGTATAGAAGTGTGTGTTTATGTTATTTTATCCTTGTGGAGATTTGACTTAAAAGAAAATTCTAAGAGTGATTGATTCATTTTCATGTAATAAGTTTGATATCCCTACATCAAGTGAATAACATGCTTAAAGAATTACTATGTTAGAAAATCAATTGATTGAAGCAGATTAATTGTTACATTTGACAATTACTTAAATTAATAAAAGGTTGCAAGATTTGGTTGAAGTTAAATATAATTGTTCTTGGATTGAAGAAATGAGAATCTTAATAACAAAAGAGAAGTATTTATATATGAATTTGAATATGTTGAATATGACAAATTCTGTATTTCATGGATAGATATGGTTACCATAAGGTTAGGATTAAAAAATTTAATAGGCTTTAAGAAACTTGCATGGTAATGATAAATAATTACCTAGTGGTTAAATCTAGGAATAATAAACTTAATTAACTCCTCCTACTTATTATAAATTAAATTCATTTACATATCCATTTTAAGAAATTGTGAATACTTATGGTATACCAAGATACAAGGAAATTAATCCAGGATTATCTACTATAATAACATTTCCATTTTTAGTTGGTGTAATGTTTGGTGATGTTGGTCATGGGTATAATATATTAAATTATTAAGAGTTTGTTATTGTTTGTTTGTGGATTGTATCTCACAACTGAAGATGCAAGAAAATCAATCTTTTCTGGACTTGTTCCTATGAGATATATGATTCTACTTATTGGATTCTTTGCTTGTTATAATGGACTCATTTATAATGATTTTCTATCTATTGGTTTAAATTTATTTGGAAGTTGTTATAATTTAGTAGATGGTGAATATGAAATCCAAGAAGATTGTGTTTATAAATTTGGAATAGATCCTGCATGGGGTTCTTCAGCCAATTAATTGACTTTTATGAATTCATTTAAAATGAAATTAGCAGTCATTATTGGAGTCACTCATATGACTTTTGGTATTATTTTAAAAGGATTTAACACAATACACTTCAATAATTATATTGATTTCTTTTGTGAATTCATTCCATAATTCCTTTTATTGATATGTAGCTTTGGTTATATGGATTTCTTATTGTTTTTGAAATGGTGTACAAAATTCGAAGACACAAAGGATGCACCTAGTGTAATCACAACAATGATTGACATGGTTCTAAGACCTTTTGATGTCCCTGAAAAACCATTATTCGAATCTGGAGAGTAATAGAGATCCATATAATTATTATTATTAACCATCATTGCTTTCTGTATACCAGTTATGCTGATTACAAAACCACTTATTTTTAGTTTAAATAAGAAGAATCATCCATATCAATAAATACCATCTTAAATACCTGATGATGATGCTAATCAAGAATAATTACAAAATGATATGTAAAAGGATTAGTCATAACCACATAGTAAAGTGTCTATTTAATAACATAATGAACATGATGATATAGGTGAATTAATAGTCCATCAATGTATAATTATTATTAATTATTTATAGCCATTGAAACTATTGAATTTGTTTTGGGAAGTGTTAGCAATACAGCATCTTATTTAAGATTGTGGGCATTATCCTTAGCTCATTCATAATTGGCAGAAGTCTTTTTCTCTATGACAATAGCCAGTCATATTGGGGAAGGAGGATTCTTTGGAACTATTGGAGTAATCATCTTATAATTAAATTTTAGTCTATTATACAATTTCCAGGATTTGCTCTAGCTACTTTTGGAGTATTGATGTGTATGGATCTTATGGAGTGTTTCTTACATGCTTTAAGATTACAATGGTATTTAATTTAATTAATATTTATTAGGGTTGAATTCTAAAGTAAATTCTACAAAGCTGATGGATATATGTTTAAAGCATATTCATTTACAAATATTAAAAGTAATGAATAAGATGATTGATGTCTAAATATCATAAAAAAATATTAATCAAATCATAATCATCAATATTAACATTGGTATTAAATATGTATAGATTGGCCATTGCCATCTCTCAAATAAACCAATTCTCTCTTTTTTGTAAGCTATCATAGCTCCATATTCTAAAGCATATTTCATTGGTCCTGTGAAAGTGAATTTTGCAAAATGAGCATGATCCCAAACTTTTTAATGTTTCTAAATTTAATATAAAAATGCCATTGTCAAAAAAAATGTAAATCCATATAACACTTCATCAAATCCAATATCTAAAGCTGCAGTTTCTGCTTATTTAAAATATTTTGCTATTGATCTAGGTCCAAAATAATGTTGACTCTTTTTAGTTTTGTATATAGGATCATCAAAATAACTAAGTTTTATCCACTTTGCTTATTGTACTTCATTTTCAGACAATTTCATTTGATCTGTCTTCTTCTCAGGATCATTGATAGCTATTACAAAAGCACTGCAATATAAAGATTTATTATTTTTCAATTTCTTCATAAAAGCATTCTTAGATAATCTAAATACATAATAACATTCTAATCCATTTAAATTAATTCCTACTTCTTCATGTACTTCTCTTATAGCAGCTTATAAATCAGTTTCATCATTGTCACATTTACCTCCTGGGAAAGCAATTTCACCACTATATTAATCTCTTTTTGAGTTTTATCTTTAAATATAAAGTATTTCAATATCTTCTTATTCTTGAAATTTAGTAGATTAAGGATTATTGATATTCAATTAAGAATATCCTTATTATGGTTTAAATTATCCTCTTAAGAGTATACATACTGCAGATTGAGCAGTAGTTTAAGTATTAGTATATGGTTTATACTATGAAGGTGGAATTAAATTTAGCATATGATAATTATTAATATACAATTTTTTAGCATAAAATAATAATGTCATTAGATTAATATAACATTTTGTATATGTTCTCCAGGTATAACAACACTGCCAACATAATATTTATCTTTCATAAATTGATCATTGAATGCTTTGGCTTCATCAACCTTTTTTTATAATTCTTATTTTGTATCTTCAGTTGCTTTATTGTAATTATTATAAGCTTCTCTAATTGATTCATCATTTGTAAAATATTTGGCTGGAAATTAAGGATTATAATGAAATTCTATATCTAAATCCAATGGTGAAGGATGAGTGGCAACAGAGTGTTAGAGTATGATAGAAAAAGGTGAGGAAATACATGAAAGTACTCCATAGATGACTCTATTATCTGAACAAATGACTTTGACACTTTTATTCAAGTATTAAGATTGATCACTCATTTAATTAATTTAATATTTCAAATGTCACTTATCTTCATCTGATGAGTCTTCATCATTACTACCTTTTCTAACTTTGATCATACCATATCTCAAAAGTCTATAAATATTATTTCTTATATAATTTACATATGTGCCAAAGTACCTGTTTCAAAAGTGTCTTTACCTCCCATTTCTTCAAAACCTACAATTCTATTTTTTAAAACACCATTCACAAATAAACATATTGTAGGTAAAACTTGAATTTGTAATTTACCTACAAAGAAAGGTGCCTTTTCTGCATTCAAACAATAAAATTTGGTTTCAGGATGTCTATCAATAAATATAATAATATTTTACTATTATGATATAGCTAATAGATGTTTGTCCATTATTTTACATCTTTCAAAATCACGATGAAAGAAATGAACAACACTAAATTCAGATTTAGTAACAGATGGTAAGAATTCTTCTTCAACTATTTCTCTATATTCTCCAAATCCTTTATTCTTTTTAAGCATAGCCTCTTATAATTCTTTAGCTCTTTGTTCTCTCATCTTTTTCAACATCTCTTTTAAATCTTCATCATCACAATCATCTTCATCTTCTTCCTCATATTATCTTCTTGCTGCTCTTCTTCTTTCTTCTTCTTATTATTTTGCCTACTATTCTTTCATTTTATCTTTTAAGGCTCTCTCCATTACAGATTCAACCAACATATTACCCATCAATGAATTACTCATTTTATTTAAATTTTAAACTAATGTTAATCAAAACAAAAATTGTATTAATATTTACATAAAAAAATATCTCAATCATTCTTCTTCCTCATCTTTTACTTTATGTTTTTACATATATAATCTAACCAATTATTTGGTTTTTAACAATCTAGTTTATGTAATCTAGATTATAGGTTTCAATGGATTGAATTTCTAATGATGAGATCTATTCAATTATTTAAAAATCTCACCTACACTAACTAGGTGTTCTTGTTCCTATTATTTAACTCATCCTTTTGAATAATCTTTGACCCTTGCTATGATTTGCATTCTCTTGTAAAAAGCGAAGATATGATTCGTGTTCTTCCTAATTCCAATGGCCTGCTTTCTTTTAAATCTTTTTGGAACTCTCCTGCATATCGCTTTAAGATTTTGTTACTTCTGAATCGTTCAATGGCATTACTTTGATATTTAAATAAAATATATATTCCAAGATTTTATTAGTATTCTGAATCATTCAATATCATACATCTGTTTATTCAGATTTTCAAATCTACATTTCTTATCTTCTTCCTCTATCTTCTCTACATATTCCAATTCTCTTCATTTCTTCCTCTTGGCTAATCTCTCCTTTTCAAATAGAATCCTCAGAACTTTTCAAATTTCTAATTAAGAATTTCTTATCATACACATTAACTTTTTATATAATACAATAAACATATAATAGTATTTGTTTTCGGATTATTATCTCATTAATAGGAGATAATCGAAGCTAGAATACTATCTATTTTAATCTTAATTTAAGAGTGAACGTAATTGACATTATTGCCTCAATTATTTATTTATACTCTCAAATTAATTTAATTTATCTTTTTAATATTTAATATAATCCACTTTATATCAATATAAATAATGAAGAATCAATCCTAATTAATCGGTGCTCCATATAATAGTAGTACAATATCATTACTTTGAGATCTAAACAATATTGAACTTTGCCCAAATTTTACAGGATTTTATTATGCTATATAATTTTCCTTAACAACCCAACCCAAGAAACATAACGTAACCGTCTCAATTGTTATGAATAAAATAAATATTGTTATTTTTGTTATTACGAATATATCTTTGTTTATTCTATTCTTAAAATAAAAACAATTTTAGTTAAAATCGAAAAAAAAATAGTAGATTTACACTCCGATATGATAGAGACTCAACAAAAAGATTATGATTACAAAACCTTGATAGATAGTAAGTTAGCACATCTTGGCCCTTAATCTAATTTGCTATTGAAATTGTTTAGCAATTTTTTTTTATTAAATTAGTATTTCTAATAAGGTAATTGCAAAAACTCCTGTATACATGACTAAATCAACATATAAATATTGTAATTTATCATCGTTAAAAAAACATTTTCCATTTATTGATGTTTCTAGTGATACAAAAGTTATCATAGCAATTAAAAAAAAAATCATATTCCTCCTTCTCTTCTTTCTCTTTTCTATATTCTTTGACAAAAACAATAATCTGTCAATTTCATTACTCTCCTCATTGATTTACATATATTTATTTACTAAATAATTTAAATAAATAAAATATTAAATAACAATCCTACAAAAAACTGCTAATTCAGTATCAATTAAACTGGCTTTGAATTTCATTATTTATATTAAAATAATCTTAAATATTCTGTATTTATTCATTAATATTATATTATGAACAATTAATTCCATATATCAATTTAATATAGTATTAAAAGTTCAAATCAATATTTACTCATTCCAATAAGTTTTGAATTTAGTATATTTCATAAGAGATGTATATTTATTCACTGAATCCAAACTTGTACTAAAAACTTTTAATGAATAAAATTCTCTTACTCATAATTATGATATTTTAATTATAACATCTATAGAAGGATACTTAAGGGATAGGTTTTTTTATAAACAGTTATAACTTTTTTAAGTTAAATATGAGTAAAAAAGTAAAATATGTAGGTAATTTTAAAAAAAGTAATTAGAATTTTAATAGTTTAGTGTATAAAATCTAATGCTCTATTTTAAATGGGTATTTAAATAAAATCACTTATGAAGAGGATATTTTAGTTGATTAAAAATGAATTGTATGCATAAGATTCTTGTAATTGTTAAATATCTAATCCATCAATATTAAAAAAAGTATATTTGATATTAATGATAAAATTATATCTATTATTTGAGATGATTATATTTATATTGAGAAATAATAACAAAATTTATACATTCTTCTAAACAATAATTTACTATCATATTAATTAGTATGGTTTAAGAAAATATATTAAATAGAAATATAATTTTATGTTTGTTATTTAGTTTTAATAATTTAATATAATTGTAGTGATTGAAATTCAAGTCATATTTAATAGTTTACATGAAATATGTTTTGGGATAAAGATTAATATTTATAATTTGTATAATGATTTTTATATAGTTAATATAATTATAATGATGAAAAACTTTACTGTTTTCGAGAAATTGGGTGAAGGTACCGTTATTTCAATAAATATCAATTAATTTAGGTTCATTCTCAACAGTGTTAAGAGTAAAGAGGCAATCTGATCAATAAGAATATGCAATGAAAAAAGTGAGAATGGGATAATTAAAGGAGAAAGAGAAAGAGAATTCACTTAATGAGATTCGTATTCTGGCAAGCATTTCACATCCGAATATCATAGGATACAAGGAAGCATTCTATGATGAACAATCTCAAAGTCTATGTATTGTAATGGAGTATGCTGACTAAGGTGATTTGTAATAGATGATCTAATAGCATATTCATTAGAAACAATTTATCTAAGAAATTGAGATATGGAAAATGATTTACTAAGTGGCAATTGGTATTCAGTTAATTTAATTCTTAGCTTTGCGAACGTTACATTAAATGAAAATTTTACATAGAGATTTAAAATCAGCCAATGTATTTCTACATTAAGGTAATTATAAATTGGGAGATATGAATGTATCCAAAGTGGCCAAAAAGGATTTGGTTTATACATAAACAGGAACTCCTTATTATGCAAGTCCTGAAGTATGGAGAGATTAACCTTATGATGCTAAAAGTGATATTTGGAGTTTGGGTTGTGTTGCATATGAAATGGCAGCACTTAAACCACCATTTCGAGCATAAAATATGGAAGGATTATATAAAAAAGTATAAAGAGGATTATATGAACGAATACCATCTAAATTTAGTGGTGAATTAATGACTGTAATTGGATTATGTTTATAAGTACAAAGTAAATAAAGACCTACATGTGCTTAATTACTTAACAATCCTATTTTATTAAGAAATGCTAGATAATATATTATAGAAAGTAGAGTTTCATAATAGACTTAATCTTCTTAAGCTGGTTCAAATATACTCTTATAAACAATAAAATTACCAAAGAATCTAAAACAACTTAAAGAGAAATTACCAAAATCAAAATACTTTATTGAAAGTGTCAATAAATCTTATGATTAAACATAAGCTAATAGTTCATTCCTACCAAAAATTAATAACCCTAAAGAAATTAGACCTAATTGTTCAGTACCACCTATTAAAAGTGATAGATATCAATAATAATAATTACAATAGAATTCCTTACATGAAGAACGATCTAAATCAATTGTCAATTCAGTCCAACTATTAGAAATGGAAAGGATAAGATAAAAAAGATTATTGGAAAAATAACAAAATTTAAAGATCAGTATCATTCATCAAAATGCTATTCCCTATATAAATAGTTCTTCTTCTTAAATCCAAAATTTATATGCTAACAAACAACACAATATGAGAGATGCTCAAAAATAATATGTAGAAGCACCCAAACCAATATGGTGGGGATGATAATGTATTTTAATTATTTTATTGACTCTCAATAATATAAATGATAAATTATATAATCTAAAAGTAGAATTAACTCAATATAAATTACTATATAAAGTTGTTCATTTAATAAATCAATTTCTATTTTTATTTATTTTATGATTAATTTTTTTAATATTATTAATTATGGATTAAGTGTTGTTTTCAAATAAAGATAAAGAACAATTTTTAATACAGAATTTTATAAAGTATACAATTTTATATTTATATATTATATCTATAATAAGGGATAGAATTAAATAGAGATGTTTATTTTAATATAAAATCAAATTAAAAATAAGTATAAAACACAATGATATTAATTATTAAAATAAATGAATGAACAATTTCGAAAGTTTCTATTAAATCAAGAGAAATCTGATGTTCAATAAAAGAAGTCAGATAGTGCACCTTAAATTAGATTAAAAATATAATCTAAAAGGAAAACTAATGTGGATTTGGGTTTAGAAACATTTGTATAAAAGAAAGTAAAATAAGATGAAAAAGAAGATAAGAAACAACCAAATCTTATGGAAAAATTATAGATGAATCCTATCGATTTAGTAAAATCAACTAAATAATATTCTTATGGCAATTATAAAAAATATTATCATCTAAGATTATAACAAAAATGGGAAGATCCTAGATTAACAATTTTAGATAGTATTTATTTTGAAAATAAATCAATTCTTGATATTGGTTGTAATGATGGAACTTTGACTTTATTAATTGCACTTAAGTTTAAAATTTATTAATTTCAAAGGCATTATCCTAAATTGATTAGAGGAATAGATATTGATTATACTTTGATTAATAAAGCAATAGAGTAGATGGTCCATTTGGATGATTAATAAAAGAAAATTTAGAAATAAGAATTCAAACCAATTATTGAGGATTTACCTGTTAGTTTTGATAAATATATGGAATAACCTAGTTAATATTAATTATAATATTAGTGTCTAAAGCAATTGAATAATAATACATTCATTAGACTATAGAAGATATGAATAAATAGAATGAACATAATAATAATAGTATTTTATTTAATTAGATAGCAAAGAACAATATATTTCCACATAATGTTTATTTTCGAGTATAAAACATAATTGGTAATAAAAAGTATGATGAAAAATATGATACAATATTATGTTTATCAATTACTAAATGGATTCATTTGAATTTTGGAGATATAGGAATCAAGAGATTATTTAAGACAATTTCTAATTTTTTGAATGTAGGTGGTCATTTAATTTTGGAACCATAAGAATGGAAGAGTTATAAAAAGAAGAAATATTATAGTTCTGAATTTAAGTAAAATTATAAAGAAATACAATTAAAACCATAAGATTTCTCAAAAGTATTGGAGAAAGAATATAATTTTAAATTAATATAATAGATAAATCCAGATGATGAGAGTGCAATAAAAAAATCTAAAAGTACATTTAGAAGACCAATTTTAATATTTGAAAAGTAGAATGAGATTTGATATAAAATATTTGTAAAATTCATAACATATATATAAAATCATCCTCTATTAACAATTCATTATCATTTTTTGGAGACTATGCTAATTTATCAAAAGCTATATCAATATAAAAATGAATATATACCAATAATGGATAAGTTTTCTTAAAGGATTTCATCTTATTTATCTTCTATAGGTTGAATAGATTTATCATGATTGGATAACTATTTTTAAATCAATAAATCTAAATTAATTTCATTATTTTGATTAATATTATTATAATATTATTATTAGATAAGATCTTCAAGTTTTTAAAGTTCATCTATTTCTTGATCATCATCTTCTAAATATTATTATTACATAAGATTTTCAAAGTAATTTGGATCTTGTATATTATTATTATTATTAATAATAATAATTTCAGACTTAATAAACTTAGTATCTTAGTGATATTATTCTTATTATTCTTATTATTCTTGTTTATCTGGTTATAATTCTTCTTCATTTTTATTAGATTTAAGCATAGATGATGAAAATTAATCCATCATCATTTTTTCAATATCATTAAGATTAATTTTAGGTTTAATTTCCTCTTTTTAATTATTATAATTTTAATTTTAATAATATTGTTAAGCCATAAGTTCTTCTAATTGTTATGATTCACTTAATTATTTATTTTTTACTATAGGTAATCTTTCAATACTTTGATCATTACTCTTTACGAATTCACTAGATCTAATAGTAAGTATTTTTTCTAGACTTCCACTATGCATGATTGATTTATATTATTAACTTGTTTAATTAATTGGAGGTTTATGAACTTAATTCTTATTTCCTTAATCTGGTATACCATTAACTGATATTTTGGCAATTTATGTTGATCCTTCTTTTGGTCTAATCAATCCATTCTCAACCAATGCATTTTTATCTTTATGTATATGATGAATTCCTATTTCCTTAATTTTAGTTTCAATCTGTATCTTTCTTGTTACAACATTACATAGATCATTGTGAGATAGTAACTATGTTTCTTACATATTCTCTGTTCTATTGAAGTCTTGATGAATAGACTTCAATTATTACAGAACTTATTGATATTTACTTTAATCAGGATTGTTACTCCTTCTTATTGAAACTGATAATCCACCATGCATACTAGAACTAGACATATTACTAGTCTATAATTTGAATGATTTTCTATCATCATGTTTTGTATTATAGTATTTTCTAGTTGAAATTACAACAGACTTTAATGGTTCAGTTTCAAGATCTAAGATTCTAATAAAAATTGATACTTCGAAAAGCAGAATGAGTGAGTAACTGATTAGGTGTAGATCGATCTTTTGGATTCAATTTAAAAATCTAATTGAAGATCTATAATATATCCTCTGATTTAGTTATACGTTTGAATTGAAATAATTCTAGTTTATTTTGATATCATAATCATACATCCTTTATTGATAGAGTTTCGTATTTATTCTAAAGTAATATCAGAAGATAAATGATGCCAAGGTGGCATTTTAGTTAGCATTTCTACAAATATACAACCTGCACTCCAAACATCAGAAAATTAAGAATATTCTTATCCATTAAAACATTCAGGAGCACTGTACATAGATAATTTATAATTGTTTAATATGTAGATGTCACTTAATTTAGCATTTGCTTCTCCATCTACTAATACATTTGATGTTTTTAGATTCCTTATTTAAAATCAATAATACCTATGTAATATACCTTAACTATGAAGATATTCTAATCCTTACAATATTTATTTCATAAACATAATAGCAAGTTATGGAGAAAATGAACTAAACTTCTACAATAACCAACTTATTGATCCTCCACTCTCATAAGGCATCAATATTTTAATTTCATTTTAGATTACTTCATTTTAGAATACTGAGTAATCCCAACCTATAATTTGATGTATATTCTTAAATTCTAATCGTTTAAGTATATCTACAATATTAATCACTTTATCAAAATCATCTTCTTAACTTAATTTGAACTATCATTATAGAAATTAATACAATTTTTAATGCTAAAAGTTACCCATTTAAAGTATTCAATGCAGAATATACATTACATCCCTCTTAAATCAATTCACCTTAAATGTAATCATAAACTATGTTCTAGAATTGATTATTACAGATCTTACTTCTTCTTCTTCCTCTTCTTCTTATTCTTCACCTTATTACTCTGGAAAGTCCTCATTGTTAGACTCTCATATTTGAATATGCTATACTTTCATATTCTTATCACTCAAATGTCCCTTATGAGCTACTTTCACTTCCTCATTTTTCTTTTTGTAACACGGTGCTGTACCCATTATAAATTATAATTATATAATAAACTAATTCAAATTATGTATGAATTAAAGGTAAATCAAGATTTGAATTAGATTATTATTATCTTAAGATTATTAATTATCTCAATGAATAATCTAGGAATTTCAAATAATAGGTTTCAATAAAAAGCATTGTAAAAACGATAAAAATCAATTGATGAATCTCATACAAAACAATAGCCTTCCATTAATAACCAAGAATTAATTAACAATCATGAATTTGAAATTACTCCTAATATTATTAAATCTAATGTATAAGTTCCCATCTTTCAAATTCCTAAATTGATGGATAATCTATAAAAAAAAACAATGATTAATATTAAATTATTAATATTATTATTATGGACGAGTCTTAATTCAATTCATTATAGAAAACTATAATAATACCTCCAAGAAAACTACATTAAATCATATTAAGAGAATATTAAAATGAAAATCCCAATTTTTCATAATTTATTAATGAAACATAATTGAATCCCTGCTTTATCAATTGTGAATTAATACCAATATTCATTATTTATGAATCTGATTCAGATCTTTCACATTCATTCTAATTTAAAAAGGATTAACAACTCTTACGATCTTATCCATCCTATTATTAAACTAATCTATATGTCAATAATAACTATACAGAAACTAAGAAATAAATTTTATAAGATAATAAAATTATTTATTGTAAGATCCTTGAAATCAATGTTAATGAAGAATATATAGATTAAGATATAGAATTAATTATCATTGGAACTTATGAATAGTAATATTGTTTTAATGGAATTAAATAGATTTTGAGAAATGAAATTCCTAAAGAATAATATAAATTATTATAATATCAACATACAATCAAAGTCTAAATTAATAATGCATTTGATTTGGAATATAAATATTTTGGTAATACAGTTAAAATGAATATTGTTTTTTAAATTAAATCTCATTGTTAATTGGATGAAATTTAAATGGATTTCCTTTTAAGTGAAAGTCAAATGATATGGAAGGATGTTGGAATTAATAGAGTTGTACCTAAATGTATGTTGTAAAATATATCTATCAATAAATAATATCTTAATAATGAAGAAGGATATATTGAAGTACTATTAGATTGGCCAGCTATGTTATAAAATGAATTATTGTAACCAGATCTTCCATCTAGAAGATTGAGTCTTATATAAGTAAATCCAGTTTTAGAAATTAAAACACCTTTGTATATAAGATGGGGATAAGAAAAGTATACTAAATGTAATACTATTATATGGAAAGTTAAACCAATTTAAACTATTGGAGGTGAAATTAAAGAAGTTGTAAGATATAAAGATTCTTAAAATGAAGAATATTTGGCATTAAAAATAGTTTTAATAAATTATTCAGGAAAAGAACATGAAATTACATTCTGTCCACCTTCTTAAATATTTGGAAAGAAACTTAATCAAAAAAAAGATTAACCATTAGTTGTCTTAGGTATTACATTGTCTACAGAGAAAAATTTAGGAATTTTATAACCAAATTAATTATGTGAAACTATTTTAAGGGTTTAATTAATTAATAATGGAATTTTAAATATGCAAAATATCAATTTAAAGATAGACAATTAATTAACTGAGTTGAGTTTGAATTTTTTATATTCTCATCAATGATATGAGATAATATAGTAATATTTAAATGATATAATATAAAAATAAAGGATTATCTATTTTTAATAATATAATATAATTACTTATAAAAAATAATATATTATAAATTATCTAACTTAATTTCAAAATTAAATGACAGAACTTCTGTTGATAATGAATGTTAGAATAGATGAAGAAAGACAGGGTATAATCAATGTACATTTGGGAGATGATCCTGAAGTATTAGCTAGAGATTTTTGTATTGAATACAATGTGAATTAGAAGTTGGTTCCATTATTGATTGAAAATATCAATAAAAATTTAGAAGTAGCTGAATAATAGAAAATAAATGTAAGAAAAAGAAATTAATGTATAGTCTGGTTTAGAAACAATGTAATATTCAACAGAAACATGTAATTCAAAATTAATGGAAACTCCATTTAATGAACCATTACATCAATTATCAATGAATAATTATTATTCAACAAATTCATCAGTTCATGAGAGACTATATGAAGATGCAAAAAATAAAAGATTAAAATAGAAATTGAATATTTCAGATAGTAGATCAAAGAAAATCAAAATTTAAGAGCCTGAAATAAATTATGGATTATTTTTATATTAAAAGGGATTAAAAAAGAATGAAGAGAAATTATAAAGAGCAGAGAGTGCTAAAAAAGATTTGTAGAATTCATAATTAATTGAATGTACTCATCATCCAAGAATTAATTATGTTTCAAGATAATTAGTATAACGTAAAGGTGAATCTGTGAGTGAACATTTGAATAGATTGGCTTAGGAATAGAAAATAAAAAGAGAAAATGCAAGTCAATAACATTTATAGACAGAAGTATAAAATTGTTCATTCAAACCTTAAATTAATAGAATGTATAGAAAATATAATAATCTAAATAGATCTAGATATATAGTAGAAGAAAGAAATGATAGAGGTAATTAACCATGGTATGAATAATTGTATACAGATTATGATTCAAAGAGATAGAAGTTGGAGTAATTGGAAAAATAGTATTTCTCATCAAATTATACATTTCATCCTAAAATAGATATGATATCAGAAAAGATTGTATAGGGAAGTAGTTTTGAGTAGAGATAAAAGAATAGATCAACATCAAGATAAAATTTATCTGTTTGTGATGATGAGAATTAATTGTTTAAACCTAAGACAGGTAGACCTCCAGAGAAGAGACCAAGAGATTTATTTTAGAATTTGTATAATTAAGCTAAGATTTGGGAGAAGAAACGATAGAATAAGATAGTCTAATTAAATTAATAATAAATTAGTACATCTTAAGTAAGAGCAAGTGAAAAATCAAATTAAATGATATAATCACAAATGTAGATTTAATTAATGAAGATTTTTGATTCTTTAGATAGTGATAAAGATGGATTTATTAATTCTGAAAATTGTGATGTGGGAGATTTAGATGATAATGTTATCAAAATTTTATCTCCATTGCTTTTGGAAATGGAATCTGGAAATCATACTTTAAATAAAAAAGAATTTGTAGAATCTGCTGAAAGATTAGTTGTTACATTATCTCCTTGTGAGAAACATGACTTATTGAAAAAACCAGGTAGAAGAGTAGATGTTCCTTAATATAGTTTTAATGTGTGTAAATATTCTTTAAATAATAGCCATCTCTCAATAAGAGATCTTAAAAAATTGTAGCAGCTAAAAGGAATTGAAGATTTTAATTAATTTATATATTAAATAATATAACTTATGTCAGACGAAGAACCATTCAAAGATGATAATTAAGATTAAGGAGATAATCCTGATGATGACAATTAAGATTATCCTTAAGATTAACCAAATGATTAAGATAATTATGAAGATGGAGATCCTTTTGAGGATGGAGACAATCCAAAAGATGATGATGAGTAAAATATTTATATCTATATATATAAATTAGTATAAAGAATAATGAGATATCTAATGATTTAAAACTTACTATTGATGAATAAGGATTAGATGATAATTAGAAATTAAGAAAATGGAAAGACCTTTTGTCTGAACATGTTTAAAAAGTTTAAAAATTAAGAATGCGAAATAATAATTTAAGAGGTCAACTTAAAAAACTAGGAGACAAAGCAGAAAAATTAGTTTAATCTAATGTTAGAAAATAAAAATTATTAGAATAAAAATTGGACCCAAAACATTATAATCTTGCAGAAAAAAAAATATTATATGAAATTAAGAATGGCAAATCTAAATAGGACTTCGCTAATAAAATAGATCCAAGAATTTGTAAACTAATATATAATATTCTTAAGTGAATTTGCTTATGGATATAGACAAAATGGAACAATCCAATACTTAAATGAGAGAATAAATTAAGGCATTAAAAGATAGAAATAAAAATCTAGAATAAACTGAAGAAGTAAATAAACTTAGTAATGAAATTATACTAATTGAAAAATAAATTGGAGATGAAGATAGATTAAGAAAGAAAATGTAATTAATAATGAAAGAATAAGAAGCTGAACTTAAATAATAATAATTTGATTGTGATTATGAAAGTAGATTAAATAGTCTCAAAGAATAAATTAAAAAATTAAAAGATAATATCAAGGAAGCTTAGAAAGTAGAATTGCATGAAACAAGAAAAGAAGTAGAATTGAATAATTATTTCGCTGAACTTTAAAAAATGTAATACTCTATTTATATTATCATAGATATCGTCAAATATGTAATTAATTAAATAAACCATGTGAGGAGAAATAGCATTTTAAATAAGAAAAATAGAAAGAATAAGATAATACAAATGAACATTAAAAAAAAGCATAAGAATTTGCACAGAAAAGTCAAGAAGAGAATTAAAAGAGATTTCTAAAAATAAAAGAAAGTCAATAATAACCAGAAGAGACAGATGAACTTAATAAGGCATTAAAAGAATTTAAGGAAAATAACGATAAATTTAAATAACTTTAAGAAGAAGTTAAGATATTATAAGAAGAACTTGATAAGAAGGAGAAAGATCAATATAAAGAAAAGAAGAGATTAATTGAAGAATAGGCTAAATTAAGTGAAGATGTATTATAATTAGCAAAATAATTAAAAGAAAAAGAAGTTTAAACCAAATCATCAGTTACAAAATTAAATGATCTATAAAGATAAGTTTAATTGTTAGATAAAAAATAAGTCTAAGAACCTATATAAAGTACATAACAAAAACCAGAATGTATTATGTTTGGAATAGACAAAAAAACAGAAACTTGTTTACCATTTGATGATTCCAAGAATTTAGATTGGACATCAAATATGCCTATTAATTAAATAGTTGTTTGTAAGAATAGTTAGAATAATCTAATCATTGGTTTGGAATTGAAATATGGAGATGCAGAAAATAAAGAAGATAATAAAACTACAAAACATATTGGATTATAAGAAGGTGATATTGGAAAAGAATAGATCAATATTACAGCTGAAGAAAAATTAAGCTATATTTCTGGATTTCATAATTCAGAATAAATAATCTTTTTGAAATTTGAAACAAATAAAAAGAGAGTCATTCAAGTTGGAAATATGAAATATAAAGATAATTACACAAAGGATTTTAGAATAGAAATTAAAGATAGAGAAATTCTTGGGTTTAATGGAATTTTAGATTATACTTCAGGTAAAATATATATATATTTAAATTAGAATCATAAAATCCATCTGAAAGATATTTGGTTGCAATAGGATTAAATCTAAAACATAAAGAATTAGATATTTCAACAAAAAAGAGATTAAAGAAATAGAAGATGTTAGAAGAATAAGAAAAATAAAGAGTTCCAGTTGATTATAGAAAAATAACTTATCCATTTAAAAAGAATCATCCAAAACATTTAGAATTAATCAAATCTTAACCAAAGTTGGATGTTTCTATATATGAAGAAGAAAAAGGTATTTCATATATTATAGTTATTTTAGCTAAATTATTCTAAAAGGAGAAGGAGAGATTTTTATAAGCATAAAGAGCATAATTGGGATTGTTATCTGCTAAATATTTCAGTCCTTCTACTTATAAATAATAAGAATATTTATTGGAAGACTAGAAGGTAATAATAATATCTTAATAAATAATAGAGGAAAGAGAAGAGTGATTAGAGAAAAGAATGGGTTGAACAAAAGAGAGAAGAAAATAAAAATAATTTAACGCTTCCTGTTATAGAAACAAAAACACCAGCAGACTAGGATAAAAAAGGAGCAAAAGCATAAAAAACAGCTAGTCCATAGAAGCAATAGAAATAAGCTTAGAAGGAAGTTCCAAAAAAAGATGATTCTAAAGCTAAAAAAAAATGAATAATTTACAAATTTCAACACCTATTGCTTTACATCGTTCTTCAATTCTGACCTTTGAGCCTGAAAACACTTACTAATCACTAATAGAAGTTCATGTTATCATCTAAGATAGCATAAAACATCTAATGAATTCACTTAATGATGGTCTGAATGTAAGTGATGTATTAAGAAATATGCCATCATATACGTTTACTAAAACGATGGAATTGATTGAATCTATAGTAAAGTAAATTGAGTATGACAAAATCAAATCAGAATTAAATGAAGAGTGTGAACCTTAGAAACCTATATATGATTAATGGAGGAGATAAAATGCTCAATTAATGAAGGAATTCATAAGAAAACCTGATAATAAGATGGAAGAATTAGTTGAAGAATAATTTGAAGAGAAGCCTCCTTCTTGGGAAGAATTTTAACCTGAAATAGTTTAAACATAATAAGAGCCTGAAGGTGATTTATATGATGATCAATTAAGAAGTCAATTATCGTATAGAGAGAGAATGAGAAAAGAATTCGAAGAAAATAAAGCTTAAATAGAAAAGGAAAAATAGGAAGAACGAAGAAAAATTAGAGTTTTAGTAGATGGCTAACCAGATAAAGTAACTTATGATATTGATGGTAAAATAATACTCAAAGCTAAGAGAGTACAATTAGCTCCTGTTAGAAAGATTGAAGGATAATAAATAAAAGAATCAGCTCCTTCTTAAACAGATGAATTGGCAGTTATCAAACCAAAAAGACCTGCATTTCTTAAACCTAAATTAAAAGTATTCAAAGTATAACCAATAAATGAAAATGGAGAAGCTCAAAAGATTATAGCATAATAAGAGAGAAATCATTTACAAGAATTCATGGATGTATTAGAATTAAAACCAGGAGTATTTCTTGAAATTGAACATTATGAAAAAGGATTAAGGAATAAACATACTTAAGCTTAGGATTTACCATATAGAATATAAAATAAGATGGATTAATATTTAGCCTCTGAATAATCATAATCTATTCGTTTATCAAAGGAAGAATATTCAAGTATTACACTTAATAATAGTATTTTGAGAGGATCATATGAATAATCTTATTTAAAAAAGAAATCAGGTATTCGATAAAATTCAACTTAAAAAACTAAATAAAGTGATTATGAGGATACAATACCTAAAAATGGAATTGTGAAAGTAAATGACATTGGAAAATTCTATGATTTATTAATAAAAGACTCAGAAATAATAGAAGAGAATACTCAAACTGAATTTCCACCTATTCTTATGGATAGATAAGAAAGTCTTAGCATATAGGAATTTAAGACTCCTATAAAATCAGAACTTCCATCTATTCCTGCAACATAATTCTATAAATATCTCTCAAAATAATAGCCACCTAGTTTATCAAGGATAGATAATAATAGTGTTACAGGATCTGTGACTTCTAAATTAACTAGGGATAGATCAATGCCTGAAGTTATTAACAATATGAAATTGCATTAATGTTTAGCTGCTCCTAAAATTGGAAAATTCTTAGGATTTGGAGTAAATCAAAAATATAAATTTTGAATATATAATCTTTTATTTTTTAATTTATAATGTTATAATATTCACCATTATTCATCAGTTTAATCCATTTTCTAAAAAAACATTGCCTATTGACGAAGCTTTTAATTAAAATGTAAATCCTTTTAAATTTTCACATAATTTTGAAAGTGTTCCTATTTGGACAAATATTTCACTTCCTTTTAATCTTCTACAAAAATTTATATACAATATATATACTTTTTTAGTAGCTACTTTTCTTTATCTAATCTACTTTCTACTTTACTTTTTATTAATCCCCTTCCTTCAAACTATGAATATTAACTATATCTAAATCTTGGTTTCTATCTCCCTTTATTGAAGTAAGACAAAGTAAATGATACCATATTTTCTTATCAAAACCAAAACCAGGAGGTCTAGTTAATACATGTCCTATTCTGATATCATCCTTAACAATGTTCTAAAGACAACTCTAGCATTTTACTCTATTTGAAAGAGCATAACCAACTTCAATATACTATTTCATTATAAAAATCAAAATCCTTAACACTTAATTAAACCTTTAAATTGATAAAATCATTTCAATATTTTTTCCTTTCAAATTCTATACCAAAAGTAATTTCTCATCAACAGAAATCTCTTCATTTTAATTCAAAAAATTAAATCAAAACTAAAATTTCATATTATTTCTTTTTTATATAAATAGTTTTAGCTGTTATTATAATATACAATTTTTAATAAAAGTTCTTTTTTTTAAATAAATAAACCTTATCATTTATGCAAACTAAGAAATACCTATTTATAAAAGAAAAACGCAAAAATATCATATTTACAAATAAATAAGTATTTCATGTTTTCCTCTTGGTCTTTTAAATAAGTGAGAAGAATATTTAACTATTTATGTTGATTAAATTATTACTTTATTATAAAATAATGTAAATGTAAATGATTCTGAACTGTTAAATTAAACTTATATTGCTTATTCTAAAAATAGAGAAATAAAAATAAAAAAAAGTCACTTTTTAATTAAAACTTAAAGAGTTGATTGATTTTTGGAATCTAAAAGAACATTTATTAATAACATAGAGAAACCTTTAATAATTCAAGAATAATATAAGATTCAAATTACATTTGATTATTTTTATATTAATATTAAAATATTAAATTTTGGGTTGATTCTCTTCTAGTCCTAATATTTGTCATAAATTTATTACCAATCAGTAACAAACCCGTTCTGAATTACATAAATTGCGATTTTAAGAGGTATTATAAAAAATTTATCAGTAAAAGTAATAAATACAGCTGAACCATGACGCACTAAGGGCTGATTTGCTCGAATTTGGATATTTATAAAGATTTTTAAATATTAATATTCAATTAGATGAATCTCATGGAAGAGGGCGAATAGAAACCTTTGAAGGGTGATCAATATAATAAATTGCCTTAAAAAAAGGAACTTAGGCCCCGTTCTAATATAGTCCCAGGCATATTCTAAGAATATAAGAGAACATACATAAAAGTACCTCCTGTTTCTAAGGATTAACTGTCTAGACTTGTACTCAAGGAAGGGTTTAAAATTAAAGAAGTATGATACTGAATATTGAATTTAATAGGCTGCAAAGAAACTTTAAATCAAGTATGCCACAGCTAAAACTATTATATTCCATCTTAGAGAGGAAAAGAAATAAATTATTTAGGTTGGATCGAAGATGTGCTCATACACTGAACTACAATAAGGTAAGATTTCAAAGCTAAGAATTATTTCAACAGCCTCAAATGATATAATTTCAAATGTTGAGTATCAATTAGTACCCCAAAATACTTCACAAATCCATTGAAAAATCTATTTATATACGATTCCTATGTTGAATAAATAATTTGAAAACACAATTTAAAAATTCAATTATATTTCTAAAAACATAAAACTAAAATCAATAGATCAATTCTTCTCATTTTTTTTACTTTCTAACTTTTGGACTAATACACTTATCCAAGTTTTATTACTTTCTATTAATTTTCTATCAAAATCTCTGAATCCTGTTATAAATTCCGAATTTAAAGAATATCAATTACTTTTATTAAATACCATAATAACTTCACAAATAATTCCTTGACATATATAACGATCCTAAGCTATATTCCAATTAATTTATAAATAGAACATATAGTTTTATCTCATAAAATGAATACTTTTCATTAAGACCAACAAAGAAATAAAATTTTGAGTTCTAAAAAAGATTCTCAATAAAAATCCTTTTTGTAATATAATACTTTTACATCTTGGGTTTATATTGTCAAAAATGCAAGTTATCAATTGTACCCTTATTGATATGAATCTCTTCTTAAATTCATAATAGCAATTCTATTTATAGATAATATTATGTGATCATTAAATTATTAATAGAACAAAGAAAAATTAGTCTTTTTACAAAATTAATATCAGTCTTCTTCTTCTAACAATATAATACTAATATCCTGTTTTTTTATTTCTCTAAAATATTTTTAAACTAATTTGTTGTTCTCCAAATATAATTATCGACTGTGAAGCAATTTTCTAATTTTAGATCTAATCTAACATTCTTATTTATCAATATTGTTCTGCCTAAATAATAATTATTATAGTATGCTGATGCTAAAGAATATATAAACAAACAGCAAAGAGTCTCTCAGTCGAAACTATTAGAATGTGGAGAATATGATTATTACATTATTTTAAATTCTCATTACTTTTTATGAAAACCTTATTGCAGAAGAAAAATAGAGAAAACTTTGGCAATTATAATGTCAAATACCAACTAAGTACAACTGAGCTAATTTATAAAATTATTGAAGTTTAATTAAGAAGTTTAATGATATAATTAACCTAAATAAATTAATTCATTATTTTTAGGCTTCCTCTCTTTAATTCAACAATATTGTAATAAAATAGGAGAAGAAAATAATTGTTGATATAAGAAAAGCCCAAAAATGCAATAGATTCTCACCTCCTATACATTTTCCTGTCCAAGGGCAATGATGATCATAATTTGTAATACAAACTCTACAAAATGGACAATGATCAGAGCGAGCAGGTTAAATTTTTTAGCATTTTTCACAATACCATACATTTCTTTATTATGGTTTATTGGGTAATGAGTACAACTATCCTTGATATTAATAATTCAAAGTTGAGTCATTTGCAATTCCTGGATTTGCTAATCCAACACCCAAATAAAATATTGATTATACAATTGTTATAATTATTCCAAAAGTTATATCATGACCCTAAGTTATTTATTGTCTCATCATTATATAGGCAAATATATTGAATCCAATCAATGTACCAGCAAATAAAGGCCCTATTTTAATAACAATATAATTTACAATGAGGCCCTAAAAATATCGTTTTAGCTATTATCACATATTCCCCAAATGTATGGTTATCATTAAGTGGTCTTGGTTTACACTCAGGAGACATATCCATTGATCCATAGTTCTCAGCACTTTCCGACTTTATTAATATATGCTCCATCTAATCTATGAGAATTTTCAATAAATAATAATTTTAAGTGATAATATAATATAATTATATTATAATTTAAAAATAAATAAGAAATAAAAGTAATTTGATATCAAGGCTTAATCATTCAAAAATAAAGAATATAATATTATTTTAATGAATTTATCATAATATTCATGAATAAATATAATAGAAATTTAGAGTTTTTTCAAAGTTTATATTCCAATAAAATTCCTTCAATTTAGATACCATATTTAGAGATTTAAGCATCAGATTATTCAATTTATAAATGCATCATGATATAAATTAGAAAATTATATTTATTTTAATTCCATCAAGTCTAATGTTTAATTGAAAACAATTCAATAATTTTTATTTGATTTGATAATGGATTTACATAAGAATTATATGTATTGAAACATATAATAATTTATTTATCAAAATTAAAACAGAAACAAATAAATATTTTATTTTATATTCATATTTAATTCTACATAAGATACAATTCAATTTTCGATTGAGTAACTATTCTAATTGATTCAAAACTGTAATAAAATTTAATTCATAAAAGTTATAAGTTACGAAAATTAGAGNATAATTGTTGATATAAGAAAAGCCCAAAAATGCAATAGATTCTCACCTCCTATACATTTTCCTGTCCAAGGGCAATGATGATCATAATTTGTAATACAAACTCTACAAAATGGACAATGATCAGAGCGAGCAGGTTAAATTTTTTAGCATTTTTCACAATACCATACATTTCTTTATTATGGTTTATTGGGTAATGAGTACAACTATCCTTGATATTAATAATTCAAAGTTGAGTCATTTGCAATTCCTGGATTTGCTAATCCAACACCCAAATAAAATATTGATTATACAATTGTTATAATTATTCCAAAAGTTATATCATGACCCTAAGTTATTTATTGTCTCATCATTATATAGGCAAATATATTGAATCCAATCAATGTACCAGCAAATAAAGGCCCTATTTTAATAACAATATAATTTACAATGAGGCCCTAAAAATATCGTTTTAGCTATTATCACATATTCCCCAAATGTATGGTTATCATTAAGTGGTCTTGGTTTACACTCAGGAGACATATCCATTGATCCATAGTTCTCAGCACTTTCCGACTTTATTAATATATGCTCCATCTAATCTATGAGAATTTTCAATAAATAATAATTTTAAGTGATAATATAATATAATTATATTATAATTTAAAAATAAATAAGAAATAAAAGTAATTTGATATCAAGGCTTAATCATTCAAAAATAAAGAATATAATATTATTTTAATGAATTTATCATAATATTCATGAATAAATATAATAGAAATTTAGAGTTTTTTCAAAGTTTATATTCCAATAAAATTCCTTCAATTTAGATACCATATTTAGAGATTTAAGCATCAGATTATTCAATTTATAAATGCATCATGATATAAATTAGAAAATTATATTTATTTTAATTCCATCAAGTCTAATGTTTAATTGAAAACAATTCAATAATTTTTATTTGATTTGATAATGGATTTACATAAGAATTATATGTATTGAAACATATAATAATTTATTTATCAAAATTAAAACAGAAACAAATAAATATTTTATTTTATATTCATATTTAATTCTACATAAGATACAATTCAATTTTCGATTGAGTAACTATTCTAATTGATTCAAAACTGTAATAAAATTTAATTCATAAAAGTTATAAGTTACGAAAATTAGAGTATGATTTAAATTTCAATTTTTAAGTATATATACAAAACTATTGATTACTTCTGCAATGTAATCAAAGAATAAAATAATTAAAACATTGTGAATTGAAATTAACAGTTAAATTAAAGTTTGTTAGTACAATTTCCAACATTTTAATCATAATAAATCTAATTATGTCAGTGATATTAAAGTTGCAACTCATAAAGATATTAATAGTTAGATCCTATTACAATTTATTTTCCCTAAGGAAAAACTTATATAAAACTGTTTATAAAGTTTTCAAACATCATTAATTGGATCCAATTTTATACAATATCAAATTTATTAAAAAGTTTATAAATTCTTTGCAGAAAACTCAAGAAAATTGGCTTTAAAATTCAAGTACTTTTTTTTTATTTGGTAAACAATTGATGGTAAGTTTATTAAAACTCTTTAAATAATTTTAAATCAAAATTTTTTAAATGATAAATAGAAATTGTGAAGCCAAACACATGGAATGACTAAAGCCTTTTTAAATTAAAAAAAAATTAAATTTAACAATATTTTGTTTATTTCATTACTGATAATCCAATATCTTTTGGTTTGTTTAAGCTTTAGGATAATTTATATAGTTAATATAATTTATAGACTGATTAATTACAAATTAAAATGTATTTTTTAATTACTTTTATACAAGTAAAGTAGTTTAATAAAACTAATCAAATTTATGTAAATATTATTTAATAGAATATCATTAATGTTGTATGTTTTGTAATAAATAATCTACAAATCTATCTCCTTCAACATTAAGTATATCAATATATTATTTGGTAGCTAACATATCATTTTCATCCTTATGAACAAAGAATAACAATTCCTTAATGTAAATAACACGGTCAAAGTAATTAGTATCTAAATAAGATTAATAATTTTTTATACTTTCTTCTTCTGGTATTCTCTCATAATCATCAAACCAAGCTGGAGTATTAACAAAAGTATCCTTGTTTACCAAAGGTTGACCTAATTTACTTGAATATTATTTTAGCTCATCTTCTTTTGGAGTAGGAGATGAAAGGAGAATTAAATATGTACAGATTTATCTTACATTAACATACCTAAAATTTAGAATTTTATAATTACCCATTTTAATCAAGAATTAATAATGCCTGCATCCATTAGGATGGAGAGTATTTCAATACACCATAAGAAGATCTTGCTAAAAGCAAAGCCAATTATTTAATTTCGATTAGTAAATGTGTACTTGTAATAGCTCTCAAGTCTTCTATTAAATAATAGAGTTGAGAAATAGAATATCTTTCTTTTGATAATGGTTCTCTTGCAGTCAAAGGAGGAGGGATTGGTGTTAAGAAATTTAATACTTCATGACTAATAATAACATCAACAAATTATAATTAAAGTTCCTTTTAGATTCTTTCCACTCTTTCAATATAACCTCTAAATAAACCAGAGATAGCATCTAATGCTTTAATTTCTGTTTAATGAGTGTAATAGATCCATTCATCTATTTTGAGGTATAATTGATCAGCAGCCTATCTATATGATCTAATTTATTATTGTGCATATCTTTTGATAGCATCTACTCTATCTTTAAATATTTATTTTTCTAAATTGATAGCATTAACACCATCTGGATTTTGTAGTTCTTTTTTAACAATCTCTTCTTCTTTTCCTTTCTTTCCTTTTTTTTCATCCTTTTTAGCAGGTTATTTACCTCCCTTTTTTGTTTTATCTTCTATAATTTCTTCTTCTCCTGCAAATATTCTTAAAGTATCAGAAATCAATTTTTCTAATCTTACATTAGGATCATCTCCATCTTGTAATTACAATTCTCCAACACTAGGTTAAATATCTTATAATTCTATCGCCTCTTATGTTCCATAATAATCATTAAGTAATTAAACTGAATTTTATGCTCTGTCTAATTCTGTAGCCAATAATTATTTCACTTATAACAAAAAGAGATCAATTTCATTTTCAATAAATTAAGAGTTTTATATTTATTATTTTTCTACTAATAAATCATCTTTTTTCTAATCTATTATATCAATTAATTGATCATATAAATCATCTACTCTTTAGTGCAATTCTTCTTTACAAACATCTTCTTCACATAAATCTGGATTCTCTTGTACAAATTAATTATATTATTCCTAGAAATTTCTCACATGATAAAACTTCTCATCTGGAGTATTGATTAGATCTATAAATTTTCTTTGAATATCCATCATATAATTTGTAATAAATTCTCTTTATTCTCTAAAACCTTTGAAAATATTTTGAACAGAAATGTATTTACTTTCTATTTAATTCCAAAATGAATGTAGATATTAAAGAAATTATTAACTTGGTTACTTTTAAGGCAAAGTGTCTAATTATACTTATTTTAATTAGCACTTTTTATCTAATTCAGCTTACTCTTATTATTACTTAATCAATTCCTCTTATTCCAATAGATCATTCTATTATTTATCAAATTTCTATTATATTTTGTTAATTTGGATTTATAGAAAGTTTTAAAATATTTTATCAACATCATAAAACACTCTTTCATAATTATTCGAGGCATCTACACTAATAAATGCATTTTAAGCATTTGAATTATCAGCAGATTAAAAATTATTATACCAATTTTATATTCCTTCTATCTATGTCATAAAATACGCATTTTTATCTGAGATAAGTTATTATAAATTGTCTACTTCATATAATGGTTTAGTTCTCTCAATTAATGGAGCATTATCAACTGGAGGAGTGTTGGAATCCAAATGATATAATGAATGATTATGATTATCATACCTTCTACCTATGGCTCTCCTTAAACATTGCTCATTTGATGGCATTTCTAAATAAACACAAACTCCCACTCCACTTTCCAATTTTTTACGTGGAATAACTGCATAATCAATAGGTTTCACAACTCTAGCAGCATCTTAAAGTCTTGTTTGTAATGGAGTGAGTTCATCTTATGGTTCAATTGCTGTTAAATATTTTTCCAATAACTTTGCTTATTCATAATTATGTGGAAATCCTACTAAAAGCCAACCTTTACAATATGGTTTATTATTAATCATATTATTTCTATGAAAATCTTCCCAATTTATACCATCATCATTAAATTCATCAATAGCTCTACTTTACCTAGGATTAAATGATTAATATTTGGCTTTGTATTCTTCATAAATTTCTTCAAATTCTTATTTGTCAAATAACCTTTTAATTTTTTATACGATTGCTTTTATATAAAGTTCTTCAGGTATATCTTCTCCTTAACAAAGATACTCTGATATTTGTTATCCTAATTCAATTTATTATTAATCCCAAATTTAAGAATGTTCTTCTCCTTATTAATATTTCTTTATATATTCTAGTAATTCATTAATAATAACATCTATTGACAATACCTAAATACCATATTTTTTAGCAAGTAATTCACTTATTGTTTTCTTACCACTAAATGAGAATCCAATTAAACTTCCTCTAAAAGGAACATAAGGAATATCAGTAGATTGTATTTCTGGTGTAGAATTTTAGAATTAACTCTCTATAAGATATCTAACTAAGTTTCCTAAAGTATAATTATTTTAAGCTTAATAGAGATCCCAAGCACCAGTACCTTCTAGATAATCTTACATTTCCATTTTAGCAAGAAACATCTTTTGTTTATAATTTAGATTTTCTTATTTTTTCATTTCTTTAATAGGATCATAAGTTCTAAATCTTTTGTAAGGAATGAGTTCCATACCTTATTTAAATAGATGATGATTTTCTCTTGTAAATTATTTATTAAATTCATTTGAATCATTATTTTATAAATGTTCATAAAGTTATTCTTCAATTTCAAAAAGAATTTCAACTAATTTTTTACATTTTTCATAATTTGATTATCTAATATGTAATTTATATTCAACATTAATTTCTAATTATCTTTTTTATTATAATTCAATTTCTTCATTAAATTCTTATTATAATGCTCTTAACATTTCTTCTTCTTTGAATTTTTAATTAATAACATTAAGTTCTTATTTATTTCTATAATTTTCATCTCTTAATTATCTATTTTCAAATATTACCTCTTTACATTAATATGCTCTCCATATTTCATACATAATTTCTTTTTCTTATTTACTTTATTATTTAAGTTTTTCTAATACAGTAAATTCTCTTCTTTATAATTCATCTGTTTATTTTTCTTAATCAACAATCATTTTTCTTCTTCTTTTATCTCTTTCTTTTCTTAAAAATTCACTCATCATTTTATTTCTTAATCCTAAAGAGACAGGTTCTTGAGTTGTTCTAGTTTCAAATTATTCAATTTAATCCTCCATTTCACTTCTCATAACTTATTATGTTTAAATCAATCTATCTTCAGTTATTTTTTACATAGTAGATTTGAATTTATCATCAGCTACTTTATTTTTATGTCTAATTTATTAATTTTTTTTCCAATTTTCAATTCCTTTTTAATTCCAATCTTCCATAAATGCCATATTTCTTTGTAATTTATTCAATTAAATTTTACGCATTTCTTCTTTTAAATTTCTTTCTTCAGTTTCTTCTTTTATTTTCAATCTACGTTCTTTTTCTGCTTATTAAATGGCAAAAGATGTAAATTTTCCTAAATGTTTATCTAAATTAACATCCTTTTATGCTTTATTTTTTTCATTTAGTTTAGATACAAAGAACTCTTATTCCATTTTATCAAATTACTCTTTTGGTTATCTTATAACCATTAATGGTTATATTACATTATATTTACCAGTTTTTGCATGCATCATTACATCATGAGGATCATTTACTTTTTACAATTACTATGATTATGATTAGTATACATACCATTTGTAATTGATAAAGCATTTACATAGCAACACCTTTTTTTCCTTTAATTACTTGATCAGCAATTTGAAAATTAAATGGAATATGTAAAGTTTTAAATGTTGGTTCCAATAAAGTGAAATTTTTCATCTTAGCTTCTCTTACATCTCTAAATTTAGAAAATTATAATTACTTATTAGAGAATTCTTCAAAATTCAGTTGTTGATTGAACTTACTCAGTAACTCTCCAAATAGATACCCATTATTAAAATCCTTTTCAAATGATGTCACCTTCCTACTCAACTACACTTCATCATTCAACCACACCATTAGAAGTTACGACATTTTATATATAAATATATTATATTCATATTTTAATCGCTCCTTTCTATATCAAAAGCGGTTCCAAAGAATCAGTTCTTGATTATATTTTTGAATTCTTTAAAATGCAATCCCTAGCTTAAATGAGAGGACACATTGAAAAAGTCTTATAACAATCAAACTTCTAATTATCTATTATTTTGTATAAATGAATAGAACCATCATAGCAACCTGCTGCAAAGATTTATCCATTAGGGCAAATATCAATACATTTTACTTAATCAGAAGTTTATAGACTAGCTAATTATTTTTAAGTCATCATATCCCAAACTCCTATACTTATATCATCACTACCAGATATAAGCATTTTACAGTCTGGAGTTACTGCAATTGAAGTTATTGTATTTTGATGACCTGATATTACAGAAATCTCTTTCTATTCTTCTAAATTATAATATTTAATAGTATGATCACTGCTACCTGATATTAAAATATCTTTTATTAACTTTAATGAATTTACTTAACCTTTATGAATTTTTATTTCAAGTTCTTTCTTTCCTTTTTCTACATTTAAAACAAAAATTTTATTATCTGCACCTCCTGATATTAAATTATTATAAGATTACTAAAAATTTAGAAANTAACATCCTTTTATGCTTTATTTTTTTCATTTAGTTTAGATACAAAGAACTCTTATTCCATTTTATCAAATTACTCTTTTGGTTATCTTATAACCATTAATGGTTATATTACATTATATTTACCAGTTTTTGCATGCATCATTACATCATGAGGATCATTTACTTTTTACAATTACTATGATTATGATTAGTATACATACCATTTGTAATTGATAAAGCATTTACATAGCAACACCTTTTTTTCCTTTAATTACTTGATCAGCAATTTGAAAATTAAATGGAATATGTAAAGTTTTAAATGTTGGTTCCAATAAAGTGAAATTTTTCATCTTAGCTTCTCTTACATCTCTAAATTTAGAAAATTATAATTACTTATTAGAGAATTCTTCAAAATTCAGTTGTTGATTGAACTTACTCAGTAACTCTCCAAATAGATACCCATTATTAAAATCCTTTTCAAATGATGTCACCTTCCTACTCAACTACACTTCATCATTCAACCACACCATTAGAAGTTACGACATTTTATATATAAATATATTATATTCATATTTTAATCGCTCCTTTCTATATCAAAAGCGGTTCCAAAGAATCAGTTCTTGATTATATTTTTGAATTCTTTAAAATGCAATCCCTAGCTTAAATGAGAGGACACATTGAAAAAGTCTTATAACAATCAAACTTCTAATTATCTATTATTTTGTATAAATGAATAGAACCATCATAGCAACCTGCTGCAAAGATTTATCCATTAGGGCAAATATCAATACATTTTACTTAATCAGAAGTTTATAGACTAGCTAATTATTTTTAAGTCATCATATCCCAAACTCCTATACTTATATCATCACTACCAGATATAAGCATTTTACAGTCTGGAGTTACTGCAATTGAAGTTATTGTATTTTGATGACCTGATATTACAGAAATCTCTTTCTATTCTTCTAAATTATAATATTTAATAGTATGATCACTGCTACCTGATATTAAAATATCTTTTATTAACTTTAATGAATTTACTTAACCTTTATGAATTTTTATTTCAAGTTCTTTCTTTCCTTTTTCTACATTTAAAACAAAAATTTTATTATCTGCACCTCCTGATATTAAATTATTATAAGATTACTAAAAATTTAGAAATTTATTGCATTTTTAATTATTCTTATATTTAATATCTCTATACCATTCTACATAAATTATAAACAATTAATTGTATGAGAATGGACATCAAATTCTTAAATTTAAGAATAATCTTTTAGATTCCATATCTTTATAATATAGGAGAAACCTCCAGAACCAGAAGCTAATACTTAACCATCATTAGAAAAAGCTAAAGATTAAATAGAATCACACTCAGTTTTAATTACATGTAATTGTTTCTAAAATTAAGGATCCCAAATTCGAATAGTTTGGTCATCTCCACCAGATACTAAAATCATTTTAATTGGTGAAAATAGAACACACCAAATCATTTCAGTATGACCTTCAAATCTACAAATTAAAGTGCCTTCTTAAACATTCCATAATAGAACATAGCAATCTCTACTTCCAGATGCTAACATTTAACCATCAGGAGAAAAACTAAGTGATGACACATAATTTAAATGACCATCTAAAATATAATCTTATTTTGTTGCAGTAACATTCCATTATCTAATTATTTTATCTTAACTTCCAGAATACAAAATCATCCCATCTGGAGAAAATACTAAAGAAGTTATAAAATGTGAATGTCCTTACAAATATCCTACTTATTTGAATGTTTTCACATCCCATAATCTAACTGATTAATCATCAGAACCTGATGCTAGTATTTATCCATTACTTGTAAAACCTAAACTATTTACATTGCTTCTATGTCCTTCTAATATACATAATTATCTCAATTCTATAATATCCCATATCACTATTCTTCCATCCTTATATCCAGAACTTAAAAATTACCCATCTTTATGTAAAGATATAGATAGTACTTCACTCTCATTTTACAAAATTTAACATTAACATCTATTAACTATATCCCAAATGATAATTTTTTTGTCTTATCCACTTGAAATCAATCTTTTACTATTATCAAATAATTATAATGATGTTATTGTTTCAGAATGTCCTTTCAATATAGTTAAAATCTATTTAGATTTAACATTCCATATTCTTATAGTATTGTCGTTGCTTCCAGATATAAGTAAACTTGAATCTTAAGAAAAATTTACACATGTTACACTATCTTCATGTCCTTCTAAGACTTCAATTTACTTTCCAGTTTTAACTGACCATAATCTGATTGTTTTATCATTACTTCCAGATGCCAAAATAAAATTATCATGTGATATACAAACTTATCTAACCATATTAGTATGTCCTTCTAATATTTAAATTTATTAACAAGTCTTAACATTCCATAAAATTATTAAATTATCTTCTCCTCCTGAAATTAAAATTGATCCATCTGATGATATTGTTATAGATCTAATGTAATCTTTATGTCCTTAGAAATATGGTTTTTCTTTACATATGATATTTTTCCACTCCACATTACTTAAATTTGCTTTATTAAAATTACATGAATCTATAGACACATTATTAAATTTAGTATTTTACATATTACAATTATAAAATGTTAATCCATATAATTTAGTATCAGATATATTAATATTATTGATATCTTGATTATTCATATTAAAATTTAAATAGCTCAATAAATAAATAAAATTTGATGAAATTCTTTCAAGTTTAGGATATATTCCAGATAATTTCACTATAGATAATAATTTCAATTTTAACTAATCTATTTTTAATATTTCACTTTTTAGTATGTTTAAACAACCTAAAAAATGTTCTAATGTTATATTAAATGAATACTAGTTAAATAAACTAGATTCGATTTTCTCAATATAATCTTAATTAAAGTTTCTCTATAAAATTATCATATCTTAATCCATTTATATACTTTAAATAAATTCTTATATGTATTTAGCAACATAAAATTCTTATATTGAAGTATGACTAAATGAGTAATTACTACCATTTTATATTATTAACATAGAATTTCTTATTAATGTTTTATATTCCTTCTCTCCATAGGAATCATTAAAGTATTGATCTTGCCATTCCTCTTAAAATTAGGAAAAATGTTATGCTTTTCTAATTTTAAGTTCTCCTTTAATTTTATATTCAATAGATGTTACTTAATTTTTAGTCATGTCAAGTGCTAAGGATTATGAAAATTCCTATAAATCTACTTTAACTGTTTCATAATTATATATTTTTCCCATTTTCTTCCATTTATTTATTTATTAATCATGATAATAACTTATAAATGATTCATAAAATTAATATGATGTAAATTTCTTTTATTTTAAAGATTCATAAACAATTTCTGCATCATATTCAATATTAAATATTTCGTTCATTATCTTTAATTATTTTCCATCAATCAATTCTAAAGTATTTGATTCAGAATACAAATTAAAGAAGTTTTAATTATCTAAGTTCATTATAATCTTCATTCCAATATCTTTTATATCCTTAAGATTAAATTCTTATTAAATTATTTCATTTTTTAGTCTCATAAACATTAATTCTGATTCAATTAGATTCTTTTTAATATTAATAAAATTTTATAAAAATTATTCTTTTAATGTTGAAATCTCTTAATTTAATTTTGTTAAATTTGGTAATACTTAGACAACTACATTCAGCATAAAAGGTGTGTTGAATATAATTTAGAGATTAGAATTATGAATCACATTTTAATATTTATTAATGCTCCAGATATTAAAAAGATTTTATTATAATTATTAAATGTGATTATCATTTATAGATTTAAATAAATTTTTGCATTTCAAAAATTTAATTAAATACTTTATTTCATTATTACTTAATAATTGATTAGAACGAGTATTTTAAAAATTTGTTTCTTAAACTAAAAATTCATAAAGTGAATTCCAAACTTATAATAATTCCTTTACATTAAACTATTTTTTCTATAAGAATATTAATGTCTCATAAATATTTATAATTTATCTTTTAATGCAACATACACAATATTATTTTATATAATCTTAACTTTAATCTTCATTAAAACTTAATAACATTATTTCTTTCATCTTTTCTAAACTACTTCCACAAAACCATGTTTAATATCCCATAATTGTTAATAATTCCTTTCTTGTTGTAATAATAACTTTAAAATTTGAACCTATAATATCTTATCCAAATTCAGTTATAAATTTATTTGTATGAAATAAATTAGATTAAATATATTCAGATCTCATTTCATCATAACTATCTAAAATTAAAACCACTTTCAATTTCTTCTTTTTAATTGCTTATTTAAATTCTTAAATTTATATCTTATCAAATTAATAATAATCTTTCTCTAAACCTTAATCTATAATGTTAAACAAAGGATGTTTTATAGTTGGTAATGAAATATATAATGGAATCCATTATTAATTATTATTATGATTTTTCCACAATTCAACTTCAATTCTTTCAGATGCTTTGCTTTTACCTGATCCAGCCTTTCCTGTTATTAACATTACATCACACAATTAATCTTAATTATAAAGAAAATGATCAATTTCTATTTATAATTCAGATACTTTTTAATCTTGTCCTGTAATAGGATCTATTATCATTGTATTCAATGGAATATAAACTTCATTTAATTCTTAAAGTTCTCTAGCCAACAATACTCTTTACTTTCTTATTTCTAATAATTCCTCATATCTCTTACCCGTCAATCTACTCAAATCTATACTTAATTAATTTATTGAATTTTCAATATTTTGAATTTTTTCTTTTATAAAATGTAATTATTTCTAGATTTCCTTTAAAAAAGCAAAATTTAGGTCCATCTTAGAAGACATTTCATTTATACCTTCAACATATTCTTCTAATTCTTAATTAATAATTATCAATTTTTTTTATAATTAATCTTTCTTTTTCATATCTATTTCCATCTACATTTCTTATTCAATCATATTAATTAAGTCAAATTTTTGTTGAATTGTTTATTTTAAGGTTTCAGAAATTGTATTTATATCTTTAGAAAACAATCTCCTTTATAATTCTATCATTTCTTTATTTTTAAGAACTCTTTTAACACGTTCATCTTTTTCATGAATCCAAAGTTAAGATATTATGTTTTAACTAAATTTATTTATAGGTTCTTCTTAAATTATTTATTAAATCTTAATAATGTTGAAAGCCAAACATTCCCTTATTTTATAATCTGATGATCCTGATTCATTATTATTCTTTTCCTTATTATTCATTTATTATATTTATTATTAAGATTACCATATAAAGGGATCTAATTCAATTTCAACTTCAAATGATTAATCAATATGATCATCAAAATTATAAATAAAATCAATCACATTTTAAATTATATCATTTTTAATTGATTATTCATTCATTATGAATAATATCTCTTTTTAATTTTTTATTTCATCTAAATCTTTATTAAATTTCATATAATATTTTATTTTAAATGTTTATATAACTTCTTTTTATATCTGATTAATTTAAATATTTTAATCATCTATTTTTTATGAATTTAATAAAAATTAATTTATTTCATTTAAATTTTACAATAATTCTTAAAAATCAAATAGTTTTTATTAAAAATAACTTTTTAAAATTTTAAGTTGATTTAAGTTTGTTTATTATAATTTTGAAGTATTATCTTAATTATTTTTTGTTTACTATTAATTATCAAAGGATTTAATTTAATCTTAATACAATTTTTTTAATTTCTATTCACTTTGATCTACATTTAATGGTTAAAGTTGGATTTATAGTAAGATAGATTAAATGTCTATAAAAAAACGCATTTAATCTTTTTTAATTTCATTTATAGGCATTATATTATTTAATGAATCAAAATCAGCATTAATTTACTTTATCAAAGAATTCAATGTCTCTTTATTTAATTGTGATACATTTTTATATTCTTAAAATAACTCATCTAAACAATGTTCTTATCTTATAAGAACTTCTTTATATTATTATGATATATTCACTTTTTTTATATCTTCTTGATTTAAATTAAGTGTAGATTTAAATGCTAATTCTACTTTACAGATTTAATATTCATAAATTTTAATTTAAGATATTATACCATTTATCAAATATTGAAGATTATAATTAAGTTTAATCTAATCAATAAGTAAAATCTCGTTTTGATTCTATTGGATTTTATCAAATATCAATAATGATTGTTTAAGATAATTATTCAAAAAATCTCTCGATATTAATTTATTGATCAGACTAAATAATTAATTAATAATAATTTAACAATCTCCCTATTAATTAGATTTAAAAGGAATTAATTAATTTGATTATTCAATAAATAATCTTAAATTATTAATAATTTAAGATGAATATTCTATATATTTTATGATTGAATTGTTAAATTTTGTAGTATTAAACTATTATGTTGGTTTTACATGAATATATGAAGTATTTTTGAAATTAATATAGTGATTACTTATTACTTCATTTTGATGAATCATAATTGATTATATATCATATATAAGTTAATAATAGACTTCTCCAAAATTATCTAAAATAATTTGCATTTAATTCATAATGATATTGTTTTTATCAACTGGAATTTTAGTCAAATCTAAATTAGATATAGTTAATTAGCAAGCATTAGCTAATGTTAATAACTGAGAATAACTTTCAAATATAAGAAATATCAAACTTTAAGCATTTGATTCATATTAAGAAACAATAGATATACAATGATCTTATTGTAATTAAATGTTATTTTTTGTTTATCCATTATTTTCAATCAAAATGTTAAAATTTTATTAGAATTCTTAAAATAAAATATTAAGATCTGAAGTAATTTTCTAAATAATTATCAATGTATTTTAACATTTTTCAACATTTAGATTACTTAGAAATGTATGAAAATGTCTATTGTTATTTTTTTAATTAAAAGTAAATTAACAATAAGATTCATAGATAGTTTAATTTTAAAATGCTTTTTCTTCTAATAAATACTTTTAAAATTATTTAATTTTATTAAAACCTAAAAGTTAGAATTAATTTTCAAATTATTTTAAGATAGCATCTGATTAATAATCATTAAATAAATTAATTTTAGCTTCATTTCTATTATATGAGAGTAGAGTTAATAATTTTGCATGTACTAATTTATTCCAATTTAATTATTATTAGATTGAATCTTAAGTTTAAAAGAAATCAAATTTATTAATAATTGGACGATAAGTAAGTAAATCTGTAATAAGTTTTAACCAACAAAAGTGGATTAACCAATCTTTGGAATTAGCTATATATTTATTATATCCATCCATCAATTAATTTAATTAACTTTTAACAGAGAATTATTACTATTTCAATTAATTAATAATCAACCATTTTAAGGATTCAAAAAAGTAATATATTTCGTATAATTATATAGTATTTTCAATTTTCTTATGTAAAGCAGTTAATATATATTTTGCCCCTTCAATTAATGAATAAATTAAGTCTTCTGTTGGTGACATTGACATAAATGAAGATACTAATCCTGACATAAAGTTGATCAAGAGTTCTTAACCTTTTTAAGAATTACTTCTGCAATTTTCAACACATGCTTACATAATAATCAATTCAAATTCAGCACCAGTTATCCAAATGTTTTAAGATTCTATTTTCAAATTGTTTTCAAATTCTGATAGATATTCCAATATTTATTGCTTGAATGAATCTTCTATAAATCTATCTTTATTTTTGAGTAAAACTGAAAATACTATTCTAAATAGATCATTGCAAATTTATAAAATTTAAAGACATAGAAATCCTGATGCTCTTAAATAAATTGAAATTTGTTTCAATACTTAATCAAGTGAATATAATACAATATCAAAAGCTTAGATTACTTATTTATCATTTTGACAAAATTGATTAAAATTTTCTTTATTAAAATTAAACCATTAAATAGCTATCATAACTTCATCACATTATGCTTTATCAAAAACAGTTGATGATTTTTCTGATATAATTTTACTATACTTTCTGAGATCTTCTAAGAGATTTGACTTTTATTATCCTGTTTATTTCAATAAAAAAATTGGTTATGGTTCTATTTTAGTTGTACCACAGCCTCCTCCTCTCAATTTTTCAATTATCATTTTATTTATTATAAATATTTAGTTAATAACTATAATTAGTAATTTAAAGTATTTTAAATAAGAATTTACAATTAATTTTAGTTTATAAAATAAAAAAAGGAAGACAGTTTTAATTTATATGATTTTTAGATTATAAAATATACTTTATTAAGTTTAACGATAATTATTTAAGAATAAATCTTAAATTTTAATTACTAGATGATAGAAAGATTAGATGAATGATTTAGTTTGTGAATAAATATTTGATTAATTTAAAATAGATCGTTAATTTTAGGGTGATATCTGATTTTTGAATACTTTGATTAGTATATATTATGATTTAGCTAATATAATTTTTATTGTTGTAGTATGTTATTAAATTAAATATCATAAAATGGATCAATGTGATTCTTCTAAGTTGAAAATAGATTACTTAAGTTAGGAAATCTAAAATTTAAACTAAAGGTTAGAAGAATAAATAAACATAAACTTGTAATATTAAAGTCTAATTAATGGACGAACTGATATGAAAATGCTATTGAGTGTTATGCAATCAGAATAAGAACTTTTGAAATAATAAATAACAAAATTACTTAATGAGAGGAATGAAGCTGTATCAAAGGTAATTGAATATGTAATTTAGGTTCTTATTTTAGAATAGATACTCTAAGTAACTCAATAGGAGAGTGATTTCATTCTGAAAGAGTCAGAATAAAGAATTAAACAATTTCAAGAACAAATCAAATATTATGAATTGTCATGTTAAAACTTAAATCTTTATGAAAATGATCCTCAAAATCAGGGTTATTTAATAAAGTATAAATAAGTATAAAATATAATACATTTTTTAGATTGTGAATTTGAATGAAGCTACATTGAGATTATAATAAGAGATTGAGAATTATAAGATTTAATTAGCTTTAGCTCATATGAAAATGAACAAGTTATAAGAATCTAAAAATGATTTAATCTAGTTAAATTTTGTAAAACAAAAGTATTTAATTTTAGACTCTCTCTAATGAAATATGTAGATTAAAGATGTAACCAAGTCAAGGAGTCAAAAATATAGATAAATATATCTCTTAGTTAGTTGAAGTCTAAAAGAAATTAGTTTAAATTGATGAAGATGATTCAGATAAAGATTGCACATCTCCAATGGAAGATAGAATTCATTCAAATAAATGTATAAATGAATCAATATTGAGAGACCATTTTTACTTAGCACAATATGCCAAAATTAGATTTAAAGAGAGCTCAATAAATTTAAGCCTTTACTTTATAACAAATCAATATGAAATAATAAAAGAACTAAGATTTAAATCATTAAGAAGAATTATAAAAATGGATAAATGAATATAAGTATTTGAAAAACAATTATGATGCTTCTAAAATATTATTTGATTAATTGAAAATTCAATATGAAGATCTTTAAAGAAAATATCATGAAACATTATCAATAAATGCTACATTAATTAGAGCAAATTAAAATTATGAAGAAAAATGGTAGAGTATTAATAAACAACATGTTATTTATAAAGAATTTTATTTATAGTATAAGGATTGTTTAGAAATTTTCAATAAAAGTTTAAGTAATAAAAAACTATAAGAATCTCTATCTGAAAGAAAAGATCTATGTGAATTTTCTATATAAGATTCTAAATTAAGACCTACATCATAATTGAGAAGATCAAGTGTTAATGTTGTTGGAATTACATCAGTAGATTCAACAGCAAATTGCATTAATTATAAAGATAAATTAATTTAGATGACTAAAGATGTTTTTTAAATTTTTAAGAAAAAGTAAAATGAAAATGAAAGTAGTGATGAAGATATTCCATAAATAAATTAAATGAAAAGAGAATTTACTATATCAAACAATTTTTAATCTAAATAAAGACAAGTAAAAAAATGATATATATATATATATCCAAACATTTTTTTTTTTTGCATTATTATTATATATATATCACATTTTGCTTTTTTTCTCTTTTTTTTTTGTTGGAGATGTTTTGGATTCTTCTGGTTATTTAGTATTAAGTTTTTATGTTTCATCTACTTCATCTTCATCAACCTCTTCTTCTACTTCAATTTCAACCATTTTCTTTACTTTTCTCTTCTTTTTCTTCTTTTTTTCAGGTTATTCATAAATGACTGCATCTCTCATAGCTTCAATTATGATTCCCAATAAAATTATTTTATATCCAATACTTTAAACTATTTTTAATATTAATACTGCTATAAGCCTTCACTAAGTTCCTGCATTTCTAATTTAACACAATAACGAATAATCAATGAGAGATCTACAACACCAATTAATACAAAAGCCATAAGAAACTTTTTAATATCAATCACTATACATAAGCCTAATGCAACTGTGAACAATGCCTAGATAGCATGCTAAATGATTTAGACTTATTTATTATACATTTGGAGTAAACTCAAGCATATGTTAAAAAGGATAATATGGCAATTTAGCTTCAATGAACAAGTACCATCCTGTTACAAAAAAATAAATGGTGGCAGGAATAAGCAAAAATTTCATTAATATAATTTAATATTTTCTAAATAAAAACTAAAATTCTTTTCACTTAATATAATTTTAGTAATTTATAAATGATACTTTTTATATAATCATAATAAGAGTTAAATTTACATTTAGGATTCTTTCTTATTTGTTACACGCAAATAATTAATTGTATAGATTTAATCTATTTTTAATAATATACATATTAAACAATTGATTAAGGATTCTACAAATAGAATTATCAATGGTGATAATTTAGTTCTGTAATTTTAATTTATTGGCATTTTAAAAATATAGAAAAGTATAAAAAGATTATATACAAATTACAATCCAAAATAGATTATTTCCACAAAATGCAATTTATTCATATAGTTTTTAATGTAATATCTAATTTTATTAATGATTATAAGTATCATCATAAATAACATTATAATATTAATTGGCATCAACCATAATAACATACTACAATAGTCACATTAAGTATTAGTCATTCTTTATTTATACATCAATTAATTTTCAAAGTTAAAACATCTTTCTATAGCATTAAATGATAATGAACAAGTCTTTATATTATTCTCAGCAATATTTAAAAAATATAAAGTGATATTCATAATGATCAAGATTATTATGAATATGATTTCTATTCTAAGTATATTCTTAATTTATTTAGGAATTGAATACATTAATTAATAAATGAAAATGTTATCTAATATAGAGAAGAATTGAATATAAATATATATGAATGGATAGATGAATATTATTTATGGAATATAAATGATTATTAAATATTTTAAGAACAAAGAATTATGAAATATCCATATGAATTCTAACAATAAGATGTACCTTTATTAGAAATGGCATTGGCTATTCTAATGTTGGGTAGTTTTATGAATGATCTACTTTTGATTTTGATTTATAATGTTTAGATAGATTTGACTGAGAAATCATAGATGATTTTTTCAACAGCATTCATTATCCTATTTATGATTAAATGCCAAAAAATGAGACTTACTATATATCTATTGATACCTGCTTATATCACTTTGATAATATCAAAATATTCATCTCATTAATCATACATAATGGTATTTATATGCTTAATTTTTTAAATTGGTTATATATTTTTAGTAATGGTAATGCCATAATATAAATATCCTAAACCAAGTGGGAAATATTTAATAGGATTTAAGGAAATAAAATTAAAGAATGGAGATATGGTTTCTATATATTATCCAACTCTTTAGAAATCTAAAATTAGATCCATAAATTCTTGTAGAAATAGAGATTATATCAAATAAGTTTACAATGATTTTTAACATGTAATGCATTGGAGACCTCCTATTATGTTTATTTATTGGATGTTGGGATTCTTAAATAAAGTGAGAGTGGAGGATATTGAAGTTGATTCACCTATTATTGAAGGTAAATTACCAACAATTGTCTTTTCAAATGGATTAGGAGGTTTGAAAGATCATTATTCTGTATTTTATAAGGAATGGGCAAGCAATGGATATCAAGTATATTCTATATAACAAGAAGAAGTAACAATAATTTTAAATGAAAAAGAGATTCATCAATATAAAATTGGAGAAGCAACTTTAGAGAATTAATTAGGATAATAGATTTTAAATAAAGTAAAAATGATTAGACATTAATAATTAAATGACAGAGTTATTAAATATCAATAATTATTGGATTATGTATATTAATAATAGAATGTTGATTTAAATAAGATAATTGGTGCAGGTCATTCCTTTGGAGCTGCAACAGTTCATCGTACAGCATAAATTGATAAAAGAATAACTGCAGGTATTATATTATTTGATCCATGGTTCTTACCATTCTCAGAAGATACTTTAAATATTAAATTATCAGTGCCTTTATTGAGTGTTAATAGTGAGACATTTAGATTACGAAAAGAGAATGAAACTCCATAAAGATACAGTATTGTTTTTAATGCACAATCAAAGAAATTAGTGATTATGATCAAAGGGTCATAACATTTATGCACAACTGATTTAGTTTATAAGATGCCCTTTGAATTAAAGATGTTTACCAAATTAAACAATCTTAATAAAATTTTATAAATCACCATTGCCCATTTAAGATTATCTTAATATTTTATAGAATCCTTGTCACCTCAGAAGACTTTAACTAAATTTGAAGAGTTTAGTAAAGAATCTTTCAGATAATCAATACATGAGATTGAATATAAATGAATGTATATATTTATTTATGGAATCACAAATAAACAGCAGCTGTCACATGTGCTGGTTAGTTTGTATGAGGTAATGGTTCAAACACTTTCACTTAAATTCTCTTGTGATCTTCTGTTTCAACAATGAATTAATAGTTTGTTCCAGCAACAATTTAATGACGTACTTCAATAATTGTAAAAGTTTAATGGGTAGATCCCAAATGTTGATTAATACCATGATGAACAACTGCTAAAACTTAGTGGTGTCTCTCTTCCACTTCTACTACTGCCCAACCTCCCATCATCTTTGTTTAATTTTATTTTATTATTAAATAATCACAATGATCATCTGAAATTTAAACACCTATATTAATTTATGGAATACATCATAATTATATTATATTATATATTAAATTCACTTTATTTTAATCATATCTACTTAATAACATTAATACAAATCTACTCTTCATATAATTATCAAAAAGACAGAGAATTATTACAATATGATACATATATGAAAATCAATAAACTAAATATTATTTATATTAGACAGTTAGCTTTTTGAATCAATAAAAAATAAAATGATCAAATTCATGAGTTTACAAAAAATTTCATAGATACCCAATTTATATAAACTATGAAGAATGTAGCAACTGATAATAATGGAATGGCAAATCCAACTATAGAATCTTGAATTAAAGATATAGTCATCATAACCATAAATAAGATTACAGCAATTATAAGAATCCATCCAATTACTTCATTTATTTTTGTATTTGAAAAATTAATTGAGTTGAACCTTTGCTCATAAAAATTAATTGGACCATGAGGAAATTCTTTTTTTTGTAATTGATAAGTATTTTTATTGGTTTTCTCCTACTATAAAATCAATTGATAGTGATTCAAGTTTATATGCACATTTAGGGTTGACATAATAAGTATTAAATAATTTTATTTATTAATATTACAAGTACTTTGAATTCTAATCAAATTTATTTAGGAATTTAGATTAATGAATATTAATATATATTTCATTCTTTCTAATAGATTTTCTTTAACTAATATAATTAATTATAAATATATTTACTTCATTTTCATTAATTTTAAATGATAAATATATTATTTATTCTTTTTTTTTGTTACTTTTAAGATCTTTATTGATTATCTTTATAATATATGTTTTATAATCTCATATTTACTTATAGAAATCTCAAAATTTTTATTATCTTTTATTACTTTTTTTCTTACATTAATTTAATTTACTTGCATCTATTCATATGTGAATCCAATTGTTAAATTAATATAGTAATTAATTCATAATTTATAATAATCATTTTTTTTCATCAATGAAATCTACAGTTTCTAACTCAGATGTCAACATATTATGAAATTTATTAAACTCAGCTTAAATGTATCCAACTTATTAACTTGTATGTTAAATTTGATTTTTTTCATCTTATTTAACTTGTGCATGATAATTAGATGCAATTTAACATATTTCTCTAATTTCTTTAAGATATTAGTTATGATTATTTGCTTTGATATGCAGAATCTTAGATTTAGGAGGAGATGGAGAATGATTTGGGGAATTGTTAGAATGTGAACTCTTATCTTTCTTTTTTTAAGGAGCAATTGGAGTAGACATCATTGTTTAAAGTTTTAATTTTATTGGACTATCTGAAGGAATACCTATCTTTTAGTAATATTTTTTGAATCTATTATAACTTGGATCGATTGATGGTTATGCATTTGGTTAAGTAATTAATTTTAAAGGTGAAACTGAAGAATGATTACTAGGAGTAGTAGCTATTTCACGTAAGCGAAATTCAATAGACTATCTCCTTGTAAGGAACTACATTTTACGTGGTTCTTTATTTGTTGTTGTTATACTTTAACCACCTTCATTTTGTTTTATTAGACTTTAACGAGATTTCTCTATGAGTGATTTATAATTATTAGTCATGATTGTCCATTTCTCTTCATTAATTTCATCCAATTTTATATGAGGATCTATTGTCACTTTTTAAAAAGTTTTAAAGAATAGTAATTTTTTCTTTTTTGGTTAATTATTGTATTCAACATCATGTAAAGGAGCTTAAACTTCTTCAGTACTCTTTCTTCTCATCATATACTTAATAACACTGGGACTTTGATCAGCCTTAACATCTTCCATTTTCTTTTGGATTAGTCTCAGTTTTTTAAACTAAAATAATCAAATGTGATTACATATTCTTAATTAGACTTTGTATTTTACTCCATTAATTTATTAAATGGAATAAATATAAGTCATAATTCATATACAAATGAATCTACTTGTATTAAATAAGAAATATAACACAATAGAATATTAGATAAATGAAATAATGTTATTAATAATCACTAATACTACTCATAATGTACAACAATTAAATCAGAATCTAAAATTAAAATAACTTTATTATATTTTAAGTAATTCATAATGAATTAAAATATAGAATATATTTATATCAATTTTACATAATCATGACTAAATATTGTCTTAAATATAATCAGAAAATTTTGAAGAATTATTTATGAATTTAAATTTATTTTATTAGAAATCTAAACAATTTTATTTGAATATTGATGTCTACAAATTTGTAGAAGAATACTTTTGAATTTTTTATTGAAATTTTGTTGAATATATTTTCTATTTTATAGTTTGTTAAATTTATCAAAGAGTGCAAATCTATTAATATTTTGTTTAATAAATTTATTATTATAATAAATATTAAGAAAGTCATATAATATATAATTTATATGGAAATATTATTTTATTTAGGTTAAAAATCAAATGGTTTCATTTTATAAATTATTGAAGAATCAACAAAGCTATTAATTTAAGTACTCGATGAATTAATTAGCTCCTATTGTTTATATGACTTCTAATTTTAATCTCTCTAAGTAGAATACTTATTCTCTTATCTTATCATATGATAATCCAAAATTCTTTGTTGCTCTCAATTTAAATAATAGCTTACATCTCTAAATCAATAATTCCTTATTAAAAATATTCTCTGTATTACAAACATGAATTATGATTCAAAAGTGGTTTAATAAACATATCTGTTCCATTTTTAGCAGATTCCATTAGCTTTTTAATTTCTATAGGAATTGTAGACTCAATCAATAGATTAATTAATTCAGTACAGACACTCCATCGTTATTATGATGTGGCACCATATTATTCTTATAAAATTTGAATACTTTATAATCCATTCAATTAAGATAATTATTTATGATAATCTTCTCTAAAACTTTCAAGCTAAATAATATATTATATAAGGATTTACTTATAGATTTTTTATTTTATATTATTATAAATTGGATTCCAATTATTTGATTTACTCTGTCAACTCTTTTACTTTGTTTTCTAATAATTCTACATATATTTTTTTTCTTTTTCTAGAATTTCTTGCTGATTCTCTATTTTTAGCCAATCTACCCTTTCCATCTGATGAGTCGCTTTCAACAATTACTTTCTGACGACTAAGTGGATAAAGCAATTATACGTCTGCTTAGGCTTGCTTACAACAGCAGGATTATCAATTAATTACTATATTTTATTTAGATAGAGACTTTTGGATTGATTAACCTAAAAAACCTCTTTATTTTGTTTTAAAAGATCTTCTTCTTTAGTTTTCTTTAACTTTTACAATAGTTGATTTCCTACAAGGGCTTTAGATCGTTCATACAAAATAGGTTATACTGGCTCATGTTATTCTTCAATATAATTATTCTCATTCTCAAACATCCAATCTTATTCGACTCTGTATTCATCATCAATATCTACTACAGAAATATTGTTTTGATTCAGAATATTCAAAAAATTATCTGAAGGTACAATTTAAAATGAATGATTCATGTTAATTATTATATTTATATTTTTTTAATTTAATATTTATAATACTAAACTCCTTTATGACTAAAATAGACTACCTTCTGTTATTCTATCCAATGAAATTATTATTAATATATTATAGTAAAAATAATTCAAAAGAAACAATTCACTTATTTTTTACTAATAAATATTCTATATTTATATAAAGATTATAGAAATTATATGTATAAGAATAGGTACTAATATAATAGATTTTCTATATTTGAATATGAACATAAACTTAAAAAGATTGTAAATGAGTAAAATGGTATTTTTTATTTTTATTTACTTTTATTTTTAATATCATTGAATTTATTTTGTTTAAAATAATGAAAGAGTCACATAATAAACAATTAATTAAATTTAATCATATATAAAAATTATAAAAGTAATTAAATGAAGATATTGTAATGATACAAAAAAAAATTGTAAGAATTTTGAGAGTAATACTTTCAATATTTGATATTTATTATTATAATAGTTTTTCTTACATCTATCTAGCTTTCTCAATTTATTCATTTTTAAATTAGACCTTTTAGAATCTTTATATTTTTATTTATTTGTTAATTTAAATATATTCTTAAAAACAAAAATTATAAATATATATTAATTTATAATATAAAAATAATAATATTGATAAATCACCAAAGAATTATTAGAATTAAGAGTGTACAAATGTTTAAAATCTAACTAGATATATAAATGTCGCAAGCTCTGTCATTATTTAATGCTTCTTCAATAGTTAGACATTTATTCATTGGTTTATACCAAATACATTCTTTATCATCAGCACATTATTTCTCATTTAAATATGTATTACATGAAACTTCTTAACAAGAGTCAATTTACCATTCACAACCAAAAAGCTTATATTAATTACATTAACATTATTCAGTCAATTATGAACAACTTAAACAATAATTAGTATCATCTTTATTTTGAGTAAAAAAGCATTTTTCTGAATTTCTAACACTTTAAAAACATTCTTCCTAAATATATAATATTAATTAAATACTTTAGTTAAAATTGCTTTACAAGAATTTGTAATACATCTATCATTCATCCAAATGCAAGTTAATCCTTATATTTAAGATACCAAACAACTTGATTTTTCAAATATATCAGAACATGAATTAATTGATGAACATTTTTGATTTTAATAAATGCATTTTTCATCATTAGTTAATTTACAATTTGATTTAGTATTATGTGAACAATTCTTTATTATACATGATTAATCCCAATAACATTCTATTCCTTAAGGTTTGAGAATAGAACATGATTCTTAATTATCAATATCTGAACATTATTTGACTGATTAACATCCTTATTTTGTATTTGAACAGAGTTCCCCTTAATAGACTTATCCATCACAAGGAATTTAAGAATTTTAACATGTTTTGAATTAACATTAATTCTCATACCAAATACATTCATGACTATTATTAATTAAAAAAAGTATTACATTCCATTAATAATTGATGTACATTCTTACATTGTCAAAGCATCTGAACAAGTTGATGGAGTTGATGTTATGATTGTTATTAAAATGAATATGAATATGATTGTTTTCATGAGTTTATTTATTAAATGAATATGAAGAGTATTATTATATTAATTTAAATAAATAAATACATATAGAAAATAAGTAACCATATGAATACATTTTCAAAAATGTTTAGAGTATTTCTATCTTATACTCTTATCAATTGATTATTAACATAATATTTTTACTTTTTCATTTGGATTATTAGCCAATAATAGTTCAATCACTTCAAAATGTCTCCATCGAAGTGCAGCTACTAATGGATAATCATCAATTTAATTAACCTAAATATAGTTCCAATTCTAAATTACTTATACTGAAATATTTTAATCAGCACCATATTAAATTAAGATTTTACAAACATCCTCAAATCCATTCTTTGCTGCTATATATAATGGTGTAAATCCAGAAGAATTCTTTTTATTTACAAGTCTAAGTGGACTTGTTGGTTCATAAAGATATCTTTTATATTATTATATTATACCTTTTTGGATCATTCATTATGATCTTTTCAATTAGATCAATTTAACTACCTTTCTCAACATAATAAAATAGTTCTCTCTCTCTCTTAATAGCTTTCAAAGCATCACTTAAATCATCATCAGCTCTTTGTTTTGCAATTTATTATTCCTTATTGATATAACCTATACAAGAACAAGATCTAAATTTAGTTTAATTAGCATTGAAAGTCACTTCATCCTTTAATTATGTTTTAATAATATACAGGAGATGAAATCGATTTGATAAGAGGCATTTAAAATAATCGAACTGAAAGACAAACATTCCTTATTTTCCTCCAATAATTTTTGCTATCACCTTCAAATAAAGGTATACTATATAAATAACATATTATTACTCATTCACTAATTTTGGACATGGCTATTCAAAGACTACTTTTTATTTCATTTATAGAAAATATATATATATATTATATTTAGTCTTGTATGCAACTATTAGATTAAAGTATTATAATATAAAACTAATTATTATTATTATCAAAAATGTAAAAATATTAGGCAGCAATTATAGGCAAAAAATCCAATCAACCTGATATAAATTGGACTGATTTTAATTGGCCTCCTATTATTAAGATCTTTCATTTCGATTTGAGTGAATTATAAGATCCGTATAAATCATTAGCACGACTTCTTTATATTTCATATCTATTAATATTTGGCACAACATGTTTGAATCTATTGGATAGCTTTATTTAAGCAGGAGTAGGATATCCTAAAATCAGAATATTATATGGATTCCTCAACATCTTCATATTTAACGGAATTCAAATGTACATATTTTATAGAGGATACAAAGGATTATGTGCTGATTAATCTTTATTAAAATGGTACAAGATTTTACATGTAATCTATTAAAAATAATTTAAGTTGGTGGCTGGAATTTTATGGTTAATAGTAAGTATAATTGATGCTTTGGGTTGGAATGGATTTGTAAGAGCAGCATATTTTGGAGATCAAGGTGAAGGAGGATTAGTATTCCTATCAATAATGGAAAGTTTAGGATTTTTATTTAGTTTCATTTTAGCACCTATCTGTATTTATAAAGTCCATACATTTGTGTTTGACAATATAGAAATGACAGATAAATTGTGATAATTTAGAATATGATTTATTTATTATTTTTGTCATAAATCATAGTTAAAAATATCAGAGAGATCTTATAAATTATCTTATTCTAAAATGAATTATTTATAAAGAAATAAAAAAATTGATTTATTCTTTAAAATTAATTAATTTAGAAATTATATGGACTCTAAATAAAATATGATTTCATTTTTAACAGAATTGAAATCTAAAGATATTACTGATGAAACATTTGATTGGTTAGAGAATTATTTAAACAAAGGAGAATAATCAATTATACATGAATTAATTTTAAATATAGGAGATCATTTTGATGATTAATAGTATGTATTAAATGCATTTTAAGGATTGATGTATTAAATGAAATTTATTAGATAATTTTAGTAAGATTTATGATATTAATCCTAATATTCTTGTAAAAGAAGTAAAAGAAACAAAGATGACAGCCAAAATATTAGTGCATTATATTTGTGAAATAGAATACAATAAATGGAATGAAAGTGGATTATAATTATTAGTAATATCTTTTGATGATAATCATTATCATCATCAAATAAAACAATTAAATAACAAATAATAATTACAACTTGTTAACAATATATTAAATTATTTTGGATAAAGTGATAATGCTGAAATTTTTAGTGTTCTTATTCAAATCTTATTTGTATTTCATGATAATCAAGATATTGTGTTAATTATTATTTAACATTAGAATGCTAGATTCTTTTAAGAATTTTTATTAGAATATTTAAATCATACTAAAAATGATGTTTCTAAACCATTATTCTTTATTGAAACAATAATGAAATTAGATAAGGATTTCTTTTATGTTAATGATTTCAAAATATTATAATAAATTTCAATAAGATAAATACATGATGGAACTGAAAATGAAAGAAGATTATATTTAAGAAATCTTAAAATTATTATTTAATATGGAAATCATGAAAATATTTTAGGAGATGAAATACTTGAAGCAGCTAGAATGGTTTAAATGACATATACAGATAACTATTGTTTAAAGAAATGTATAAGTATTATCGACAATTTAATGAATAAATAAAAATAATGAAAATGAATATCTTAAAAATTATTTTAAATTCCATTTGCATTAAATGGCATATCACAAAAAATCTTTTACTTGGTCTCCTACAGTTTCCCAAGTGTTAACTAAGACTTGTCTCATCGATCTTAAACCTACTGTTGCACCAAAATAAGGTCCTATGTATCTCAAAATTGATACTGAAAGAGAATTATAATTCTCAAATGATTTAGGATGGAATTGGCATAAAAGTTGGAATATACCAAATCTATCAATTAAATTACATCTTTAAAATGAAGATACACCTTAATGGATGGATTGTTAAGTAGCTTTCAAATTTTAAATTAGGCTTAATTGATGGCTGTAAAACTAAAACAAGATGGACTCTATGAAGAAGTAGGTTTGGAGGGTATTACATAACAAGAGTTAGTGGATGGCAAAGCTTTTTTTTCAGTATTTTCATTAATCGATTTTTTATTAAGGGTGTTAAATTTAACAGTACAACTTACAACCATTAAGGACATAAGTTTCAATTGATTTTTTTGTTGAAAAGTTAAAATTGTATTATAACTGCACTTGAATCTCCTCCTGTATTCGTAGATAGTAGAAAAAGTGCAAGAGATGAACATAGATAAACATAATTTATTCAACCATTCGAACCTAAATATTTAGAAAGGAATTTTTGTAAGAAAGAGAAACATTTTAATGATGTTATTTAAGCACCCATAGAAAATAATGAAAATGGATTACACAATTATCTAACTGCTCCTAATATACGTAATAAAGTATTAATTTTAATTTTATTAATTATAGATTAAACATCCATTATTTTTGGCCTTGAAATTTTCTAAATGTATGACAATCTATCATTTAAAAACTATGATTACAGATAATCATTTAATAGAATTTCAAAAACAATTAAAATAAAAATAAGGATATTCTGAATATATCATTGCTTTTTAATCAAATAACAATCGTATTCGTAAAAAAGTATTTATATATTATATATATAAAGATTGAAGAATCTTTAATATAATTATTCATTTAAAGTAGTGTAAAAGTTATGGAGAAGAAATAAGTTGATGAATCACTTTATTAAAAATTAGAATATGATAGTAAATCATATTATGCATCATATAATAAATTAGTAGAAATGATGAATTCAACAAATTAAGAAACTTAAATGGAAATTCAAATTGAAGAATAACATCAAAAATATTCATAAGCTTAACCCAATCCATAATAACCAAGTGTAGAAAGAAAGTCAGCATTCAAAAAATTCAATAAAGATTTTGATAAAATGCCAACTAAAAACTTTTGTGATTTTCAAAATGAAGATAATATTTAAAAGAAAGTAAAAGTGGAAGAAGAGGTGGACAACGGAAATTCTATGTTACCTGTTAATGTATGTATTTATGTTAATTTAGATTTAAAATTTATTATTGCAAGAATAATTAATATAATATTATTTATTCTAATAATAATATATGATTAATTTGCTATCTTAATAGATCTGAATGTATTAAAATATATTTATGAATAAATAATAAATTTAAAACATTTAGTATAATTTGAGTTCTTTCATTGCTCTTATTATTATGATATTAGTTATCCCTTTATAATAAAATAAATAAATGGATTATCAATTTCCAAGAAAGCAATTAGCAATATCAAATTCAACTAAAGACAAGGTTGAAGCATGTAAAAGATATATAGAGAGAAAATATACTGATCTATTAAAAGCAGAGATGGAGAGAAGGGAAGATTGGGCAAAATTATGGGTTAAAATGAAAGACATGCAATTGAAGGGTAAGAATTTAAAGATTAATTTAATATAGCTTAGGATTAAGAGTATTATAAATAATTAGTTTTGAAGAAGGAAGCAGAACTTATGAGAAAAAAGTAATTAATAAATTTGAATATCTATTCATTAGAAGATAGAAGTTTTGTACTGATGATTTTGAGCCAATAGCAATAATTGGAAGAGGAGCATTTGGAGAAGTGAGAGTTTGTAGAATAAAAAAGACTAAAGAGATTGTAGCAGTCAAAAAAATGAAGAAGTGTGAAATGTTAGCCAAAAATCAATTAGCACATATTAGAGCAGAAAGAGACATATTAAGTTAAGAGAATCCATGGGTAGTTGAATTAAAATGCAGTTTTCAAGTATCGAATATTAATTATATTGAGGATGATAAATATCTCTATTTAGTAATGGAATATATGGCAGGTGGAGATCTAATGACATTATTAATGAAAAAAGATATATTAACAGAAGATGAAGCCAAGTTTTATATTGCAGAATTAGTTTTAGCCGTTGATTCAATTCATAAAATGAATTATATTCATAGAGATCTAAAACCTGATAATATTTTAATTGATAGAAAAGGACATCTAAAATTATCTGACTTTGGTCTATGCAAGTATATTATTATCACATTTTATTTAAGGTATTCAGAAATCAAACCAAAAGTAGAATTAGGCAGAAAAATTCCTAATTAAAATCCAGCCCCAACTCCTATACTCAACAAAATGTAAAAGAGAAGACAATTAGCTTTATCAACAGTAGGAACTCCTGATTATATTGCACCTGAAGTCTTTACATAATAAGGATACACTGAAACAGTAGATTGGTGGAGTGTTGGAGTAATGTTATATGAAATGGTTGTTGGATATCCTCCATTTTTCTCTGATGATCCTTAAACAACTTGTTAAAAAATATTACATTGGCAATCATCATTCCAAATTCCATAAGATATTAGTCTATCACCTTAATGCATTGATTTAATTAGAAGATTAGTAGCTGATCATACAGAGAGGTTAGGTATTAATGGAGTAAGTGAAATTAAAATTCATCCATTTTTTTAAGGAGTAGATTGGAAAAGAATAAGAGAGAAAATCACTCCTTATTAACCTTAAGTGAATCATGAAATAGATACTTAAAATTTTGAATAATTTGAAGAAGAAGAACCTTGGAATTGGAATTCTAGTAGGAGAGTTAAGAAAGATCATTTTTAAGGATATTCATTTAATAGATAAGTTTAAAAAGAATAAAGTCCTGTAAGAGTGGCATTAGAAAATATAGATAAAGTTGAATTTCCAAAAAGATCATAACCAATTTAATAACCATAGAGTTAGATATAGTAACCAGGTAGTCCATCTCATAGAAAAGTTATAGCTAAACCAATTGCTTATGCTTACAATAAATCTGCTAGATCCAATTCACCTGTAAATAAGAATCAATAATAATAAAGCTCTCTAAAAACTATTCCTTAATAACAAACATTATTAAATATTTTATCTTAATATAAAAGAAATTCTAATAATAATAATAATTCTAATAATAATTCAGCACTCAATCATTCAAGTTCTAGATTACCAAATCTTAAAAGTGTTAGAGAATAAAGTCCTAGATCCCCAAGAAATGCATAAAAATATTATTATTAATGATCTTTCATTTAATTTTGTTTACAATCTTAGTTTCATTATAACTTAAATAAATAAAGTAATAAATCATTCACAATTTTTTATCATTTTTAAGACCTAATCTAACTATGTTTTTAATCAATAAATAATGCTCCAAATTTTACTCACATTTTTTCTTAGAATAACATCTAAATATATATATAATTGCAAAAAATACTTAATTTATTAAAAGTTAATATGTTTACCCAATTAATATATCTCTTTTAATGTAGGGTATTATAAATTTTCAATTTATTCACATTATTTAGATTTATTAAAAGACAATCTTTCTAATAATTTATAAAAATTATAGCATGATTAATATAATTCTGTAATTTAAACACTTAAGAATTATTATAGTAGAACTGATATCATCTTTGGTTAACATCTAAAATATACAGTACTACTACCTTCTTTTTTAGATCTTACTAATTGTATATTCCATTATTGTCTCAATAGGACGAAACAATTAATTCGTGGTAAAATAGATTATAAGACACAAGAATAGAAATACACTAATTAATTGAACAATAGCTATGTAGAATTGTGTTATCAACTTTTACAATAAATCATTATTATAATCTTCTTAAAATTTGTTAAATTCAGAACTACTTATTAAGCTTTGATTAATAATAAGAAATTTTACACAACAATTGAAATGTTGAAAGAACTAATAGTTTACATACTCACAAACATATCTTAATTATAAAAGGAATTAAATAGGCAATTTAATTCTTTTTAATTAGTTTGGTTTTTGCATTTAGAACTAATTGTAACACTATTTAAACTTTGCCAATCTTCTTCAGTAAATCCAGTAATAGTAGTATTGTAGAAATATAAAGGTAATTAGTCAGATGTAATTTTGTAAGGATGCATAATTAAAATTCCATCTAAGGAAACTAAATATATAGATGTGAAATCTTAGCCAAATTGTTAAATTAGATTAGCAATTAGTCTGGCAGGAATCAAATCAAAGGCAGCTCCTCCTATTAATTCTAAATTTTCATTAACAAATGGCATAGTCATAGCTAATCCAATATTGATTGATCTAAATACTAATTGAAGAAATAATCAATACATAAATATGGGGTTGTCAATGAATAATTATATTGATCATATGGAACCTGACTATTAAAGTTTCTAGTCAGTTCCTTATACCAACCCCTATCTTCTGGAATGTATTTATCGATATCATATCTTTACAAACAAGGATATGTCATTAAGATATTATCTCTTTTGACATATGCTGAGAGTAATGATTAAAATGTTGTATTGCCTTTGTGAATGATTGGTCCGAATGCTTATAATTACTCTTGAGTCTTAATATTAAGAATTTCTTATTCTGTGAAGGGATCATGTAACATTGTTTTATTTGTGTAACAAATAAATGAAATAGTTGAGTTGTAATTAGATATTTTGTTTGACGATATTATAGGTTTAGGAATATCGAAATTATTACCACCATAATTCATATTAAATTATGTGTTTAGAGGAGATGGTTGATCCTTATTCTTTTTCTTAAGGTAATTGTATAATTAGAAAACTGATATTAGGGTTTGGCCATCTATATATACAAAATAAAAATTTACTTGAATTAAGTAGAGAAGTGAAATAACTCTGGTATTTAGAGAGTTGTGTTTAGATAAAAGCACTAGAAAATTTGGTGTATATTTCTTCAGAGGATTGAGTAAAATAGAATTGAACAAAGGTTGAGTGAATATAATTAGTACATACAAGAAATGTAACAATGAAGATAATTAAGAAACTAATGAGTACAAGTAATTAATTCTTAAGTCTTAAGCGTTTTAAACAACTAAAGTTATGTGCTATGTTTTCTTTATTTTCACTTTTCATTAAAAAGATTAATAATTGATATTGATTAAATTTTATAAAATAATAAGCTAAAGCTTTATTGAAGTAGATCTATCACTAATTTATTGATGTTGATTATAATTTATTTTTCAGTAATTTAGCAATAATATTTGTATATGATATAATGAAATAACCTTCTATTATTAATTATAACATTTTTTAATTCATCAAATAAAATTTAGATAGGATTAAATTTTTCATTATTATTATATATTGATAATATATGGCAGGAGGATTAGAAAGAGTATATGGAACTGAAGAAGACAAGGTTATAAAATATATCTTAAGATGTAGGTTAATTGTTCGTTCTATATCAAAATTGGTGCTTGTCGTTATGAGAATAAATGCTAAAGAATCCATAGCATACCTCCCATCTCTTAAACAATATTATTTAAAGTAACATCTTATATATATTATATATATAGCATATGTATTAAAATTCTCCTATGGAAGTAGCTATTGCTTCGGGTAATGCAGTGTCTCAGGCAGGTATAGAGGAAGCATTAGAAAAATTCGAAAACTTTTATGAAGATGTATTTTTAAAGGTATGGATCATGTTTATTAATGTATAACAGTTGGCTGAATTTGGAGAGATAGAAGATCTAATTGTATGTGAAAATATTGGTGATCATTTAGTTGGAAATGTTTATGTGAAATATACATCAGAATATTATGCAGAGGGTTGTTTTAATGCTTTGCAAAATCTATCTTATGAAAATAGACCATTATAAATGGAATATTCACCTGTTTTAGATTTTAGTAGTGCTAAATGCAAATAATACATTGATGGAACATGTTAAAGGTATAAAATTACATATTTATTTAGAGGTGGAGCTTGTAATTACTTACATCTTAAGAAGATCTCTACAAAATTTAAGAAAAGTTTATTCAATTAAATGTATGAAGAACATCCTGATTTTAGAGAAAAAAAAGAAAAAGAAAATATTGAGTATTAATTATTTAGATTATTATTTATTTAGAAAAAGCCCTAAAAAACATAAAAAGAAAGAAAAGAAATCAAAAAAGAAAAAGAGTAGTAGTAGTAGAGAATCTAGTAGAAGAAATTCAATTGAAAGATAAAAAATGATTAATGATTGGAATGAAACTGGAATTTAAAATGTAATTTATACTTAATAAACATTATTAATTAGGTTTCATAAGCATAAAAAATGATGTATGGAAATAATATGCCTGCTCCTGTTTATACTCCAAAAGTATCAATGCGAACAAGTCCTGAATTATTACAATTATAACTATAATTAGCTGCATTAAAAGAATAATTAGCTGCTATTAAAATGAGTTGAACATGCTTATATTTTATTTTATAATAATTAAATTATATATAATCTAATTATGTAAAGAAAGAATTGGAAACTAGAAGTATGTATTTTATTTAATACAAACTAGGAAGATAATGCATTATTATAGAATTGTTAACAATTAAATTTCAATTGGAAAAGAGTTTCAAAAAATATGAATTTAATGGGATTTAAAAGATCTGGTAAATCTTGTAAAGAAAGATTCTAAAATCAATTAAACCCTCATATTAATAAAGATTAATGGTCTCAAAATGAAATTGATAAACTTTTTGAGTTGTAAATTAAACATGGAAATAAATGGGTATTAGTTATGATTTATTTTTAGAGAATAATTGCCAAAGAATTACCAAATAGAACTGATGGACTTATTAAAAATTATTTTTATTCTCTAGTTAGAAAAGTTCTACGTCGTCTATCTAAAGCTGTTAATAGAAATAAAAATGGTATATTTATAAATATAATTGATCTAGGTTCCAAAATGACTAAGACTTTAAAACCTTCAGTAATCTCATAAATCTTTTGTGCAAATTAGAATGAAACCAAATAGTCACCAATTAATTTAGAATTTGCTTACTTATTTAGAAATATTATATTCAAGTATAAAAATTATAACTTGTCTTAAAAAATTGATAATGAAGATATTAGCAAAATAAAATTAATATTTCTTACGTTACAAAAATTAAAGTACTTTAATACCTTATTTTTAGTGAATCTTATAATACTGATAATAATAAAAGATTAGAAACTAAAATAAATTAAAAATAAGAAAAATAAAACAGAAAAAACTTCAATGTTAATTTTAATGCCGTATATATATATAATTAATATTAATTAGATTATTATAGATAAAATTAATAACAAACTTCCTATTTTTACAACTAATTTGTTTCCTATAGAAAAATTATATCAAAGATAAGATAATCATTTTGATACTCCTTTATAAATTAACCCTTAAGTAATATCATCTTTAAATTCGTAAAATGTGGATAAAACTTTTAGTTATACTAATTTCCCTTTGAAATAACAACAATAGTAATATATTATTTATCATCCTATTCCTTAATATTATTATGTACGTTTACTAATATTATATAGTCTATGACTTTTAATGCTTATGTATAATAACAACAAAATCTAAGCAATTTTTATAGTTCTTATTAACATGAATCAAATAAAGTCAAAGAAGAAAAAGAAGAATGAATGGTTCTAATGAAACAGGCTTTTATTATGTTTATTATGATAAAAATTCCCATTTGCTCAAATTTAAATTAATATCGAATATATTAATTAAATGAAATTCATAATTAATACTTTTTGAAGAAAAGAATATCTTATAATTATAATTAATTCATTCAAAATTTATTAAATACTTCTTACTCAAAATATTTTACTTTTGGATAGACATTTTGCATCATAACTTTTATTACATTTCTAACATGCTTTAATAATAGGTTTTTCCAATTCTTTTCTTAAATATTCATATTTCTTATTTGATTCTTATAATTTTTATTCAATATATCTATTTTTCTATTTATCTTTAGCTTTTAATTCTAATTATTATTTATATTATTAATTTAATTCTTCAATGTATTATAATTTCTTTTAAACTTCTTAATTTTATTCACTCTCTTCTCTATTTTGTATTTATTTATTGATTAATTCACAATTTAATCTATATTCTTCTGCTGTCATTATCCTCTCATTTCTCTAAATTATTGAATAATCATACTTTTTTTTCTTTCTATTCTTAAATGGCTTTCTATAAGTACTTTGAATATTAAGTTTCTATCATTCTTTTTTTCCCTTGTTCTGCTAATTTAATTTATTAATCTAACTAATGCTAATAATCAGCTTGTTATCTTTCTTATTATTTTCTTTATTTTTCTTACTCAATTAAAACAGATTCTTTCATTTTTAATGATTCATCTCTTTGTTATTTTAATAAATTCCTTTCTATTATTTTTTTTTATTAAATTATTTATTCAGCTTTTTCCTCATCTCCTACTTTAAACCAATCAGTTTGACTATCATCTTATGTTTTAAGTTTTCTATTTTTAATTTATTCATTCAAACTTTCCATAAATTATTTCTTTTTGTAATAAGATTAGATGACTTCTTGTTATATTCTATTTTAATCTAAAATATCTGTTTTTTTTATTTATTATGCTAACTTTTCATTGTCTTACTTTTCTTTACTTTTTCTTTCCTCTTTATATTTTTAACTTTCTTAATAACTTCTTTATAAGAATTCTTTTTCCTTTAATTTCTTTTATATTATTTATGTATTCTCCTCTTCCTATTATTTAATAATTGATTTAGTCATTTCATGTACATAAGCTTTATCTTATTCAATTAATTTCTATTTCAGATATTTCTTTTAATCAGAGATATCATTATTCACACAATTATAGCACACTTAAGAGAGACTTTTAGAAGCTGATTAACGATTTGCAATATACTCTTAATAAGCTGTGACTGTCTTAGAAGATGTATTTTAATGAGTAGAATTTCTTAAACTCTAATTTTGTTGACTTCTATTTATTATAGATTGTTGCATTTAACAGATATTTAATAATAATATGAATAAATTAATATTGTAATTTTATGAAATGTGCAAATATTATAATCATATTTATATTTAAGTAAAATCTTTAAATCTCCTTATTATTTTAAGTTAGTAATTATACAAAGTGAAAGTTCTCAAAAAAAATGATTATTATGTGAAATTATTTATTTTGTTTGAATTTATTTAATAATAATTAAAAAAAAACAATTATCTTTTGAATTATGAGAGCACTTAATTTTTAATTAAATATATCAATATATATGAAGATTGATATGATTGCCAATATAAAATCAATTTGATATTCACTTTATTAAATAAACATAGATTGATGCATAGAAGTTTAAAATTATTAAACATTATATGAAGGAGTATACAAATTACCAGGTATTTACCAAATATTTCTATTAAATATACATATATAGATAGTTGATTATCTAAATTATTAAAATCATTGAGAAAAGTATAACAATAAAGAAATTACTTTTATTCTAATAAAACAAAAGCAATTTAGATATGAAATGAAATTTTTCATCAAAGATTGTTTGGAAGGTAATTATTTTAGAGGAAAGATTTCATAAAGATTTAGGCTATAAGCATAAATTAATAAATGAACTTTTCAAGAATTACATATCTAAAATTAAATAAGATCAAATTATATTTTTAATGAATGAAATCAGATAGAAAATCATTAAGTAAAATATCGATGGGATTAAAATATTTAATGTATTAGATGTTAATGTAGATCATACTTAAGAATCTAAAGAATTAGTTGTACAATATTTTTTTAATAATCATTCTAATGTATAATTTTTTAGGAATCTATAGAAATAAATTAATCATTAATTTACAAATTTAAGAATTAAGAATGGCACTAAATTTTTTTAATTTGATGAATTTTAAATGATAATAGCTATAACAATTTATATAGTATATTTATAATTGATTATAAGCTAAATAAATAAAATTTGAATTTTATCTAATATCATATATAAAATTAAAGTCAGGTTCCCTTTTTATGGTATATAATTATAATTTAATATATAATTTTATGATATTTATATAAATTCTATTTAAATAGTATTTTTTTGAAAAACTAAATCATTATTGAATTAATCTAATTTTAAAAGGCTGAAGCTAAGGAAGTTAAAATTTATTGTTTATGCTTTATTTAAGTGGACTAGCTATTTTAGGTTTCTCAGGTGATTTAGGAGGTTTTTAGGTTGAGTCAAATTTTGAAAATTAAAAAGATGGAATTCTTTATCTTGTAATAGTTTTTCTGTCACTTGTTGGATTGGATGAAAATGGAAGGTTAGAATTTTATTTTTCATTTGAAACACTATTACCTGAGGAATAAAATGATTATTTTGAACTTGGTTATAATTTTTTAGTTATCCTATTAATTTTATAATTTGAAGATTTCAAAGGTGAATCATCTTAAATAAAAGTTGTATTCGAATTGAATCTAATGGAAGTTTCTTTAGAATTTTGAATGGATTATTTATTGATTTTATTTTTTTTATGATTCTCCCAAAATTACTCTAATGATATAAAATCAAGTCTATCTTTTGGATTTAATTAAATCATTTTTCTTAGAAGAATTGAAACATCATCGTCATTTTAATTGATTTTAGTATGTAATGTGTGAATATATTCATTAGGAGTTATTTAACATCTTTGTGCATGAGAAATTGAGAAGTTTTTGTAAATATAAAGAAAGAGTAATCCTAATGAAAAAACATCAGATAAGTAATAATTCTTGGCATCCCCTGACAACATTTCTGGTGACATATATTTATAAGTCTAATTTTTGATATAAACATTGTACTCCAACTGCATCAATTAATTCTGAACTTTAATGCTTGCTTGAACCAACATCACATATCTTATAATAAGTAGGGTTCAATTCCATTACTAAAATATTTGCTGGTTTGATGTCGCAATGTGCAATATGTTTTCTTTGCAAATATGAAAGTGCATTAAGGGTTTGATCAATCAAAGAATTATCAATTTAATAACCTGCTTATTTAAAGTCCTCTAAATTGTATTAACCCAATTCCATACAAATATAACCTAATTATTCTTAATGGTATTAATTAATGGAATAAGATAAAATACAAGATTCAAGATATTTAACAATATTAGGATGATCAAGTGACTCTAACAATTAAACTTCTTTTTACATTTATTTTATATCATGATTCTAGGTTTCAGTTAATTCATACTTCTTTAATTGCCACTTATTTTCCTGATGAATCTTATGCCTAGTAAACACGATTATGGGTTTGACTTAAATACCCTTTGATAATGTATTTATGAAAGAGATTATAACCTTATTCACATTTCATGTGTTATTAAGCCATAAACAAGAATTAAATGTCTTTCCTTTAATCGCTGATATCATTCATAATATAAATTATATAATTATCATTCATCTATTATTTTGGAATCCTTTTATCTAATAATATTAAGATGTTGATATTATCCAAAGTTTATTATTAATGAAAATACAATCTCATTCAGAATGTAAGTAATTGTTAATTATGTATTAGAAATGATTTACTAATAATTTTAAGATTATTATATAAATATGAAGATATTGGAAGACAATATTAATTTGAAATATTCAAAATCATTTGTTAACTAAAAATAGATCCAAACTTATTAAAATATTATAAATATATATATTATTTAATTATATATAGAATTTATAATTATAAATAATCTGATCTCTCCAATAAAATTATTTAAAATCTTTAAGTTTTTTATATTGCTGAGATTATTATTAAAAAAGAATATTATATTATATTATAAAATTTGAATGTATCTTGAAACAATATTAGACAAACTATTTCAATTGTCTATATAATTATATTTCAAAATCTTAAAAGTATTAGATAGTTGGATTTATTAAAAGATAATATTTCTATTTATTTAGTTTTAATAAATTAAAATTTAGAATTCAAGATAAACTAATTAATTACAATAGGAAAACTAAAAGTTGTTTCCTTAAATTTAGACAACTTTATTCATCACCAAAGTTCATGTAGACTTTTTATACAATTTTACAAAATTAGAAAATTTAGTCTTAAATTTATACAGTTTAATTTAAAGAATTGATTATAGAATTCTGGTTGATAAAACTGTTGATTTAAATTCCTATCTCTAAGATCAATTTTATTTGATAAATCTGGATAAACAGATCTATTTCAATAACATAACACTTATATAGTTTGATATATAAAAGATTGTGTTTTTAAGTATGATAAATTGAATACTCAAATTTTAGATAATTTAGAAAATTATATCCTGAGATGTAGAGACTTAATTTATTGGAGAAAGATTGTTATCTAGAATAAAATCTATAATTTTAATGATTGAATTTAGATTTCATTTCTATCATTAAAGATAGAAATGAAATCTATACATTTTTTGAAGCATTAACCAACCACATTTATATAAATATATAAAATATCATCGTATAACTATGAATTCTGATTAATACATCTAATATCACTTAAGGATTAGATATCTTTGAATTTGAGTTTGAAAATAGCTTTGACCACTTCAAATGAGAAGTAATTTATAAAATGTTGAATTTATTATGCAAAGTTATTGGAATGAGTATTTATATGTTAATTTAAATTAATTTTATAATAATAATAAAATAGGTTTTTTTGTTTACTAACTTAAGTTAATAAAAAGATATCAAATTAAAGATAATTGTTTATTATTCAAGTTTAAAATCTCTTTATTTATATTGCATATATAATACTAACAATTAGTTTATAAACATTTATTTTTTTTTGAATGAAAATTTGTATGAATCTTCCATTTATATAATAGATCAATATTAATAAGTGATAAATAGTATGTGATTATGATATCTTTATGTAAACTAATAAAAAGAAATTGTANGTATCTTGAAACAATATTAGACAAACTATTTCAATTGTCTATATAATTATATTTCAAAATCTTAAAAGTATTAGATAGTTGGATTTATTAAAAGATAATATTTCTATTTATTTAGTTTTAATAAATTAAAATTTAGAATTCAAGATAAACTAATTAATTACAATAGGAAAACTAAAAGTTGTTTCCTTAAATTTAGACAACTTTATTCATCACCAAAGTTCATGTAGACTTTTTATACAATTTTACAAAATTAGAAAATTTAGTCTTAAATTTATACAGTTTAATTTAAAGAATTGATTATAGAATTCTGGTTGATAAAACTGTTGATTTAAATTCCTATCTCTAAGATCAATTTTATTTGATAAATCTGGATAAACAGATCTATTTCAATAACATAACACTTATATAGTTTGATATATAAAAGATTGTGTTTTTAAGTATGATAAATTGAATACTCAAATTTTAGATAATTTAGAAAATTATATCCTGAGATGTAGAGACTTAATTTATTGGAGAAAGATTGTTATCTAGAATAAAATCTATAATTTTAATGATTGAATTTAGATTTCATTTCTATCATTAAAGATAGAAATGAAATCTATACATTTTTTGAAGCATTAACCAACCACATTTATATAAATATATAAAATATCATCGTATAACTATGAATTCTGATTAATACATCTAATATCACTTAAGGATTAGATATCTTTGAATTTGAGTTTGAAAATAGCTTTGACCACTTCAAATGAGAAGTAATTTATAAAATGTTGAATTTATTATGCAAAGTTATTGGAATGAGTATTTATATGTTAATTTAAATTAATTTTATAATAATAATAAAATAGGTTTTTTTGTTTACTAACTTAAGTTAATAAAAAGATATCAAATTAAAGATAATTGTTTATTATTCAAGTTTAAAATCTCTTTATTTATATTGCATATATAATACTAACAATTAGTTTATAAACATTTATTTTTTTTTGAATGAAAATTTGTATGAATCTTCCATTTATATAATAGATCAATATTAATAAGTGATAAATAGTATGTGATTATGATATCTTTATGTAAACTAATAAAAAGAAATTGTAAAATATTTATATAAATTAATGAATTAAGTTATGACTTTAGGTTGTGTTTCAAAAAAGATGATGGACACTTATGCAGTTTAAGTCTTCTGTATGAATACTTGGGATCATTGTTGTTTAATCTATCACAAAAAAAAAATGCTTATTAAATACCATTATTTAGAATAGAAGATTGTCAGATAAATTTTATGGTGTAAAAAAAAATCATATAGAATATTTGATATTACTATGTCTAAAAAGTAAAGATTATACTTTTTATTGTGTTAAGATTGGTTTATTTACTTCCTGAATTTTGAATTTCAGATTGTTAATAAAGTTTAAATGGAATGCAAATAATTTACAAATCTGTTATTCCTTGATCATTTAAGTACATTTGTAATGGTATAATTCAATTCAGTAAGTATATTTGAAATCTAAATGAAAGAAAGATTTAAAATTGTTAAATATTAAGAATTGAGTGGATCTTTGGAATGGAATAGATAATGTAAATTATTAGATTACTTTTACATCTTATATAATTCTCAAAATATAACTATATATGATTTGAGAACTATTAAACATTTAGGATCAATTTAATTAGGTTTAACTATATCAGACATCTATTATATTAATGATTTATTATATTTGGGAGATGTCTATGGTACTCTTTGGTGTTATGATTTAAAAGGTACTCTTTAATATTTCCACGAACATGCTCATGATGGTTAAATTGTTAGTATGACAGTTTATAAAGAAGAATTATTTACAGTTGCAAATGATCTCTTTATTAAAGTGTGGAAATTGAATAATCTCATATTTTGTCAATCATATCCAATCTATCAATAATAGATATAGTATTTCAAATTCATCAATTATTCTAAATACTTCATATAATCAACAGATTAATTATTTATTTGTGATTTAAACCATATATTGTAAGCTTATTATTTACATAATTCATCTGTTTCTGCAATGTCCACTTAATGTATAGCCTTCAAAAATCATGTTTATTATTCTAATTAAACTCATAAAGTATTAATAGCTCCTAATTCTGTTTATTAAGTAATCTAAATTATAGATAGTCCAAATCAACCTAATACATATTACTTACATTTATAAAATTAAACTTTAGCCAAATGGGTCAATAATTAATAGATTGAAGTACTCAATTTTGATAAAATCAGAACTATAAATGGAGATAAAATCAATTAACAAATAACATTTGTTTAAATTATAGCTCTTTCTCCTCCTCTCTATGATGTTGAATTAACTATTGATTCAAAAGATCAAAATAAAATCTCTAAAATGCTTGAAAATGCAGATTAATCTCTATTTTTTATTTTGGGTTGTTCCAAAGGAGCTGTATTATGTGTTCCATTAGAACATTTTACAATAATTTATACACGTGTAAATTATAATAAAAATGCAATTTCAGATATTGTATATTTTAATGATCAATTGATTATTAAAAGTATTGATAATGTTATCAATTTCGTTTAAATTTAATCTAATAAAACTTAATTAATTAAAACAATTATACTTGTTAAATTAGGACCTATTCATTTAACTTAAGCTAAATATTTAGTAATTGCACAATCAAATGAGTTATATGTATTTAATTCAAAATTAGAAGCTTATGAAACTAATGCTGGACATGAAGCTGATATAAAATAAATTACTAGCAATCAAAATTTTATTGTAAGCAATTCTTTATAATAACTTAAAATATGGACTATCTAAGGATTTTGCATTTATACAATCAATTTTCATGTCTAAATAGATTATATCTTTTATATAAAAGATGATCTTATTACTAGCTTAAATGGAGGACTATGTCATTTACCAATACCAGAACATGAAACTATAGAGATTGATACTCATGAATATAATAAAATAATAATTTAGGATTTGGCAGTACCCAAAAAACAATCATCTATAAAATAAGAATCATAATTATTATAATAATAATCATTTATTTAATAAAATTATGAATTCAAATAAACCTTAGAACTTCCAAAAATTAAATTAAAGGTTTAAACATAAAATTATTATGATAATCCTTAGACTCCAATTCAAAAAAAATATTATACTCTTCATACTGCAACCAATAAAAGTACTAACACAAGCACATCTAATTCTCATATTCCTATTAGTTAAAGTTTTGATTCTTGTGTTTAAAATGCAGAAGATACTAGTTGTGTCTTACCTGCCATACCTAAACAAAAAGAAGATACATCCTTATTAAATCAGTACCTAATTAGAAGAGTCAAAAAAGGACAGCCAAGAAATAGAAGAGAATGGACATTAGATAAAAAGATTATGGGTAATATTTTATAAATAACTTGAACTTATAATTATTAAATTGTTTACTATTTATAAGCTATTTAATTTTAATCAATTAAATATACTATTTAATTATAATTAATTAACGAATACAAACCCTATGAATTTAATTAATATTCTTTAAGAAATGAAGATTAAACTGCATACAATTTAAATGAATTATTTTATAAAATGAAATTGTTAATCTTCAATTGAATTAAAATTCATTGCCAAAGAAAAATTATAGTTATAGGATTAGAAATAATATTAATATTAATATGTCTTCCAAAAGAAGTTATATTTAATATTGAGCCTGTAACTATTATAGTATGTGTGTGAAGTCAAAAAGGATTAATAGTTGGGTAAAAAGCTTAAAAGGATTCACATCCTTTATTTCTCTCTTAATATGAATTGGAAATGAAAGTGAATATAACTATTATAAAAATGTTTTATTCTTAAAGAATAGATATTCAATCTATTGGATAAGAAAGAGAAAATTAAGAAATAATTAAATTTTTCCAAAGGAGCAGTAAGAAATGTAAAATAATGATAATGGAATTGAATAATAATCAATTATAAACAATCATTATCTTTAATACCATCCAATTTCACATTTTCCTGGTTTATAGCATTAATTGTGTTCATATTCTAATTATCTTTTGGCTTCTTGAGCTTTTTGTGAAGTTTATTTTTGTTTTTCTTAATCTCTCTTTTTCTGATTTTTTTTTGCCTATTTATCTGCATTTCTTTCTTTCCTTTCACTTTCTTTTTCAAGCATTTAAGCAAATTCTTCCATGTCTTTTCTGAAATTATCCTTTAAGTCCCACCAAATAGGAGTTTTATAATCTTCTTCAGTCAATCTTAACCATAATACTTATAAATATATTAATATGAAATTACCTGGTTCTATCTTTGTTAGATTCACATACATAGTTCCTACAGATTCCACTTTCTCATAACTAGTAGCTGGATCTATTGGTTTATACAATTTAATTGCATATCTATATTTGAATGGAATATGTGAAACAATTCCAAATGCTTCAATCAAAAGGGAATCATTCTTTATTTCAACTACCTCTAATTTTGCATTCAAACAAGCAGGTGCATCTTATCTGTGAGAGAACTTGATATTGATAAATGTAGCGTTTTTTGATTGAGCCCATTAAACAACAGGTTAGACAACTTAGACTTGATTACTTTTTGCCATTGCTAATTTGAATAGAGTTTACATTTCTCTTTAATTGAGATACTTATCATTCTTTAAGAATTAACTAAATAAATTAAAGAACAATACACAATTCTATCAGTAATGTCGATGTGATTTAAGAGGAAATAATTCTCATAAAGACTCAATGCAACTTTATAATATCCTCTTGAAATGATAAATTCCAAACATTCATATTCGATTTGATGATTCTTTACTACATGATCCTCAAAATAGATCTAAATTTTAACTAAAGAATTCTAAAATGCATATTACCTTCAGGATCACCAATAGTGAATTGTTCTAAATAGCATTTCTTGAGTAAGTCTTGAGAAGCTATAGAAACACTAATTAAGAATGTAAGGAAAAGCATATTAAATTACGTGTATTTTAATAATTAAGAAATTTCTATATTAAATGAAATAGGTGAATCGAACTTAAAATGAATAGAATCAAGTACATTCTGCAATTGCTTTTATCAGAAAATAGTATGAATGTATAGAATCTGAAGAAGTCCCTTAGGAATTATTAGATAATAAATACTATAAAGAATATGAGCCACTCGATAAACTAGAATTATTAACAGATCAACACATAAAATATTGTACAAAGAGACTATTAAATATTGGTTATTCTATTCTCTATTTGGATGTTGGGTAACCTTGGTGTATATATTGGCCATTAAATGCTTTGAGCATCTTATAAGAAGATGTATCAAAATATGAACATAAAATATTGTAATATTTAGAAAAATGTAAAATTGGTGGTTTTGGAGGAGGTCCTTATTAATATGAACATTTAGCACCTACATATTCATCTTTGTTATGTATAAATAATTTATATTTTAGCATTATTCATTATTGCATCTCCAGCTTCTTTAGGAATGATTGACAGAAAAGGATTGGAAAAGTTCTTCTGGTCTGTTCAGGATCCAAACGAAAAGGGATCTTATTTAATGCATGTTAATGGAGAAGCAGACATTAGAGCTGTCTATATAGTTGTGATAATGGTAGTCATTCTTAAATTAGAGTATCTCTATATTATAAAAATATTAGTCCAAAATTATTGGATGGTTGTGCTGAGTACATTGCATCATGTTAAACATATGAAGGAGGAATAGGAGCAGTTCGATATTCAGAAGCTCATGGAGGATATGCTTTTTGTGGATATGCTGCTTTAGTTTGTATGGGGAAAGCACATTATATTGATTAAGAGAAACTATTAAATTGGTTAGTGAATAGATAAATGGAAAAGGAAGGTGGTTTTAATGGTAGAACAAATAAAGTTGTTGATGCCTGTTATTCATTTTGGTAAGGAGCCATATTCAATTTGCTTTAATTATCTGGTTATCTCAATGAATAGTTAATGAATGTATATGAATTAAAGACATATATTCATATGTGTTAAAATCCAACAGGAGGAATATTCGATAAACCAAGTAAATCTCCTGATACTTACCATACATGTTATGGATTAAGTGGTTATTCTTTAACAGATAACAATTTTTAGAATCCAATATACAATGTTCCAAATAAATGTATAGATTTTGTACAAAAATTCTTCTAATGATCATAGATTAAAAAAAGTTACATATTATATTAATTCATAATTTAATAAGAATTATTATTATTTAATATAATAAAAAATATAAATAATTAATATTTATAAATGATTTCAATTATAATAGAAGAAATTGAATTAATATCGAATGTTTATTATATTACTCATATAATTTTCTTATCTACTTTAGATTTATTGTACATATATGCAGGACATATGTATTCTCCACAATTACATTTTGATCCAATATATTTAAAATCTCCTACTCTTTAATTACATTTTTAACATGATATTTTACCATCTTATTCATATTCTTCAATAAAATTAGGTCTTTCAATAAAATAATGATTGCATTCAGGTTCTATATGATATTAAATTAATTTTTACTTATTCCATGAACTAAAACTGCTGATACAAATACATCAGTTCTACATTTAATACATTTAAAAGCACAATCTTTTTATGATCTAATTTAAGTTTTAAGATGAGCTGAAATCTATTAAAAATATTGATCTTATTGAAATAATTCCTACTCTTCTTAGATCTTACTAGTAACTTTAATTTCTGGTTTTTTGAATGAGATAGTTTATAAAATTTCATTTAAATTGCATTAAGTAATTTTTTAAACTACAGATGCAATAAGTGCTGGAGCTCTATTAATTCCAAATTAACTATGAATTAAGACATTTCCTTCTTTATTATTTAAAAACCATTATAAGGTTTGATTAGGAATGATTTCACCCTATTCTTAAATATTCAACTTCAAGTAATTAAATTTTTGTTTAAACTCATAGATATTTGGGCATTCAGAAGTACCAAAACTATTTAATTTAATAAGCCTTACAATTAATAATATGTTTGATTTGTTTTTACTCCAAAAAGTTTAAATTGGAAGCATCATTTATTGATCCAATATAGATTTATTGTATAGGTGAAAATGTAAAGACAAATGCCATTAATTAAAATAATTTATATATTAATATATTTATAATTACTAAGAATTGAAATACATCTTGTATAATTTAGATACTTTTTAGATTGAAATGAACGTTATTAAATGAAGTATTCTCACATTAACTTTATTACTAAAAAATAATTCAAAGTGAGATTTTGATTTATATTTATTTATTTATTTATATTATTATGAAATCAAAGGATAATTATAAGATATTAGGTCTAACAGTATTTTTAGCAGCTACTAGTTATTACTATTTACAAAAAAGAAAGAATAGACCCTTATGTTAAAAGATAGCAGATAAATTTCAAAGTTCATATGATAAAATTGAATCATACTTTTATGGTAAAGGTATAGAAGAAGTAATACTCATAATTTATTGAAGTTGAATAGATCTCTTTTAAATAATTAAGAATATATGCAGATTCTACAATAAGCAGAAAATGATTTCTTTGATTTATAGATAGTATATGAAGAAATATCTAAAGTGGATTTTATTAGAGAATTATCAATCATAAATAAATAAAATAATTAATTATTAGAAATAAGACTAGTTGCTTAATATGTTGAAAAGTAATGAAATGATAAAGTATATAGAAATTCACTACGATTAGTTTAATAATAAATTATTGAAAAGTTAGCATCATAGAGAATGACAATAATGCAACCTAATATTTAATTTGGAGATTCTACTATTCAATTTTTAATGTTTGTTTAATGTGCTTTTCTAAGATTGATATATGAAGTAGAAAATGTATTAAAAATAAAAAATAATAATCATTAAATAATTAGACATAATTTTATTTTGAAATGTATCTTAGATTACTTAAATAAAAAATTGACTGATTATCCAAATCTAAAAAATCTAGTAGCAATAGTAATGCTTGAGAAAATAGGATCCAATTAATTTTGTTTTGAATTTTATCATGATTGCAAAGATCTCTATTATACAAAAACCATAGAAGATTGTTAATGTCTTTAAAGTTGTGATTGTTGTATTTTTGATTTACTAACTAGATATATTTCAATATTTTAATTATCTGTTTAAAAATAATTGTTTGAATTTATCAAATGTAATTAATTATTTTAGACTCATGAACATATATTGTAAATGGGGAAAATATTATTGAAAAATATATTCTATTTAGGAGGATAGTTAAATCAAAACTAACTTTGTTATTATGACACATTTTCACCATTACATAATTTATTAATAGAAGCAACCTCTAATAAAAGTATATAAGAAGAAATATTGAAATCGGAGGAGTTTAGAGTTAGTATTTAATACATTGAAAAAGTTATAAAGTCTAATGAAAATTCTTTTTTAAATAACTTTTTAGATAGTTTAATTGATTTATATGCAATTATATATCCATTGTTTTATAATTAAAATGCTTTGAAATCAGTTATCAATGATGATGTAAAAATAAAATCGATTTTAAGTACATTTTTTGGAGTGTTACTTAACTTAGAGACTAGAGATACATATACTTCTAATAAATGTATTAATTAAAATATATAAAATTAGAAAATGATATTAGTATTTTGGATTGGTTTGCTATGAATATGGGTACTATATTTACTTAATAATTATTGGGGAATATTTCAGTTGAATTTATTCTATAATTACTCAAACTTAAAGAGATTTAAAAAGAAATAATAGATACTTATATTTATTGCTTAAGAACCTCTTAAAATAAAAGAATTTAAGATAAATAAGAATAAAAGAAAAATATTGATGTCAATTCTTTCATCTCTAAATTAATAAGTTTAGTTGTAATTTCATTATTAAAAGAAGATTTTACTAATTAAAATATGGATTCAATTATAGATAAATTAGAATTTGTTGATGAGGATGAAAGATCAAATATATTCTTAAATATAATGAGAATTCAATTTGAAATCCCTTCAATGAATTTGAATTATCTTAGATACGTCTCTCAGAAATGCCTATAATTATCTGAAGAAACCTTCCAATCCTTTAATGGATACTTCACCAATCTTTTGAATCCAACTACTCTATCTTATGATCAATATATGATTTCTATGCAATTAGGAATCATTTATGGAAAAGTTGACTCCTTTTTTGGATCCGTCGGATAAAGTTTTCAGAGAGATCTCTAACAATATGAATAATACAAGGACTTCTTATAAAGAGATGTAATTTATTTATTTTTAATTCATTAGCTAATTCTTATTGTAGATTTAATGGAGAATCCTTACTACTTTGCTAATGTATTAGTTCATAATGGAAATTGTCCTGAAGATATTTATCAACATTTAATAAAAAAAGCTGCAATTTCTATTTGGTAATTGAATCCTAAAATCAATTTTTCACAATTACAATATCAAATTTCTTTATTTTTATGTCTAGAAAATTTACCTAATTATATTCAAGAAATGTTTATTGAAAATTAGAACAAAATTATTAGATTAAAAGAATAATATGAGTAATTATGGCCATTTTAATGTTTATAAAGAGATTTATCATCAGTTGACATTTATTTGAAATTAGTTGGGGATGAAGTCGTATTCAATGAAGTACATAATTCCTTTGATTTATTAGTTATTGTAAGATTAGGCTAGTTTTGAATTCTTATCCAGAATATAAGAAGTCTTATTTAAAAGCCCTAATTTTATATAAATAATTTATCAATTACTATTGTGTGTCAATAGATTGAATTTAAAAATTTGGATTGGCAAAATATTGTTTTATGCTAAAAAGTTAAGATTAAACAATAAAGAGTGTGATACCTTATTAAAATCTAAAGAGTGTTAATCCTTTATATAAGAAATGCCAGATAATTATAGGAAATATATGTTATTACAAAATTGAAATTTAGATATATATTATTTTATTAAAGATGTTATTTTTATACTATAATTAATGATGATTATAATATTTTTTTAGTTATAATGAGTAGTGGTTAGTTTATTAGATAAACAAATAAATTAATTTAATTGATAAAATTTATTAATAAAAGATATTATTTATAATAATAAGAATATAATATTTATTTATTTCTTTGATCATTTTTATAGATTGGAGTATTTAATTATAATGTAATCATTTTGAAAATATATTATAATCGATATTAAAATAGATTTATTTTTTCTAAGAATAATTAATTAGTTTTATTAAATACATAATAAAGTAGTATAATTATAAATAGATATTTCCGAAAATTCTTTAAATAATAACAAAATTATTAAAATTTAATCAGGATTTATTGATCATCTAATATATTATAAACTCAAAATCATTGTTAATAGAAATTATGTATATGAGACTCTAATTTTAATTGAACATCTTTTCCACATGATAAAAAATCATCAATTTAATCTGATTAATAATTTAAAGCCTTCATAAATCCAACAGCAAAAATGAATTTGATTGCTTAAATATTATAGGTAGGTCTTCCAACATTATGTTTTTCATTTAAAGGATCTTATATTAATAGAGTTGGAATTTGATTAATTGCATTTTATGGATTAAAATAAATGGGATAAGCTGAAATTTATTAATCAGGTAGGTATACATATATGGTCTTTGCAATATAGTCCATTTCACATCCATATAAATACAAAAATTCAATTAAACATTAAGCTAAGGATAATTATTAACCAGTTCTTGATTATAAAAAGGAAATAATCATTAAATTCAAACCATAACTACTTAAACCACCTTGATATGGATCTAAGAGAGATGATTAAGATAGAAATTATTTTAATACCATTGTTAAAGGTCTCAATTCTGGCAAATAGTTGAGATATGATTTGATTAATGAAACACATTGAATACCATTATGTCTTGGTTCTTAAAAAGATATATCAATTCTTTTATTAAAATAATAGCTAATAGACTTCAATTTAAGGACAGGAATTGCAGTAAATAGAATACATTTAGTTTCTTCAATAAATTTAGTTTTTGAAAATTCAATTTCCAATTTTTTCATTTGATCAACAATATACATAGTTTATGCAGTCATGATCACAATATCAATATCACTATTTGGTAAAGAGAGTTCAGTTGCAAAGGATCCATAAACATATGCTTCTTAATTTAAAACTCTTCTGACTGTGGCTTTAATTTTATTAATTAATTCTTCTAAATTTTGTTAATATTATTTATTATATTGATCTACTTCTTGAATGTACTTATTGATGCTTAGATTAAGTAAAGTGAGTGAATCTTCTTTTGGAAGTATTTAAACAATTTTTTCAGTTTAAACTTCAATTTCTGTCTTTTATTCTTTAGGAAGAATATTAAGTAAACGAAGACGATCTTTATTGGATTTAGTAATGGCATCTAGATCAGAGAGATCAGCCATTGTATGAAACATTTTGGACATATTTTATTTAAATTAAAAGTATTTATTAAATATTCGTTTTTGTTCTATGAATTAAGATGTTTTAAAGCAGATTCGATAGCATTTCCCAATTATAGACAATATAATGTTTCGAAATATTCTATCTCAATAGAAAGATTAGAACCTATTGATAACATTAGTTTATATATTGAAGAGAGTTAGGGAAATAGTAGGACATATGGAAGATGTAACAAAGTTTGCATTATCATTATGGGAAAAAGAAGAGATATAGATTTCAAAAGAATGTAAAAATAAAATATTTATTATTAAAGTACATGACGAGATAATATTGAATTTGGTTGAATCGAAATTTTATTATTAAGCTCTTTTGGCAAATAAAAATAGCCAATTTTTGAGTAATATTGGAGTTAAACATTAGATAAGAACAAGATTTATACTGAAGTATCAGAATTGTCAGAACAAAGTAAAAAAGTCAATGATATATTGATCCAAAACTTTAGTGCATAAAGACCATATCAATTATTTGTAGAAGAATAACAAGAATTGTAATCTAAGAAAACTGCTTAGACTCCAAAAATACCATAAGTATAGAAAGGATAGAAATTATGTTCTTTGACTTTGAATATTTAGGATCGTGATTAAGTGGAGAAATTATATAGAAATAATAAATAATATTTGCAATAATTGGGTATTAAAATGGAATATCCTAAAAATACAACAGCAACATAAACAGAATAGGTTGATGGATTAATACCTTTAAGTAGTAAAAAGAATAAGAATCAATAAAAAGATTAAAGTAAGGAAATGAAATTCTATGAATATCAATTGGAAATGGGTTAATGTACTCAATATTTGCCTACTTATGATACAGTAGAATAATTAACTTAAGATATCAAATTATTTGTTTCTGAAATAGATTAATATAATAAAAAAAATAGAAATGCATTCTAAAAACTTATAGATGAAATTTCAGCTGTTGTAAGTGCCACTTATGCAGGAGCTTAAATAGATGTATATGGTTCTTATGCAACAGAATTATGTTTACCACATTCAGATATAGATTTAGTGATTAAAATATCTAATCAACATGAAAAATTTGTGACTGATATTTTATAAAGAATTGAGGTTGAATTAAAGAAATGTAAATTTATTGAGGAAACTAAATGTGTTACATAATCAACTACTCCAGTACTTAGAGCTAAATGCAATAAATAATATATGAATAAAAGACTTGATATTTCAATTCAAGAAACTAAACATAATGGTTTGTAATGTGTTTAGTTGATTCGTAAATATATCAAAAATTATGAACCCCTCAAACCATTGACACTTATAATGAAATAGTTTCTTCATAAAAGTGATCTCTCTGACACCTATAGTGGTGGCTTAAGTTCGTATGGATTGATATTGATGATAGTATCGTTTCTCCAAAGCTACCAAAATCAGGATAAGAATTGGCCAACAATAGGTACATTACTTATTGAATTCTTAAATGTATATGGATGTGAATTAGACTATGCTGGAAAAACAATATGTCCTGATTAACCTGAAGTTTTTGAGTAGGAAACTACTATAATATTTGACCCACACAATTTTGCATATTGCCAATAACAAAGTTTGGTTATCATTGACCCACTCAATCCATAAAATAATGTCGGACGTCCATCCTATAATGTTGCTAAGATCAAAGTAAATCTTCTTTTTCTCATCTTTTTTAGCTTGCATTCACTGTGGCTTTTTCTAAGTTACTAACCTTTGATTCCTCAACTCAACAATACCCACTTAAGTTTTTTTTCAATTCCGCTCAAAATATTCAATGTTCCCTACATTCTGTGCTTGTCAATCAATATAAAGCCTATGCAGATCAAATTATGTTTGGTACATCTACACGCTATTGAATTTATAAGAAAATTCTATTTAAATCCAATTATTATGAGATTTATTATTTTAATATCAATCTTATTCCATCGAAAAAATTCATTTAGCCAATAATTATAAGGATTGCATATTCATAATGAATGCAATATTTCAATTAGTTTTATATTTAAAAGAAAAAAATAAGGAAAGAATTTTCAGCAATCGATAAATATATTTGATATGCATAAATCAAATAAATTATACAATCATATTTATATTAAATATAAATAATCTCTAAAGTCAAATTTAGATTTAATTTCATATAACAACTCAATTAATAAATTTATTATAAAGATCTTATAAATTATTGCAATTCTTAATTAAAAATGTAGAATAGTGATATGATCATTAGTAATGACAATGCATTGATTCAGCTTAACCTGTGATAATAATGACAAAGATGTTTTAATATAATTTATTTAGATGATATATAAATTTAATAATTTATCCTATAAAATGAGTTAAATGAAAAATAAAACTTTAAAATCTATAATCTAATTTGCTTCCATGGGATTTAATTTTCACTTACAATGACAGATTATTATCAAATAATAAACAATTAATGATGTAAAACATTAATTTAGTAAATATATTAAAAGATATTGAACAATTTTGAATGCCAAAATATATAATTTAATTTAATTAATTTCAAGATCAATGGTAGATTTATAATTGATAGTATAGATTACATTATTTATAAATATTTATAAAATTAATATCATTTTCTACATAAGATAATTGTTCAATATACAATTAATTAATAATAATTGTTTACAGTTTTATAAAATCAAGCATTATTATCTTGTGACACTTTTTTACTTATATTTTGAGTGGAAATGACTTAAACATTACGACTTTTATTTTTTCTGAAAATTAAATAGATTATAGTAAAGACAATGATTACAAATCCAGAGCATAAAGTTGTCATTTCATATCCAATTTTCTCAACAAAAGCTCCACAAATAATTGGACCAAATATATCACCTAAAGACCAACCAAATTAATATAGATTTGCTCCTATCAAATTTGCTTTGCATATTCCAACTTTGTCTATACAGGAATCACTTATATTTGGTATAAAGAGTGCACAACCAATACCTAAACTTATTCCTCTAATAAATTCTCCAAATAGAATAAAACCTATAGAATGTGGTAACTTAAATACTGTAGGACAATAGAAAAAGAAACTTATTCCCAAGATCCACATTCCTATTTTAAAAAGAGTTTATTCTTAGAAATAAGTTTAACGAGCAACCAAGATTGCAGATAATAAGTAGGTGAAAATAGGAATCATAAAGAGATAAGAGATATTATACTCTGTAAGACCATAAAAAACTCCTAATTCATTAGCCTATTTATTATTATTATATAAATTACCAAAAAGGGTCTTAATCCATTCTCAAGAGCAGAAAGCCAAAAGAAAAAGATAAAAGTTACTTGTAATGACTTGTTTTTAAAAATATCAATATAATCTTTAACTTCTAATTTACCATCCTCTTCTGTAATTTCTTCCTATTCTTGAAGAACCTCTAATTGAGTGCTATTTTGCATTTTATTACCACTTTCAAAAAGATTAATATGATTTATCTATTAACTATTATTTATCTTAGGAGAATCTGGAATAGCTATTTATTTTCCTTCCCTTTTTTGTTTAATAATCTACCTTATTTAAGTTTACCATTTGTTAATTGCCTTTTTAACATTAAGAGAGTCCTCCTCACATGATCTATCTTCTCCTCCACTAGAACTGCTTTTTCTCATTCCATTGATTTGAGGTACTTCCAAAGTTTGCATAGTTGTGTCATGTCTCTAAAGCTACCCTTCCATATTATCTACATTTTAAACTGACTAATTTAATATTTCATTCGGTTTGAGTTATTACTAAGACTAATTTAAATCTTCATTTTATTGAATTAAAGAATTATCATTTTAAACAATAACTTCAATTGGAGTAATTGTTTAAGTTTTTGTGATAATATTGATTGGATTATTTTGATTAATTGAAGGTCTACGCTATTCATTTTGTTTTTTCTTTGGAGAAATTCCTTCTGGTACTTCAGGTAGATAAAAATACTTGTATGTAACCAAAAAACTGATCACATATATTGTTGCTAATCCATAACATGGTAATTAATAAGTATCAAATGAAATAAGTTAAGCAATCATTGTGAAGAATCCTGTACTTGTTAGTCTACCTGCACAATGACCCATTTCTAATACTGCAATCTTTTAAGTCACATCTTCTTTAAATAATATTGGTAATGCTGCATATGATGGGATGAGTAAAAAAGAAGCTCCCTATTGATATAGTTAAATTATAATACAGATCCTATGATTAATCGAAAAATGCATGATAACGCAAAAAATAGACCACCTTCCGAAAATTTAGACACACCCATTCCAATTGTTGCTATAGAACTCTAAATCAATCCAATCAATATAGCTTTTCTTTTAGAACTACACATAGAAACAAAAGGTGTAGCAATAACACTTCCAATAGGATAAAATGCAAGCATGATACCAATTTCAGTCTCAGTAAATCCTTTTTATGATGCCACTGGTGAAAAATAAGGTAATAAGGCAGTGTAAACACTATCTGATATTGCTACTAAGTCAAAAAGAATAAGGAAAAGAGTAATTTGTAATTGCATATATATTATTATTATAAGTTCAATCTATGAACATCATTTTCAAAAATATTTAATTTAATTTATTAATCTGACACAATTTATTTATTAAAATGACATCATTTTTATTACAAAATTGACATTTTTCGCAATCATCACCAACTCTGTTTATACCTTCCTTTTTCAATTTAAATTTCACTATTCTAAGTATTTTGTATCAATATTGAAATTTCACTATCAATTTGAACATTTAATATAAATTTGTGATTTTAAACGTTTCAGTTTCCTTTTATTTTTAACTTATGAAATCTTTAAGATTTATATTTTATAAATAATATTAATTTATGTGTTAATCAAAAAATTTCATTTCTATTTTCAAAGTATATGAAATTCTTTTTTTTTTGTAATATTTTGATCTTAGTCTTTCCAATTCCAAAATAGTTTCATCCTTCCATAATAGTTGATATTTGTATCCTACTTATTCAATATTTTATTGGAAAATATATAAAATTTTATAAAAATTGATGTTTACAAATAAATTTATTTGAAATCTTAACTAAAACATATTATGCACTTTCTAAATCTAAAATACGTATATAAAACCTTAAATACTGAAATTATGTTGTTTATTTCATAGTTGGTTATATGCTTTCTCTTTATAATTAGATATTTTAAGAAATCCATATATTAACCAAACTTTTAGCTATTTTATTACTTCATTATCTTTAGATCTAAAAAACGATGTTGTTTTTCTATTTAAATAATTAATTCAATATATATCTCATTAAAAAATTTTTGCCTTGTTTTAAGTTTATCATTAACTCATATAAAGTTTTATAATCTCCTCTCTCTTTTAATCTCAAAATTCATAATTCCTCTTTCAACAATTATTTCTTGTAATATTTAACCACATTTTCATCAAATAGATGTGATAATATTCTATAGATTAATTTATAGTAATGTTCGAAAGTTAAGCTTTAATTGTTTTAGAACTATCATAAATTGAACTTAAAATAATTAGAATAAATTTATCTAAATAATTAAAACATTTTTTGGTTAAGAAATTATTATGATATATATATATTTATTTTCAATGAAATTGCATCATTATATATTGATTATATATTATGGAATTTGATTATTTACTGCAGTTACATAGAATTATTAGATGTATTGGCTTAATCAAGAAAGTTTATATTATTATTAATTATAACTATTTTATATATTCATCTAATTTTCTTTAGTATAAATAAACATAAGCTAAGAATTGGATAATCTTGATTGTTCTATAAAGAGATGATTAAAAAATATTATATATAATATTGAATTTAATGAGATTGTGAGATGTATTAATTAATAATGATGCATTTTAATTTGAATAATGTATTGTATAAGAAACATGTATATGAAAGAGAGATGAAAAGAAAGAGTATAGATGAAATTAGACTAGATATTTGAAATTGAATTGGTTTAACTTTTTTTTGGTTTTAATATTTAATTTAAATGGAAGAATAACCGTAAATTGAAAATACCATAATAGAAGAAAGGTATAAGAAAGCTGATGGAGAGACTGCATATCGTAGATACTAGAAAGGTAAGGTTTTAGGAAAGGGTGGGTTTGCGAAATGCTATGAAGTTACTTCTATTGAAAGCAAGAAAGTATTAGCAGCAAAGATTATTGCTAAAAGTACTTTAAAAAAGGGGAGAACAAAAGCTAAGGTATTAATATAGATTATATGTAGTTAATTACTGAAATAAAGCTTCATAAATCACTTCATCATTAGAATATTGTTTAATTTGAAGATGTATTTGAGGATAATGAAAATGTCTACATACTTTTGGAACTGTGTTAAAATCAAGTGATTAAATTTATTTTAATGTTATTAGACTTTAAATGAATTATTGAAAAGAAGAAGAAGAATCACTCAAATAGAAGTGCAATGTTATTTGAAGTAATTGATAGGTGCATTAAAATATATACATTCTCATAGAATTCTTCATCGAGATTTGAAGTTAGGCAATCTATTTATAAATGAGAAGATGGAATTAAAATTAGGAGATTTTGGTTTAGCTACAAAATTAGATTATGATGGATAAAGAAGACATACTATTTGTGGTACTCCAAATTATATTGCACCTGAAATATTAGATGAAAGAATGGGACATTCATATTAAGTAGATATTTGGTCAGTTGGTGTTATTATCTATACACTGTTAATAGGGAAACCACCTTTTGAAACTTCAGATGTAAAGACAACTTATAATAAAATATCACAATGTTAATTCAATTTTCCAGATCATATTCAAATATCTGAAAATGCTAAAAATTTAATATCTAGAATTCTAGTTCTTGATCCTTCTAAAAGATTAACATTAGATGATATTTTAAGCCATCCTTTTATGACATCAAATCCAATTCCTAAAACTACTCATATTTCTTAATTATTAAGTCCACCAACAGCAACATGGTTATCTTAATATTCTTAGGCTGCAATGTTTAGTTCTTAAGCTATTATGTTTAATTCTAAATCATTATAACCTGAATTAGTATAGGTCAAAACTACATCCTAAATTCCAAAGATGAATGATATATTTTCAACTTAACTCAAAATGTCTTAAGCTTAACGTATTAAGAGTATTTATTTATTTAAAAATATAGCATTAACTGAAGGAATTAATTATTTAAAAGAAAATCAATAAACTTAGTAAAAATAAAGTTTAAATTTCGAGAATAATACATAATCATAATTTGTAATTGTCCTATTATAACTTAGAGTAAGGAGAATAGTGGCTTATATGTTATAAAGTGTTGTGATTATCAAAGTAAATATGGTATTGGTTATGTTCTATCTAATAATAATTGTGGAGTTCTATTTAATGATTAGACTAAAATTATCAAATGCAACAAATTATAATTCAATTATATAGATAAATTTAATCTAATATAGAATTATGAATTTGATAATTATCCATCAGATTTAATTAAAAAAGTCACTTTACTATAAAAATTTACTTTGTATTTAGGAATTGATGAAAATACAACAAATTCAGAAGTTTCATAAGTTTTCGTTGATAAATTTCTTAAAACAAGAAATGCTCTTCTTTTGAAACTTACTAATGATGTAATTTAGGCTAATTTTATTGATAAAACTGTTATTGTTATCTTATAAAATTAGAATATTATTTTTGTTAATGAAAAAGGTGAAAAATTTAGTTATACTTAAGAATAAATAAAGGATAAAGATAAAATTCAAAGAAGGTATTATAAATAATTTAATTTTAGGTATAATTATGTATAACAATTAAGAAGTGGCTGTTAATGATGAATGTTTACTTTATTTTAATAATTAATTTATAAAAAAATATTCTGGAAATTTTAAATGGACAATCCAAAGAAAGAGCATTCATATACATATTGGGTTAAACATGATCCTAATCATCCAAAAATTGATTGTTAACCTAAAAAAGTAGAGGATCCTTCTTAAGTTTAATAACCTTAAACTATTGGATCATAATGGAATGTTTCAGGAACTTGGGAAGAAAAGAAAGTACCCATGAATGAGATTAAAAAATCATTGGAGAATATTATTGGAGTATATAAGCTATTAAATATATTTTAGATGAAAATAGGATAAACAAAGATTTCAGCTATAGAATCAGTTGAAGGAGAGGCTCATCTATATTTAAGCAGAGGAAAAAAGAGAATGGGTTATCATCTAAAAATCACATATGCTCTTGAAGATGATGGATAAATCAAATATACAGATTTTACAGATGATGGAGATAGAGATGTAATATAAAAATATAAATAATCAAGTATGTATTAGAAGATGTAAATGATGAAACAGTTAAACATTAAATTGAAGAATTACATGATATAACAAAGCAATATGTAGAAGTGTTTAAAAATTGATATTGATCTATATTTATTTTTAAAGTTATTTTACACTTTATATATGTTTAATAAAAGAAATTTAAATGAACAATGTCATTTCTTCAATATAATTATTCAGTATTTTTTTAATACGTTTTGGAAATACTTTTAGTATTAATAAATTCATTCATATTTTACAGGTCCAATACAATCAGCTATATCTCCCTCATTAAACTTATCACTACCTTTGATGACTCGACAAGTGACCTTCATTATTGATCCTTCCATTTAACCATCATACTTTATTTGAGCCCCATCCTCAAATGTAGCTATACAATCTAATATTCCATTTTTTAAAGTTCCAGCATATATCTTTTTTAAAGCATCTTCTTCATTATCATTCTTATTTCCACCACTTATTGTTCCATTAGATGAAAGTTCAAACTTCATTTCCCATCCTGAATTGGTTACCAAATTATACTACTAAACCCCTTTTAAAATTTTCCATGTACAAGTTCCATCTTCACCTCCTCCAACTTTCACTTTTACTTATTTTTGTTCTGTTTCACTACTTTTGCTACAATGACAAATACCCATTCAAATTAAAAAAAATATTAAAAATCATATTCAATCAATTTTATTATTTTCTTGACATTTTTCATAATATAATTGAAGTTAATGTTAAAATCCTTCATTTGGATAAACAAAGTCTCTTTTGTCTTTTATGTATTATAATGCAACATCTGGACTCATATGTAGTTCTTTAATAAAAAATGCAATAAGTATAGAGACAGATCTTGAAACACCTACTTAACAATGAACAAGAACATTAGTTGATTCAAGATGATGTTTAATAAACGAATTTGTTTATTAAAAATGTTCAAATAAATTATAATTTGGTTCATCATAAGCTACAATTCTGAGATGATGTACATAATCTGGAATCTTTTTATCTAATTTTTCAATTGCAGAGATAATTGCACCAAATTTATGCTTCTAAATATATTCAAGTGATTTTATTCCTCCTACATACAAATTGCCTTTTTCTTTATATTTAGATTAATGAATTAGAGTACAACCATAAATTTCCTATTACATTTTAATATTATTATTAAAGAATTACTTTACAATTAATATAGATATAATTAATTTTAGAAATAAATATTATTATCTTAAGTAAATCCTAAGATTATCAAATATTTATAAATGAAAAAATTATGAAATTAATGTTATGATTAAATATAATCAAGTAATAATTATAACAGATATGAAAGAGACTTAATAATTTATAATATTCAAATTTTTTATAATTCATTCATTAATTTACTTTATCATATAATTAGAAATTGAGAATAGACTCTAAATGGTTAAAAATGAATATTTAATTAAGAATTGTATTTGGTATTATATAAAATGAAATGAAGTTGATTTAAATAGTAAGATAACATATTTAGATTTTTTAAATTTGGATCTTTGAATATAATAGTATAATAAGGTATATTATATGAATATTTTAATAATTTTCATGAAAGGAAGAGTTTTAACCTGATGGAAAAAGTAGTATCAAAGAAAGCAATTCAGAATCTAGCATTTAAAGAATATTAGACTATATATTCTTAAGTTTTACCAATATTCAAGAAATATTAATAAGAAATAGATAATAGTGATGATGATTCCTATAATAATAAAGAGTAAGAAGAAGACAAAAGATTAATATTTGATCATATCAATTAATTAATAGATTGCTTAAAATCTGGTATAGAATTAAGTTTAGGTTAATCATTCTATATAATATAAAATTATCATCCTTTTGGTAAAGATCAAGTAATTCATATTGATCATAAATATGAATAAATTTTAATTCTTATTTATTAGGATAATAATTAATAATGCAATAGATATTTACTTAAATTCTTAAGATTATATTAGAAAACTTAGAAATTTAAAAACAAAGTTAGATTTTTTGTTTTGAGCAAACATAAATTGAACAATTATGAACTCTTTTTCTTAAAAAATCAAGGCATAGAACAAATTATAGAATTTTATTTCCCAAAAAAAAATTCATCAAACTATGAATCTATTATTTCCTAGAAAAGCATAAAAATTATGTCAAAATAAATTGAATGATTAAACCTAATAGTATTATAGTCCATTTTCTGATGAATTCAATTTTGTAAAATGTGCAGAAATTTAGAGTTCAAGATATTTTGACATTATTGAATTTTCCACTTGCTGACAAATCTATTTTAAATGATATTGATGTATATAGATTTGGAAACAACTAAAAAATTAAAAGAGGATGTTATGGATGTTATGGAGATGTTGAAGGCATCAGATATATTGTATTAAATTGTTTATTAGGAAAAATTACTGATTTAGTATGATTATTTATTTTAAGATTAGGCTTTATTAGATTTTTGTTAAGACTTTTCCAATGAAATCAGAACTGGAAGATCTAGATATCGAGAATATTGTTAAGAGAACCAAGATTAATTGTTATAATAATCCTTCTATGTTGTTATTGAGAATACCATTTTATATGGATATTATAATTATTGAGTGTTATGACTCATTACAAAAATAATAAAATCTTATTCATGAAAACTCTGAATCTTGATCTTCTTCAATTTATTCATATTTTACTGTCTTCTTATCATAAAATATCTAGTTAATTATCAATCATTTACTATATAGAGCCCTAATAACCATTGCAAAATGAAGAACAGTATGCAAAATACACGCAAAGTTACATCGTTATTAATATTATATAACCAAATCCATAAAGGAAAGAAAACAAATTATTAGATTAATTGTTTTTTATCTTATTATTCTTTAATAGTTATTTTATTATCTATATAGCTTATGGCTGAACTTATTAATATCAAAACTACAAACACAATTACTGGATAAGCCTTTTCAATATAATTATATTTTAATTACAATAATATAACCCAAATTCTTATTATATTCTTCTGAAAAAGTAGACTCAAAATATCCACTAAAATAACCTAATTTTTCATTAGTAGGACATTTAGTTTTAGGTGATTTATCATATTTAGGACAAGGTATGAAATTTACAATCACCATTGCAATTGTCCATATTATAAATTTGAATAAACCAGTATAAGAAATATATTTGGAATGCTGAAATACATATCTTTAAAATATTATGAATTCAAATTACTAATGCATAAATTCTTCTTTTAATTTGATTGTATATATATTTGTTCCTATTTGAAGTAGAGTTGCTATCAAACCAATATAACATTTATCATTCCCATCAATATCTAAAGCAAGTGAAAAAATGCCTGTTAATAGAACAACACCTGCATAAATGATTTTTAATTAATCGTATTTATTCGTATATATGATATAGAATACAAACACAATTCCTTAACACTATATTAATTATTTTAATTTACTATAATGAACAATCCAAAGCTCATATAGAATAATTCAAAACATATTAAAAATATGTCTGCTGCTTGTATTGATGCATGAATTGCATACAATGTTAATGGTATATATGTTTATTTATGTTCACTTATTTCTTTTTCAAGAAGCTATTCTCTCTCCTCATCATTTATGGATTCTTCCTTTATTAAAAATACCATTGATAAAATCATTCCAAAAAACCATAACCAAATCCATTCAAATAAATAAAACATACCATTGTATTCAAATAAGCCTATCATTAATAAACTCAAGGCTAAAAAGCTCTTAATAAATAAATTTCTATACATGACACCATATAAGAGTAAAAAAAACATTTCTTTTTTTATTAATTATAATTCCATAAATATATTAATAAAATATTGAAATTAAACTCAAGAAAACAAAAATAATAATTATGGAATGAGATTTTAATCAGTAGCCTCTATGATCCATATATTTTTCTCAATCATCATTATTCTAATATAGTTATTATATCCATAAGTAGCTCCTAATTAAATTATTATTAATCCTATACCATAGTAATTATTCACTTCAGTAAATCTAATTTTCTTAAATGTGTCCCAACCAATCTATAATCTAAATGGATGACTTTAATATAATCGAACATCCTTAATCTTTACTTAAAATATTTCTGCTCTCAAATCAAGGAAATCTATAAAGTTATATTGACTTGTTGGTAACAACACATTTAATATTTAATTATCAATCTCTATCTTACAATTAATAAGTTCCTTGCATTCATCAACCACTATTAAATATTGTAATTCTTGTTCCAAAATCTTTTTATTGTCTTATTTTATCCAAAACTTCGTTGCTGTATGTAATAAATTCATAATTACATTTATCTCCTTAAAATTTAATATTAATTGACAAACTTTGATCAACCTTATTAAAAATATACAATGATATTTTTAAATAATTTTTATTATTCAACACTTAAAATTATAATCCAAATGTACAATAAACTCTAATTAATTCATTCTCAAATAAATTCCCCTTCCCTAATAAACATGTCTTCTTCCAAACATCAATCATTTTTTAAGTATATCCACATTTACTTAATTTTTATTATATATCTAGAAATTGATTATTTTATTAATGACCTGAATAAGGTGCACTAATTTACTATTGAAAAACATCATATTATTATTATTATTATGAATTTCTGATTTCTTTAAATTAATCTTAACTTGACCCAACATTCTTTTTATCTTATTCTTAATCTACACTACTACCAAAAGTTAATTTCATTCCTTAAGGTTTTTATGTATACTAATCTTCATACTATTACAAAGATAAATTTTTATTTTCTTATCTTTAGGGTTATTAATAATAATCTTATGAAAATTAATTTTTATTCTATTATGGTATTGTTTACTCAAATTATGAATATTCAGTTTCAAGTAAAAGTGTATTACTTTATTGAGCTGGTTTAAAAGATTTTTATTGATGTTAATCTTATTAATTTTAATATTACTTTTATTAGAACTATTAATCATATTAAATTTGTTATTATAAAAGTTAATTTTACATATCGAATGGATCATATTCATCATATTAATTATTTTACTATTACTAAATTACTTTTTATTTTTCAACTTATTTAATTTTATTTTAAGATCTTGATTAATCAATCTATTATTATTATTATTATTATTATTATTATTATTATTATTATTATTATTATTATTATTATTATTATTATTATTATTATTATTATTATTATTATTATTATTATTATTATTATTATTATTATTATTATTATTATTATTATTATTATTATTATTATTATTATTATTATTATTATTATTATTATTATTATTATTATTATTATTATTATTATTATTATTATTATTATTATTATTATTATTATTATTATTATTATTATTATTATTATTATTATTATTATTATTATTATTATTATTATTATTATTATTATTATTATTATTATTATTATTATTATTATTATTATTATTATTATTATTATTATTATTATTATTATTATTATTATTATTATTATTATTATTATTATTATTATTATTATTATTATTATTATTATTATTATTATTATTATTATTATTATTATTATTATTATTATTATTATTATTATTATTATTATTATTATTATTATTATTATTATTATTATTATTATTATTATTATTATTATTATTATTATTATTATTATTATTATTATTATTATTATTATTATTATTATTATTATTATTATTATTATTATTATTATTATTATTATTATTATTATTATTATTATTATTATTATTATTATTATTATTATTCTAAATCTCTTTAGTAATTAATTTAAGAAATAATTTTCTCCTTCTTTTCAATTTAAGTATTTGTTAATTCATTTAATCTTGATACATCTTATGTTTCATCTTAACCAATTTATCTTATTGGAGATAGAGGTTAAATTTTAGATTTTTAATAAGCATCAGATGGAGTATAATTCTTTTTAGTAATTTTACTAGCTTCTGTTAAAACTGCATGTTGAAATTCCAAAAATCCATTCTTAGTTTTATTTCTTTCAAAATGATTAAACTTTAAATTGAAAATCTTTATGAAATTACATAACAATTCAATCTAATCCTTTTATTATTGACTCAATTTATCAGATAATTCATATTCCAATTATTGTAATTTAGCATCGCTCTCTTTAAAAGTATCACAATAAAACTATAACACTAAAATCATAATTTTTAGGTACTGTCTTTTGCACCCTCTGGATTGCAATTTTAATCATTAAGCATATCCCAAATTGTGTCAATTTATTCATTCATTTCAATTTGTAATTCTTCCACTTATTGTATTCCAGTTTCTCTATTAGATTCCATTTATTGTATTTATTGTCTTTTTACAGGTTAATTCTATTCAACAGCTTCCTCTATTTCACTAATATCTGCTGTTAATTCTCTATTTTGTTTAGGAAAGACTATATCTTATTGAACCAATCTGTCATACAAGATTTTAAACTTAGTGGATTTGTTAGTTGAAGTAACAGGATATTTTTCAGCCAAAAATTTGATTAGCTCTAATATCAAATTGAAATATTTTATAGCAATCTATGGAGCTAACAATTTAGTAATTAATCTAAATTACTATCATTTTCAAATTTATAGATTCCTTTATATTCATCATCAGAACCTGGTTGAAACATAACAATATCTTATAAATAATTCAAAATTGAATTATTGCTAGCTAATTTATTTGTAACAGATCCAACTGGATTTGTGCAAACTGCTTCTCTAATAATCTATAATTTTATAAGTAATTAACTATACCATTAAAATGAGATACTTTTTTAATAGGCTTTCATTACTTTAAAATATTTCATCAGCATATTGAATAAAATTAGGAGCAAGTTCACTTTATATTTTAGTAAAAACTTTACCTCTCTTTTTTCAATTTATCCAATACTTTATTTATATTTAGCTAAAATCCCTAAGGACTTTAAATACAAGCTTTTATTTCTTCCATTCAAACTTTTATATTATATATAATTCTGTTATGAAAATATTTATCAATTATTTCTGTTAAATAGATTATCTTTGATGAACTTCATCATCTACTAAATAATTAATATAACATTCAAATACCCACATTATCTGTAGTATTAATATCATAAGAACCTTCATAATTAAGAAATAAATAATAAATGAAGAATTGACTATGAATTCAGATTAAAGATAAGATTGTAAAATTCTCAAATTTAAAATCAATATTCCTTCAGATAAACAAAGAATTATTCTAGAATATCCAATATTCTTTAAATGTTTATATAAAAACCTAAATCTAAGAAGTGATCTAATTCAGTTTTTTTGATTTATTTCTAAAAGAAAGATAAGGATCTCCTGATCTTATAGAACTATAAGAAAACATAATAATTGTGACAATAAATTAATATCAGACTCTTTAATAAAATAAAATATAAGCCTAATTGCTAAAAACTTAATTAAGAGAAACTTTCTTTAAGTTGCTATAATTTAAATTGTATAACTCTTCATATTCAATAAAAGTATTCAAAAACTCAATTAAACTCAAATTTTATTGTTTTTTTCATAAATTTTTAGCTGATTATTTTTTTTGTATTAAAATTGAATTTATGCAGATAGGGCATAACAACATCTTTCAACTTTTCTCTTGAGATCTCTGAGCTTTCCTATTTAATTCTCTTATTAATCAGGCCTTTTGGTTTTTGAATTGAACAACATAATCAAGACAGAAATGAAATGTTAGCTTAATGAAACAACAATCTATGTAATCAACTAAATAAGGTGAACTAAATTCTTAAAATAATTGCATAAATAACTTCAATAAGGCATTCAAAAAAATTGAAGGAAATCAGATGCATCCTAAATTGATATAAATAAATCATCCTTATCTATTAATAATAATAATCTTATATTCTTTGTATTGATTTGAATTAGTCACTACTCCTTTACTCCTTCTACGGTTTAACAAAATAATCTAATGAATTTAATTAACTAATAATTTGATTTATTGGCCTCATTGATTATTTTGCCTATTTATTCCTTACAATTGTTATTCAATCATCATCTACATAATTTAAGTTACAAAATGAAAAATTATATTTCTGATGATCCAAATAAAAATGATTTAGACTCGTCTCTGAAGCATTTAAACATTACATAACAGAATTAAATAAGCATATATTCCCAAATTTTTTAAATCAAAATACGTATTAAGGAGTGTAATTAAGAGGTAAAGTTATCTCAAACATAAAACAATATTGTAAATGATGAGTTAATTATGATTTAATGAACATTAATTATTATTATTTATACTAAATCCATATTATATGCATAACCATTTTATTTTCACATTATTACTTTTTAAGAATTATTATAACAATTTGTATATTTATATAATAAGTTAATTTCTCCAATAAAATTATTCTTAATATATATTCCCAATTTACTCTAAGTTTTATTTAGAGAAATGAGCTCATGATCTTTATGTTTATCTTTATATAAATTAAATTATTAATTATTATATCATTTCCTCAAAAAAGTATGTTATTTTATCAATTTAATTCTGTAAGAATTCATTAGAAAGTGAGGCTTTATTAAATTAATTTATTTAGATACTCAAATCATTAATTATATAAATATGGAAGGTTTTGAAGGAAACAATGAGTATTTTGTAAGCTTTATATATTTAAACTAGAAACCAAAACTCATCTAAGAATTAAAAAAAAAGAAAATTAAAGAATTACATTCAAGTCCTAATTGGGAACATATCCAATAAGTTGTTGAAAGTATTTAATAAACAACATATTCAATTCATACTATTAAGTCTCTTAATGATAATATCTTCAAAGCATTGACTTTTAAAGATCTTTGTGGATCAGATATAGCTTATCATTTGATAACAAACTTTCAATTTGACTAATTTATTGATTTAATAGTATAAGTTGAATCAATTTTTACTTTTGATTTCAATCAAGTCATTTAATCTGTCATCAAAGGAATTTTGTAAATAAAAAAAGAAAATAATTACAAAAAGATATTGGTATTTATAAAATAGTTAACATCTATTATTAATCCAAGAAGGGAAGATGAATAAGCTAAAGGTATGAGATAAATCCTATAATTATAAGCATTTAAATTTAACTTTGACATTGTTGTAAGTTCAAGATTTAATTATGTAAAGAACATTTGGGAATTAAAATTATTGATAAATCTTTACAAATTGCTTGGAAATTTTGAAGATGCAATAACAAAACTAAAAAGCTTAAAGAAAGATCTAAATATAAAAAGAATACTTAATTCAACACAGCAAGAAAGAAATTAAATTAATCATTTAAAAATCTAAAATTATTTTTCTGGAGATCCTTATAATTATATGTAATATCTATAATAATAAAAAATAGCATATTGATAAATAAAAGATGTTGGGATTTAATTTTTAAATTGAACATTTCTTCATTTTTTGTTACTCTTTCAGATGGATTTTCTTTATATATGAGAATATTGAAGACAGCTCCTTTTGATATGTTAGTAGAATTTCATAAAATGCATAATTAAACAATTAAGGATAATATTGATTCATAACACAAAGGTATGTATAATATTTTGCATTGCATTTCTGAAAATAAACATACTATTAGTGATGAGTTTATTTAAATATTATAAGAATTGAATCTAGTTGATCTTAAGAAATAGGCATATAATGAATAAATTCCACTTGTAGTATATCTATAATAATAAAAATCAATAAATTATAACTATTTAAACTATCTTTTAACTGATATTAAAGATTAAAATCACAATTAATTTGAGGGTTTATAATTATTAATATAGTTATATGCTAGAGGAATATATTAAAATTACAACGATAATAAAAAACTTTGTGTAAGTGGAAAAAAGACTTAAAAAATTAATTAATAAAAAAAGAAAATAAATCGTAAATACAATTATAAAAAAATATAATCGAGATATAAAAAGTCATAAAGCTTTTGTGTTAAATAAGATTAATATAGATAACAATTAAGTAAATTTTCAAATGATATTAAAATGTGTGCATAAAATATATATGAAAACACTGTGGCAACTCATCAAACTTATAATTTCAAAGGAATTAAATAAGAGTTTAATATAACACACTATAGTTTCTCTATGTGTCACTTTGATTATAACATATCTAAAGTAGATTAACCATTAGCCATATGGATCAAGGATCCAAATCTATTAGATTCATTTTTAGATTATATTGATAAGGAATTTTGTTAAAATATTAATCTACAAATCAAGGAAGCCATTGAAGCTCTATTAAAAGAACTCAAATGTTCTATATCAATAGATAATTTAATAATTTAAAGAAAAATTATTATTTTAAATGCTTTATTATAGTAAAACAGAACTTAAGAAGAAAATACAAAGATAAAAAGTTAAATTTTGACTTTATTAAGTAAATGTTAAGATAGCTTAAGATAACCATTCTTTAGTTATTCTAAATATTAAACATTTTAAGATTACTTAATATGCAATGATTTAATTACCTTTGAAGCATATTAGGTTGATAATGCATTTTAATCTGTTATGAATCTTCTTAGTTTGAAATATGAGAATTAAAATAATATTTTAGGTTTAGCTCAAAAAGTTGAAAGAGTTTAAAAATATCCATCTCTACATAATTTACTTTAGATTTGTTTTTAATAAAACATAATAAATAGATGTTATACATTTAATTAGTGTTAAAATTAAAAAGATTTTCTTGATAGTCTTATAAAATAAAATATTATTAAAAGTAGTTTGATTAAGAGTCCTTAAGGAATTGAACTTATTTATTAATTTATAGATAAACGTTTGCATATTTAATTGTTAAAGAGTATTCTTTATAATTTTTAAGAGGAATGTATAATAAAATACTTTTAATTATTTTATGAAATAGAATCAAATGATTTCTTTATTAAAGAGAAAAAGCACTCTAAATTAATAATCTATCATTTGACATAATAATAATTAGGATTAATATTTAATTATCAATTATAGGGAATCAGAATTGTATTTAACTTAAGGCTAAAAAAAAAACTTAACTTAAAAGCAAATACAATTTAAGAAGAAATCGTTTTAAAGTAAATTAAAGAAAATAAAAACTTTTTATAAGTTTTAGTTTCAAATGATCAATATTTTGAATTTTTATAAGTCTCTTTGAAATTTTATTCATTATATGAGAAAGGAGACACCATTGATTATATATTAGAAGCTTTAACTAATGAAGCTTATAAGAATTTGACAATTTTAGAATAATGGATTTTCGATAGGTTTGATTAATGCTAAAATTAAGTTAAATATTAAAAAAGCATGTTTATCTTTTTGAGACATTATAGTTTCTTAATATATGGAGCCTTTGGATAGATATAAAAGAAAATTGACAGATTGAAATTCAATAGATAAATCAAAAATTATTGTACAATATTTGAAAGATAAATTCAATTATCAAAGGATTTAAAACATCCAAATATTTTTAAATTTAGTAATCATAAGAAATTTGAGAAATTCTTTATTATTTATTTTGATAAAGAAAACACTCTCTTATTTTCTGATTATACCAAAGAATTCTTTAATAATCAAAAATCATCAATTCATGTTAATTATGTTCGTAATTCAGAAAATCCATTTATACCAGCACTATTAAATAGCCATATTTAATCAAAATTCTTTGATACACTTGCATATTGGAATTTAATTACTAAAGATGAATCTGAAATGAAATTCATTATTCAAAACCTTGAAATACTACAAAAGGAGAAATAAGAGAATCTTGAAAATCAACTCAATAAATATATTGTTCTTTATTATCTAATCAATTTCTAAGATTTAGGATTTATAGAACCTTATTTTTTGAAATGTAACTTTAATGATTATGAAATTGAAAAACTGTTTTTAAAGTTAATAGAAACTAATTAAATTAGAAAACTAGAATTCATTTTATTAAATTAAAAGCTCAAATTAAAACGTTATTCAAAAGAACTTACAAATTCAAAGGAGACTTATTTAAGGGCTTTAAACTTACATTGGTGCTTAGCTTTAACAACAAATCAATTTAAAGATTTAGTTTAAAATAACAATATAAAGGATGAGGAAAAAGAGTAAGTCTTAGAAATGTTAACAAATTCTGGGCATTTTGAAAAATTAGAATTAGTTACTAATTGGATTACAAATAATAATTAATTAATAGAGTTTACTTCTATTGCTTGTTCTCTTTTAGTTAATGAATATTAATTGTAAAATAAGAGATTTAAATCTGTTTCAATTCCAGTGTTTGTGTATTAAAAAATATAAATGAACAATACATTAAGTAAATAAATAAATACATCTATTGAAACACCTTATTTATTCACTTATAGACTTGGAACAGCATAAGTGCTCTATAATCAAATATGTTAGAGAGATGTAGATTTAAAAGATTATAATAAGAATTATATACTCTTTTAGATTCTTTTCCCAAACCCAAAATGGACATTTGATACTAATGATTGTGATTTGGTTACCAAATTTTTGCATTTAATAAAATTAAATTTGTTAAAAGAGAATTGGAAAAACTATATAGAAATTATTGTAAAAAATGCAGCATTTTATTTTGAAGTTTTATACAATTTTGAATAACTTTATTATACTAAAAGATACACTAAAGCATGGTTTTCCTACAAAAATTTGATTGAATTATTAGTGCCTATTTATGAAAGTATATCTAAAGATAGTCCAAATACGAATTAATTACAATAAATCTAAACTCATTTTAATCAAACTAGAACTGAAAGAATTAGAGATAGGGGTTTTGCTAAATAATTACAATTTGATTTTGAAGATATTTAGTTTAACAAATTAGAGATAAATAAAAGATAAGCAAATATTTATTATGGTCTCCCATTTGAAATTGAAACATTCAATGAAGTAGATTTATTTTTAGCTCTTATGGGTAGAAATTAAAATTCTATTTTATTTTTACTAAAAAATACAAGTATTCATATTGCAACATTAATTAATAAGTATCATATTATTCAATACTTAATCAAAAATGGAAATGAAAATACAGTTATTGAAGTTTTAAAATTATTAAAATAAGATGAAATTGATGAATCTATGTTTGTAAATAATGGTTTACCTTTGCTCACCTATATTGTATTTAAGAAATGGTATAAATTATATAATTTTGCTTAAAAATATTTAATTAATTAATGGATTTTAAAGCCTAAGATCCTTGAATAAAATATTAAAGGTAAAATTTAAGAATTAACTATCCATCAATTTGCATAATTAAATTCATTTTATGTTTATTTTGAATTACCAATAGAAAGGAAATTAATTTTAAGAACTTGTTAATTTTTAATACCAAATTCTCATAATGAATAACTTAAGGCATATAGAATATATTCAATACTCAAAATAATATTTGATAATATGTCATTGAGATAAATTGAAATTATTAGTTTATAATGTCTATATATTAAGGATGATACATTAAGTAGTTTGGAAAATTTATTAAATAAATTTGGTAAAAATTAATAAATAGAAAATTTATTTTTATCAATTTATGACAATTCAAAAAATAAAAAAAAGGTACTTGTTTTAGATTTAATGAATGAATTAGGACTTAATTGTTCAACATAATTAGATTAATTTAATTAAGCTCAATTAGAATGGCTCTTCAATAAAATTTATAATAAGTATGGTCATTATCATTTTTTGATTGAGAAAATTATAAGATTATCACCAAATTCTTTTATTAATAAAATAATTTTAGATTCTCCTAATTTAGCTTTGATTATAGCTCAACATGGGAAATTCGAGGCTTTGTAAAATTTAGTTGAAGAATAAGATTTTGGATAAAACTATAATAGATTAATATCTGCTCATTTCATCAGAATTATCTTAATGATAAAATATGGATAGAACTATGATCCATTAATTGAACCTAGTTAAATAGATGATATTCATTTGAAACATTATGTAAATGCTTTAGATTTAATTGAATCTGATTAATAAGGAGGTTCTATTAGTATTTAATTTATGAATTAACTAATTCCCATATTACATGTTGAAAATTCATCAATCTAGTATATTGATAAATTTTATAGTTAATTAAAATCTGAGAGTAACCAAATTAAAAAAGCTTTTAAAATTATAATAAAGTTAAAAGAGTTTAATTATGAACTTTAAAAATTAGAATTAAAAGCTATTGCTAAATGTGATTCTTTAGTTAAGAATTTCAAATTCTAATTTGGAGATAAATTTAATCTACTTTAAAGTGGATAATCCTCTACTATTGTAATACCTTTTGATTATTAAGAAAATGAACTTGATGAATTTTTAAATGATTTACCTTGTTTTTATAAAGAATTATATGAGAATGCAATTTTGAGTAAGGTTTAATAAAAGAAAGGAATATTTAAGAAAAAAAATAAACTTGTAATAAAATTTGAAGATAAAAATTTATCTGCATTTTACAATGATTTAAGATATTTAATATCTCTATTATAGGAATAATAAAAACCTGTAGATAGTTTAGAATATAAGAATGAATATAAAATAAAAGGTTGGTAGCAACTATAAAAAAAAGATCATGATGATAATTGTTTTGTTTATACATCAGATGTTGCATTTACAAAAGAATGGACATAAACCATTTTTTATTAAGAACCTTAAAAATCAGAGTTTTTAGAAAAATATCCAAATCAAATATTAGTTTTCTTCAATTAATAAATATTATTAAATTAAGTAGAAATATAAGATTAATTAAATCATACTTTAAAATAAATATTACACCTATCAACTATAGGGCTTGATTTTAAAGGTAAAATAGAATTAGAATCATTTTTGAAAGTGTTTTTTATGAACAAGAACCTCTATTCTATTTATAATAATTGGTATAATCTAATTAATGCTATATCCACATATCCAACATTAATTTATACTATAAAACATATTTTATCTTATATTTGTTAAATCATAGGTCTCTTTAATGTAAATAGTAAAGATAATGAAATAATAATTAAATTTGAATCAACTGATATTTAAGGGATATCACCTAAGAATCATTATTTGGATGACTATTTCTCTTTTTGCAAACCATCTATTTGTTTAGAAAGTGATAAAATAATAATTACTATTCTTGTAAGTGAAAATGGTAAGAAAGGAGAGGGTGAAACATATTTAGAAGAAATTTTTAATGTGAATGATTTAGATGATTTAATTAAAGATTAATTTTCATTAAAAGATAATTTGGATGCTTTAATTTTTAGATAGTAATTAGAGGAAATAGCAAAGGAAACATGTGAATAATTTAGAAAACTGAACAACTTTGATCTATTAATAAAATTGGATAAAAATGAATTAAGATAATAAATAAAAGATCTTAATTATACATAATAATAAGATTATTTAGATAAATTGAAAACATATTTTAAATTAACTTTGAATTTAGATTTATAAAATATTATAGCAGGTAATAGATTCTCATAATTTTATAAAGAGAGTTTATGTTCTGGTAAATATTTTTAGAAGCCATTAGATATTGGAAATTTTTCATAATATAATGTTAATTCATTAAAGAATTGTTTTGGTATGATATTAAATAAAGAATAATTTTTAAAAAATACACAAAAGAAAAGAATTTATCATGTATTTTATACAAAGAAAAATAGAAATCATGCTGTATTTTGTTAATTTGTGAAATCATAAAAAAATAGAAATTATTTTATTTAATTTGATTAATATAAACTTAAAAAGAAATATGATAGAAAAGCTAATTTATAAATTAAAAGTGAATATATTAAAGGAGCTATTTATTATACATATGAATATGAAAATTAAATATAATCATAGAATGAAAAATTAATACTTATTGATAATGAAGGTCATTATTATTTGAATTAAGATGTAAATTTTACACATTAAATCCAAGACCATACAACATTATCAGACAATATTAAGGTTACAAGATTATGTTTTGCACTTACATTTGAGAAGTCTAATATTAGCTAAAATGTTCTTTATTTTAATTAAATTGATTTCAGATTAAAAGATTATTTAGAAACATCAAGTATTTTATCTGACAAATCATATGAATTATAAAAATTAAAAGTGGATAAAAATTAAATAAAGATTGATCCCCAATTAGCAGAATATAATAATGGTAATGAGGAAGAATTATAAAGTAACAAAAAAGAATTAGGTAATAGAAAATCAAATAAAATGCTTTTAACAATTCTATCATATTTTTCTGATTAAGATACAACTGAAATATAATATGATATTCCAAATTAGAATACAAAACTAAATGATGAAAATTTGGATACTTTAACGAATTATTGTAAATAGTATCAAAAATAATCTTATTAAACTCGTGCTGGTGAACAAAGAAAAGATAAAATTCTATTTTATGACATTTTAAACAACCTCATAAAAGATTAAAAAGTTATAAAAGATATTAAGTGCTACATTTAACATGAAAAGTTTAATGAGATAGTTCATCATCCTCAGATATCTTTCGATAAAGGTATAATCTTAATTTGGACTCCTTATATTAAAGGAGCATATTTTATATTTATTAATGGTCAAAAAATGAATTTCAGGTTTTATGTTATAGCCTCATAGGAAATCTAATATGAAAAATATATATTGAAATAAGATATATCAGAATTTTAATATTTTGTTGAATAAGATTTATAATTTGAATTATTTGATATCTATAACAATTTAATCACAAAGGCTGATGATATACCATCAGGTTTATCAATTAAAGTAATAAATAATGATGTTACACTTAAACAAAGATCTAATTTTAATGACAATTGTTGTTAATTATTCATATAATTTTGCAATTTTTCTAAACCTGATGATAAAGTTGATGAATTTAAATTGGAAATAAATTTAAACAATGAAACTATTATATAAGGTAAAGTAGTTTAGATCAAACCATAACCATTGAGTTAAAAGAGAATAGATACTTTTGCATCTAAATTCTAATATAGAAGTTCTATTTAATATTTAATAATAAGAGCAAATTTCCTGAATTCATTAGCTTAGATGGATAAACATAAGGGATAAAAAGTGTTAAAAATTAATTTCCTTTAAGAAGTAGCTAATGATTAAGGAGGACCTACTAGAGAATTCTTTTGTTTATTAGGAAAAAATCTTAAGAATCCTGACAATAAATTATTTAAACCTACTCATTTGAATGGTTATTATTACTTAAATACAGGTACATTATTATTGAATGATTCCATAACATTTGCTATTGGTATGTTACTTGCTTATGCTATTGCAAATAAATTAAAAATTGGTATATCATTTGCTTTACCTTTTTGGAAGATAATGTGTGAATTACCAATAGAGTTTTCTGATTTAAGTTATGTAGTGGAATCATAAGTCTATTAGAGTTATAATTATTTAAGAAATTTAAGTGAAGATGAGTTAAATTAATAAGATATATACTTTGTAAATTTACCAGATGATGTATAATTATGTGAAGATGGTAAATCTAGAAAAGTTGATAGAAGTAATTTAGAAGAATATTTACTATTATCTGCAAAGTATTAATTATATGAATAATATTTGAATGTTTTTAAACAAATGAAAAATGGTTTCTAAGCATAATTTGATGCAAAATTATTGGTTTAGAGTTTTTCTCTTTATGAAATTAATTAATTGATTGATATTATTGATTACTAAATTAATAAAGAAAAGTTATTGAAATGTATTCATTTTTCTAGGAGAAATTAAATAAATGAAAACTATTTTACTTAATATATAAGTGAAGCAGATTAATAAAAATTAGAGAATTTCTTAACATTTATTACAGGTATTAAAATATATTTATAATAATAGGTAGTAAGTATTCTAATTTAGAGAACTTTAAGATAGAAGTATAAACAAATGTTGAATTATAAAAAAATAAACTTCCAGTATCTAGAACATGTAGTAATGTTATAATAATTCCATAATATCCTACTTATGATGAATTTAAAGCCAAAATGGATATAGCATTAGATTGGGGATTAGATTTCTTTGGTCAAGGTTGAATTTTAGATAATTTTAATAAAATTATAAATAATAATTTTTTATATTTCATCATGGATTAAGAAATAAGACCAAAATGTAAAAGCATTATAAAGAGATAATCAACTCTTGATAATGAAAATTAAATTGAATAAGGATAACATTAATCATAAAATAAGGATTAACATGTAAAGTTTGGGGAAATGCATGTGGATATGATTCTTAAAGAGGATTAATACCAGATTTAAGAAGATAAGTAAAATAGTAGTATAAATACTCTTAAATTTAAAAGTACAAAAGCCAAAGCAATACAAAAATTTAAGTGAAGCTGAACTTATCAAATTAGCATTAAAGTATTTGATCTAATTAATAAATTAGAAAACCTGAAGTTTTGGAAGAAGATGAATAATGACTAATATTAAAATTAATAAGAAGTAATTAGTTTTGGATAATATATAAATTTCATTCAATAACAAAGGTTTCATATATATATATATATTGATAATATTAAAAGTATTTTCTTCATAAATGAAGTTATTTTATTCAACATCTTTCTATCATTTCAATATTACTTAATCTTTTTAAATTCGAATCTTGTTTTTTGGGATTCAATTTTAATTATTTGTGTTATAATTAATCCCATGAAATATTAAACCATTTATGAGCTTTTAATTCATCAAAAGATGATCCAACTCTTTGGTATACATTCAATGACATCAATTAATTCATTAAATTCTTACCTACTTAATCCCTATAAAACTGAGGATATTTTAGTTAATAATTTAAGATATCTTCATATATCTTATAGGGATCCTAAATATATTATAATTTATAATACATCTTTATCTTCACCAAAAGGTACTCCACCACAAAGAAATTCATATAAACATACTCCTACACTCCAAACATCACTAAATGTAGAATAACCTTTGCCTTCTATAATTTCTGGTGCCATATAATGAGGATTACCTATAATTGTATGAGTTCTATATGCTTATTTAGATGTTTTGAAATCTATTAAATATATATATCCATTTTTATCAATAATAAAATTATTAGGTTTGAATTCTCTAGAAATGATTGAAAGATTAGAAAATGTTTCCAATAATAGAATCATTTATGATATTAAAAACTATGCTTTTTCTTTATCTAACAAACCATTATCATGTAAATAATCTCCTAAATTTTTACCTTTAATATAATCCTATAAAAAGTAAATATTTTATTCATCAGAATAATATTGATGGAAATTAGCTACAAAAGGATTATTAATAATTTCTAGAATCTTTCTTTCCTATTTAATCTATTTTTCTAAATTCCATTAAGATATAATATCTCTTGATATTTTACGTAATACATATTTCTCATTCTTATATTCTACTTTATATAATGTGCCATATGAACTATTGCCAATTAATTTTTGATTATTCAATTCACTAAATTGAGGTCTAACTCTTTTAAATTCATATGTACTATCTTCTATAACATAATCCTCTAATTCTAATTTAATTTTATCTAATTTAGCCAAAGTTCCAGTACAATAAAATTGTTAATCATCATAAACATCTGAAACTAAATCTCCTTTATGATATACTTTATCTTCTGATTTCATAGTACCTTCAACAACTATTACTAAATAATCATGTAATTCATTTATATCAAATATTTCATTATTATAATTATGAAAACGAAATAATGGTATTAATTTCTCAATCTCCAAAGTTGGGGTTTTTAATTATTTCAATCTTTCCTAATTTAATTTAAACTAACTTACATTTATCTAATTACAGCAAATTATAATTATTTCTTTACATCATTCCCCAAAATCTATTTAACCTTCTCTCTTGTCAATACCAAACATTATACTTCACTTATTGCTTAAACTGTTGCATTTCTTTTTGTTGTCATCTAAAGTGAATTCTCTCCAAAACAATCTCTTGGTTATAGATAACGAATAAATTTAGTTCCTTTGTAAACAGCAGCCTAACCACTTTTTATAACTATAAATGAATCTGCTCTCTCTCCCTCCTATGCTATAATTGCATTTGGTCTATATTTAGTAACAATGATATTTTAAGCCAATCCATCTTATTACATAGGAGTCAAGAATTAATAAAAAGATTGTCCAGTAATGAATTATTTATTTTACAGATATTATTTAGCCATTATATAATCCAAAGAATTTAAAAATGTATTTTTATCCAAACCCCAAAAGAAACAATCATCTATTGCTTTCACATTCTTCTACTTCTCTAAATGCAATAACAAAGACAATTCACCAATGGTAGAACCCTTTTATAAAGAACATCCTTCATATTATAAATTCCCTCTTTCTAAAATCAAAAAACATGATGCAACACATTCCTTTGGATAAAGGATAGTATTACTATGTAAACAACAGTAAAACATCTTATTTATTATACCCATAATAACTTCATCTGAAAGAGAATAGAATATAAAATGATTCATTAATGTTTTCGTTAAAAAGTTAATGCAAATTGCTCTTAATATTCATAATAAATACCTGATTTCTTTTATCTCAAGACTTAGACATTTTCTGTAATTTATCTGTTACTAGTGTCTGTTTTCATTAAGTATATTGAATCATTATCAGTGATTGTAGTATTAGCTTGATTCAGCAAGAAAGTAGTCTTATCATCTTATACATCTATGGAAGATCCACAACCCATCTATTCGTTAGATTAAATTTAATTAATAAACACTAAAAGATCAGAATAAATTTATTCAAGTACATAAACATCAAAAATTACTCCTCATATTAACATAAACATTCATTTTCCATTATTCTGCTTCTACTTTATCCATACTTAACTGTAGTATAATAATTAAAAAATGACATTAATGGTTTTTTTAATTTTTAACAAACTTACAATACATTCTCTTAATAAAATATGAGTATATATAATATATTAACACTATTCCATTAAATATAAGTTAGATTCAAGATTAATTATTTAATTATACAAAAATATGTTAAAACTATTAATTCAAATCTTGAATACTTATATTCATCCTATAATTTGAGAATATTTTTGAACTATAAATGTTTGTAAATAAATAAAAATATTGTTATTAAAGTTTTTTTGTACTTCTATTTATTTATAGAAACTATTAATTTTTATATATTAATATTTATTATAATAAAAATGAGTTAAATGGAACCTTATCGTCAAGAATTTCTAGAAGAATTAGATAAAATTAGATAGCAATATAGTTTTGGTCAATCCCAATAGATGTCTTAGAGCCAATAAAAGAAAGTGAATTTGTAATTCAAGGTTACTGATACCAATGACATTTGGAATAATAGTAAATATTCTGATGTAATATATGACTAATGATTTTAGAATAAATGGAGAGGTAACCTAACTACTACATTCTACAATAAGGAACACAATGCTAGTCATTATGAAGTTAACTCACTTTTGAATCCGGAAGTTACGAGAAAGAATTTCAATATGAGAGCCACTTAAATATCCGAATATTCAAACGCAAAACATAATAATACAGTCTTTGTGAATCCCAAGTATACAAGTTGCTGATTTTAATATATATATCACATTATGAATCAAGACTCAATCTATATAAACAATTTCAACTGGTTTACCTAGAAAAAATAAATTGTTAAATAAAGAAAAGACTAAGTTTATATCTCACTTTATATAAATTGAAATGATTATTCTTTTACAAATTTCAATTAGATTACTTTATAATCAAATTATTACCTATAACAAACATAATTTCATGTACTCCAACTGAATTCAAGTCTTTCTGTATGTTTAATTAAAATTATAAATTAATAGATATTTAATATGAACAATATTATATAACTAATTAGAGTTACCTACTAGAGAATTGTTAATTTATTATGAAATTGATGATTTTTATGTGAATAAAGAGATGTATTAAATGGAGAGTTTAGTGACATTTTTAATTGTTGTAATTGTTAATTGTAGAATTTTGAGTGCAGAACAATTTTGAGATTATATTAGTTATTAAAATAATACTCAATATTATTCATATATAAAATGAATTAATTGTATAAACTTACACCTCAAGAATTAGCAACTAGAAAGGATATTGTTGTGTTGAGTGATAAAGGATTACGTTTTAGGGAAGAGATAAAATCATAAGATCAATTTGATTTAGATGATTTCCATTTACCTCAAAGTAATTCTGTCTATTTATAATCTAGTCAATTCTTAAAAAGATAAACCATATACAAGAAGATCAGTGCTTTAAGGAGAAAAACCAGTTGAATTACTAGTTGCTGATTTGAAGAAAGAATTAAATATCAGTAGACCATATATGGAGAAGGCTTTAGAGAAAATGACAGCTAAAATAACTTAAGAAAAACCATCTGCAGTTATAAACAACAAATTGCAAAAACTATATTAAGAACTAGATAGACATACACGATTGTTAGAAAAGAAAAAAGTGAAGTTTCAAAAGAAACCAATTGAATAATAGATATAAGATCAAACTTCAATTTTAGAAGAATCAGAATTTTAAGATAAAGTTGCTTCTCTTAATGCATTAGAAGCAAGATTATGGAGAATGCAATAAAATTATTAAAATGAAATTAAAATCCGAGAGGATACTTTAAAAGTAGATATAACTATCTTACTAGTAGAAAGTTAAACAAAACCTAAATGAGATTAGAATTTAAAAGGAAGCTGAAATTGAATAGGTTCCAGTCCCTGTTTAAATGGAACAACTTTAATAATCTTAATATCTAGATAGGAAATCAATTAGACTTAAAGATTATTAAAAATATAAATTTGAAGTAACCAATGTTGGTATTCGTAGAAAATCTGGAATAGACAACCTCCTCCATCCTATACTTCTAAGTAAATCTTAATCGAAGAAGAAAGAAAGAAATAACTCTAATTAATAAAAGAATAATAAGAATATGAGTAAGAATTATTAAGAAGAAATGGACATTCAAATATCAATAATGTAGCTAATCGTACTAATTATGAATAAAATGAGTAATGATTTAAATATCTATTTATCAATATATATTTATAATTCATTTCAAATTTCAGTATTATAAAGATAGTAAATCAATCACTTATTTCATCTATATGTTAAACCTCTATCTAATATAAGTTAGCATTTCAATTTTAGGGGATAGCTTTTAAAAATTGGAAGTTATATTACATTGAAAATTAATTAATTAATATATTATTCTAAAAGGATTGTTTAGAGAAAGATATCTTTTATCTATTATATTAATTTTAGTTCTTTTGAACTCTACTGCTCTATATAAGAAATATCTAAGAAGATAAATATATAATATTATAATTGATTTTCAAAGAAGTCATATTTCACTTTTAGGTAAATGAATGAATAAACATTAGAAATAATATGATAAGATTAGATTAGTTAATTGAATTATATCTTCAAAATGATATTAAAAAGGAGATCTACTATATTTATTATTATTAAATGAAATATATAATTTAGATTATGTCTCCTAATAATTTATCAAATAAGAAATATTCATCCTATTAACAGTATTTAAAATAATTGATAAAATTTAAAATAATACTCATTTTCTAGGTGGAGGTCTTTTTTATTATTGAGTTGGTTTGACAGAAGTTGGTTTTTGTTATGGTTTATTTTATGGCTTGGATTAAGGTTTAGATTTAGATTTATGTTTATTTCTTGGTTTGTCTAGAATAAGAAATAATAAATTACCAGAATCTGATTCATCTAAATCATCATCATCATCTTAATCACTTATATTATTGAGATCTAAAACATCAGATAAATCTTCATCCTCATCTTCTTCTTCATCATCATCACCATCATCATCATCATTATCATCATCTTCAGTAAAATCAGAATCATCATCTCCATCATCTTCCTATAAGATTAATTTTATAATGTACTGATTATTCAGGTGAGAATTCACTATCTTCAGCTTCTGGATCATCATCTTCTCCTTCCTCTTCTTCACTCTCAGCCAATATATTTGTCCAACCTCCATCTTATACGAATCCTGGAATATCTTTTTATATTTAGGCAAGTACATTTTTCCAAACTAAATTTTATGCTACTTCAAAAAATAATAAATTCATCTATAATTAATAATTAAATTATACTCTATCTAACCAATTTTTAACACCTTCTAAATCTTTAATATCAATACTCTCAATTCTCAAAACTTATTTATCATAATTCTTAAAAACAAAAACTAAATCAAAAGATTTAATGCCTGGAATTATACGTTCAAAACAACATATTTCAACTTCAGATAATGTCAAAATAAAGAATGGACTTTCAACAACATTCATTAAAGTATTATGAGTTGGTTATAAAAATAATCTTGCTCTATTCCAATTACCTTCAAATCCAAGATCTCTAAATGGTTTTTCAAATTATATTTTATAATCTACACCCATTTCCTCAATTGTTTTAATAAAGACTTCAAATTCTCTTGCCATCTTCTTTCTTTGTACACGTAATCTCTCTTCTTCTTCTATTTCATCATCATCATTTCTATTATTTTTCCTTCTTCCTTCTAAATGTTCTACTGCTCCTCCAACTTCACAATAGAACTACACATCATGTGTCTTTCTTTTACCTAAAACTATAGGAGAATAAAGATGGAAATGTATTGCAGCAATAATATCTTATTCTGGACTTTAATAAATGTAATGCTTAATATTCTTATATACAATATCCAATTATTCTTTATTTTAATTAATATATCTAAATCCATTTGAATGTACTTCTAAAATACCTGCTGCTTTACCAGAACCAAAAGCAGGTCTCACTTTCAAATCTTTAAAAATTGGTTTTCTTCCAGATTTGCTTACCACTAAAGGTTCTAATTCACCAACATGTTATTTCTCTCTTTCAACTTATTATTCTGCCTTCACCTTTTTCTATAATTATTTTATTTATAATATTAAATTCTAAGGACGATCATTCTTCTTAGATCTATACTATAATTCTTTTATGAAGATAGTTTCTCCATCTATTTATGGGAATTGAATCTATCCTGCAGTTGTCTCAGAAGTAAAGAAATTGATTCTTATAGATGAACCCATCTTTCCTTCATCAATCTTACTTACATTTTTTATGCAAGATACATGAAATGGTATATGAGTACCTAATAATGGTACCAACACTGCACATTTTTAATTATCTATATAAATCTATCCTTTCTGCAATTCTTTTGGATATTATTCTGTTTTTTAATAACATTATAATTTATCCAATTCCAAAGCTTTAGTTTCTTATTAATTCTAAACAAATTAATCTTGTTCTAATCTTTATTCTAATTCATTCTATTTATCCTTTGCTAATTTCTCTTAATGTTTCTATCTTTATTTCTCATTTTCTCTTTGTATTTAAATCTATTAATTTCGTGGTCCTCTAGTACGCCCTTCCTTTGGAGCATCTGGCTATTTTGTTGTTTATTACTTAGGAGCAGGCTATTCATCCTCTTCTTACAATTGATATGATATTTATTTATAAATCTTTGGAATTTAATTAGTAGTCACATTGGCTGCACCATTTGTTACAACAATAACATCACCAACAGAAATCATATAGTTTATACCTTTCTATCCATTTTGAAGATTCTCCAATGTTACTTAAATAAAATAAACTTCATTTTTAGCCACAAGATGAGTTGATTTTTCAGAAATTGAAAGAAAAGGTTCTTTTAATTCAAGACCTATGCCATATCCAAAAGAATTAGGAAATTAAACATTTGTAATGTTCATTTCTTATATCTTTTATTATAACATTAATAATGCATCCTTATACACTTAATTTAATGAAGTACCTACTGTCAATAAACCAATTATTTTGGTTTAAACTTCTATTATTGTATTGTACAATTTCTTTTACACTTCTGTTGGATTAATGAATAATGTTCTTATACAATTTGTATTGTATTCATTCACTTGAGTACCAAGTTAGATTATAATTACATCTGAAGAAAGATATTCTTTATTTGGACCATCAACTTGCTAATAATTACCACCACTCTAAATTATTGGAGTATAAGCTAAATCATATAAACCATCTTATAATCCTATGTCTTTAATCACTTTTTGTTTATCATTATCCAATGATTACTCTACTTTCTTAGCTAAATCTTAATGAGTTATGCGTGTTCCAACATCTATTGAATCCTCTATCTATTTTATTAGTTTCTTGAATAATCGAGTAGTCAATTATGATGATTAATTAATGAAGGCTTACTCTTAATCATCCTTTACTGCAAGTATATCGCTTATGAATTAACTCGCATCCAAAATTTGAGACCATCCTTTATATTCATACCATTCTGTGGCTAAACTACCTGCTTGTTACTCTGTTGTAGGCATTCCCAGCTTGACATTCCCCAATTTCTAACGAATTTTTTCAAAACTATCACGATTATCAGCAACTTTCTTATAGAAGTGTACTTCATATCTCCCGCCCAATCGTTGCTTAGTCTCCTCCATCATCTACACTATTCAAAAGTCAAAACAACATATTTACACTTCTTATCACTTGCCAAATAGAAAATTTGTTTCCTTGTTGCAATGAATACAGTCTCAATCATATCGTATCCAAATAACCACACAAATAAAGCCTTAGTTTTTGGTTTTATTGACCCATCCTCTTTTCCTGAAAGAATGCATAAGGCTGGCATGTCCTATCTTCTAATTTATCAAAATATACATCATTAAGACGACTAGTCAATAAATCTAAATGTCTCTGGAATACATCTGCTATAATCTTTTTATCCATTATTAAATTAAATATATATTAATTATTAGGTGCTTTTGATATGACTGCATATAACTATATATTTATATTAATCATTAAATCAATTCTCTCCCTTTAAAATAAGCTCCTTACAAACAAAAACTAAAAACCACAAAAAAAAATAATATATAAAAAAAACCCGCGAAAAATTTAAACAATTATTCTATATAATACATAAACTATTGACTAATCTCATTCCATATATTTATTTCATTCTGCTAGCATTCTCAATCTATATCGGTATCAATCAGATCCCTAGGTCTTATTTAATTTATAATAAATCTAATATTGTTATTATAAAAATAATTAATATGAAAATCAAGATAGTTCATAATAACGAGATTCATCTCTTCAAATAACAAAACCCAAATCTCTAAGGAATCAGAGAACACATTAAAAAAATATATCCCAACATCAATACTAACTTTACACTTGCTTATAATGACTCAGAAAATGACTAGATAAGTTTAAGTTGTTAAGACGATTTATAAGTTCTTGTTGATGAAGGAATATAAACAATCAAGGTCTTTGTGTTAACTTCTAACAAACCTTAATAAATTCCTTAAGGTAAGATGGTTCATAAAAGACATACTTGTGATGGATGCTAGACTTATCCAATCGTTGGATCAAGATTCAAATGTCTTGAATGTTCCAATTATGACTTATGTGAAGAATGTTAAGCCAAAGACATGCACAATCATCATAAATTCTATAAGATAAGTACTCAAGAAGAATTAGAATAATTTAGAAAAGAACATTGGGGTAAATTTGGACATTGGAGACACAGAGGATGTGGATTTAATAGAAATGGACCTCATGGACATGGACATCATGGACATGAAGCATTTAAATAATTTAGAGAATTTTTCTAGGATCCTGCTTTTAAAGAAATTAAACAAACAGTTTGTACTATTGCAAAAGATTTTTTTGGTGTAATAAAGACAGAGATTGAGAAACACAAGAACTCTAAATAATAAGAACAACCTTAAGAAGAATGTAATACAAATATTAACGAAGAAACATTAGAAGAAACAAAATAAGAAATATAATAAGAAATATAATAAGAAATATAATAAGAAATATAATAAGAAAATACTAAAGAATCAAATGATAATAAGATTCAAAAAGAAATTGAAGAGAAAATTAAAGAGTTGATTTAAGTTTTGTAATGTGATGAGAAAATAGCTAGAGAATATATTGAATGCTTTAAAGAATTACCACTAAATGAAATTGTTGATATTATATTAGAAAAATAATGATTATCATGATTAATTATTAAATGATTTATTGTAATTCAAATAACAGTGTTTGCTCTAATCAATCTCCTCTCTATTTTTGGAGAAATGATTGGTAGAGTATAGATTATGAGTTTTAACAGAATGAAAATATACAAATTCCAAATGATACTAATCTCTAAATAAAGATAACAGAAGCCAAAACTGTAGATCCCATTAAGATAACCCTTTATAAGTATATAATATATGAATAATTATTCACTAGTTAATAGATTCATAAACAAAAGGATGTATAGAAAATAGAAAATAAGAGTTCTTCAAAATTACTGAGATTTGTTAATCAATCTGAAGATAATGTAGAAGATGAGAGTTAACCTGAAGAAATAACTGAGAAAAAAGAGAATGAATTATAGCAAAGAACTAGAAAGAAAGTAAATTATAGTGTATGAAATTAATTCTAATTCAAGGTAAGTGATTCATTTTTAAATGATTCTAACATTAAACCATGCCATTGTTCAAAAACAAAGTGTCTTTAGCTTTATTGTTCATGTTTTCATAATAGGAAACTTTGTTCTATTAAATGTAAGTGTAAAAATTGTTTTAATGATGGGAACCATAAAGTAGAAATCGTAAAGGCAATATAGAAAGTCAAATTAAAAGAATATAGAGTATCATAATCTGATTTAGATTCATTTGATACAAGATAAGTTTTAGGTTGTAAATGTAAAAAAACTCATTGCCAAAAGGGATACTGTGAATGTTTCATTAGAGGAAAGAAATGTACATCATAATGCAAATGTTGTGAATGTCATAATTAGAGAAAAAAGAACTATGTAAAATAGAGAATCAAATAAATATGATAAATAGATAATATAATATATATACTAATGATGAAAGATTAAGATGTATTAGAATTTCATGATTACAAATAATCAGTTCTACTTAAGATGATACGAATCTATTAAGAAATATATAGTGATTGTGATGGAGATAGGATTATTGTTGAAGCCTACAATACAAAAATCACTAAACAAGATTTAGACAATTTCATAGTTGATCCCAATTATGAGTTAAGTATTGAACTAATTATTCTTTATCTAAATTACATAATTAAATATAATTAGATAACATAGAAGATAGCTCCTTACTTTTTGATTATAACAAGTGAGGACTATAATGTAAATTTTAATTCAAATAATTCAAGCCATCTTTTGGAAATGTCATATTATATGATGGTTAAATGATCAATTAAGTACCTTTATCTAAATTTAAGTATGATGGTAATAAATAAAATGCTCCAATTGTAATTTTAATGAGATGTAAAAATAAATGGAATATGATAATTTTGGAATTATAACCTTGGATTATTGATTTTAGATGTGATAAAAATACTAGTTTTAATACTATCTCCGCATTTGCATCTTAATTCATTTTAGATACATTTGGTATTTAGATTAAGAATTTTAATGATTTTATGTTAGATTATGAATAGCCAGGAGACTAAGGTGATTTGATTGTATATGCAATTTATAAAGTATTTGTAATGAATTTGGATCTAATGGGAGATACTATTTTAACTAAGAATGATTACACTACAGCAAAACGTAAATTATTATGGTTGGCATTATCTCATATGAAAGAAAGGAGAAAAGAAGATGATGATGCTGAATTTACAAGAAGATTAATAAAGAAATAGAGAGAAGAAATGTAAAAGTAATTAGAAGAGGAAGAAGAGAGAAAGAAACAAATAAAAAATTAATTATCTGAAAAAAGAATGTAAGTTTATGGATTCTTACATACAGTAGAATAACCTAAAGAAATAAAGAAGGTTGAAGAAACACCTGAATAAATTATGTTAAAAAGATAATTGGCTTAATTTAATGTGACTAAACCAAGAAATAAAGTTGAAGCATTTCTTACAAAAATGAGAGTGAAAGAACCATTCGAATTTTAATATCCTGAACCTCAAAAATATGAGGCTCCTAAAAAGGATCCTAAGGGCAAAGTAAAGAATTTTGTTTATGAAGTTCAATGGCCTAAAGTAACTCCTGGGGTTCAATAAATGATAACTCCTGCTTCATTCTGTATTGCATAAATCTTTTCAGATAATACTTTGTAATTTGAATAACCAAAATTAGAGAAAGTTTATGATTATGAGATTTTAGAATAATTACAAAAATAATAACAAAAATAATAACAGTAAGTGTAAGGTGTCTAAAGAAATGTCTCTTATTTTGGATAAATTGGATCAAGAGTATTTGATAATACTGATTATACAAATGGAGTAATAGTTCCTGTTGGAAGAAAGATTGTTAAGGAAGAAGAAAAAGTAGAAAGTAAAACAAAGAGATTAAATAAAATGTAAATGATGGATAGATGTATTGAGTAATTAGAAAATGAGTTATTTTTAAATTCTTGAAATAATTATATAATGAACGATTAGAAAGGACCTAAAATAATGAGTTCTCACTCATTCAATAGTATTAAGAATGAAGAGCTTAAGAAGGCTGAAGTCATTGATGAACAATCATTATAGACTACTTAAAAGAGAGGATAACCTAAAATCAATATTAGTCGTTTGCCTCCAGCATTTGCAAATAAAAAGTAATAACTAATAAGTTATTCAGACCACAAAAGAAATAGATAGAGCCTTTAGCATAGAAGAAAGAGCAGAAACATTAAGTACAACAGAATCTACAGAACATAGAAGCAATACAAGAGTACAAGTAGGTGAGCCAAATGTTAAGTCCCTTGAAGGCATTAATTATAAATCAAACTCTAGCGCGAACACAATTAGCAATCCAAGAATCCATTAGCACCTTTTCGTTAGTTCATGAAAGACCAAAAGAAAATACATGAGGAATTAGGCCTTAGCATTAGTACTCTTGTCCAAGGTTAGATGCGTATAGAAGACATGATTACCACTGGCACATTACGATGTTAATATCAATACTAAATTAATAGCCTATGGTGATCAGAGTCCTGTCAAAAAAATGCTACATGCTCCAACCATGAAACTTTATGTTGTAAAAGAAGTAATTCTCTATTTTGATATCTAGGAACCATTACACAACAAGGAAATTCGTAAAAACTTAAAAGACTGGATCTCCTTTTGGTAGAACAAATTAGCCAATTCAAATTTACATGTTCAAGTCTACGCTACCTTTTGGAACACTCCTGAAGGTTACGTATCTATTGTAATGGAATATATGAATGGTGGTTCATTATAAGTGAATATTAAATCTCATTCTTAGAATCTACTTGAAAGTATGGGATTCCTTCCAGAGAGAAGTATCAAGTAGCTTGTACCATCTATTCTCTAAGGATTACAAAAAATTCATTAACAAGGAGCTTAATGTCATGGTGCCCTTGGACCATCATAGATACTTTTCTTAAGAGATGGAACTGTTAAATTAGGTCAAGGTTTGCAATACAGAGTTTAAGTCCAAGGAAATCAACTATTTAATTCTTACATTCTTGGTAAACCTAAAGATGTTCAAAGGTGTTTTATTCAACCTTATGAGTAGTCTTTATGACCCAACAATTCTAGAAACCCCTTCCTTATGGAGTAAAGCATCAAGTGAGAAAGTACATTTCCCTGCTCAAGAAGATTTCATTCTAGAAAGAGCTAATGATATTTGGAAATTAGGTTGGTTAGTCTTAAATTGTGCTATTGGAACACTTGAATTCCATCCTAAAGCTTAATAAATCTATGAAGGATCTAGAATCATTATTGAAGAAATTGCAAAATATACAGATCACCTTAAAGATACTTGTTGTCTACTCCATAGTGAATCTAAAGTCATTTCATTAGTTGAATAGAATCAAAAGACAATTTCTGAACCTACCAAAATTACAATACTAGAATTACTTCCATCTGATAAATTCAGTCCAGAATTTATTCAATTTTTATGTTCAACACTTAAAATAGATCCAAGACAAAGACAATATACAGAATAATTATTGTAACATCCCTGGCTAGTAAGTGGTAGAGATCCAAAAGGTAGGCTCTCATTATATTCTAATAGGACCCAATGTATAATTAAAAGAACTGCTTAATATCTCTAATGCTTGGAATGCATTTCTGCCAGAAGAATTTTAAGGCTAAGGAGCATAAAAATTGGAAAGACTCTGTGATGCTCTATATCTAGTCTTACAAAATTCAGAAAGACCAACTGTCAATAAGTATCTAATCTATTTTTTATCATTTAGAATGTAATTACAAGAAAACAGCCCTATTATTAAAGAATTATCCTATGATATGGGTCTTAATGCCAAGGCTGTAAGCGATCGAATTATGTCAATTTTCCAATCCTTAATCTGATCTGGCATTGCACTATTATCTATATATTTCTAATTATTAGTGTTATTATAATAATAATTTATCATTATTGATTCTAACTAGATTTATATATACCCCTAATCTTATTGATATTAATAATGATTTATTATAGACCCAAGATAATTATTTCTACCTAATGATACATAATTTTCTGTTTTTCATAAAAATATTTATGAATTTTTAACTTTCCCTTATTATTCATTTCTATGATAATAAGATATTTTAATTAAGTTAATAGATTGATAGTCTATAGCCATTTTCATTAAATAAAAGTATAACAAAATAGTTAATCTTAAGGGACTTTATCTAGGATGAGTTGAAAAATAGTATTGACTAATATTTAGCAGGACCACATAAGGAATCTATGGTTTTGCCTTTTTAAGTACCTTTTCATTTTTTATTCATATTTTTTTCCTGTTGTTTTTAATTACATCAATTATTTTAGAAAAAGATTTATTACTTTTAACATAAAAAGGAGTATCATTTATTGTCATAGAAAACTTGACTGCTTCAATAACTTTCATGATTTTCTCTGTTCAATTTTATTTAGATGAAAATTGAAAACTTTATAATATATTAAGAATTGATATCAAACTCTACACACATAATCAAATAAATCTTCTCATTTTAGTATTAATTTAATGATCTTAACAATTAGATTAATGTCATAGATTACCAATATTCCTGTTATCTATCTTATTGTTTATGTAATTATTTTCGTTTTATCTTTCATTTATTTAATTAAGAACTCTTAAGAAAAATAGAAATTTTATTAGAGATCTTTTTATGTAACTTTACTAGATAACAAATTTTAATAGTCTTTTATAATTTATAATAATATGTGAACTTTCAACCATTTAAATTATGCTCAAAGATTTTATTAAATTCTATAAATTTTCATATTTATAATCTATAAATCTAAACTATGAGTTCACTCAGAATATATTAGAATTATTCAATATTCAACAGGATTAAAAATCAGTCCGAAAATATATTTAATTCTATATATCATAAATATAAATGACTTCTAAACTCTAATTTTATTTAGATCATAACAAATCGTTTGAAAATCCTAAAATGGCAACCTTATATGAGTATCCTTTTAGAAGAAAATCATGTTATTGCAAATAATGCGGAAATCTAGGTCATTTTCAATTATAATACTCTAATTTACCGACACTAAAAGAAATATAATTTAGTAAATAGCAGAGAATCAAAAGAAAGTAAAGTTTCGGTGATGAGATTAAGACTGAAATTCCTAGTGAATTTAGTCAAAATGAAAGTGATAATGGAAGACGAATTAGGTAAACTTTTAGGTCAATTTCAATAATGAATTTATAGATATAAGGATCGCAGAAAATTGAATAAATTTATCCAGAAAAGAGCAATAAAACAAAAAGAAAAAGTTGTGAATGTAGTGAATGTGGAAAGCTTAATACATTCTAAATAAAACATAAAGAATTAAAGATTCTTAAAAAAGAGAGAAAGATAAAAGAATTTTAAATCAAAAGGCAAATATAATTCTAAAAATATGGATCTACAGAGTTTTAAACAAATAAGAAACTCATTTAAAAATCCATAATATCTTCTCCACATAGTCAAAGATCATTTTAAGTGAAATAAATTAATGAAATGAGAAGAACCAAAGATATTAATAAATTAGTAAATAATAGAATATCAACAAGAGACTTAGAACAGCCTAAATAAATTTAAAACAAATTTTCAATAATTAATTCATGTCAATAATTAGATTCTCCATAAATTCTACATCCTTAATTTCGAAGACAAAATACTCATAAACCAGCCTTATTGTTATCAAATATAAAATGGAAGATTTAATGATATAAGTTTCTTATACTTTGTTTTTTAACATTATTAAATTATTCTTAATACTATTCATAATTAAATTCAGAAATATTATTATAAAAAACAGATTGATAAAATTTATTAATAAAATTATTATTAAAATAATCATTAATTTTATAGTGTGCCTTTAACTTAAGTAATTCTTTCAAATTGCTTATGATTTTCTACTTTAATCTTATTATAATTTTCATCTCTAAGTGATTTAGTTGAGAGACGTATTGGAGCATCACTTAAATTAAATAATTGATTTTACATAAACTTTATTTGCTTTCTATTTTCTATTTATTAAAGTTTCTTTGAGAGTATCAAATTAGAAGCTGTAATTCTTGAAAGTACTTCTTTTTATTTGAAATTCTAACTATTTTAAACTTTTTTATTTGCGTCCTTTTCTTGATTAGGAAGTTATATTTTTACATCTTTATAAAATTTCTTCAACTTGATCAGGGAATTTGTTATTTCTATGCTCAATTGATTCGACTGACTTTTTATGTTTGGCATATTATTATTCCCACTATCTGGTTTAGAATTAATTATTATTCATTTATTAATAATAATTCTTATGGTAATCGAATAGAAATGAGATAGATTTCCTAATTTTATAGTATTAACAATTAATAATATAAATTAATGAATTCCAACAATAATTATAACAATGACAGTTCAAGTGAAGATGATCTTTAAGTGTATGAGACACTCACAAAAGTGGCACCCCCTAATGAACTATTACCTCGTAAATTGACAATTGATATAGATGTTAAATCATTATATCCTCTTAAGTAATTTAATTATTCATCTTATAAGACCACTTCCTCAATTTTGTAAAACTTACATGACATTTTTTGAGGAATCCTTATAACGTGAATGCTCAATTCCTGACATATAAGTGACAGATGAGAATAGGACACTCTTAGATTATTATGAAGAGAATAAACAGAATTTAGTTTACAAACGATTCGATCAGTTGGATTTAGGCAAAAGGACTTCAAATGACCGAACATATTTTGCAAGTCTCTTAGCCAATTTTAAGAGGTATGGACGATTCTAAATGAAGAACATAACCAAGAGTCTTCTTCAGAGGAGAAGCACTTTTTGATTAAAAATTAACACCTTGTCCTTCTGATTAAATATAATTTGATTCCAATTTTGAATCAGGCAATCTATTTTGTGCATTCAAAAAAGCAGAAAATGTATATGATCTTATAATTCAAAATGATATTAATACAAGAGGCAATACATAATGGTTTTTTTTTAGTATAACTGGAGCAAAAGCAGGTTAAACAATTTAGTTCAATATACTTAATCATGTATTTTGATCAGTAAATAATTTTAGCTCAAAACAGGGAGTCTCTTTAATGAAGGCTTATAACCAGCTGTTTATTCAGTAAAAGAAAATCAATTAGTAGGCACTGAATGGTGTAGAGATGGATTTAACATAAGCTATTTCAAAAGTGTGTTCATGAAAGAATATCCACTCTCTTTGAAGAAAAAATACTATCAATTAAGATTTCATTACACATTTAAGCATGAAGGAGACAAGGTTTATTTTGCTCACTCTTTCCCATACACTTATACAAATTTATTGGAATTTTTGAATACTTTATTAGAAGATTAAGAACGAAACTAGTAATATTAAATTTTAAATTTTCAGATACTTATCTCGAAAAGTATTGTGTACAACTCTTGGTGGAAACACTTGTGAAGTCCTAACTATTACTTCTAATTCGTTGTAGAAGAGGGCTTTTAGAAAAGGTGTAGTGTTTTTAGCCAGATAACATCCTGGAGAACCTCAAGCATCCTATGTTATGTAAGGCATAATAGATTTTCTGACCTCCAATAACCCATAAGCAGAGTATTTGAGATAGAATTGCATTTTCAAAATCTTCCCTATGATGAATTCTGATGGTGTAGTAAATGGAAATTATAGATGTGGACTAGAAGGTAGTGATTTAAATAGAAGATGGAAGAAACCAAACAAATATTTACATCCAAGTGTTTATTATGCAAAAAAATATATAAAAGGATTTAGTAAAGAAAGACAAATATTGCTAGTAGTTGATTTGCATGGTCATTCAAGAAAGTAATGAGGATTTATATTTTAGACAATCATCATTTGTATATGGTTGTGCTTACTCTTCTTAAGTTAAGACTATTGAAAGAGTATTTGCACTTTTAATGTCAAAAGTAAATCCTTTCATGGATTATTCATCTTGTACATTCAGAGTAGAGAGTGCTAAAGATAAAACAGCCAGGATTCAATTGTGGAGAGAACTAAAAATTAATTGGGTTTATACTTATGAATGCAGTTTCTATGGACAATAAAAAAAACATTATTAAATTAAAGATTATTTGAATTGTGGTGTTAGTATATGTAATGCCTTGTCTCAAATTGTCAAGGATACTTCTAAAGAATTTACTAATTAAGCTAATTAACCAGATATTTAGTAATAAATGTTGGAAGAATTGGGTAAAATGCCTCAGACTGATGATTAAGATATAGGATCAGATTCAAGTCAATCTGAGGCAGAATTATCAGATGATGAATTGGTTTAATTATTTTAACCAAAGACATATTCAATTAAATAGAAAAACCTTTTAAAATAATAGGAAACAAATAATAAAAAAAAATTATAATAGCCAAATAGTAATTTAAAATCAACTATAGCTTCACAAAAAGCGTCTATCTTGTAGGAGTCCCCTTCTAAGAATTCAGAATAAAAGCCGCCAATGAGTAGCCAAAAACCAAAGAATCCTTTATATCGAATTTAAGCACCTTTAAGAGTACGATAATTAGACTAAGTCAAATAACCAGAGACACCCCTAATGGTTGACAAATCGGTTTAGACTGATGATTGGATGTATCGTTAGTGGCTGATTCAGATGGGAAAGTTAAAGAAACAACAAGAGTTCCAGAGTTTTACACCAACTCGAAATATTTACAAGTCATCATCTCAATCAGTGACTAGATTTATTGTCAAGAATTCCACCATGAAGAATGATCGAGGCCGCGTAGACTCCATTTCCCTTATGGCATCTGGTTTGCAAAATAAACTAAGTAATATATAGTTAACAAATAAGTTTCTTCTAGTCAATAGCGCTAAATGATGAGATACTCTGGTAGTAATTTTATGTCTTGAAATTGTTATTTATTAAATTATAATTCTATTCTGCATTTCCTAACATTCTTTAAAAATATTATTATCAGTCAATTTATAATATTTTTATACAATTTTATTAATAACAATTTATAAAATGTAAATGTCTGACCGTCTATTAGATTTCTCTATCTCCTAAGATTCTCTTACATTAATTCATACAAGAAATCGACATTATACACATATTATAGGCAGCATTATACTAAATTTTATAACACTATTAACATTCAGTATAATATAAGGATACATATTAATGAGTCATTAAGATTGGGATGCTATTGCAGTGTTGATTTTTGCATGTTTTTTATCATCCTCATTTAGGCATTACAATTATATTAGAAGGACTTAGTTTGTTATAAATATTCCATATGCAGACAGATAAATTAGTAATAACTACATCTTTGTAAGTATTATTTTAAGAATTAATTTAGTATAATAATGACTGAAACTTTAATCTTAGGAATATCAATATATTAGACAACAACAGAAGAATTTGAATAAGATTCAAAATTTGAGATTTTTGTTTAAGTTATTGCAATAATCTTATTTTTTTTAATTGCTATTCTAAAATTAATTTTGGTTATTCAATTAAAAAAAGTATTAGATTTAACAAGAGCAACGAATTAAATTAAAGAAGGAATGAGGAGTAAATAGGCTTATGAGAATTTCTCTAAAACCTTGAAGTGAATAGTTTAACATATTTTACTTTAAATTAAACAATTGAGTATACTTTAATTAAGAATTAAATTATATATTATTATTCTGATGATAATATTTATATATATATCATTCTAAATGGGCCCATAAATCTTCAAGATATGGTAATTGTCTTCCCCACATGAAGGAACAATGACCAGCATCATAGAATTTAAGTTCTTTATTTGGTGCATTTACTAATGCTGAAAATAGATGATTTACATCTTTAGGTGCAGCCAACAAATCATCATATCCAGCAATGTAAAATATTCTATTTTTTATATACTTAAATATTACTTGACATCAATATTAGATAAATCATACTAGGGAGCTTTCTTGGTTCCATATCTCTTCAAATTTTCCTTGTCACCATAATCATATCTCTTAAATTCTCCAGTTCTAGTGAATTATTACCAATGTTTAAGATTCTTGACACTAGTACCAGCAGGAGAATGTCCAGCTAATACATCATAACGATCATAGTTGTCTAGAATTGGATCTGCTGAAACAAATGATCCTATCAAATCTCCACAAAGATTCTCCATTAGTCCACAAACTACTCTACCTACTTCAGATGTGAGGAATGTATCTCCAGGCATAAATTCATGTAATCCAAATGTTGCCAAAACTTCTAAGAAATTAGTGTCAAGTAAACGAACTAATGGAGAATACTTTGTTGTAACCCAAGCAACAGGTCCCATTCCAATAAATTATATCAGATTATCTCTAACAATACTTTATTTGAAAAGAGATAAATGAATATGCATTTAAGCTGTACCTTAGGAATGTCCAATATATTGAATTTTTTAACCAGTCTTATTGACAATGTATTTAAATCCTGCAGGAAGATCATAGATAGCAAAATCTTCTAATGTGAAATCCCAGAATGCCCAAAAGAATGGATTCTTTTTAACATGAGCTCTGCCATGTTTATTTCCTCTATTGTTACCTAAGATAATAAATAAATCTAAAATACCAAGCCAAACATCATAGCCTTTATTTGCAATTAAGAAAGCAGGTGCTTTGTCTTCATCATTAATTATGAATGTATCACTACTATCTAAGAGTCCATGTTGGAGAAGAACAACTTTTTTGCCTGAAACAATTTTTGTTCCTTTAGCTTAGACTCTAAAATATGTTAGAAGATAGCCATCCTCTGTTTAGATAACATGTTCTTCCACAGGGTAATTAAAGTATTTGCAATACTTTACAAAGTCTAGATTACCCTCAGGATGTATTGTGCTCAATGCAAGATACGGTAGCAATAATAAAATAATCTTCATTAATAATATTATTCAATTGCGTTCCCTCACTAAGTAATCTTTAATAAGTTCATTCATTTTTAAGAATAACAAGATGACATCCCAATATATAATTACACTTCCTGATACTTCATCTGCTTAATTGACATCATATTGATCTCCTGAACTAAAAATAAATATGAAATTTATACTTAACATTAGTGTAAGTGTCATAAATAAGAAGGAATGCCAAAAGAAAAGCAAAGAGTGAAACAGTAGATAACCAAAAAAGGGAAACTTCAGTAAAGATTGTGAAGATTTCAAAAATGAGGAGTATGCTAGCTGAAATAAATAGTATTGATCCTTAATAAGTGAGTCTTCTTTTGACTGTCAATGAATACATAAACAAGAAAAACACCATACCTATATATTAATTTAGATTTGGATACTTGCAAGACTGCTGAAAACTAAAAGACCAATAACTGAATCTCCTAAAGCCACTAATGTACCACATACTACAGAAATAGATAATGTGAAGGTGACAAATACAACCCAATTCCATGGAAATCCTGCTACATCTTTTCTGAATATTAATGCCATAGTAGCAGTACCAATAGAAATGAATAGACAAAGCCAAAATAACCATGGTTTACCCTCTAAATAGGAATCTAGAGAAGGTGAAGCATATACCCAATATATGAATAATGCTAACACTTTAATTCAAATAGTGTACATATAACGATCATTTGTATTAAAAGGTATTAGTATAATTTTCTTGAATATACTACTCTTGAATTGAATTGATTTTCAAAATTACATACTTCTCCAACAACATTTTATTGTATTTGTGATGTCTTTCCAGCATACTCCAATTAACTTTGAAACATAATAAATTATATATATTTATGTAATATATCAATTTTTTTTGTAAACAATGTAACTACTCCTAAATATGAACAAAATCTCTTCATCATTAATGCGTAGTACTTTATTAGGGGTATCACAATTAAAAACTCTTCTCTTTTTATTTATCAAATCGTACAACACAACTTTTTCACCAATTAAAACTACTTACGGTGTGTCATTTAATAAATCCATAGAAACCATATTAATTACATTAAAGTCAATTTCATAAGTAGATTTGATCTATCCAAATTCTACATCCCATATATTAAGAGTCTAAGATGTTAATGTGATTAAATAATTGGCATTTTATGAAGAACACCAACAAAATTACAATATTTTTTGATCATCTGTAATTTCAAATACATAATCATCATTTTACAAAGTCCATATTTTTATAATATTTAAAGTGCTTGAAAATGATGCTAATAATGTTTTTCTTTTATTGAATTCAATTAAAGTAGTTTCTAATTCTGCTTTTAATTATAATTATGGTTTGTCAATATCAATTTACATTAAATTTATGTAATAATTATAATCCATTACAATAAAGTGATCAAAATGTCTCCATTCAAAATGAATCACATTTTCTAAATACTTCAAAGTTTAGCATTTATATATATCTACTATCTAAAAATATGTATTAAAAATATATATATACTTCAATATCCTTTTCAAAAATGAGAGCAACAACATTAGGCCAATTTAGATTCCAATGAAAATCTAATAATTTACTTGAATTTTTGATGTTGAACATTTTAATTATTTGAATTGTTGTATCTATTACTTTTGCAGCGCCATTTTCATATACAATTAGCATATTATTACCGCTCGATCTATCAAATTTCATTAATTTGACTCTAGAAAAGCTTTCACCTACAACAGTTGGCATAATTTGTATTATTTAATTGTTTTAGATGAATTTTATGCAATTAAGTTGATATATTGCTAAAATGTTTTTTTATGCATTCCAATCACTCAATAAGATTTCATCTTATAATTGTATTATGTCCTATTATAATTCAATATTTAAATCCATAGTTTATCCATTACGAGATGCAAATTCTTAACTTCTCATCAATGCATTCTGAATCATTATTTCACGATCTCGCCTTTCTTATTTCTCAGCTAATTGTTTTTTCTCAGTAAATTAACAAACATGTTTTTATATTAGTAATTATGGCACTTTGCATTCATAATATTAATTGATCTGAATATGATCTTGTAATTATTAAAATAACAAAGCTTTCTCTAATAAATTAATCAGTTGACCTGGCTTAACATCATCACGATAAATTAGTTAATCTATTTTCACTTCATTAATCAAAGCAAAAGCACTATGTGAATAACCTTATTCTAAAAAGTAGGTATAAATTAGATAATTAAGTTCTTCTGTCTTAATTACAATCATTAATAAATAAAATAAAATTCATTTTTTCTTTGCTATCTCATGTAATATCTCTCTTCTAGTTACTGGATTCTCTCTATCATAATCAGTATTAAAGTATTCCTCTGCTTCATAATAACTTTAGACTTCATCCTTCTATTCAAGTGGAAATAAAACACTAGAAATGTCTTCCATAGGCAGTAAAATGTATACTACTCCAATTATGATTATAATAAAGTCTTACCATTTAACTTCCCCAAATAATATACTCGAAACTACAGTATTACCAATCCCTGTAAATATTATAATTAATTCCAACATCTCTATCATTTCTATACTGAGATGTTTTGATAATGATTCTTTGATTGTTCTTCTCCTTAAAACATTATATTTATCAACAAAATAATACAATGTTAAACCCATTATACTGAATAATATACCTAAAGGTATAATATCACCATAAAAAAATGTGAACCACATTGTCTTCATTATGTCACCATATCTTTTGGCTTATGAATAATCAGGCATTTCCATTATTTCATTTGCCTCTTATTAAGTTAATACACAATTTTTCACATTTTTCTATTATTTCTACCTTTGATAATCTTTTTAAATACTCCAAGGATCCACAAACCAAACTATAGGAGGAATGAATGCATTAAGTAAAAACACATTAGATTCATTATAAATGAAACCACCTTTACCAATTACATTTCCTGTTAAATAGAAATCTATTACTAATGATATTAAAGCAGTATTAATAAATAAAGCTACTGATTATTTTCTAGCAAAACTTATATTAAATTTAGTTTTATTAGATATTTTCTCTAAATCAACTATTAAATGATATACTTTTCCAATAACAAACTTATTAAAAAATACAACAGTCCAAGAAATAGATTAACTAGTTAAAAATGCTATAGTCTAAGTCAATGAATCTTTGATACCCTTTTTCTCTTATTCTTCCACTTACTCATTCATTCTCTCTGCCAATTCACTTAAAAACCATATCAAAAAGAAACAACCAGCCATAAAACTTATAGATATTGACCATGCAATAACACGTGCTTTCACTTTTTATCCAGTTTAGATATGTATAAATTCCCAATCAACATCATTAGGTTCTGGTGCTTCTTCTACATATAATTTATGTCCTTCAAAAATTAAACCCTTTTCTTTTACATCTCCTGTCATTCCATTATTAAAAAATGCCTTAACTCTTTCCCATGATGTATGAGGATTATGTTACAATACTAATTATTTCATTTCTTCAGTTAAAAAACTTATAAATGCTATTCCTGCAAACTTTTCTCTATTTATAAATAATTCATGTTCTTTTTAATGAATTTTTTATTCTAATGATTCTAACTTTTCATCTAACTATTTAACTTTGAAATCTGTAAAATTCATTCCATTTTCTAATAAATATTCCTATTTATCTCTTATCATTTCTTTTAATGCTTCTTCTAATTCAATTACTTCATCTAAATTATATACCAATACTATCTTTGTTACAAATAATTCCCTTCCATCAGCAGCATAATTTTAAAATATATTCTTTAATACTTCTCTATAATCCTCATTTAATTTTGGTATATTCTTAACACAAATAGTATAATCTGATGGAGTCAATTATGATTCATCTACTTCTATATCTATACTTCTTTAAGCTTTTCTGAAAAATAAAAATGAAACCATATTAGCAAATACAACAACTAATGATAAGTTAGATTATAAATTTCTAATATCCTCTCTATCATATACATTAGCCAAACTCACAAAATGCCACAAAGATCCACCACATATTGAATTATCTTCTTTATGTTTATGATGATGATGTTATTAATTCAAATGATCATGAATAGAATGATGTTCTTTCTATTATATTTTAATCTTTTCTTAATTATAACAATAATCACCCATTAAATCTGTAGCCAAACAAAACATTCCTTTTAATAACCAAAATTCTACTAAGATGAATATACAGTATTTTATAAACATATAAAACAATGGAAATCCAGATCCTAAGAATTTCATCTCTAATGGATCACAATCATATTCTAAATCAGTTCTTTCTATCGAATACCCACAACAAGGGCATGTTGATTAATTTTCAACTTCCAATTCTCTTGCCACTCTTCTTGCTTTAGCATGATTCTCTGCTAATACCCAATCACAAGGTATAACCAAAGGATTATAATGATGAGATGCATGACTCTTATGATGTACTTTTTGACCACCTTTTTCACTTTTACTTCTTTAATGTTCTGATAAAGCTCTACTTGGCCTTTAAGATTCTTGTTAATGAAATGAATTTTGAATAAAACGACTTGCCATTTCAAAAATTAACTTATTATATAATATAATTTATACTAATAAACTTTAATAGTTATTATTGTAAATATTGTATTTGTTTCAAACTTCTAATTAAAAAATGAAAAAGACACAAAAATCTATACAATATTTCTCTTTTATATACAAAAATAGTTTATAAATAATAATGGATATCAAATAAATTTAATTTATAATTAATTAAATAAATAAATCTATGAATTATCTTTTATAAAGATTCCTAAATTTAGAAGATTTAAAAAATTCTTATAAATTATAATAATTAACTCATTATAAATAATATTATCAATTTTCCATCAGTAATTCATTTTAGTAAATGTTGCATACATGATTTAGGTGTTAATCTTTTATATAGTTTCTCTGAATTTATGCTGCTTAATTATTACTTTTCAATTTAGTGTAAAATATCCTCTTTTGTTTTTCTAATAGAATTTTCAAAAGTCTATTATCCTTTTGAAGTAGTAGGCATTTCTGAAAGTGGAATGCTTAATTAATGATTACTTTATATCAATCCTTTAATCCATTTATGTTATCTTATTTCCTTCAATGTTATTCTATTTTCATAATCAGGATTAAATAAATCAGTAAGTAAGCTTATTAATTCCCAACTCACCTATTTAGGAATATTATAATTCCCTTCACTTATATTCAATAGTATATCTGTATTATTTTCACCTTTGAATGGATATTCAGCAAATACTAAATAATATAGAATGACTCCCAATGCCCATATATCAACTGAAAAATTTACACTCTTCAACTTCCCAAAGACTATTTCAGGAGATGCATAAAGAACAGTACCAACATTTAATGGTTCATCAAATGGAATACCTGTACCAGACAAATAAGCCAAACCAAAGTCTATAATTTTAATCTATAATAATTTATTTATATTAAATACTCTTAAATCGGTAGTGTCACAAAGAAGAATGTTATCTAACTTCAAATCTCTATGAATAACATTATTTTTGTGACAATAAGAGATGCCATCCAAAATTTGATTAAAAAAAATACGAGCAGTTGGTTCATCTAATGCACCATGATCTAAGATTTAACACAAATTCTACCTAATACATAATCTAATAAGGACCCTCCTTTTAAATATTCCAATTCTAATACTGCTTCTGATTTCTCTGGAAACAACTTATATTTATGGAGTTTGACTATATTTCGATGTTTTAATTATTCCAATATCACTGCCTCCCGAGCAATATATAAATATTAATTCTCCTAACCTTCACTTATAAACTTAAGTGCTCTCTCCTCACAAGTAGTTTTATGAGAAATCAACATTACTGTTGCTTAACCACCTTTGCATAGTACTGATAATGGATTATATTCAAACAAGACAAATCGACCATCCAAACTCTTACCATTGGTTGTTATATAGATTTTACTCTCATTCTTAAGATATTTAAGATCTTCTTCAAATAATTCTTAACATCTATGATCAAAAAGTCTAATTTTCTTAAAAGACAGCTTTCTACTAACTAACTTAATTAGACTATCAAGTGAATTAGCTTATGTTAAACTGATTTCCATTGGATTTTGACCATATTGATATAGTGTAACCTTATTAATTAGGGTTGATGAGTTAGATTAGTTGATTGATATACAATTTTTCATTTCGCGTTTAAATTATTAAAATAACAATCAATTTTAATTTAAATACTTATATTATCAAAGAATCAATTTTAAGTTAATAACATTAAAGTATAATCTATTTATAAAATAAAATTCTCCTTCCTTATTTCTTATAGATAAATAAGAATATTACATATTTTTAAACTAATTTATATATTTTGTATTTTCCTTAAATATTCCTATTTTTTTTTAAATTTTATAAAATCTTTCTTAATATTTATTATTATTAATCAAATTTCAATACATTAAATTTAGAATTATGTTATGTATTGAATAATAATCTATAATATGGATACTAATTAATTTACATTAATCAATATATAATTAAATTACTTTTTAAAGATATTTACTTCTAAATGATATGCTTAATTATATTAATTTATAACTAAAATGAATTGAAAACCTATCTATTTGTATAAGTATTTTAAAAATAGATATGACTTAAATAAAATAATTAAAATAAATTAATTTAATCATAATAATAAAACAAAATTCAATTGATAGTATGATAATATATAAATAATACTTGTTTATAATACAAAATTATCATTCATATTTGAGTTAATATAAAGAGTCTTGTGCTTAGAATTATAATTACTTTCTATTCAAAGAGGCTATTGAAAAGTTTAAATTTATTATTAAAATTATATTTGCTTTTAAAGAAATATTTGATTAATTAAGTATTCAAAGCTATGTCTTATTAATTTAATTCGTTTTTTATTTATGAGATTTGTTCATATCTGCTTAATTCTAGCTATTGCAAATGCAACAAAATTCTTAGATGAAACTACAGTTTTTGGATAGGAAGCAGAAGTTTAAATTACATATGATCAGTCTACATCACTATTTACAGAAGAATAATTAGCTCAAAATACAGAGGTTAGGATGAATAAAGATGAACCCTTTGATTACTAATCAGAATAGATATCACCATTATAAAGTGTTGAGCAATAACAAATTTTATTAGCTTATGAAAAGGATCTCTTACCATAAGGAGACTGTGTAATTTTATATGCTGAATGCCAATTCAAAGGGACATCAAAAAAAGTATGTAAAGGAGTAGAAGAAGTGATGAGTTTTTCCCTTCCTGTGTTTTCAATTTATGTTCCTGAATTGTATTTTAAAATATGTATTAATAGATAACAATTTTCAACAATTGATGTTAATAGCAATACCTAAGTTACATTTTTAACTAGTGATAAATGTTTAGATCAACCTATTGTAATGGCTGATTCTCAATTAGATTTTTTCATTGCAAAATCAATGTCAAATTGGATAGGAGAAAGCGCAGGTATTATATTATAAATCTATTAAAGAAGTAACCTAATTGATTTAACAAGAACAAGTAGAAAACTAAAATACTGCAGTTGAACAATAAACAAATGAAACAGAATAAGTTGATTAATAAGTGTAATAATAATAAGATGTAAATGTTGAATAACAACTTGATTAATCATAAACAGAATAACAACCTGATTAATCATAAACAGAATAATAAGTTGATTAAACATAAACAGAATAATAAGTTGAATAAACATAAACAGAATAATAAGTTGATTAATAATAAGATTCTTCAGTTTAAGAATAATAAACAATAGAGAATGAATAACAATCAGAATAATAAAATGAAAACACTTAATAATCAACAGAATAAAGTAATCAATCTGAAAATTAAGAAACATAAGAAAATACAATTACTGAATAAAATTAAGAAAATTAAACATAATAAACAGATTAATCTTAAGAATAAGTAGAATAATAACCAGAAGTAGTTTCATAAGATGAGAAATTATAAGAAAAAGAAATGGAAGAAGTTGTTGAAACTGTTACAGAAATTGTATAATAAGTAGAAGAAAAATAAGAAGTTGAATTAGAGTCTGAAAAGGAATAATTATAATAAGAAGAGGAAGCTTAATAATAATAGTAAACTTAATAATAAACTGAATAATCTGTTGATGATATACCATAAAATTAAGAACCAGAATAATAATATTCCTAAACTGAAACAGCAGAACCACTTGTAGGATAATCATAATATACAAAATGATTGTAATCATTATTAAATTTAAAATATATATAATGTAATCTATGAATAATATTAACAATTAAATAAAATTATTGATTTAATTTATTATTATTATTGGGCTAGATAGTTTATTCACCATATTTATACAATCAATCTTAACCTTTCTCTCTATATATTTTCATCTTAAATTATTTAATTATAATAATAAGATATTTTTTTGAATATTTTCAGTTCCAAAAAGATATAAAATAATAACTATCATAATAAGAATATCATATTCAAAAATTAAATAAGTTATTTAAATTAATATATGAATAATTCTTTAGTGCTATTATTTTTGTTATAAAATTTTGACTTTTCTTCGAATATTATAAACATAACTCTAAGATATTTATTGAATATTCTGAATATAAATTAATTCCTCTTAGATCTTCTTTACCTTACAACATAGAAATTAACATTAATTAATTAAAAAATAGAAATTTATGTATTGAAATGACTAGATTAAGTATAAGTATTTCATTTTAATTTCTTATCAATATATTGCTTACAAGTGTATTAATTTATTAAATATTATTCGAAAAGAAAGGAGGAACATATATACAAGAGCTCTTAATATTACCGTCATGTACTTGAATTTTAACTATAATCTATAAAATTGAATCTTTCCAATAAGATCTAAATACTATAAAATTAATTTAGATAGATATAAGAATAGTTAAAAGTTCACTTAGCACATATTTATCATTAATTATTAATTCTATGGATTTTAAATGTGTAAGACATTGGAAATTTCATTATAGTTACTAATTGCAATAAATGGAATATGACTTAAAAACTAAGCTGCATTATTCTAATCTTGTTATGCTAAATCAAATTATTTATAAGCTTTATTAATAAATTTTAAAATGTGAAATGATGAAAAAATTAGATCTAAAAATTAGATATAAAAATAATATATATTTTATTAAGAATGTAAGGATTATTTATAACTTGACAATACTATTTAGGCTAAATATATAACTCATAAGAAACTATTTTATTGAAAGTCTTCACATCTCTGTAAGATTCCATAAAGTTATAAAATATACAATTGATATTTTTCATGTTAAAGTCAATATTATATTATAAATGATTTGATTAATAAAATTAGGATTAAATTAAAATTTAAAATATCTATTTTTCTATAATAAACTTGAAGAAATACAAGTTTAATATCTAATATAATATAGTCTTAATATCTTAATTCAAAAAATTGATAAAATAGTTTAATCCATTTAATTAATTAAATTAATAAAATGAAAAACTACAAAAAAGTTGGTATTTCAAATACTAAGCACTTAAATAATGAGATTGGTTATTATAAAGAATGTGTAAGGTTTCTTCCATCTGAAAGAGTTGATGATTATTGTACATCTGATGCTATTAATTATGATCGATTAAGGGAAGCAGGAATGAAAAGAAATAAAGCACTTCAATTTTGTACTGCTAATCATTGTAGAATTGATTCAACTTAAGTTAAACATGGTCCTCCAGGTTTAAAGATATTTAAAACAAAAATAGATAAATTTAAGTAATTAAATGGATGGTAGATGGTAGGAAGATTAAACTATGTGGAAACTATGCAATAAGAGTATTCTGATGATAGTAAATGGTAAATATAAGTATAAAATAAAGAAGAGTCAAAAAAATTAGAATAATTAAAATAATTTTATAGTGATCTGGATATAAAATATTCATTCAATGATTTAAATTTAGATTAAACAATCACAAAATTAAGATCATTGTCAACTGAATAAAATTATAAGAGTAGAGTACCATAACATTAAATAAAGGATTCAAAAAATAATATTATGTACTATGAAATGGCAGAGTATATATTATAATTAAAAAAACCATAAAATACATTGATATCTGATTTATGTGCATTTGATGATTCTTTGCCATTAGCAAGATAAGAATATTATGAAATCTAACCAAAAAGAATTGAGAATGCAGCTCCATTATATTCACCATAAAATTGTGAGAAAAGATCAAAATTATTAAAAGAGTTAACTAGAGCTTATACTGGGAATGTGACTATAACGGAACCATCAGAAGAATTAAAAAAAGTAAGTAATTTATAAATTATTGGCTATTAGAACTTCTTATTAGATTGATTATAATAACAGTTAATATGTAGAAGGTTATAAATAAAAAAATGGAATCCTTAAAAGTTTAAATGAAAATGAATAATTAAAGTCAAGGAAAATAAAATAAAGATGTAGTATAAAGACTCAAAGAATAAGTAGATAATCTCCTGAAGAAGAAAGAATAAATAAAAACGTATAGTTCAACAATAAATTGAAAGATTTTATACACAAAAGCATAAAGAGATTGAATTATTAAGGAAATAAACAATTCTTTTGAATATATTATTAAATATTGTTAGGATCAACCTTTTTTCTCTAAATTCTCAAATTTACACCAAGATGATCCTGTTTCAATTGATTCTAACTAATTATTATATATATAAAATACTTCATCTGATATTTCTTCTTCTGTATGTCCACTTCTTAAAACTGATGTCCAAAAATTTAACCATTCTTCTTCTGATATTGTACCACTATTATCAGTATCAACAGATTTAAATAACTCTTCAGTATTAAGTTTTGCAAAATTACTTTTCCTAAAGATGTAATTTAATATAATATTACCAATATTTGATTGTTTCTGTTTTTTCTATAGATTTTGAACCATCTACATCAAATTTAGCAAATAATTTAAGGACTCTCTCTCTCATTTATGGAGATAACTAAATTACAAATTCATTTATACTTCTTTTCCTTAAGTGTTACCCATTATTAATGTTTGATATTTTTATTATTTATAATATGTTTTGGTCCTGATCAAATTTGAGAATTTATTCTGATTGACTAAATATTTGAACAATAATATACATAATAATATATAATAGTCAAAGTTTAGATCTTAAGTATGCTTTGAGTTAATCTATTTATATTGGTTTTACTAAATAACCATCCATTCCATTTTGTAATGCCAATTATTCTTCTTCTTTTTATGAATAAGCTGAACAACCTATGATTTGTATTTTTGGAAACTATTTCTTAATAAGAATAGTAGTTTAGATCCCATTCATTGTTGGCATATCCACATCCATAAAAATTAGATCATATCCATTGCATTTCTTACATCTATTCATTTTAACCATCTATATAGCACTATATCCATCTAAAGAACAATCAAATTATATAGAAGGGCTTATTTTCATTATTAGAAATTTTAGCACTTCTATATTAAATGCATTATCATCTACAATTAAAATGCTGATACATTTACATTTACTATTACGTTGAGTTTTTATATTATTATATCTCCATAAACTTTATCTCCTTTCAGGACTTTCTTCATCAATTTCATCTAATTCCTCTTTTATTTCAGTTTCATAAATATTCTTCGAAATATAAAACCAAAATGAAGATCCATTAAGATATTCTGATTAAAATTATAATCCTTTATCATTTTTACTTAAATTTCTTGCAATCATATTACTTATAAGTAATCCCAAACCAACTCCTTAAGGATTGAGTTTCTTACTATCTTTATCATCTACTTTTGAAAAAGCTTAAATCAAATGTTCTTTGTATTCCTCTTTTATTCCTTATCCTGTATCATGAATTTCCACTTTAATTGAATTATTTAAGTAATTTGATACTCTTATTTCAATCTAACCTTATAATGTAAATTTAAATGCATTCCCTAGTAAATTAATTATAATTTATCTAATTCTATTTGGATCATTATTTAATAATCTTGGAGCACTTTTTCTATAGATTAATGATAATTTGATCTTTTTTAAACTTGCTTCTAATTTGAATAATTCTAAACATTCTTCAATTAATTTTTATAAATCCATTTCTATTGGACATATTGAAAATTTGCCAACTTTCAATTAAGCAAAATCTAACAAATCATTTGATAAATTCAATAAATATTTGCAATTAGATAAAGCAATTTTTATGTATTTGCTTTACAAATTCAAATCTTTTTCTTCTTGTAAAGCAGAAATGAATTATATAATTGAATTTAAAGGTGTTCTATATTCATGACTAACAAATGATATTATATTGGATTTTGCTTAATTTGATTTCTTAACCAAACTTATGTAATCTCTATGAGTTACATCTCTTATTTATAAAAGAATCATTAATTTTTCATCAACTAAAGTAGCATGAGAATTGATTTCAAGCAATCTTTTCTTTTATGGTTATTCTAAATCTACACAACAAGTATTTTCATACCAATTGGCTAAATAACTCCCAATATAAATAGTATTATGAGGACTACTTTTAAGAATCTGGAAGAATCTCTTATTTGGTTAGATACTACTTAAATCACTTAGTATTTGCTATAGTAAAATAATCAAATACATTAAAATCAAGATCTTCTTTTATTTATTTTGGATTGTTTATTTTATATTGTTAGAAAGATTATTAGAAACTATGAAAAGAAGGAAGAGAATCTCTAGGATCTCTAGTTTCTGATTTATTTTATGTTGATACAATATCAGTAAGTTATTCTAAACAACTCTTAAAATTTGACATATCATTTATTCTAAATAATTCTAAGGTTGCAGCATTGCAAAAATAAACATTTAATTATTATGCTGTCAGTAATACTAAAGAATCTGGTATTAAATTGAAAAAGTGGAAACATTCTTGTAATTCTTATTATAATGAATTAGTTGAAGAATGAAATTATTATTTTTTATGTTCTGGTGTTGGAACTATATTTAAAATTGATTTTTCAGAAGACTTTTTTGATAAGTAAGATTATTATTAAGCATCCACTTCATCCTATTTTTAATATGCCCATTCAGTATAGAGATTTAATATCAATAAAACGAATCCAGCTCCAAAAAAATATAAATCAATAGAGCTCCAATGACTTATTCTTAATAAGACATAAAAGTTGAATAGGATTGTAATTTTATTCCATTTACAATATTAAGTTCTTACTTGTCCAATTTGAATGCATATGAAATATAAGAAAAAAACACTTATTTTATTTAGTGAAACACTACATTCAATAAAAAATACACTCTAACATAATGTGTAAATTATTTTCATTTCTAATTATCTCTTTGAATTCCAATATTTAGAAATAAATGCAAAAAATTACAAAATACTCATCAAACATAGTAGGATTATCATTAGCAGCAATTCAAAATCAAGTAAAGGTATGAGGACTATAGGAAGTAATCCTTCAAGGAACACTTTTATTTTCATTATAAATATATATATATTAATATATTTAAATCAGCTACTTAAATAAAAATATGAAAAAGTAATTAACTTTTCCAAAACCAACATTTATATAAATTGATTCAATCTTTTTAAAATATTATCAAAATATACTACTTTTTAACTAGGTCATAATTGTTTATATTCACCAGAAAATTACATTTATTTATAAAATTCAAATGAGGGATGTTATATTTATTTTATATAATTTTAGTTGAAAAAGTTCAAAAAAAATAACTAATCATAAGTGTTTATTAGAACTATAAAAAATTTATAGAATATTTCAATAATAAATGATTTTGTATTACTATAATAATATAATCATTTAAAGGATATTTGTTGTATTAAATTTAAAATAAATAATGTTATAAGTATGATGATATGAATTATTATTAATAATTTGAGTATTTTATTATTTCAAATAGAAATTCATAAAAACTTACCATTCTATTATAATTTATTTACAATTTACTAAAATAATTTTTATGGATTAAAATAGTATTAGAAATACTATATACATATGTAATTACAAACTATCTCCATAATTGAAAAATATTATAAATTTACTTACACCATTTTTGTAATCCTTTATTATTAAAAAACAATTTTTTTACATTTTAAATATAATATTCAAGTTCATCTATAGAATTCTACAATCTCTTTGTATTCTTATAAGAATATTATATTTAATTAAAAAATAAAATCTAACGTATATGAGTTAGACGGAACAATAAGAGTTCAATTATGATAGATAATATCTCGATGTATTTGGATGCATGCATAACACAAGGATCACATTTTCAGGCAAATAGATTTGTTAACAATGTGGCATATTTATTAACAATGTAATTAATTCAATAATAAATTCAGTCATCAACAAGGGTGTACAAAACAATAAAAATGAGATATAATGCATTTTTTAATCCAACAAACATTTTGAATAAAGCATTAGCTCCTCAAATTATTTAGCAACATTAAATAAATCGATAGCCAGTTATTGATTTCATTGAATAAGCATCAGAGAGATTAAATCTAAGTGCTAATACTTCATTTTTGGCTATAACATATTTAGATAACATTTTTTATTAGCAAGGAATAAATGAAGATCAAATATTTTTATATGCTGCAACTGCTTTGATGTTGGCAGCAAAAGCATAAGAATTAGATGAAAAGATTCCTTTCATAAGTAAATTGAAGAGATATTCATCTATGACATCTCATCCAGAAGTAAACAACTATACAACACAAGAATTTAGAAATGCTGAAAAGGCTATCATCTAATCACTTGATTGGAAATTGCAAAGAGTTACTTTGTTAGATCGTATAGAAACCTTACTTTCATTCGGGGCAATAGATGATGATGATAGTCTAGTTCAATAGTAGGCTTCATAATAAAAGGAAAACAAAGAATAATAATAAGTTCATATAAAAATAAGAGATTTAAATGAAACACAGATTTATAATTATGTCAAAGAAGTAGAAAATAAATATATAGAGACTGCTTTTACTGTACTTAGGGGTATATTATAAATTGATATTTAGATGACTCAATATACTTTTCAAATGATTAATCCATTTTGGCATTATCATGTGTTGCCTACTTAAGAAAAAAGGCTGGATTATTAAATATTTGGTCGTAATAATTATAGGCTTTAACTGGAGAGTCAACATAGAAACTATCGTCAACAGTTTCATAAATAATGACTCTAACACCTAAGAATAAAGCCCCCAATATTTCTAAACCTTTGATCACTACTTAGTCTAGTTCATATTTATAAAATTTCTAGAACCCTCCTTCTCAAACAAAGACTTCCTAAGCCAAAAATAGATAATATTTATTTGAATCTAACAAGTAATCAACTGCAGATATTTTACAATCATACAATACAACTAAGGCTTAAGTTAAGGTTCCCCTATTCTAGTCTCAATCTACAATGCAATTATCAAAAAATGAGATTATGAAACCACATCAATTGAATTAAAGTAAATATACAAGTAGAAATACTAATTTTCCAATTACTACAACTGCAAATTATTCTTACTTAACTGACAATATTGTACATCCCAATTCCTATATAAAACATGTCGAATTAGATAAAAAATATGAATAAGTTCATAAGGTAAGTGAAGCTAAATTTAGAACCAAATTATTCAATCAATGAAAAAACTAATAAAATTATTAAATACTATTTTTTTAATTACATAAAATTATTTATCATTTCATATGTTAAACATAGATTTGATAGCCTCATCGATAAATTTATATATATATATGTATTACTCTGAAGTATGAACCATTCCCCATCTTTGTTCTCTTAATCTACGAACAATCCCAAAGATTGAGATTCTATAAAGTTCAGGATTCTCTTCCAGTTCTGAGATAAAATAAACAAATAAATACTTTATTTGTCCTCTCCAATACTTTATTTATATGCTGTTAATAATATCATCAAATTAGCCAAAGCAATTAAAGTACCAGTACGACCTACTCCAGCACTATACAATTAAATTAGAAATTACCTGCAATGAAAAACTACTTTTTAATCTTATTATAGTTTCTCATTTATCATATTCAAAAGCTCTCTCATCACATCAAAATCACTAGGAGAAGGTACCCCTTAATCAGGCCATCCACACCATTAAATTTGAATGACTGTCTTCTCTTCTAATTCTGAGTTAACTTTAACTACTCTTTTAATGATATTGTTTCCTAAATCATCTTGACTGAGTAAGTTAACTTGAATATTTCCAAATACGATTGAATCGCCAACATTTTTTGGCCAATATTACTCACATTAAGCCTAGATGATAGGATGTGAAATTACTCGTTAATTCTCTCTTAAATTACAAAGCATCACAATCATAGCCAAGTCTTCTTAAATCACCATTTTCCAGAAATGCCAAAAGGTTTAATTCAAAGGACCTTGGGTGGCAATTATAATTTTCTCCTTACCATTAATAAGCTATAAAATATATGAAAACAAAGCCAATACATTGATAAAATTGGCATTTATATAAGTGTCTTTAAGATTTTCTTCATCTTCGGCTTCCTATTTGAGTTTGACAATCGAATGTTTAACTATTGATTAAATTTGACATACATGGTATAATATTATTATATCTATTCAATTTCTATAAGTCTGGATGAAAATCGTGTAGGTTTTCATTGTGATATTAGGTTTCTGTCAATCTACGTAACAACTTCTTAAGAACTTTAATATACTCTGAATTCCATTTCTAAATCTCTTTTTTGTATTTCTGAATTGATATGTATTATAGGTATTCCTCTTTCAATTGCTACTAAGTCAGGATTACCCTTTAACCATTCATAAGAAAAATCGTTATTTATTTCCTTGCCCTCAACCAAGTACCCTTGCATTTATTTTAATTTATTAAATTTTTATCAAATGAGACCAGGAGAAGTTTTTGAAAAGTTTATCAGTCAAGCACCAGATTTTGTACCTCAAAAGAATTAATCATATACACTTTAAGAAGATCTCAAAATTATGTTAGCCCTTAAGGATATCAGCATAGTTCAATCTAAAAATTTTAGAGATATTGAAGAAAGCCAAATTGTTAAAAGAACTTACAATTCAATAAAAAATAGGTTAGCTAAGTTCTTATATTAGATATATGGATTACCTTTAATATCTGTCATAAGAAAATATGGAATAAATTGCTTAACATTTAAATGAACATGGATTAGTGGGATATTTGTTATTTAGTAATTCATAGCCAAGAGAATTATTAAAGATTGTTAATTTCGATCCTAAAACAATGGAGAAAGAAAAAAAGAAAGTAGAAGATGAACTAGAGATTAATAAATTGTAAAAGGTTAAAGTTGAACATAAAAAACAAATTGATCCTACTTTTCCCAAAAATGATTTTGATAAATTTTCAATTGAGGATATGGATCAAGTTCTTAGTCTCTTATCTGATTATAAAGGAGTTCCTAAAGCATATTTAGTTGAAAGACTTCATTAATTAAGTGGGAATTTAGAAGACTTGGATGGATTTTTAAAAACTAATGATGACACTTATTGCTTTTTGGAAGAAGAGGATCACTTATTGAAAGAAGATTAGAACAAAGAGAGTCCAGCAATTCGACTATTAATAAGGAAGAAAGGCATTTCAAGAGTTTAAAGAAGATTAAAATACTTAGGGAAATGATTATTAAAATTATAAAGATAAATATTATAATTTAAATTTTAAATTTCTTAATAAGGTGGCATTTTATTTATATATATATTTTTTTCTACTAATGATTATTATATATATTATAATTCTAATAAACGAATAATCAGGAATAATTGCCAAATGGTCTAATGATTGAGATTGAATTCTCAAAAGTTAAAGAAAAGTACAAATTATACAATTGACTTTTATAATTTTAATAGACTAATCTTAAAAAAATTACATTAGAATAACATAAAAGTGATTAAATCATGCAATTCTTGAAAATAAGAAATATAACAACAAAATATAATTTTGAATTTAGTTCTTACACTCATTAACTTCAATATATGTATTTCTAAAAAACAATTAATTTTCAATGTGGATATATGATAATCTAATTGATAATATCGTGTTTGGATTTAGACTTGCCATATTAGTTTAATTATTTATTATATGAATTCTGCTATGAAAAGAGTTGCTGAATATTAATTATCTATTGAATTATAAGTTTTAACAAGTTATCAGTATAGATTTTTGGAAATATAATCCTATTGAAAACAATAAACTTCTTCCTTAGTTTAATTGAGATTAATAAAAGAAATTGAAGAATCATAGAAGTCGTATGAAATTTGTTTTAATAAATAAAATAATCTATTTTCAAGTTTAAAAATGTTGGTGTATTTAATATCAAAGTTGAAGAGATGAAGAAAAATTAGAGATTATTATAAATTTTAATCTATTATATTAAAGATAAGATTATTTAAAATAGAATAAATTTTAAATATATGTTTATTAAAAAATATTAATGATTAATAAGTATCTTTTAAATGTCTTTTTTTGGTATAAAATCTCTATCTTATATAATTAGCATATTATATATTTTGAATGATTAATAATCACATAGTACATTCTATAAACACATATAGAATAAATCGAATTTTAAGGCGTGTAATTATTTACAAATTAATTATTAATTAATATGGGAAACGATTAACCTAAGCCTTAAGCTCCTAAACCTACAATTGATGATGCTATTTTGGATATGAAGATGGCATCTAAGAGATTTGCCAATGAATCAAGAAGATGTGAGAAGGAGAAGGATAAATTAATGAATTAGGCAAAAGTAGCTTTATAGAAAAACAATGAAGAAGGTAAGAATTAGTTGAATTATTTATAGGAGCAAAATTATTTCTAACATCAGCCATGAATAAACAGAAGGAGGCAGAGAACTTGTAAAAAATGTCACATAAAATGGATTATTTATAAGGCGTAATTAAAACAACTACAAACCATACAAAAACAATTGATGTACTTGCAAAAATTAGTCCAATCATGAATTAATAAGTATTAAAAGTATTAATATTAGATTTAAAACATGCCATTAGAAATGGTTTATTAAAACATGAATTCATTTGAGAAAGCAATGGATGAAATGCAAGTATAAGGAAACATAATGACAGGAATGATGAACTAAAATAATAATATTGGATAAGACTTAGCAATAGATTAAATGATGGGATAATTAAAATAAGAAATACACAGTGAAGTAATATTTAATATATAAAATTTTAGGTGGCCAACGATTTAAATGCAAATCCTAATGTTCTCTTTAAGGAGTTAAATCAACAGAATCAATAATAAAATGCTTAACCGATTAGTAATAACTAAATTAAATGATTTTATGAAGATTTCTATATTGAATATATTGGACTTCATAATCAAAAGACCTCTTCTCTAATTTGGAGGAATTCTGATGCAGCACTCACTTTTTAAGTGAGAACCTCTTATAATCTTTCAACAACTTCCAATTATTGTTCTCTTTCGAAGGTTTAAGCTTCATATTGAGCTTCTTATTCAGCAGCCCATCTTTATTAAATAGCCAATGAGTCTTCAGCATCTTCAAGGAATAACTATTTAATTAATCTTTATATATACAGTTTGATCTTCTAAATCCTCAACAGCTTCTTGAATAGTCACCTTGAATTAGACAATTGAGTTTTCTAAGAAAGCTTTTCTTTCTACTAATCTCTTGTGTTCTTCTTATAAATGACCACTTTAAACTTCCCAATTAGCAGCTTGTCTTTCTTCTGTAGCAAGTAAGGATGCTCTGCTGGCAACCAATTATTATCTGATTTAAGCCAAGAGTTCTAAGATCTTGATGATACTCTTGTTGTCAACCTTTGAAGCTAATTATGTCAAAGCATTGATGAGTGGCTAGAATTAAGATTAAAAGAGTACTTTGAAGAGTGCATGTTTAGATTCCATCAATTTGGCTTAGACTTTTTCAAATCTACTTTTGAGTTAAGCAAAAGCAACACCAGCTTATAAATGTTAAACAATCTTTGAAGCTTCATCAATAGCATCCATTTAATCAACGTGTTCTGCATCCTTTCTAACCCATGTTTCATGTTATGATTGTCTTGTAGCAGATTCATCAGCAAAGCTTCTTTCATTATTGGCAATGTCTGAGGTAACAACTCTGACTTCAGCTTCAGCTTCACCCAAAGCTTCAGTTGTGGAGTCTCTCAAATTTGAAAGAGCAACAATTTGGCTTTCATGATAAGCAATTTCTTGTTCTAAGTCAGCAATAATCTAAACAAAATTAATTTAATAGATAAACCTTTTCGAAAGCAACTGTATCACTTTCATGAACTTTGTCAGCTTTCTTTTAATCTCCATTAAGTTGGGAAGCAATATTGTTTAAGAGAATTTAAATTTCACCTACAGGTCCACCTGTTGCCAATTAAAGTTATAGGACTGACAACACTGAATTTCCAAATGAATCCTTGTTAATTTAAGCCAACACTTCCTTTGGGCTTTCTGTCTTTGTCACTCTAGCAGTTGCAACTGCGAGGATAAGAGCCAATACAGGGACGATTCTCATGTTATTAATATTAATGAAATGAAATCACAATCTCTCTCCAAGACATTAAAAATTACCCGTTTTTCAATTTATTTCTACATCCCTCATTAATACGTTTTTCTTTTTAATTAAAAACTCATTCATTTTATTATCTCAAAACAAATGCACTTCATGAAGATAGTCTAAACAATTAAAATCACTATTCTCTAAATATCAACTATTCTGAATCATTAATTTATTTGAAGAAAAAGAAAGCATTCAATTCATCATATTAAAATGTACTATATTCTGATATCAACCTCAATGATTACACTATCTATAACTAAATGTTTATCATTCATAATTCATTATAGAATTAAAGAAGAAAACTGAAATTCCTGAAATTCTTAAAAAATCAATAATTAAGCTACAATAACATTATCTCTTGAAATGCTAAATTAGTTCAGTGTTATATCAATAAATCTTTATGTATCTTATACGTTACAAGAAATAAAAAAGATTTATCAAGATATGGAGACTTTACTTTCAATCATACAATCAGTTTTTGTCTTAATTAAAACAAAATTAATTAACTTAAACAACTTCAAAGATTATATATTCATTATTTCTAACACTCATTTTCTAAAATTTTAAATGACTTAATTCTTATCTTCAAAATTATAGAATATTATGTGTTTTTAAATTAATCATAAAATCTATTAATTTACAGAACTATTGTTTAATTAATTCATATTATAAACTATTCATTTGTTAACTAATTTTTATTTATTTATTATTATTAATTTTAAACATATATTGAATGAAATAAGTAGACATCGAAAGAATAAATGATCAAAAACCTTATAATAATCAATAATATTGATGAATAATCTATTATATAAAAACCTAATGATAAATGCATTTTACTGCAAAGAGATTTCTAAATATACACTAATATATATATTGATCTAATTCTGTATCGTAATTATTAACAAAATTTGACTTAATATGAGCATATATGATTAAGAATTAAATAACAAAGAAGAAAATGTTTAATTTATAATAAAATTTCGATTTACTTACACATATTGCTATATGAGAGACAATTTAAACTTCTTTAATTATAAGCTTAATAAAAGAATAGCTTTTAGCCAAAATTTGATCTGATAAAAACAAATGAATTTCTTAAGACAATAAATTAAGCCTAATTAAACATAATTGAATCAATAATAACAACAATGATTGATATATAATTATATTAAATAGATTAAAACAAGTTGTAAGGATCAAAAAATAGAAATATTAGATCTTTAAGATGCCTATTAAATACTTCCTATCCATTTTTAAATTCTATCTTAATAATTTATTATTATGATCTCAATTAACTACTAAAAATACTGTTTCTAAAATTAATGAGACCCTAAAAACTTAATTTGTAATATAATAAATTCTATGTTTTCTTATGCAAAAGAGCTTACCTAGTTAGATGTAAAAAAAGAAAAGAAAAAAATGAATTTGTAATTAAATTAGCAGTTTATATAATATAATTTGAAATGTAAATTATTGAGGTTTTAAAATAAAAACCTTCCAAGAATCAAAAACAAATCATCTTGAACTATTAGAACATTAGAGAGATAGGTTTACACAATTCTTTCATCTATATTACAACTCTATGTTTGTCTCATAATTGTATTTAACATTTAGATGGGATCGATTAATTTGTGTAATTAACAACTCTCTCCTTACATCACAATCTTATTCAAAGTGTTAATGAGTTAAACAAAATTAAATAACCTCATCTACTTAAATTACTCAACATTCATCATAATCCATTTACTGTTAATCCAACCTATTCAACCGTCATTTTGTAAAAATTTTGTTATTTGGAACAACTTGACAATTAAAAGTTAAATAAGTAATATTATTAATAATACTTTCATTGGATCAAATCTATTGGTTAATTACTTATTCCTTATCTGAATGAAAATTGTATATCAGAATAATTAGTTAATTAATTGTCTATGGAATTAAAAAAATATGAAATTTGTATTTTTAAGCTAAATTCAATTATTTATACTCATCTAATTAATTTTCACTATTCAAATTAATATACTTAATAATAATTATAACAATCAGGAGAATAAATATTCTCAAAACTCATAGACATCTTAAATAATAATCAAAAAAACAATGATCTTTAAATGTGTTTGATTAATCAATCATTATAAGATTAAGAAATAGATTTGTTCGAATTTTAATCTAACAATATCTATAAATAAAAATGTTTATATTTAAACTTTTTGTAATTGAATGACATTATATTTATGGAACAATAATTTTGTTTCCCTTATTTCCCTTTATGCATAGATTATGTTAAATCAATAATAGAATTAATTAAAATATAATTTAAAAAGCAGAATAAGTATGTAAATACAAGATATCAATAAACTTCATTATAATCTTATCGTTAATAAAGTGTAGATAATTAAGAAAATAATCGATCTAATTAATAATCAATCAATAAGACTAAATCAAGTTAATCAATTGGTAGAATGAAAAATAATACTAATAAATCTATTTTGACTTCCTAAAGTTAATTAAGTCATAGAATTAATAATAATTCTGTTTCAATATTTGTTAGAGTTTTAAATAATTTCACAAAAAAATAAAATTTACTTTAAAAATAATCATTATTTGATATTTTAAAGAAGAGAAAACTTATTTAATAAATTTTTGATAAAATCATACAAAGAAAATAAATAGGTTTTATTAAAGAAAGCTTTAATAAATTGAAATAACTTCTTGCTGTAAAGATTATAGCAAAAGTCACCTTACCAATTTTCAATGAAATCAAGGATGAAGCATTTAATATTATACTAAGGCTTAAAAATAAATATGAGGCTAAATAGCTTGAAAAAAGTATATAACACTTTTAAATGTAAAGAAACAGACTGTTCTTTTCGATTCTATTAATAAATTAATAATAAATGGTTTAATAAAAATAAGCTTTATCTTAATTATTAAAAAAATAGAGATAATTCCCTTTAAGAGAACATTTTTAAAGATGGAAGATCTTTACTATTAGTGAATAATTTTATGATTAAATTTTTTAATAAAAGAATAACGAAATTAAATCTTTAGCATCAATTTCTACAAAAAATGAAATTTATAAAAAGTAGCCAAATAAATCAATTCAATTTTTAGATAGTAATTCAACACTTGAATAAGATGGAGATAAAAAATTAAAAAGAAATTCAGCTACTTCTATTAATGAACAATTAAAAAAGAATGGAACAAACATATACTGTGAATATGTAGTTATTAATAATAAGTTAAAGAAAAAAAAGAAAAAAAAGTCTTTAAAAAATTCTAAATCTAAAAAAGATAATAAAAATAAATAAAATAAGATTAAATGTGGTATCTGTAGAGATTATTTAGATGAAAATGGTAATATTATAGATAAGAGAGATAAAAAATGAATATAAGTTAATTTTTTTAGAATAATATACTATTTTGAAATTAAATTTATATTTATTTCTATCATCCTCACAATTATGTACTATATTATGTTTTTGAAATGTTAAACTTTTGAAATTGTTTCCAATTTAATAATTCTACTGAATTATTTAATTTTGATATTGTAAAAATGAATCATTATTGTTTGTTAGAATAAAATATCATTTAAAATATTTTCAATTCTCTTAATCAATCATGATTAGTTTTACTCTAGTTAATTAACAATAAAATTATTAAAGATGAAATAAAGAAAAATGCAGACACCATAAGAGATTATTGCTTTTCTTCGATCTTTCAAAAATTATATTAGAAAACCCCACTCAATGAGTCCTTAGAGTCGTTGTCAAACAAATGTTTAAACAGCCAAAAAGATGATGAAAGATGATCATCTACTGAAATCTCCTACTGAGAGAAAACAGAATAATGAATTTATTTGTGAGGGAATTGAGAAGAAGGTCGAAAGTTTGGCTATTTAGATCAAAGATTTGTAGACAAAGTAGGAACAATTAGAGAATTAGCATTATTAATTGAGCATGAGTGTCAAGAAATTAACATTAGACAAAAAGCACTAATTACAAGTAAGAGGGAACAAACTTAATTTTAGGAGCGAAGTTAGATGATCAAAAAGTTAGATCAAATGATTGATATCTAACTAAAATAGGAAGAAAACTTGAATTAATTTAAGTAATTATTTGCTTCTCGAAAATTAATTAATTGACTTTTGGTTTTTCATTTTTATATGATATTTATTGTTATTGTATATCAAACTTATTTGCAGCAAAATGTGTATGTATATTTTTATTAAATGAATATATATTGAAGAATTTGATAATTTCATCATTTATTATTCTCAACAAACAAAATTACATGAAAAAATAAAGTGAGAATGAGAAGATTGCTATTTATGCATCATAGATGATGAAATTGCATGGGAAAATCTTAGAGAAGAAATTGACAAAAATGCCTTCAAAACAGTAATTTGAAAGTCAATCTCAAAATATCTCGAATAATAATAGTCCTGCAGTTGGAAGACAAAAGTCCTATGAAAATTTATTAAAAGTAAATAGAACATTCATAAACCCAACACTTTAAGTGTCCTAACAAAAATTATGCAGCATTTTAAATGTGATGGCAGGCTAACAGACGAAACCTAAAAATTAATGTTTATTTAACAATGAATTAATCGACACAGTGAAGATATCTCATAAATTAAGAAAGAATTAATCTATGATTCAAATGGAGCAATAATCCCCTTAACTTACTAAAAACTCATCTTTTCATAGACCTAATTCAAGTGTGAAGATAAAGAATAGTAATAGTGTTTCTTGTGATTAGACTCAAATTCAAAAAATAAAAGAAAAGATCAAATTGCTTTTACAAGAAAGAGAGAATAATTGGTAATAGGATTAAAAAGAAATGGCATTTATGATTAAATTTAATTAAACTCTTAATTAGCTATTAGCAATCATGTTTTAAGATTAATAAAGTGTTTAGCCAGCATCAACTTAAGATTCAAATCAAGCCCTATAAATAGATCATTTCTTTAAGAGATAAATATAGATTCTATAACATTCATTTTAATAACAAATAGAAAAGAAGAAAATGGAAAATATACTTGTTTCAATCAAAAAGAAGCATGAAAGTCTATTATAAGAGCATAATTAGTTATTAGAAGTTAAGAAGTCTTAAGATGAAATAATTGTTAATTTATAATAACAAATAAATGGATTATCAGCTTAGATCAGAGAGTAGGATCATATATGTTAAAATGACACAGGTATATATATATAATAATTATAGAAATCTTAGAATTGAAATATTTAGTGTAAGGATAATTTGAAGCAATCTAAAAATTACTTTAAAGAGAGTAATTAACTAAAATATTCTTGAAACGAGTTGGTGATAGTTCAATAATAGAGTATTATACAATTTTAATTTAGAATGTTCGAATAATTTATCTCAAATGCAGAATAAGGAAATCAAGATGAAACAGAAGGAAATTTAAATATAGATATAAACCCTATAAATCAACCTAATACTCTTAATAAACTTCAAACTCCTAAATAGAAAATTAGTTCTCCTGAATAAAATACTTATCCTCTCTAAATCTTATCCTAATATGAGGATAATTATAAGTAACAGTTAAATTTATGTGACTCTTTATTGGCAGATGATTCAAGTATTAGTTATATAATTTGTAAATAGGAATAAATGATTCTGAAGAAAGTAGTTTTGAATATAAAGGAAAGGAATAAGCCACTGAGATAAGTTGTTACTTCAACTTGGCATCTCAATTTGTTTAGCCACAGATGAATAAAAAGAGTAATTAGATAATTTCAAAAGAGAAATTAAAAATAAATATGATGGATGTCTTATTAGCTTAAGCTGCGTATTTTAAATTATATAAATTTTATGTAGTTAAAAACATTAAGAAATTTTAGAATAATAACAATAACAGTAATAGAAGATTTTGCCTGATGACTTACTGGATGAAGATTAAATAGATTCAAACTAATCTGATGAGGAGGTATTTAATTCTTAGAAATTAGTATTGAAAATTTGAATAAGATCTATTTTTCCTCGTTCTATTATATATAATTCATACTTATTATAAACAAACTAAGTGTATAAATTATTAGAAGAGATTGAAAATCAAAATTCTTTTTTTAATCAAAGCCATTTTTTTAATTTACCTTTAATCCAAAAGCCTTTTCTAGCAATCCCTTCTTTGTCTACAAATAACCCTATACCATCTTAAAGACCATGTTTCCATTATCCTTTATAAATTCGACCGTCTATATACTACATTTCACCATAACCATGTTTAATATCATCCTAATATTGTCCTATATATATACGACCTAATTTAATGATAATGATTAATTACCATCCCCCCATTTCATGGTTCCATCTCCATTCTTTAAACCATTCTTCCAGTAACCTTCGAAAATTTTAGCTTTATTAGGCCAAGTCTACTTAATTAAGAGGATTTACAAATGAACCATAACCATGAAATAAATCATTTTCAAATTCGCCTTAATACACTGATCCATCAGCTAACTGAAAAATGCCCAATCCGCACTTCATTCCATTCTTAAATTTGCCTTCGTAAGTAGATTTATCCTTATAAATCTCTTTACCTATTCCATGTTAGAGTCCTTTCTTCCATTAACCTTAAATATATGATTTAGATACCTGTATAAATACGACCATCATAATACTTAAATTCTCCATGACCATTGAACATATTATTAAGCCATTCTCCTCTATACGATTCATTGGGATTGATGTACACTCCTTCACCTTGAAGTTCATTGGCAATCCACTAAAATATATTGAATAAATTACAGTTCCTTCGATATAACTAGAAAATAAAAAATAGTAACTACCTATCATGGAATTAATATTTTCCTTTTCCATTAGCTTTTCCGTCTTTCCATATTCCAGTATAGATAGCTCCATTTTTCATAATAATGGGCTAGTCATTTTCTTATACTAGTGTAGGATCAAAACAAAGTTTAGGATTTTCAGGTTGAGTGGGAGCAGAGGGTTCTGGAGATTAGAGAGTAGGCATAAGAGATTTACGGACTTTGTGTCCTCTATAATAAGCCTATATAAAGATGATTTTGTTCTCATCATATTAAGGAGGGATTTCTTCTTTGATAAGATTATCTGTTTATTTGCAGGCACTTGAATCCATAGTAGGTAAGTCATCTATATTACTTGGAGCACTTTAACAACTGCCCATAATTAGAATAGGTTTTTTTTTATCAAATTATTTTTATATTTGAGCATGCCAATTTGTTAGTTATTGTAAGAAATAATAAAATAATGAATTAATAATATGATGATTGGCCATAATGGTGGAATGAAGTCAGAAGATAAAAATTTGGGTATAAATTTATAAATTAATAGATTTTAGAAGTGAAACACCACCAAGAAGATGTAAGAAAGTTCAAATAATTTAGATGAAATTGCTGTTCCTTCGATTTCTGCACATACATGGGTGATTCTAGATGGTTAGACAGGTAGATTGATTTGGGGAAAGAATGAACATTCTAACAGAGAAATAGCTTCCATCACAAAGACAATGACAGCCTATGTTACAATTAAAATTTGTGAATAACTCAAAATTGATCCAACATAAGTCACTGTTTCAGTCTCAGAATATGCAATTTAAATAGGTGGAACTTCTTCTAATTTACAAGAAGGAGATACTCTTACTTTAATAGATCTCTTATATGGATTATTATTACCATCAGGAAATGATTCTGCTTTAGCTATAGCTGAGAATTTTGGAGTATATCTTTATTTTTAATCTAAATATTTCCAACAAAAAATTGATTCTATTGACAATGATAATAATACTATACATGTCAATAATCCTGCATAATATTTTGTAGCTGAAATGAATTCAACTGCTCACAAATTAGGTCTTTCTAATACTTACTTTACTAATCCTCATGGTCTTGCTAATCGATTAAATAGATCTACTGCTTATGATGTTTCTAAATTGTGTTATTATGCTATGAAATTACCATTATTTGCTTAAATAGTTAGAACCAAAGAATACTCTTGTACAGTTACTAATCTAGGTTAAACTCGTATCTTAAAATGGGAAAACACCAATAAACTATTAGAACAAGGTTTTACAGGTATAAAAACAGGAGTAACTAATGATGCTGGTCCATGTTTGGCAAGTCATTTTATTAGTAGAAAACATAGTTATATTCTTGTGGTTCTTAATTGCAATTCAAAAGAATAAAGATTAATAGATAGTTGTAGACTTATTGATTGGGTAACTGATATATATGAAAGATAATGATTATTTATATCACTTTAAAATATAAAATAGTTCTTTCATATTTTTGATAATCAAATAATTAATAATCAATTAAAAATAGTCTTTAATCTTATAGTTGTTGTAGGAATTATATGTTCATGTTTATTGACTAAATATTTACATTTCTCTGATGAATTTCCATTCTTAAATCTATTTAATTCCACTAATTACTTATTAGTTTTAACTTAATATTTAAAACTTTAGGAATTTTAAAGAGGAAGCAGACAGGAACCTGTTTTTAGTCTATTAACAAGAATTGGAGATTTTATTAAAACATCTTTATGGGATCGAGATGTTAAAGGATATGTTTTTTTAACATCTGAGAATTCTTAAAATACTTTTCCTAGAGATTTCTTTATAATGAATGTTTTGAAATGAGGACTTTTAATAGGTTATCTTATAGGGATCTTATAACAAGTATTCTTTTAAAATAGAGTTTCTTAACCACATTGTTGACATTTACAACTATGTCTTCTTTTTTTGATTGGAGTAGTATTTTTGTTAGAGAGATGAAAACTAGTAGAAATCATTTTCTTTAAGGGTTTACATTCAATTAGTAAACTCTGTTATTATTTTTAAACATAATGTTGTTGAACTACCAAAGGAGAATTCTGATAAATTTGTTAAAAATGAGTTAATTTGCCACAATTATCACAACAGCAACTTGCTCTTCTTGGCTATTCTTAGACAGAATCTAAATATTTAAGTTTTTAAGTAGTCTTTCTATTTTGATTTCTTTTGTTAATGATGATTAACATTTAATAATATAGAATCATTTCATAATTTATTTGTTATTTATATACATAACAAAACTAATTAATCATTAAAAAGACAAGAACACTAATAAGAATTATAAAATATAGATCAACTAAATTTGATACATATTCAAAAATAATTACAATAATCATTAGATCAATAGTGGTTGTACTGATTCATCATCCATATAATCTAGTACTTATTCTGTGAAGTAGGCAAAATAATGTCCTCTTGTTTTTTGTGTAATTTGAACTTATTTTTCAAATGATTCCAATCCTACAATATTAGTTGACATTATTAATGTTTCTTCAAGAATCAATTATTAACTTACCACATTTACAAATTCATTTAAAAAGACAGGTAGACTTTATAAATTGTATATTGTAATTTCATTCTCAATATCTGATAAATTAAATATGCATCTCAGATTTAAAAACAATATCGTAAGCTCTTTAGCTTTATGATTATAGGTAACTCTCATTGAACCTGCTTAATCACTAATTACCACATCTCTCTCTTCTAATAAAACTGTGTTCTCTTATAAATGAGTAATTGATAATGGTTTAGGAATTTGTGATTACTAATTGTCTATTTGAATATGTGATTCATAATATTGTAATAAGGAATCATCTGGAGTAAGAACTTGACTAGCTACTTTATAAGCTTAAATGCAGAATTGATTTGATTCATAAGCTCCCTTTTCTAATTGAGCCATTCTTTCATATAATTTTGCCATTAATAGATGTACCTTTTTATCTAACTTGGGTTCCAAAGACTTAATTATAAGTTGTTACAGTTTCAGAATTGCTTATAATGCTTATTGTTTGCCCTAATTATCTATAGTACAAAAGTGATAAAGAGATAAAGCAGATTCATAAATTTAAGACACTGTTCCTCCTATGCTATAATATTATTATTCATCAATTAATGCCAGTAGACGAGCTCTTGCTTATGTGATACGATTAATCTTAATTTGGTAAGCAATCTCTAGATTCTATAAAACCCATAAGTTGGAGAAGGTGCATACTTCTTGATTCCATAGCTATAGATATTAAATTATTAATTGAGTGCTTGGTAATTAATTCTTAGACATAAATTCATATCCCATATCTGCTAGTTCTGTAACAATGATTTAATATCCCTTAGAGAAATCAGTTACAGATATGGATTGAAGATGATTGGTTATGTCTTGGAGCAGCTCTTCTGAGAAGTCATCAACTTCAAGTGAGTTGAGTATTTAAGCATACCACATATTTTAAATAATATCATAATTTAGAAGTATTTTTGGGTAATTTCTTGGGATGAATACTGTAAGCCTATAATTGATTATACTTTTTGGATAACTTTTATGAATCCTCATCTCCACTAAATTCATTCATGCATTATTAAAATCCCCAAGTTGAATCAATTGTTTTATGTCTCTATAAATATAAATATTTAATTACTCTAAGTTAATCTTTAGGTTCAATAATTTATACTCCACTATGAAATATGACTGATTAACGTTTAGATGATTTAGCACTCTTTCTACTACGTTTACTTTTCTTACTTTTAGAACGTTTATCATCTTGATTACATAAACTAGTGTTTTCTACTTAAGATGGAATATATTTAATCATCATAGAAGATAGAGAACCTTAAATTGATGTACTTGTAAGATGTTTAGATTCCATTCTTATAGGAGTACCTCCTGTAGCTCTCATAGCTTCAGGAGGTTTTAGAAGATTATTGGAACCCATAATTTATTACGAACTATTCATTTGTGGTAATTTTTATTTGTCTTCAGATAAAGCCCAAATCATTTGATCTTTTATTTTTGTTTGACGATCTGTCCATTCGAATAACTTATCTAGAACTATATGATTATTAGAGGCTGCCTTTAATAAAAGAGATAACATGTATTTATAATCTGGTTCAGATTTGAATTCTAATTTTTTTAAATAACTAGTTGATATGTATAAGAATACTTAAAAATTTCAGCAAATTCAGATGGAACATCTTTACATAATTCTGATACTTCTGTCTTCTACTTGACTTCACCTACTACATCGGTTCGATCTCTATCTCCAATATTTTGTAAATTTTACCAAGGCAATTTACTAATATAAAGAAAGTTCTCTCTACCCTTTTAAGAGATATATCATAACATAAAACATTGATTCTACATCATCTTTTCTTCCTAATTCGTAACCTCTATGTGCTGCTATCGATGCATATCTTGTTGTCCCTATAAAGGATTTCTTGTCTTTTAGTGGGCTTTGCCTTAGGTAAATTCAGTACATGTGCTTGCCATGATTATCTAAATAGACTTTTGACACCCCATAATCCACCAAATAAATAGTGCCATTCTCTTGTTAATATCCTGTCAAAATGTTTTCTGGTTTAAAATCTCTATGGATTACACCCCTTTCATGTACTTACTGCAATGTAGTTAACAATTGATATGAAATTTGTAATACACTCTTCAAACTAAACTTCTTATATGGCTTTATATATTGACTTAAGTCCTTGCCCAAAATTTGTATTACAATGACATTATAGTCTTACTCAAATCCACTCCAATAAAGTTTAGGTGTTCCAGGTACTCCATTCAAACGATTAAGGATAGATATTTCTCTATCTAGAGAACTAACATCTTCATTTTCTTCTTTTTCTATTTTTACAGCCACTTCCTCTCTTGTGTGCTTGTCAAATGCCAAATACACTATACCGAATGAACCTGATGAGATCTATTATTTGATAATATATTTGTTGTTGAAAATCTTCGGATCCCTATAACTAGGAGGAAGCTTCATCATTTATAATTATTATAATTTTATATTTCTGTCTCTTATTCAATTTATTATTACTTAGATCACATTTATTAATTAAAGATTTATTCTTAATAAACTCATTACATTCAATATCTACTTTAACTTTATATTATAATTTAAAAATAAATAACTTTAAAATAATTTCATCAAATGTTAACAATATATCCCATCTTTTTTAATTCCTCTACTTTTTTTTTGGATTTAGTAGTATTAATCAATGTTTATGATAGATAAATATTCTTAGGTAATTAAGATGATTTAATTATTGTTAAAATCTAATCTAAAGTTCTTTCAGTAATCATATTTGATGATAAATGCAATGAAACAACATTATTATTTTATGATAAGACTTACAATAATACAGCAGCACCATCATCACTAATCTTATTTCTAGCTAATTTTAACTATTTCACTTTTTTACAAATTTTCAATTGTTCTGCAATTAATAAACATCCTTCATCTCCCAATTCTTAAAATTATATAAAATACTTACCAGCATTTGAGAAATCTACAATCTCTAAATTATCATTTTTGAAAGCCTACCAAATTGGATCAAATTTTTCATTCATTTTAAAAGTTTTCTTTCTTTTTTCTTATAATTTTGGTGTAGGAGATATACCTTAACGTAAAATTGATACAGGAGCTGGAGGTTAAAGAATATTATTTGATTATTCTTTATTTGGACTTTTTTATTTAATACTCTTAAGAGGAGTAATTGAATTATGAGAATGAACAAGAATTTCATTTTTTAAAGGACTCTTTGTTTATACAATTGATTATGTTGAAATATGACTCTAATTTTAAGTTACTTATGTAATTAAACTCTCTTCATTATCAGTCCAATCTGCTACAGAATTATCTCTTAAAAGAAGAGGTTCTTCTTAATCAAATTTTGTAAAGCTATTTTCAACATGATTATTTTCAGTATGATTTAATTATAATGTTAATGAGCACATTGTATCAAAACATTTTTCTATTTCTACTTTTTTAAAGTCTACTCTTATTTTTTTGATTCTAATATTATTAATTCTTTGCTCTAACATTTTAATGGTTCTATCCATTTCTTCAATTATTGCATTTCCTTTAAATTCCTAATTATAAAGTAAATCCAAAGGTAATTCACCATTATCTGTTTTAGTAGAAAAATAGAGTAAACGATCTTTAGCTCCAATCTTCCATAATTCAGCTTATTATAAACTTTATTATATTTGATCTTTTATCTATCTCTTAGTCTATTATTCAAGAGTCTAAGTTAAACCAGTTAATTGTTCTAATAATTTATTCTCCTTTAATTCTAACTATTAATGTAATTCCTTAAACTTCTCCTTAACTGAAATTTAACTATCTAAGAGCATTGCCTAGAATTTATCATTCAAAGGCTCATAAAATTTAGACTCGCTCATTTCTTATTGTTTATCCAATATTTTTTAATAAGTCTACATTATATTTTCAGCTTTGAGAGTTACTTCTCTCACTACATCATCAACAGATTTGACTTCATGATGTCTATGAATACCAAATAAAGCACATTTAGTACAAATTCGAATTTTATCTGTTAAGCATACAATTTCTAACTTTTCAAGATGTTCAGCACACAATTCAATACGTTCCTATGCTAAATTATTTAGATGTAACTAATATTCAGGTTACTCAATAGATGGTCTCTATTTTACTATCATTTTCATAAGCTAACAATTTTTTGGAAATTCTGAGATATTAGTCTTGCCTTTTGCCAAAATACTATTGTTAAAGAAGAAATAAATACTTATCTTCTGGACAGGAGATCTATTAGCCATCAGCATTAGATAACATGTATTGGATACATTGTTGACAGATAGTATGGCCACAATCTGGAAGCATGAGAGGAGTATTGTCGAATTCATTGAATATATTATGACATTATGGACATATAAGTTCTTCCATTTTAATTAAAATAACGATATATCACTGTTAAAGGTATTGTACTAATTTGTTACATCCTTCTTTTTCAGACAACTCTTGGATAAACGACTTGCATTCTTCTAAAGCAAACAATTATTCTAACAAGGTTGATCCCTTTTTAATCAATATTTATTTTCCATAATATAACAATTTACCAATCCAAACATACAATTTCATTCTATCTTTTGATTACAATGCCAAATCAATTATATTAATGAATGATTCACAATTATACACTTATTGTCTAATTTCAAATAAAAAGGGGAATGAATCTGGAGCATACAATAACTATAAATTAAAATTTTAATATTACTTCATCAAATGGATCTGAAGCCTTAGTCAAAAAGTACTTAACTGATTCCATATCCTTTTATAAATTCAAATATGGCCAATTTTGAGAATATTGATGTTTCAATTTTATTTTACCATCTTATCCATCTTCTATTATATCCTTAATATATTAAGGTAATTCTTAAATATGAATAAACAATTGCAATGTCTCCAATAATTAAAGCTATGTCATTTAATCATTTAATTTCAAAATAGATATTGCAGAATATTAGTATAATTATGTCATTATCTCTTTTTTTTAAGGGAATTCAGATCCTGTTTACATTAATATATTCATACAATAATATGGACTTTCTAATAAATCTATTAATAAAATGATCTATATTAATTATAACAAATAATTACATCTCTAGTAAGAAAATCTTCATATCTTTCAAAATTAGTAAAATCATTTTTCATTCTAGTATTAATTTCACCTAATAATGTTTCAGGTTTTCCAAACAACAATGATAATTAGATAGAAAACATATAAGAGTCAAATGAAACTGTTTAAGCAGTTAAAATATGAGAATAATATCCATTATAACTCATTATTGATTCTTTTGATATTTTTTCACATTTATCTAATACAAATTTCAAAAAATGAAAATTTATAGTAGGTAGATCAAAAATAATACGTAAAATATTAGAAAATATATTAGATTATTCAATTTGATCTTAAAATGGAATCAAATTTATAATCTTTGTCAAAGATTCTTTGGATGGTAGATCTGTTACTTAAATTGATATCAAATATCCAATCATTTATTATAATATTGCATTAACATCAAATTATTTCTTTTAAGCCATTCTTAATTGAATTCTCTTATTATGAGTTACACGTAAACATTATAAATATTATTTCATTAATAATGGAATATCACTTACTTTATTTCTAAATATTTTTAATATAAATTATTTTTGTAAATAACCCAAAACTTCAACTGCAAGCATAAAATCCATATTCTAAGCTAACCAATCTAACATTTAAACATTTGGATTTTCTTTAACATCTATTGTGTCTTTAGTTTCTAAAATCAATAATAATCCTAAAAAGTGAACAACTACTAATGTTTATTATTTTTCATTATTAATCATTTAAGATAAAACATCTTCATCTCCAAAAAGAGGATAAATCATAACATGTGAAGCTATAAGACTAGATAATATTTTAGCTATAAATTTTGGATTGTTTTATGCAACAACTCTTTCTGTATATAGAAAATATAAATCTAATAAATCTGGTTTAATTAATTCTTATCTCACTTCCTTATATGCAATTGCTTATATCAATAAATGATTAAAAACACTTACATCAGTAGCATAATACATTTCTTCTTTACTTATTTGACTATTCAAAAAGAATTAATTTTTTAATAATATTTATCCTAATTTAATTAGATGATCTTTAGTTGATATTATTTGATAATCAACTAATATAGTTATGAATTTCTTTTATAAAGTTGGTGTTATTAATGAGATATAACGAATAAGTGCATCAAAAATTAGACATTAACAATTTTGATTAATATTTGGATCTTCTATTTTAGCATTAAAGAAATTATCATCACATTAATGTCCAAAACCAATTTAAGGATCATTTAATTATAATTATCCTAAAAGTGCTATTCCAAATAGATTTGATAACCATGGATATTACTTTAATATTTATTCTATTTAATCTAATAATCCTGCTAAATAGAAATTCATTTATATTAAAGCATGTTTATCTTCTAAATCTAAAAGAGTCTCTTCAATTAATTTTACTAAATTAATAAGAACAAGATAAAAGTAATTAATAAACTTTTATGTATTTTCTGATAATTATGGTTATTCTTATTTAAGTAATCTATGTTTACTTACAATAAAATTGAGACTATTTTATACTGCATCAAGAGAATTTCTAGTATTATAAAATATATCACTTACTTTCTTAAATAAAATGAAGTATATTCTTAATTAAATAAATGAACTTATTGATTAACTCCAGCAAATTATTTGAAATAGGGATGTCTACTAATTTCATCATTTACTCTGTCAATGTCAAAGAAATTACTGGCTACTTCATTTAATAGATTAATGAAATCCTTTCTGTCTTCTAATTTTTAAGATAACTATGATTATGAATAATCTAACATTTTCTTTGGTGCATTCATAAAAATGATTTTCAATGTATTTCTTGAGTTTTTTTATCTATTCGAACATCTTCTAATTGAGTGATTTGTTGTTTTCTTTGAAAAATAAATATATGGCTGATGCTGCAAATGTTGCTGCAAGACCTCCAAAAAGCTTAACTTTCATATCCATAATTTAATTAAATGAAGACACAAATTAATTAAGAGCTATTAGATCAATATATTGGTATGGGATTTTCTAAAGAATTGATTATTATGGCATGGGAAGAGAGTAATACAGAAGCTGATGTCATTAATACTTTACTCACATTATCAGACAAAAATAATGCACTCTCTAATACACCAACAGTAAATTATATTTGAATTTATCCAATAGAAACAAGATGAAGAAATCTAACTAAATTAAGCATTAATAGATTCTTACAAAACCAATCCTTAAGCAGCTACATCTACATTTGAAATTGTATCACCTGAATAAAGAAAAAGAAATAATGATGTACCATGTGGTCTTAAGAATGTTGGTAATACATGTTATTTTAATGGATTACTTTAAACATATTTCTTTAATAGTGATTTTGTTAAAATCATTATCAAATTTCAACCACCTGCTTAAATTGAATAAGGTAAATAAGGAAAATCCATTTAATTGGTTTAAAATCTTTAACATTTATTCCTTAGTATGATAGGTAGTGATAAAAAATATGTGGATCCTTCTGATGTTGTTAAAAGTATTTGTGATGATTTTGGTAATGTACTACCAATTGGTGATTAAAAGGATGTTGGTGAATTCAATCATTATTTCTTAAGTAGAATAGGGGAAGGTCTAGCTTATAATGAACATTAATCTAGCAAAATAGAAGATTAACCTCATGAAGGTTCTTCTTCTATTTTGAGATTGAAATCATCAACTATACATGATGAAGATGCTGTTTCCAAATTATTCTTTTGTAAAGTACATCATTACTTGTAATTTGATCAAGCTGGTGTTCCTTAAAGTAGAGACAGTACTGAACTTTATAATTTTATTCCTATTGATTTGAAAGATGGAAATCTTTATGATGCTTTTGATAATTTTGTAGTCAATTCTATTGAAGATTTCAAAAATGATTTAAGTGAAACTGTTTGTGCAACTAAATATAATTGGATTTAAGGTGCTCCATAAACATTATCATTCTAAATACAAAGAGTTACTTATAGTAAAGAGAAAAGTAATTCATTTTATATATATAAATTAGATGATCTTATAAAACAAAATGATGAATTTCTATTTGAAGAAGAAATCTATTTGGATCGTTTTCTTTATGAAAATAGTAAGAGATATTTGGATATAAGAACTTAAAATAGAGAATTGAAAATTAAACAAAAATTAATTAAATAAGAATTATAACAATTGTCAAAATTTGATGATAAATATGATTTATAAGATGTTCTATTAACAACAGTCAAATTTTTAGAAATGTAATCAAAAGATAAACCTAATAATCCAGCCAATTTTGGTCCCTCTGATCAAAAACATACTATTGAATAACTCTTAAAATATTCATAACAAGTCTTAAAAAGAAAAGAAGTTTTATAACAATAATATAATGATCTAGAAGAAAAGATATAAGCTTCTTATAATAATTTTAAGGGAAATAAATATTATTTATAATCCATACTAATTCATGAAGGAATGGCAAGTATATATATATATAATTATATTTATAGATTCTGGACATTATTATACTTACATAAAAGATTTCAGATTAAATAAATGGTTTAAATTCAATGATATTCGTGTTACAGAAGAAACAAGAGAAAAAGTATTTCAAGATGCTATTGGTGTAAAACCAGGTATCAATGCTTATTTACTTGTTTATTTAAAGGATGAACTTGTATAAGAAGAAATAAAATATCCAAAAAGATTGTATAAAACAAGCACAGAGAAAGATTATTTATAAGATACTTATGGAAGTTTCCTTAATTAAAATCAAATTGAAAGTATTAAAAGGGAAAATTAATTATTTTTAAATGAAATTGAAGATTATAAATAGGCTAGAATAATAGAAAGAATTGCTGAAGCATATCAAACTAGGTTTGAATTTGTAAATGAACAATTTCGTACTATTGTTAATAAAACTTAAAATATCAAATTTAAACCTCTATTTACCTAAAATTTCCCTATATATATTAAATGTAAGGCCACTTAATTATCAAATTAAAATACATAACATGATAATTTAATAAAATGGATTATCTTGGATTCTGCATTACGTGAAGTTTAAGAAAATAAAGAAGGAATATTTGGTGGATAAATAAGTGAAAATGTATTAATTAATATATATATAATATTAGTTTTAAAATAAGATAATAAACAAATTTGTAGCTTAATTCAATGAATTTAAAAGACCAACTTCTAAATTGACTTTATCTGAATAAAATGATTTGAATAAATTTGAATAAGAATATTTACTATATGTAAATTTAGGATCATGGGCTACAATAATATTAGAACTTTTGGAAAAAAAAGATTTTATTTAAACTCTTTAAGTTTTATAATGTTTGACTAAGAAAGTTAAAACTTTAGAGTAATAGAATTACTTTTTTAAATTTACTAAGAATTTAAAGACACTAGTGCCTATCATATTAATTTGTAAAATGATTCCAAAAGAATCTGAGGTGAATCTTAAAGAATTATAGTTATTGTAAGCATATTTGATACATAAACATTTCGAATATGATGATCCAAAGTATTGGTAAACTGAAATTTCAATAATGTTAAATTCTATAATAGAAAATCACAATTAATAGGATGTAAAAGAAATTATAGTGAATTTTGAAGTTGGAAATAAAATTAAAGAAAATATGGATTTGTTAGAATTTGTTTCAGAGGTATTATAATTTCTAAAAATACTAGGAAATTCGAAATTAATAATTAGCGTTAAATTCTTCATATGAGATCTATTTCTGGAGTCCCTATTAAAAGCAAGATATTATATTTGATAAATTGGTTGAAGGAATGAATAAATTAAAAGTGTTATTTGAGGTAAGATTTATAAATAAATGTTTAGCCATATATAAAAATTTAATAGGCATTAAAGGATGCAATTCAACCACTTATGAAAGAAGATTTAGAGAACATGATAAAATGATAAAATTATATGTTAAATAAATTATAATTCTAATTGCTATATCATAGCATCATAGAGAATATACTCTGCATTCATATAGTTATTAATTTATAAATATTTTAAAGTGCTTTTTAGATGAATTATTATCAAAATGTATGCAATTTACTATAATAATTAAAATCATATTAAATTTAATATTGAAATCAAATATTAAGAAAGTTTAATTTAATATTAAAGACTTCAAATTGATAATAATAAAGATTCCTATTGTAAAAATATTAAATTAAATATCATAATTTTTATATTGTTCTTTATTATTTCTTATATTTTTTAAGTAATTCTCTTAGATAATCTTTTTAAGGTTAATCCATTTTTTCATAAGCATATCTCAATCCCTCACTACTAAAATATTATAGGTTTTTCTCTATAAACTAAATTACTTAATTCAAATCAATCTATGATATTTCTCTCAATAACCAACCAGTTCCTAATTAATTAAATCTTTCTTAATGAATAATATTTTCTTAACAAATATCAAATAACATCTTTAGATCACATTTATTTTTATTCACTAAGAATATAAATCCAACACAACTAGATCTTCTCATCCATAAATTATTGCATTTTGACCATTCAATCATTAGTTTAGCATTTTACTTGTCTTATACAAAATCTTTTAAAACTCTACTACAATAGATATCTGAAGTTCCCCAATCCTAAATGAAACCTTATAAGAACCACTATTCAGTCTATTTTATTCTTGAAAGATCAAATGGTATTTTCTCAGCTACCATCAAACCAAACCTTTTATCTTCTCCAAATTGCTCTTTCATTAAAGACTCAGCCAAATCATATTTTTCATTATCATTAAGTAAGGAAATTTCTTTTCTAAATTACTTATAAATTGATTCAATTTAAGGTTGAAGTAATCCTCTAAATTGCAGTACATTTTACATATAAGATGTAATTTCATTACCAACTTATGGTTTTGATATATTATTCAATGCTGTTTAAATTGCTAGTTTCATTATATAATAAAAGTGAAAATAGATATAATTTTATAAATATTTTTTTTAATTTAATTGTGGTATTGTAATAGCATCTTGATATATCGATTTATTTCTTGTTTTTAATTTCTTCTAATTTATTTACATTAAAGCAAATCATTTTCAATATATATGGATTCTCAATTTTCTTAAAAGATTTAATGATTTATAATTATATAAATAAATTGCAATAAAAATCATTAGTGTATTGATGAGATAGCAAAAAAAATTGTATATTTTAATCTATCTTAAAATATTTCAATTAACACTTTTGAAACAGTATCTTTTCAAAGTGCTCTATCACTTATCAAGAAATAGTTTACTTAATTATTAGAAAAAATTTGTATACAGAAAATCTATTTGTTATTTAAATGAATTACAAAAGATTAAAGAAGAGTTATACTTTAGAATCTTAACTTATACTAAATCATTCTTTACTAATCTTTATCATTCTATCTTTATATAATATGAATAAAAATGGGTTTCATAAAATATTTAATAACACCTCTTTTTTAATCATCTTTTATAATTTTTATCTTGATATCAATTTTGTATCTACTTTTATAATAAATAATGTCATAAAAAACTATTTCAATTCATATTGAAAATATCCCTCTTTTTCAAATTTTCTACTTAATATTAATTATAAATAATGAGTGCTAGTACTACAAAAAAGAAGTTGAACATAAAATCTCAGCCTTTTAATATTGAAGAAACTTAAAAGCAACCTCATCCTCATCTTGTACTTCCATCAAAGAATTATCTACCTAAAAATGAAATTCAAGAATATTTCCCTTAAAAGAGTTTTAATCCTTTTGATGACCTGGCTCCTGATTTCGTCAGCAATTAGAAATAACCTGCTTAAGTCCCCATTTAACAGTAAGGACCTAAAGAAAAAAAAAAACTCAGAAACACTCATTATTAATTTTAAGTCGACCCTAATTTAGCAGAAAAGGTACCTTTTTAAATTAACTTACAAGATTGAATAAAAAAGTAAATAAGAATTGGAATTGCTGAAACTAGAAGAATAAAGAAAAATAGAAGAGGAAAAATTACAATAAGAAGAACTTAGAAGATAATAAGAGTTAATGAGGCTGGAAGAGTTAAAAAAATAAGAAGAAGAGGAGTGTCTACCTAGACCATACACAAAAGAGCAATTAGATTCAATGTTTTCAAATATGATTGATTTTTAATATTTTGAAAGTGACGTTAATTGGATCAAAATTAAAGATAGAAAACATTTTGATTATAAGGAATTTAAAAGGTATGAATAAAGAAAAGAGAGTAAAATCCCTACCTAAAAGAGGGAAAATAAACCAGAAGTTCAATTAGATAGACAACCAGTATAATAGAACGATTAAAATCCAAGAATACCTTAAAGAACTACAATCTCTATATAAGAATAACTTTAGAGAGATAAATTGAAATAATAAGCTTATTATTGGTCATAGATTCTTGAAATAACTCCAGAATAAAAGAAAGCAGTCGAAAGAGATCTAAAATATAGGTTGAATCAATTAGCCCCTGATAATGAACTCTAAGTATCAAAATTCATAATAGACATCATTGAATAAAAGTATGCTTAATTTAATTTTAATTAGTTTAGATTTCATTGATTTTTTAACAGAAAAAATAATAGAAAAAGCTTAAATCGAACCTAAATACAGAGGTTTGTATATCAATTTGTGTTCCAAATTAGCTACTTTGCCTAATTTATAATTAAAGATTTAAGATAAAAATGGGAAGACTAAATAATAATCAAAATTCAAAGCTTCTTTATTGAATAGAGTCTAGAAAATGTTCAATAGTAGAAAAATAATGGATTATGACACATCTAATTTGAAACCAGAGGAGAAGATCTAATTTCACATGATAAGAAAGAGAAAGATTATGGGAAGTATAAAAGTTAAATTTATCATTTAGATGTAAGATTTATTGGTGGATTATATTTAAAATCATTATTACCTATACAAGCCTTATCTAGTGTATTATCAGAATTAATAGGAGAATACCTTATTGGTTATGATCCTAATGGAGATACAGCTGATGAATCTTTGGAAGGATTAATTGAACTTATAGATCAAAGTATTTTTTATAATATATAATTTAGTTGGTCAAAGTTTTAATTAAAATGAAAGAATAACTGATGAAGCATTTATTAATAAAATTGGATAGACTTTGAATGGATAGAAAAAATCATTAGATTAAATTGAAGGTTTATTTAAAGATATAAAGAAATAAACTGTTTTAGATTTGATGTAAAAAGTCTTTGAGAAATTGTTGGAGAATTATCACTTTTCTTAAAGAATTAGATTACTCATTGAAAATTTATTAGATAAAATAAAAAAAGGTTGGCAAGGTTCATATGCTAAAAAGGAAGAGTTGGCTGAAAGTGCTTAGAAAATTAATGAATTAGAAGAAGAGGATCCTTTAGAACTTTAATTAAGAGAAGCAAGATAAAATTCTGCAAAAAAGGAGAATCTTTCTAATGAATAAGATTAGAAAATAAGAGCAAAAGATATAACTATGTTATTGAGTAGTTCATTTCAATTTGACCCTGTTGATTAGATGGATAAATTAAGAAATGAATTAAAGAGAATATAAGTTGAAGCCCCTGAATTATTAAATGTCTTCTTTGAGACTTTCTTTTAAAATATGTTAGCTTGTATTCATATAATATATATTCACTTTAGTAAAATAAGTAAAACAGAATATTGAGAGAGCTCCATTAGTTTATGATTTATTAGTCATGGAAGAAGCACAGGAAGAAATTGTTACTAAGGCACTATAAGATGTATATAATAATATTTATATAAAGATTTTGGATGAAGATTTAGCCTATAATATAAGTGAATCTGGTAATTCTTGTAAATTAGTTACCGCAATATTGTGCCGTTTTATTGTTGAATTAGATTGGAATGCATTGAAAAAGTTTTATCTTAAGCCTCTTTTTGATATTGAAGATTTTGATGAATTTTTGATTAAAGTAGGAAATCAATTAATAAGCTAATTTCCAGATTAATCAAATAGAGAGTTGATTGAAAAGTATTTTAATCTGCTCAAACAAGGCTTGAGCACTTAATTAAATTTTGATTGAAATATGTTTCTTTTATATCATTTAAGATTGCAATTAATTGATTCATTATAATCATTTATCAATTCAGAATTCAGAAATATTCTATGATATCAATCAATTAGACTCATTTTAATATCAATATTTTTTATAATTATTTTTATAAATGTTTGAAGAACCAATTATGGAATCTATGCTTGATCATAATTAACATCTAACTCTAGATCAAAAGTTGCAAACAATGAACTTTCCTCTTAAAACTCTTTCAGAAGTCAAAGAGAAATACAAATACTAAATTGATTATTCAACATTATAAGAGAGAAAATTTAATCTTAGAAAAACTCGATAGCCTATCATTATATTTTCTTCAGCTGAGATTGAAATACCTCTCCCAAGAACTGAAGTAAGGGTTAAATCAGTGATATCTCCAGAAATTAATTAAAGTCTCTTATTTGTTTCTGTATAGCCTAATAATACAAAAAGTAGAAGCTTAGGTTTCAGAAAAAAGCGCTAATGAATTTAATAACTTAAGAGGCAACATCAGCATTTAATTTTCTGATTCTACCTCTTATTATAATTAATTATAAAGTAATTACAATTAATCCCCTACTACTCATATATAAAATTCTAATTTGACCAAGATATCCATTCTCAAAGATGTAGTCATTTGCTGCACTATAACAATCTATTTGCCAAAATTTTATCATTTTTCTAATATCAAAATCTACTAATTAGTTATAAAGCTTAAATATATTTATAAATCTTGGTTTACTTTTCTATATACTAAAAATACATGGAAATTTTAATTATGAGACATAGTATAATTTCAAATTTACTAAATTATTTGATTAAATTACAGAATAATTGATTAGGAAAAATTATTTTTAATCTTTGTAAAATGTAAAAATTCCATTAGAAATTTAATTCTAGAAATTATCAAATATAAAATTTTTGAGACAATAAATTATTTAATTTTTTATGTTGTTCTTTTCCTAAAAAAATAAAAAACATCTTTATATATTAATATTAAAAAAAAATTAAACTTATTTGCCAATCCAAGATCAACCAAATGTTAGTAATTCTAAATAAAATCTAATTTTTCTTATTTAGCTCTTTATAATTTATTCTTTATATTGAGGAATTCTACAATACAAACAGTTTAAAATAATATAATATATATGAAGAAAACAACAGTTTTGTTTAGCTTTTAGGATTTAGGATTATTTTATCTAATTCCAACATTACTAATATTTTATTTATAAATTATATAACTAACTAAAGAATTTTTATTCATAAAATCATCCATAATCATATTAGAAATAATATATTCAATATTCAAAATCAAAATTGGGATATATGTAAACATTTATGACTTCAACTAACTTTCGTTTTAATTTTTTTGATCTCAAATATTAAAAATGTGTTAAATGTCAAATTTAAGGTATTTAGATTATATTTAATTCCATTGTCTTCTCATGATTTCAATTAATAATAATTAAAAGTGCAATATTGAATATATCAATATTTGTTAAAATTTAATATTATATCATCGATGATTAAATGAATTATAAGTATAAATAATTATGTAACAAAATTTAATTATTACGTATTAGAAAGAAAATTAAAAAGAAGATATTTAAGCTTTGAATTGATTCATTTTAGTGTGATTGTTTTTAATTCAAACTGATGCATTGAAATTTATGATTAATTCAATAATAATATATTTAATTAACCAATGAACAAAGAAGAAGAACCTATTTAAGAACCATTAATTAATGATGGCAATTAATAAATCAAAGGAAAAAGCAACAGGGGAATGTCTCAATTGTCTGCTTTGACTGAACAATCAAAAAATGAGACTCATCTTTATGAAATTCCAGATCTATCTAATGTTACGCAAAATGTTCTTTGTCGTTTAATAGCAGTTTCAGTGGTTTGCATAGTATTTTTGATAGCAGAAGTTTTTATTATGATTTAAGTTTTAAGGTAGTAGGAGGATTATGGGCATAATCACTAGCCATATTATCTGACGCAGCTCATATGTTTTCTGATATGAGTGGGTTTTTTATATCAATATTTTCAATTTGGTTGAGTTAACGACCTGCATCTTAGAAAATGTCTTTTGGATATCATCGAGCAGAGGTAATTGGAGCATTGGCAAGTATCGTATTGATTTGGGGTCTTACTATTTTATTGTTATATGAGGCAACAGAAAGAATGATAAACAAGTCTTTGGTAACTGAACCACTTATAATGTTAATTACAGCAGGATTTGGATTATTTTGTAATTTAGTAATGGCAAAAGTATTGCATTCATCACCAACTGGTGGACATGATCATGGAAATATTATGCATTAATGTAGTGGACATCATCATGGTCATGAACATGATCATAATCACGATCATAATCATGAACATGAACATGATCATCATGAAGGTGAAAAAAAATAATAAAAGAAGAAATATCATGTTAAATAAAAACGATCAATGGTTAGTGAGAATGGAGTAAGTATGTTAGTTGTTGAATAAAGTATTGAATCTGATTCTAATAACAGCAAGAGTAATAAAACTATTGAAGAAGTCAGTAGTGAAAGTAAATAAACAAGTAATGGTAAACAAAATTATTCTTAATAATAAATTATTTAATAATAAAATTAGAAAGAAATTTTAGATCATAATCACTCTGAAAATTGTGATCATGATCATTCAATATAAATAGGTTCTGATGAATTTGTAAGTTAAAACAATACTTCAAAAAAGATGGATAATAAAAATAATTCAGATCATAATCATAGTTGTTCACATGATCACCATGATCATAGTGATAGTGATTCTCATGAACATCATGATGATGATCATCATCATCATCATAGAGATGAGTTGACTAAAAAAAGAAATAAAAAATTGAAAAATCATAATCTTTCAGAAATAAATGAACATGATAATTATAATTTGAAAGCAGCTATGATTCATGTAATAGGAGATATTTTACAATCAATAGGAGTATTAATAGCAGCTTTATTAATCTATTTTTTTGGGCAAGAAAAAGATGAAAATCATCAAATTATATTCACTTATTGGTAATATGCTGATCCATTATGCACATATTTATTTAGTATTCTAGTTCTCTTTACAACTTTTGGGGTTGCAAAAGAATGTTTGCGAGTGTTAATGGAAGGTACTCCAACAAGTAATCAATTAGAATAATTATCTAGACTTAATTATAGAAGAGTTCAGAGATAAATTAAATGCAATTCATAGAGTAAGGGAAGTTCACGATCTTCATATTTGGTCTTTATCTGTAGGTAAACCAGCTATGTCTGCACACATAGTTTGTATAGAGAACCCTGAATATGTATTAAAGAAAGCAACAAAATTATGTAGGAAATTTGGAATCTATCATTCAACCATTTAAATTGAACTCTCAGATAGATAAGGAGCAAATGATTACATTAAATGTAATCATAACTTGCATAAATGATTATTTTTATATTAACACTCCAAATAGAACTCCAAAATTCATTGTACATTTTCCTCTGAAATAATTCCAATAGTCTCTTCTATAGGGATTGAGGCTTTGTTCTAAATAACATAGTTCACTTTTTTTAACATCTTTATAGATATCAAAATTAAGAGTATGAGTATTACAATAAATAGGTAAAAGAATATTTATTCATCTAATTTTATAGTAGTGTTTTTTTCAACAAGAGAATATATATTGCAATATTCAGGTGGATCATTATTTAATTTCTAACATAATTAGATAATCATCTCATTAAATTGTAAATTTGTAATGTCAATATTATCTAAATAAACATTAAGAGAACTCTAATTATATTTTTTATTCATTTCTTAAGCCAATATTTAATTTTCTAATAAAGCTTAATCTCCTTTTCCTATAAAACTTGCATTAATGCATTCATCAATCTCTGTAATATTGTAATTTATTATATTTTTTAAAATATTATCTGAGCAAAATGTGTAATGTGGATTTTCTACACATTCTTACTAAAATAAATTGATATAACTTAAAAATATGTAAATATCCTTTGTAAATAAGCAGTTCTATCTTAATATTTCTGTAAGCACCAATTGACCATTGGCATAAGTGGAAAATTCTAATTGAATACAAAATTACTTACAACAATATCTACCTCCTCCAAAACAATTTGGTTCAGGTTAAGTATAATTATGTCTTTGTTTACAAGTATAACATGGTAAGATGTGATTCAGAATGTATATGCTTACTTAATTGATATTTAAGAGAATTACATCCTTTTTCTTCAAATTATTCATAATATTATTCTAGTCTTCCTAAATAATTTAATGATTCCTTGTTAGTTATATCAATTCCAATAGTCAAATTGAGTTAAGCAACACAATATCCTATTAAGATAGATAAGAATAACATAATTGATTACTAAAATTAATATATTAATTCAATTATTAAATTATTATCCCAAAGCAAAAAACCATAAAAGTCCAGCAATTTCATAATCCTTTTCTTTAGCTAATTATAATATTTCATTAGCCATTGTCTTTCCCATATTAACTTTGTAAACAATAATATTTTCATCTGATTCCAAATGTTATTTTGGATTGAGATTAACTTCTGAATCCCCATCAATATCTGCAATAACACAAAGTCCATATTCAGTAGATTTCCAAGGATCATTTCTTATACGTACTCCATTATATTGATATTATCCAATTTATGCTGTATATCCTGTTTCTTCTTTAATTTCTCTAAGACCATTCTCTTATATACTGCCATCAGGATCAACTATACCTGCTGGAAATTCTAGACAAAACTTTCTTATTGGAGGTCTGAAATTAGCAATGACAATCACTTAAGATGGTTTATCTTTATATTTAATAATAGGTATGATATCAACACCTCCTCTATTACCTGGAGGCCTTTCAATCATTTCCCAAACCATTTAGCGTCCATTTACTTGAAAATGAAGAAGTTTGAAATGTAGCCACTTTCCTTCATAGATTAGTTATTCATCAACCTTAGTATTGAAATCCATAGTTATAAAAATATTACGTATTATGTATAGAAAATAAATGTAGTGATGCAGCAAATCCAGAAATAAATTAAATATCCAAATATGCAAAAGTTTCTCCAAAAAGTCATTACCAATAATTTGACAAGAGCTTCAATGGCTCATTTTGGTCAATCATTAAAGCCACCTGTTAGAGTAGCTATTACAGGTGCTGCTGGTTAAATTGGATATTCTCTAATTTTCAGAGTTGCCAGTGGTGAAATGCTTGGACCAAATTAACCAGTTATTCTTCATTTGATCGATTTACCATTTGCTATGACTGCATTAAATGGTGTAGCAATGGAAATTTAAGATTGTGCTTTTCCATTGGTTTAAGGAATTGTGGCTACAGATAATCAAACTGTAGGATTCAAAGATGTCAATTATGCTCTTTTAGTTGGTGCTAAGCCAAGAGGACCAGGAATGGAAAGAGGAGATTTATTAAAAGACAATGGCAAAATCTTCACTGAAACAGGAAAATACGTTAATGTATAAATTTATAATCTATAATAGGATCATGCAAGCAGAGACATCAAAGTAGTAGTTGTTGGTAATCCATGCAATACAAATTGTTTGATCTTAGCTAATTAAATCAAAGATATTCCAAAAGAGAATTTCACTGCTATGACAAGATTAGATCATAATAGAGCACAACATTAATTGGCTGATAAATTAGGTGTTCATTCATCTGATATCAGAAAAATAGCAATCTTTGGTAATCATTCTCCAACAATGGTTCCATATATTGATTAAATGACAGCAAAAAGTATATTATAAATTTCATCATAGATCACAAAGCCACAGTTGATTAATAATGGGTAACATAAACATTCATCCCAACTGTCTAATAAAGAGGAGCTGAAATCATTAAAGCTAGAAAACTCTCAAGTGCTGCTTCTGCTGGTAATGCAGCTATGAATCATATCACTACTTGGGTCAATGGAACTCCTGAAGGTATTATAATTCTTTAATAATCTTTAGGTGATTATACTTCTATGGCCATTCCATCTGATGGAAGTTATGGAGTACCAAAGGGATTGATCTTCTCCTTCCCAGTTACAGTTAAGAATGGCAAATATTCTATTGTCTAAGGATTACCTATTTCACCATTCTATCAAGGCTTATTAGATAAGACTATTAAGGAATTAGTAGATGAAAGAAATGCAGTTGACCATTTGCTTAAATGATATATTAATGAAATTATAAGTAAAATAAACATCATTTAAATTTTAGAATATTCATTTATTGATTTTTTTGATGTATATATAGAATAAAGTATAAAAAGATATATAATCATTTTTTAGAATTATATAAACATCTTCAAAAAGGAATTCTTTATCATCTACTTTTTTCAATCTAATTCTATAAAGGGATCTTGAGAGAAGATTAAAGCTTTTTATTTCTAAAAAAACGATTGAAACTTTTAAAATGTTAATCATCTTCTATATTATATGGCTAAGAATAATCATTGTCATCTTCAAATACTATCATTTTTTTTGGAAAATATTTCTTGAATAATTATTTACTCGATGATGCATGAGTTATAGCAGCTTTAATGACTTCCTCATTCTAAATCTATTATCTATATCCAGGGAATCCTCTTATGTATTATATAATCATACCCATATCTAGCTTTGTATAATGATAGAAACTATCCAACTGAGGGTTTTCTTTCTTCAATCACTAATTTTTTCAATCTAAGGTCTTAATTGTTATCCCAAATTTCAAATTCTTCATCAACACTTACCTAACTTTCAGTAACAGAAACAAGTGACTATCTACAATTGATACTACTCTATTTTTATAAGACTTGTCTTGGTTAAATTTAGATGACACTTTTTTAAAATTAGCTTGGCTACTTTACAACTCTATTTGTTAATGATTTACAAGTTAAACTCATTTATAAAGATCTGTATTGATTTGAGCTTTATTAGTTTGTTTTAATCGATTTGATACGAAAGTTTTATGAACTTTTCATTAATTTATATAATAAATATTAACATCTATAAAAGTTTTCATAATTGAAGCCTATATAATTGTATCCTCAATCTCTCCATATATGCTGCATCTAACTTTTTCTCATATTGTTCCAGCAATTTTAATTCCTTATCAAATGATTATAATTCTTTTAATGGACCTCTCTCACATAATCGTTATCTAATTGGCTCTCGAGATATTTGTCCCAAAAAGGAATTGCTTCTCGGATATCTACAAGCTCCTTCTGTCTTTAATCTATATGAAGATCTATTCTCTTTATTTCTCTTTATACTAGGTAACATTTACTGTTAATTAATTATCTTTATTATATATGGATAAAGTTTATCATAGACAAAAAAAACTTTTTTATCTATCAATATCATTCTATTTCTAGAAACATATATAGATTGATAATCAAAAAAACCTAGTGTTTATTATCCTTATAAATTTTTGAAAATTACAAATATATATATTAAATACATGTTTTATTTTAGTCAAAAATTCTTTATTATTATTAATAGATTAATAGCATCATTATTCACATAATATATTCAAAATCATTTTTATTTTAATCATTTATCCTACTTACAACCTTATTCACTTAAAATAAAAATTTAACAATTCTTTGTAAACTTTAACTCAAAATTATAATATTAATACAACTATAGAAATTATCCCAACATATTCAATTTTAAAATAGACTTTACAAAATAACCAACATATATTAATGTACTTATCTAAAAAATTGATGTGTTAAATTATAATGAAGTAAAATTAATGAATCTATTGAAAATTAACAAAAAATACTTCAGAATAGATATGAATATACAATGAAAAAATTAAAATTCTTGGAAAAACTATAATATATATAAGAAAATCAAACTCCATAGAATTTCTAGACTAAGTCTTTTATTAATTTAGGTTCAAATTTTATTGGAATCTATGCTTTAGGTGTCTATGGTGTTTGATTATCTACATTTGATTCAGAATCCAATCTTAATTAGGATTACTTTTAATTGGTTAACCATCTTTCGTAGTATTCATTTTTTTTGTTTCCTTTTTATATTTGAATGATAGTATTTGTATCTGCTGATGTATTTCTCTTTCGACTTAATATTGCTTTCTTATGAAACCTATTATTCATAATACCCAAAGTATTGTTCATAACAATTGATTATTATTTTTATTAAACTAAGTATTTTTTTACTGAATATGAATCTTTCATAATATTTCTTATAAAATTTTTAGACAAAACTAAAATACAATAGAATCTATATTGCTAAAGATAAAATTTTGAAACCGAAATGAGTAATATTGATAAAATTTAGAAAAAAAACATTTATTTTAAATTAGTTATTATTTTTAAAATAACAGCAAAAACTTCTATTTGATTCAATATTTCATAGTATAAAGACAAAATCTCCATCAAAGAATATCTGTTCATTGTCTAAGCTATTTTTCTTTTAATGGATCAATGTTTCTGTTTAAGTATTTTTCAAATCTTCTTTTTCAATTTATTCGTTTATTTATTTTATATCTTATATATCTTAAATCTATTAAGACTCTTTTATTTATTAATTCTCTAATTTTATATCTTATCGAGTCTATAAAATTTAGTGATTTGTTTAAACACTTTTTTAATCAAATTATTTCTCAGAAACAGAATTTTAACTTTCTAAATTACTTCCCTAAAAGTTAATAGCAGTTTTCATTTGAGATACAATTTATAATAAATTTTATCCTTCTTAAACTCTAGATAATTATTTATTTTGGAATAATTGTTATTGAATAAGATTTGTACTAAATTTGAATTATTTAGAACATAAACTTTAAAAATTATTCTAAAAATTTTATTGAATTATTATACTTTAGTTATAGAAAATTAATTACTATTATGTGAAACAGTAAACTCTTTTAATGTATTCTATTAAATACAAAAAATGCATTCATTTATGTTAAATGAAATTTCATCGTCATCCTTTTTTATCATTTTTATAAATTAAAAAGGTTTAGGGCAAAATTTTGAATTGCTATTGTCTTCAAAATTTTAAATTAGAGACATAATCTTTTATTGTGGTTTTTTTTACATTTCCTTTTAAGAAGTTTATTTAGCAATTTATTTGAATTTACTTTATGAATTTTCTAGAAATATTTAATTCTTAAGAAGTTAATTAGCAGTAGGTCTTTCTTAAGGGTTAAATGAAAATATCTGTTTTAAGACATTTAGAAAATTTTTATAGACAACTTCATTTTCATTTAAAAATAGTTCTAAAATAATTATGTATTCTAATATTACAATTTTAATTGAATTTCTTTTTTATTTCTTGAATTGAGAGAATTTTATCATCTATTTACCATGGCTATTTTTTTGTAAGAAGTTCATAAACAATACATCCTGCACTCCAAATATCAGATGCTTCAGAATAATCAGCATATTCAAATGTTTCAGGAGCACTGTAGTTTTATAGAGAATATTAACTTTATATCAAAATATCAGATATCATGATAGTACCTTCATGATCAACTAAGATATTTGATGTCTTTAGATTTCTAATAGAATTAAAATGTATTAATTACCTATGCAATTTATTTTATGAATGTAAATAATCTAGTGCTTTTAATATTGATTGAAATATTGATAAAATAAGTTCTTATGAAAATTTACAATATTTTTAAAGGATAGATTGCAATGATCCATTAGACTCAAAATTAAAGAAGACATTTAAGTAATAACTTTTCTTATTACTACTATTTTCAAAATTCCAACTAATAATGGATTCTAAGTTTTAATGTCTCAAATTGGCAAACTATTGCAAATTATACTTAATAATCTTAAAATTCTCTTTTTTGTTAAGGGCTATCTTTTTAATTGCAAGTAATTAAATTCTATCTTAAAGATAACCTGAATACATCGATTTGTTTTCAACTAATCTATCACCTAAAACATATTCTTCTTTTTTTTTAGACTACTCTCTAAATAGGCTCTTACTTCAAACTATTATTCTTCATTTTCACTATCCTCATTAGAGTCTTGTTCTTCTTCCTCTTCATCTTCATCATCATCATCGTCATCTTCTTAAGAAATCATTCTTTTTTTAAGAACTTAAGATCTCAAGGCAACACTTGAATTAATTATAGATTGTTATTCTTGTATATAATCATTATTGTTTTGTTAATTTTGATGTTTGAGATTGTTTTAATTGCTTTATCCACTTCCCATTATAGTAATATTATTTTATAATTAATTTATCTTTGTTAAATGTTATTGATAATTTTTATTCTTCAATTTTATTCACAAAAATACTTACATAATTACTTGTCTTCTTTAACACAAATTCTTAATTCTAAATTAAATGAAAGTTAAGGTGAATTTTACTAATTATTCTAATTTATTTGATTTCTTTAGGAGAATTTTAACTTAAACTATTCATTTAAAAGTGATTCGGAATATTTTATTATTTCTGATAAAGAATGATATAAAAATTAGATTGAATGTTCATGAGAAATAATTTTAATAATAAATGGAATAGAAAGAAGGAAAAGTGTGTTTAGTTGAAGTGCCTATAGAGAAAACATTTCTATTTTAGGATTAAATTATAATAGATAAAAATCTAAGTACGTTAAGGGATGGATTATCTTATCGATTTTCACAAAATTTTATCAATCCCCAATAAAAAATTATGATAGTCTGTCCACCTACTTATGCCTTAAAAGAATTAGATACCAAAAAAAATAACAATAAATTATTTGATGGCAAAGGGTATATTAAAGCAATTCCAAAGGCTGAGTATCCTTTTTTAATTGCACAATAATCAGGTATGAGAAGTTCCATAATTCAATGGAATGGAAAAAATTATAGATTAAAGGGTTGTGGAAATGGAAATGATGGTTTTACATTAAGAAAGTTTGAAGGAGATATTGACAATCTATACGAAATAAGAGGATGTTGTTTTGATCATACTGTAAAAAGAGAGCTTTTTATGAATAGAAAGGTTGAATAAATATTAAAAAAATACAATATTGAAACTGGTAATATTAGTATAGGTTATTGGTAATATGGAGATATTGAATCAATTAATTAAAATTTAGAGAAGAACTTATAAAATCAAATATCCTTAATTCCAAAATATTGTGGTATTTATGAAACAATTGGAGATTTTAGACTTGGAACTCATTTACTCTAAGGTCTTAGATTTATTGTAAATTCCAATATTTCTAATTGGTGCCTTGATGATATTCGAAGGTTGATTACAGTTTAATCAAGGATAGTAGAAAATAGAAAGTCTTATAATGGGAATTCATGGGATCTTAACAATACGCAATATAGAGAAAGACCTGATGGTACAATATTTAAAGAGGATGATTATAAAAATAATAGAGTATTTGATTGGGAAAAAGAATAAGATAACATTAGCATTACATAAAATTTAACAGGAAAAACAATTTTATAAAATATAAGTATACTTTATTAGAGAATTGGATATGAAATAGGAAAAATAAAAAGAATATTTATTGATAATGATATCAATTGGGGATATTTTAGAGATCATAGCAAATTCTATTATTGTAAATAATTTTGTTAATTTATATATTTGATTAAATGTTTTTATTTTAAATAACTATTTAAATAATATATGAAAAATATTTAATATTAAGAATTCACATTCTTGAAGAATCTTATGAGCTGGCAATATATCAAGGTAAATTAGGATGAGACAGTATTTTAAAAAAGGAGTATCCAAAAGTAATATTATCTATATTCCTGTTTGATTTTTATATTCTAAGGTATGAAGCATATTTTTTAATATTTTTAAATGGATAAATTGAAATCGAAAGTATGGACTATCAAAAGATTATAATCCTGGTAATATAACTTTTTTTAAAAAATATAGGAAGCTTATCTTTATTTTGTAATTGAAAAGTGATAGAACTTACAATTAAGTCTTTTTATAGACATGGAGAGCAGGGGCCAGAAGTATTTACTAAAATAATAATAATAATAAATTGAAAGGATATTATCATTAAAATTCAATTGAAGCAATCTTGGTTTTAGTAAAAAGCGTATCTTAAGTGATGTTTTAATGCCCTTTACTCACTTTTATTATTAACTTACTTTAATCTATTTCTTTCAACAACCCTCATAATTATACCACATCCATTCATACTTAAAAATGTTCTATCTGTTTCCTGATTCAGAATATAGATTTCTACTTCTACTTATTCATAGATCTTTCCCGTCTTATTTCAAAGATTTTTCAGAATCTCCTCTAGGTTTTCAGTTGCCAAGAGTTCCCCTCTGAATAGTATTATATTCTCCTATAGCCTCAAGTTCCAACTTTACATAATAAATAATCGAAAAATAAGTTAGAATAAATATCAGGAGAGAAATTGAAAAAGAATAATATTTGTTATTATTTTATTTTTATCTTTAATTTATGGATACAGAAGAAATAGGCAAAGAGGAGATTAAAACTTTTTCAGTAAATTTCTTACCTGTCTACCCAATCAATCGTTGGTCAATTTTCTAGGGACTTTTTAATAACTTTGAAAATGCCCAAATGTATTATGCAAATTTAAGACACTAGGTATTCTTGAATGGAGTAGGAAGGAGAGTTAAAAGTCACAAGAATAATTTTAGTCTTGATTTGAGTTTAGGGAAGAAAATAGGAATACAGGAAATCTGAAAATATAAGTTCAGTACACGAATTAAAAGAAGAGAATAATTTAGGTCTTTATAGAGGTGAAAGAGACTTTGGCTAAGTATCTTACTATGAAACTTCAGCCCGAAGAAAAAGGGAATAAAAAATGTTTAAAGAAAGATAAGAGTGAGATTTGAGCAACTCTAAGAAAGCTTTACCAACAAAACTTTTGGTAAGTGGTCAATGTCTTATAAAAAATAAGAACATCAGATCTTCTATAACTCGAAATTTATTATTCCATAACAAGTAAGTTTCAAAAAGATTGTTTGATACCTTGGTAGGTAGAGTTTTTGTAAGAGCTGTGCCCATATAAGTACAAAGTTTCACTTAGGCTGACCAACTAAAGCAGTTAAGGCAGGATAAAGAAAAAGTGGGGATTCTGAGATGATTGAGGTAATACTTTAGGGTAATATAGTCCATAGCCAAGAGGCCAACAGCACAGCTAATTTTCTTAATCCGAATCCACCTAAGAGAAAGTAAATGATTAGTTTTTCATTTAATAACTATTATTATTAAGAAAAAAATAAAAAATTATAATATCATAGTAATGCTCATTTGGATAATTTTGTAGTAATACAGAATGGGTCTAGCATACTAGCTCCAGTAGATTTTGATCTTGCTTACTGGTATTGATTATGATTAATTATTAGTAAAGAAGAGTTCATAAATATTGATTTTGATTTTGATGCTCAGATTTCTAATTCATAAACATATTAAGAGAATAAGAANAAACTTTTTCAGTAAATTTCTTACCTGTCTACCCAATCAATCGTTGGTCAATTTTCTAGGGACTTTTTAATAACTTTGAAAATGCCCAAATGTATTATGCAAATTTAAGACACTAGGTATTCTTGAATGGAGTAGGAAGGAGAGTTAAAAGTCACAAGAATAATTTTAGTCTTGATTTGAGTTTAGGGAAGAAAATAGGAATACAGGAAATCTGAAAATATAAGTTCAGTACACGAATTAAAAGAAGAGAATAATTTAGGTCTTTATAGAGGTGAAAGAGACTTTGGCTAAGTATCTTACTATGAAACTTCAGCCCGAAGAAAAAGGGAATAAAAAATGTTTAAAGAAAGATAAGAGTGAGATTTGAGCAACTCTAAGAAAGCTTTACCAACAAAACTTTTGGTAAGTGGTCAATGTCTTATAAAAAATAAGAACATCAGATCTTCTATAACTCGAAATTTATTATTCCATAACAAGTAAGTTTCAAAAAGATTGTTTGATACCTTGGTAGGTAGAGTTTTTGTAAGAGCTGTGCCCATATAAGTACAAAGTTTCACTTAGGCTGACCAACTAAAGCAGTTAAGGCAGGATAAAGAAAAAGTGGGGATTCTGAGATGATTGAGGTAATACTTTAGGGTAATATAGTCCATAGCCAAGAGGCCAACAGCACAGCTAATTTTCTTAATCCGAATCCACCTAAGAGAAAGTAAATGATTAGTTTTTCATTTAATAACTATTATTATTAAGAAAAAAATAAAAAATTATAATATCATAGTAATGCTCATTTGGATAATTTTGTAGTAATACAGAATGGGTCTAGCATACTAGCTCCAGTAGATTTTGATCTTGCTTACTGGTATTGATTATGATTAATTATTAGTAAAGAAGAGTTCATAAATATTGATTTTGATTTTGATGCTCAGATTTCTAATTCATAAACATATTAAGAGAATAAGAATTATGGTAAATTTGAATTAGAATAATGGCTATTTTATTAAGATTAAGAAAGAATTGGTTTAGAATTAGCTATAGGAGGAATGGATATGATTTTAGCAAGTCATATGTTTTTGGAGAAATAGAAAACAGATGTTGAAGAGTTCTTTGAAATATTATTAAGAGATTAGATGAGGATTGGATATTTAGAAGGAATGCAATTAAAAGAAGATTCAAGTTTATTTTATTAAAGAATGGATTAAATACAAGTAATAATTAAGGAAGCATTAAGTATGACTCAAGATATTATCTCTTGAGAATGATAATAGTATAGTTATATATTAAAATATGATTTTTTAAGATGTAAATGTTTTCAACCAAATCCATATCCTTCGAATCCAATAGTAAATGCTATATCTAATTTCTATTTGAGTTCAGCAAAACTTTTGTAAAGAGGCACTTCTATGGACTTGAAACATGTATGACTTAATGGCAACTTTCTATCTGAGAGGCCTGATTCAAATCTGACATTAATCAAATAAGAACTTTGATCAAATGGAATAGAGGATGAACCTATTAAATTATTATTTTAAATACCTGTTATGAATTTTAACATATTCTTTAATGTCTCAGGAGATGCTTGACTAACATAAGTCTCAAAGTATGATTTATGTTATGGTTTTCCTCCAGTAAAGTTGAATTTCTGTAGAAGAATTTCTGACTTAATCTCTAACAATCCTTAAGTCAATAGTGACATCTCTCCAGGCATTAACCATTTTTAACATACCTTAATTTTATTTATAATATGATACTGATATGTCTAATACTGATGAAAATCCTTCTATAAAAGCTTTATATATTTTGTCAAACTGTTTATAAATAACATATTCTGCAGTTTTATTAAGATACAATTCTAAATTTTTCTTAGTTACATTAGTTTGTGATCCTTTGATAATCAATTCTGCTTCAGTATTTCCTGTTGAATATGTGAATACAAGACAAACAGATTCTAGATCTTCTTCACTAAGTGTTTTTAATTTCTCATAATTATTATAAGTATCCTTATCCCAGATTAGACTTAGATCTGTAAAAACAATTTTTTCATCAAATACTACCTTCCAGAAAGGTGCTATGATATCAATTCCTATAAGATAAGAATTACATATGGCATTAGCAATTAACTTATTTTATAAGAAATAATTACTTTTCCAAATAATAGTGCATATCGTTCTTTATTCTTTTGTTTATTGAATTTTGGATGCAAAAAGTATTTGCTTTGATTAGAAGAAACTGGAGAGAAAAATTTATAATTTTCATCTTTGAGTGTATTACCAATCATATCATAAAATTCTCTCTTTAATCCACCTGCATCAATACCTGGTTCATTAGTAAATTTAATGCTAAATTGATAATTGAGTTTTTTTTCAGCTAATTCCAATAAATCTTCCAAGAAATTAACTCTACTGATATTCAAATTAAAACTTGTTGGTTTCCATACTTAACTAATATCTTGATGGAATCTTTATCTTCTTTTTTCTAATCCTAAACCAGAAAGTTTCCATATTTAACCTAAATATAATAATGATATATTACTTTTCTTTAATTAATTATTTATAAAAAATTCAATTGCAGTTGTATCTTCTAAAACTAAAATTTCAATAGGATCAAATATAATATGAGCATTCAAACAACCAAATTTTGTTAAATTATTGAAAGTCAAATTTAATTTTGATTTATCACCTGATACTTATTTGATATTGCAATTAGATTCAGAGAATATTTGATTTTCAATTTCACTATAGCAATTATCAAACTTATCTTTCAAATAAAAGGATATTTATATTTTTTCAGAAAAAGGTATTACTTCTAAATTATCTTATATTTCTATAGTTGATTTTTCTAAATCTGGTAAATTAGCTAATACAATAAATCGACCATCAATTTTAACATTGTCTATAAATAAATGATATATTCCTTTGAAAGTTGGAGTCCAAATTATACTCAATCCTTCCTCTACTCTTTCAGTATCTGGCACATATTAAATTTAATAAAATATAGAATGAACAAAAGTAACTTTCTCAAAAGTAAATTATTCAACAACATTACAATTTGAATCTCTAAATTCAATATAATCCTTTCTCTATATTCCTGCTCTTGTAGCTACAGCTATATCTTAATTACTAATAATATTTATTGTATTTCCACTCTATAATTCTTTAGAATGAGTTGTAGATTCCATTTACTAATAGATATTGTTTTCTTTATTATTTTTCTTTACTTCTCTCTAAAGAATTTTCATCATCTATTTATTACCTTTACCATATGTTGCATGATCATCTTTTTCATGTTCTACTTATATAATTTTTGAACCATGTGAAACTAAAACATGAATTGTCTTTTCTAAATCTTAGACACTTTGAATCTAATACTCAAATTTTAATTATTTTGAAAATTAATAATTTTTTTAAGATAAAGTTATTGATGAACTAGATTAAATAGTAATTTTTAATCGAGACTCACTTCTCATTGTTACAAGCATGAAATTATTACTTAAAAATAATCCTGTTGCCATTAAACTTTCTTATTCTGAATTCTTACATAGTAATTAACTAAGTGTATATTTTTTTTGTTCTAATTTTCCTTAACTAACAATGATCTTCACTTTTTATATTTATTAATCTAAGGCAAGTTAAGGATGAACAGGATGTAATAGAAATTGTATTTCCTCTCCTACTTAAAATTAGATCTATTTTTGATTATTATATTTAGTAAGCAATGGATGTTGAAAACTTTTTAAATAGAATAATTTTATATAAATACCATTTATTATTGGTATTAATATCAATTCTTTAAATTCTAATGGATCTGCTTATTCTTAATTTTTTATTACTATATTCATATCTATTATTGATAACAATTCTATTTAATCACATTAATTTAAACCAGAAAATATTTCTTTAGGTATTAATTTTAATGGTTTTTAGAGTATTTATTGACCAGAATAAGTGACATTTTATTCTAATTTGTATGTTTAATTGATTTATTTTCTGTTAAAATAATCTAATATGAAATTTGTAAAACTAAAATCAAAGTATTTACAATAATTAATTATTATCATATCATCTACAAATTAGTAAAATGATTATTTATTATGAGTAATTATTTCATCAGAATGATATATACTAATCACTTTGATTTGATTTTCTTTATCCATAATACATAAAAGTTTATGCAAATATTAAACAATCAAAATAATATCTACAAATATTTTTCTATATTCTATATCAGGTAATTTATTATAAGTAATTTATATTTGATTATCATTTAATATTTATGGCTCTAAATAATGATCTTTAAAGTTTATAATGAGATTATAAAAGAAATTTGTAACTTCATCAATTTCTGGACAAATAATTTAAGTTTCTCCTATTAAATTGTATATTTAAAGTTTTTGATTATTAATTTTAATTAAACTTTCACATTCTTGTTTTAAAGGAATAAAAATAATCTCAACTTAAGCAATCAAATTTTTAATAATGTCAATTTTAATTTATGAAATTGATTAAACTGTAAAAAACATTTATAAAGAACTATTAATAGAACTTTGATTTTAATTTTAAATAAATTATTCATAACCTTTTATGAAACTTAATATACCTGAATTTTATGCTATTATTAAGTCAGATACTTTATTTTAAAAATGATCAAGTTCATCATCAAATATTAAATATACCTCACTAAATTCTTCATGTTATTTTAAAAAATTATTAAGTTTCCCTTATAATTTATAACTCTTTAAATTTGATTCAAAATAGCATGCTGTATTTATAGGTTATGTTGGTACAGGATCTAATACAAATTTATCTTCATTTATTCTTACAAAAACAGTATTTGGTTATATAACTGATTATTATTTTTTTAAAGAATTTATTGAAATAAAATCAAAGTTGATTTAATCTACAAAAGTAGGTGTCATTTATGTTACAGTAATATCACTATAAGATGATGCTAAACCTACTCCAAATAAACTATCTAATCTATCCTATTTAACATTTTCATCTACTTCATTTTATATCTCAATCATAGTCTTTATGAAATTTTTCTCATTGCAAATAAATAAATCTTGTTCAAAATCAGTTATAAATAAATTCAAAATACAATTATTAAATAAGGGATCATTAGGCCAATTAGATTAAAATAATACAATTGAATGAAGATCCTCTAAATTAATTGACAATTAATTTTATACATTTGTTCCTCTTAGGTATACTTATTACAATCTAACAATCTCTTATTAACTTTTAGCTTCATTTTCTGTTAAATTATGAAATATTAAACATCCTGGTTTTGTATTGCATACTAATTATCCATATGTTAAATTTAATTTAGAATTATCATAATAACATACTGCACAAATATCACCTAATTTACAATTACTAATATAAAATGAAATAGTCAATTAAAAACCAAATCTAAAATATAATTTTTAGGTTATTTATTTATTTAAGTTACAAACTTTCTCTATTACAAAACCTCCTTTAGATTTAAATAATTATCTAGTATTTGAATTCAAAATTTCATTCAAATTTTTATTATATTTAATAGAATTCAAAAGACAATGAAATCTTATATAAAACATAGAGTTAAATTTTTCAGTAATGAATTAATTTACCAAATAATCATATAAATCTCTTGTAAAATAGTTATAAAGTTAATTTAAGATATACCAAATACTCTCAAATTCTTTTAATCTAATTTCATTATTTTTTATAGTCATAGCTCTCAAAATCTCTCCTGAAAATATATATATTAATTAGGAATGATCCACTGATAATGTTACTGTTTTATTTATGATTTAACTTATTTTATTAGAAAAATTAAGTAAACATCTATCAACTTCTAATTTATTAAAAATAAACTATACAAGTTAATCAGAACTAAAAATCTAATTAAAAAAATCATAAATATTTAGGATATTATTGTAATACAATTAAATTCTAGTATCTGGTAAAATTAGATTATTTTTTACTTATATTATTTATTAATTATTTGATTCTATTTTAACATTTAATCTTATAATTAATATCTAATTTTAAAGTAAATATGTAGTATTCCCAAATAAAAATGTTTTATCAAAAATATTATTTGTATCTACAAATTAACAATTCTATTAAGACAAATCAGAGATTTCATTAAATTCAACATAAACACCTCTTATTACTTTTAATACTTATTAAGCTTATTCCAAATTGTGATATATTAATGTATTGAAAATCATTATCAAACTATTCCATTCCAATAATGCATCTATTAATGAATATATTTCATCATTTAGACATTTTTAATTCTGCAAATCAATTAATTTACTTATAAAGACTTCTAAAAATGAAGTTGCATTAATTCTCCATATCAATTTCTTATTATCTTTTTTGTCAATTGAAGAGTAAGTTCTTACTTTTTCAATAAAATTAAAAAGTTTATTAAAAATGCATTGAATATTATAGGTTGTAAATAGACATTTTGAAAACTTGATTGAATTATTCATAATATAGAATGGAAAATCAACAATCCATTGATCTTATTGTGTTTATCCTTCAATCAAATTACCTAAATATTCATTATATTTATAAAGATCTTAAACTACAATTGATATTATTTTTCTACAATTATATTATTAAATGAATTCACTTTAACTTAGTTTAATTAAATTTAATTTAACATTTGGTTATTAGAATTAATAGAATTCTGAAAAGATAATTTCCTTTTGATTTTACTTTTTATGTCTCTATCTCACTTAATATGTGTTATCAGGTAAAAGTTCTAACATGAATTAAAAATCCTCTCTTAATTTCTATCTTTAACTTGTGGAAGCTTATTTTGATAAACTTAAGGCTCCAAAAGATTATCCAGTTTATGAAGATTGTTACCTTTATAATACTGGTTATTAGACAGAAATTTATTATGTCAATTCAGGTTGTCTTATTTATTCATGTTGATGAGGTGCAAATAAATCATCAATTTCATATTATCCACATTTTACTTAAGCTTTTGTCAAATCTAATATTTAATCTATACAATTTTGATAAGATAAATTCTCAAAATCTAATGAACTCAAAATACTTAAATCAAATTTATTTAAATTAATCATTTTCTTATTTACAATACTAAACTATAATATATCTTCCATCAATACAGGTTATTCATCTAATTATTTTTAGTGTGCTTATGATTTTAGGATATCTAAAATTTTATCAATTTTATTTTAATTTAAAGAGAATTAATTGTTTTCAAATGTCAAATAAATTTAAAAACTCTCCTAAAAAATTTTAATTTCTCCATCACCAAAATAAATTTAAAATTTATCCTTTCTTTATTTTTCATACTTTTTTTCCTTTAAATAACCTTACCATTAACATTATGCCTTAAAATTATCAACAATAGCTTCAATTTATTTTATTTATATAATGCTTTTTAGAATTGAAATTTCAAGAAGATTTTCTTCAGAATTTAGACTTTCAAAAAAGTTATCCTTCTCAATATTTAAAGTGACTTATGAGAAATCTTTCAAAAATTGTAAGGTATTATTTGAAAATTTTAGTTATGATATACTTTATTAATTTAATTGTTATTTTAGTAAATCTTAAGTTCTTTAAAATAATAGAGTTGATATACATTACTATTTTAATAGATTAGGATTATAGTTGTCTTATTTTATGCTTTTTAATAACATTAATACATATGCAACAGATGGCTTCATATATTCTAATGGTATAGGATGTTCCTCTTCTTATTCAATAACTTCATGTTCCATAGGTGCACCATTTTATGGAATTCTTAAATAATCGGTGTACATTTTCGAATGATAATTTAAAAAATTGTCTAATTCAGGAGTATCCTTTAATTTAGCATATAAAATCACTGCTATTTCTAAAGTAACTTGTATTGTTTATATCACTTTTAGAAGTAATTGAGGATTTATTTGACAAAGTTCAATAATCAAATTATTATGAGATATTTAGTATTGGAGACAATTTTTTAATATATTTTGAAGTAAATTTTAATCTAAATTTTAGATATAATTTTTTGTTTTATATTCAACAATTAATTAGATTAACATATTTTCTGGATATTTGTGTTTTTCCAAACATTCCCATTTATTATCACTTAATGCTAAAGATAACATTTTATTTTTAAGATCAATATGAGCTTATAATTTAAATATTGAATTAAGACAAGCTTATTCAAATAAAATTAATTCATTTAATTATTTATCTTTAATGTAAAGACTTTTTGATTGATTAAATTTAGATTTCTATTTTATAAGAGAATTCTTATTCAACTATTTATTCTTCTTTTTCTTTTTCTTTTTCTTATTTTCCCCTTCTTCTTTATTCTTATTTTATTCTTTTCCTTTTTACTTAACCTTATCAAATTAAATCCAATATAATTCTTATTATGCCAATTATAAATGGTCAAAATATTTTTTATAAAATTATTATTCTTTTGAATTTTCTTCTAAATTTTAAGGAGGAGTCTAAAATTTCAAAATATATGGTGAAGTTATAAGTTATAAATCATCTTAAGTTATGATTCCATCCAAATAATTTAAAATAAAATAACATTTATTTATTAAAGCAATTTAATAGATCTTATATTCAGTTAAATTTGAAGTTAATTATAATTGATTTTTAATTATATCATTAGTTTTTTATTTACCTATCAAATTTGTTAAATATGCAAGAAAACATTCTTTAAAAACCTTTTCCATTTTTTTATAAAATACATAATAAAGAATAGGTATGTTATTGAATGATAATAATTTTTCATAAGCTTATACTTTTCCTTTAACAAATGAATTGAAATATTTAATAATGTTATTTTCACATTGTTAGATTATTAAAATTTAAAATATGTTATTTGCTTATCCACATTTAGCTGGTTCTGCATGAAGATTCAATGCATAAATAATTGAATTATAATTATTACTCATAATTGCAGCAACTAAATGATTTTATGAAAATTATTATTATTTTGTTATATGATCATGTCTACCTTTTCTAAGAAATACTTAATTCTTAGTTAATTCAGCTGAAGTGTATTTTAAATTATAAAATGTTGTTTTAATATTTTCAGAATCATTATGATTATTAAAGATTTCTAAAGGATATGAATTATTTTTTAATATCTCTACTTATTTAGTTACATAAAACAATGTTGTATTATTGAATCTTATATTTTCTAATTCACTTAAATTTTTTTACAAGAATTTTATACATCTCATATTTTCATGCTATTAATTTAAAATCAAATTAGCAGTTTCATTTTATGACTCATTTTTAAGACTCAATAAAATTTCTAAGAAAAATTATTTCTAAAATTATGTAAATCTTTAAGGAAATTCAAATTCTATTTCTGCTTATTTTAAATTAGCATTAGCATTATATAAATCAATATAACCTTGTGCTCTTGTTGATAAAAAACTATTAGGAAATCTATTCTATTGAAATACTTATAATAATGTTTTTATTATGTCTTGAAATTTTTCAATTTTTTTATTTTTGGGATATAATAAGTTTGAATAATATTCATAATTTGCTATAATTTCTTTAGATTTAATTTTTTTTGGATTAAATTATTTTTATACTATTTCAATACATTTTAGATAATCTGTTTTTTAACCACCTGAATTCATAAATAAAACTGATCTATCTTATGTTTAATTTCCAACACATTAATTTTGTGTATAATTTAATTATTATTATATTTTATGTACTTTTTTAACATACATTCTTTTATAAAGATTTATATTATTGAGTCTACAAAAATCTTCAATAATCTTTTATGCTTCTTATTTTAATTCTACATTAGTCTTTTTATTTCTCAACTTTTTAAATTTTAATTCATTAGGTTGAAGATCAAAAAATTAAATTCTATTTCTTTTATTAACACTTTAATTTCCATTTTCATCTACTTCCTCTGCTTCATCTTAATTAAATTCTTAATTATCAAATTTGATTGATAATTACTCCTCTAAAAAGTACTTTACCATTTAAAAATATGCTTTACTATATGTTTCAAAACTAAAATCTCCTTAATTAAGTATAAATTATAGTTTTTCATATAATCCATTTTCCAGAAATGATTATATATGTTTAATTTTTTATTCCATTGTCAAAGGTATCTATTTATAAAATTCTTAATATTGAGATAAAGTAAAGACAATATAATATGGTTTAGATAAAGCCTTATAATAAGTTTCTAAATTTTCTGGACATTTTAAAGGTGTTTTATATATTTAATTATCAAGATCTATTTAATTATTTTCACAATAATATAATAATTAATTCAATGTTTTATTTGATTAATTCTTTCTCAAAACTTATCCATAAAGATAATAAATTTTATTTTTTTGTATCTATATTTAATTCAAATATTTAAGAGCCAAATTTTCTTAGTGTGAAAATAAAGACACAAATAATTTTTCAATTAAATAAATTGTAGATTCCTCTTTATTTTCAATCTTAATTACTATATCTAGAATAAATTTTATTATATTAGAATTTTTAGGTAATGATTTAGTACAATGTTAAATTATAAATTCAACCTATTGAATTGGACTAGTTAATAGAATATCTTTGATTATTACTTGCAATAATTCTTAATCTTAAGTTTAATATATTAAGACAATTAAAGATTACTAATCAATAGTCATATATATAGATTATTTAGTATTTTAATCTAACTTTTACCAATTTTAAAGTGAAATCAATGGTAAAATATTTGAAAAGTTATACTTTTATTAAATCTATTCATTTTAAGGAATCTTTAATTCTAATAATTTTGATAACATTTAATTAAATTTTTTCACATTCTAATTATCCTATGTATAGGTTTACCTTTTTCCATCAATTTCAAATAAAAATTATTGTTAGGCTAATATAGCTATTAGATTATATAAACTATATTAAAATTAAATACTTAAATATTCAATATTGTTAAAGGCTTCTTCTTCTATCATTTTTTATAGATAAAATTTTATTTAAGTTTTTGCATATGAATAGCTTGAAATATAACCTTATAATTCTTAATTAAATTTATTTGATCGAGCTAAAGCATCTCCAAAATACATTTTATCTATAATTTAATTTCTAATAACCTTTTGTTTATTACTTAATTTATCTAAATTAATATTATTAGGAATTGTAGAATTGAAAATTTTTGCTGTGATTCCATAAATTTACCAATCAAATGCTTATTCATAATGTTCTACTTTTAAATCATAAAAAATAACATATTTTTTAATATCTTTTTCAACTAATATTTCTGGATGAAAATTGATTTTATCTTTCATAGACCAAAATTTATTAAGAAATAGAAATGGTTTCTATTTTGTCATTTCTATAAAGGTTTTATAGGATTCTAATTGTTAATTAAATATTAAAAGATTGTTATATGATAAATATGCTCTAAAATATAATATTTAATCTTCTTCCTTATTATTATTATCTTATTAAATAATCTATTAAATGATTTTTTTTTTTGATAAATAGTCTTATAGATCAAGATGAATTAATGTTTAAAAATTGATAGTATAATTTTTCTCATCTTCTTTTGGTTATTATAAATCATTTAATCTAATCTCAAAAAAGTGTTTTTTATTCTTAAGTCCAAATAATTTAAGTTTAGCTCTAATTTAAATTGAATCTAATATTTTCTTAAGCAAATGATCTTTAGAATGCAATTATTTCAATTCAAAAGCTGCAAGTAACACTTCATATTTAGTATTTTAATCTATATCAAATAATAATTATGCAGTCAAACAACCTTCTAATAATTTTTAATCCTTTAATTAAATTAACATTGAATATATTGTTTAATGTTCTATTTATTTAAAATCTGTATTTCCAAATATTTAAGTTATTAATAATTTTGGATTTTGATTAATTTATTCAATTACTATAGAATCAATCATATCAAATACTGTCTAATATGGATACTATTTTTATTCTTTTTTTAAACTTATCAATTATGCTAACAATTATGCTTTTAGGGAAAATCCATTAGGAGTCTCAACATCTATATAACAATTTTAATTAATTAATTAAATCACTTAAATAATATTTTATTTCACTTATTCTTAATGTCCATTTCTTAATAAAATATTCATAAATGTCTATTATGTGGTACCTATTTCATAAGGAAAATAGCTTGTATAAATATTAAAATTATTAATCCAATCAAATTTTATTTTTAAATCTTTTTTTATTACTTATTTCACTAATTGAATATAGTGTAAATAAACATAATCATATTAAGTATTTATTTTTTTCTATGGATATTATTTTATTAAATTTCTACCTTTTTTTAAAAAACTAAAGAACTTCTCTTATAAACTAGAATTTAATTTATTTTTTTTAAGATCTTTAGTTCTCTATTTTTTTATTTGATGTGAATTAACAATAGCTTAGATATGCAATTTGTTAAAATCAAATTCTTTTTTAATAAATTGACTTAAATACTCACAAACTGTGTTTAAAACTACTTTATGTGAATCCATATAAGAAATTAAAGGAATTTAATCATTATATGGTTATTAAAGTAATTATTCTAACAATTATTCTTACTATCCACATTATTATAATTGGGATAAGATATTTATAATTAAAGATTCATTCTCTTCTTTAATGTTTTTATTCATAGAAATACAATGTACAATATTCTTACCTTATTATGTTGAATACTTAATAGCTTATTTAAGTTGAGAAGGATATTCCAATATATATTCTAATATTATGTTAATAGGAGCCTTTTCCATAAATATCATAAAAGGAGTAATACCAGAAATATCAGGCACTTAATAATAATTATTAGAGTATTATATAAATAGTTTCCATTCTTTATTTAAGGCTATCTAATGAAATATATTGAATTTTAGATGTTTCAATTCTATTTTACTAGAATTTACTTAATTACTATCTCCTTTTGGTATAGATTTTGGTATTGATAAATTAGTAAAATTATAATCAATTTTTGCATTACAATATGTTTATTCAAGAGTTGAATTGATTGAGAAATGTTTAAGTAATTTCACTATTATACCTAATAATTTAATATGTAAATGATTTCTTAAATTGAATTCAGAGTCAAAATTTTAAAATCTATTAAAAAGTATAACTGCCCCTTTATTAATTATTAATTAACTAATTTGATTGGAATTTTAGATTGCTTTAATAAAATTAATAGATTATTAAACTTAGTTATCATTTTTTCTTAATGGTTTAATTTTATTTATAATTCTTATTGCAACATAATAGAGATCATCATTTATAGAAAATTAATGCTCTAATAATAGATGGGTAATAATTTCGAAAGTTTGTATATGAATTAATATAAGTTCAAGCATAGTGATTCCTAAACAACCTTTTAAAAATAGGATTTCAATTAATTATTTATCATAACTTTTTGATATATCCTAAAAAAATATTAAAATATGTTACATTCAATTCTTCTAATGTTAGTGAATTCGAAAAAGTTTTCTATTCAATTTCATTTATAATTTATATGTCAGTTTCAGAATTATGATGAATTGATTGAACATACTCCTTTCCATAATTTATTAATTTCTGTAATTTTTCATTCCTGGGTAATTTTGGTTTTTAAGGTTCGATAGGTTATTAATTGTTTTCAAATTGCATCTCGTCAAAATTGTCTTTTTTCTTAGGTTTAGGATATTTACAAGGTGGAGGTATATCATTTTTAGTTTAGACCATTCTTTTTCTTTTATCTTATTCTTAAGACCTATCCTCTTAATTAACTTCAATATTTTAAATATCTTCTTATTATATTTAAGGATGATTAATTTATATAGGCTTTTTATTCCTATTATCAGGTTCTTGAATATTATTAGCTGCACTCACGCAACAACCCATTTTAATTAAATATAAAGTTTTTAATATAAATTTTTAAATGCTAGTAATATTTATATGATGAGGAATTCTGATTATATGATCTTGTTATTTTTAATAATAAATATTGTATATAATAGATTCTTCATTATTAAAAACATTTAAAATTGATGTTAAATTTGATAATTGAACATATTTAAGTAATGATTATTACATTAGAGATTATGTAATACTTATGATTAAAATATAAAGTCTTAAAGAATTGTAATTCACCATTGATTTTAATAAATTACTTTGACAAATTAAGTATAATAAACGAATTGGTTACTTATAGTATTAAAAAATAAATATATATGATTTCCCATGATGATACTAATAATAAACAATTATCTTAACCAATAGAAACCTTTCGTAGATTAATGCTGCCTCATAAAAGTGATGTAGGTTTAGGTTAATAGAGTTGGACAAAACATCCCAATACTACTAAAAATTTATAGAGAAAACTCTACATAACCAATAAACCTGAGGTAAATATAAATCAAGAGAATTAAAATACTTCATCTAGTTTTGAAAAAAACATAGCTGATGAACTTTTAAAACATGAAGTATGTGATTGGTAATTCTTTATGCAAAAGGATTAAGAGATAATACAACAAATTAATACTTCAGATGAATTTCCTTAAGAACCAACATACAAGGCAAAAACCTTAGAATCAACAACTAGAAATTCTTAATTGTAAAAAGGAAATGAAAGATATCTATATTTTCAAAGAATGAAACAAGGAAAGTAAATTATTATATTTATTAGTAGCAAACTTCTACCAAATTTAAGTACCTAAGACTTTCTAAGTTCTGTTAGAAATTCTAATAAACTCAATGAGTTTGCTAAAGTTTATAAATAATAACCTTAGAATCTCTATTTGAGTTTAAATCTTTCATAACCTTAAAGAGTTCCAAAAACCTTTGGATTGATATAAAATACTTAATAATTAGTATCTGTAAATACTAATAGATGTTTAAGATCTCGTGAGGATTGTAGGGCATTTTCTTTTGCAATGCAAACTTAATAAAGCAAAAGTATAACTAGTTTATAAATGAATCATAATATTTTTGATCCTTTGTAACTAAGAGATATGCTTTTAAGTTTTCCAACAACCTTAAAAGATTTAGAATTGATTGATTGTAAATTACACTATTAACATATGGATGTATTAATGAGTTATATTAATAAAAATTAAATTAGCAAAATTAATTTAGAAAAGAATAACATAAGAGATTAAGGATGTAAAATAATTGTTAAATATTTAATGAATAATAATACTCTACAACATCTAAATTTGAATAATAATCAAATTACAGAATCTGCATGTATGAGTCTATCAAATTTATTAAAATAAACTTAAAGATTATTAGAATTATATCTTGGATACAATCATCTAAATTCAAGTGCTGGAAATACTATTTGGAAAGCTATGTATAAGAATACAAGCATTAAAATATTAGATTTATCTCATAATAATATTGCTTCACTTGATTGTGCTTCATCAATAGCTAAAGCAATAGCTAGACCTTATAATGAATTACTTCATGTTGATCTATCATATAATAAATTTACTTATTTATAAGCCTAAGTTATAGCTGATGCATTAATAAAAAATGAAACTATATATGGATTTCATTTTGAAGGAAACTAAACTGAATTAGTAGTCAATTAAAATGGATTCTTAATTAATAATATTTAATAAAAAAAGATATTAAATGATAAATTAACATTGCTTTATAAATAAAAATAATATTTTAAATTATTGGATCAACCTAAGAAGGATATATAAACTATTACCAATTAATATGAAGAATTTGTTATGCCATATAGTAGATAAAGAAAAATTAGATCAACAAAATTAAATGTTTAAAAAGTTAATTAAATAAATAAATTAGATACATGTTGGATTTGTGAAGGATGGTAAGAAATTAAATTTGAATGGACTGCTTATAAATCAGGAAGTCTATATAATGAACCTATATTTATTCATTTTGATTTTGAAGATTACAAACCTCTTTTAATGACTCATTTAAATCATGAATTCTTTTTAGTTAAAATGTGTCCACCTAATTAAAATATTCATTATTTTTTTACTAATCCAATTTTAGGTGTTTAATAACCAGCACTTGATTAACCAATTATTTAACTTGAAATTCCTTTATCTTCTATACCATTTCTATATAATGATGAAATTTTAGTAGATGGAAATATAATTGAATCTTTAAATGTGCTTAAAACATTTAATAAATAACAGTTATTTGATAAATATATGCCATTAGTATAATGTAAACCAAGAGAACCTTTAGCTAAATTTGATTTCTCTCCCTATCTAAATATCAAGAAACATGATTGGTCAGTAGAGAGTTCAATATTTAGAAATTTCTAACCAGATACTCCTTAATTAATTGATTAATGTTTTGAGTTTGACTTTTAGAATTCAAAAGTTACAAGATTAGTAAAGGAAAATGAGGTTGGAGAAGTAAAAGAATGTTTAAGAGATTTATATAGAAATTTATTTCATGTTTATAAATATCATGCTTCAGGATCTATAAATACACCAATACCTTGTATAATGATACAAGATTTCATTGATTTTTTAGTCTAGACTTCATTAATGGATGGAATGAAAACAAATGATATTGATATTAGTTTTACTTCCACAAGTGCAGCAAAAGATGTAGCATTTCCTTAGGCATATGAAAAAGGTATTGTTAGATGTTAATTATTGGAAATCATGATTAGATTATGCAATGATAAATATATAAGATCAGGAATTTATACATCAATGGTAGATTCCATTAATGCTATCAAATAATAATGTTAAGAATATTTTAGTAAATTCGATTAATCTTAATAATGGAGAAAAACAAGATTATGGAGTTAAAAATGTGATATATTATTAAATGATAGACTTGCCATGCTCAAATCATTATATAAATATTGTTGTAAATTAAGTAAAAAACCATAATAATTTAAATTTGAATATGTATCATTTTCAGATTTTAAAGATTTCATATCTGAATGTAAATTGATATGTGATGAATTGAGTGAAAGGGAATGTTATTTAGTATATTTACAATCCATGGTAACATAGAAAGATGAATTATACTCTTCAAAACATTATTAAATGAATTTTCATGAATTTATTGAAGCATGTAGTAGATTAGCTGAAAAATTATCTATAATAAGAGGAGACAAACCAATTGATTTAGATGATAGAAGAGCTAAAGATTTACATACAAAATTAGATGGTTTCTTGTTATATGTATATTTAAATATTGGAAATCAAATGAAAACTATTCTTTCATAAAATGATCCAGATATTAAAGGAGTTGATAAATGCATGATAAATGATTTTAAATCATTAAAGTAAAAATTGGAGGATTCATTTACTGATGGAGATGAACCTCCATATGATCCAAAGGTTGAATTACCTCATCTTTCAAGTTAAATTACAAATTTATTGGGAAATACATTTGGAGGCAAAAAATAAACTCTTAGATAACAAATAAAACAATAGAAAAAAGAAGAGTAAAAGTTTGCTCTTATTAACTTTGTTTAATACTTTAAGAGCATATAATAAATAAATAAAGACTAAGATGACTGATCTTACTTAATCATATTAATGAAAATTATGTATAAAATAACAATTAATCTTATAAATATCAAATATTATTTCCAATCGAACTGCTCAACCTTTCTATTAGAATTTGCTATATGCATATTTGAACTTTATCTCCTTATTTTTCACAATTTAAATATCATCTTCTACTTTATTTAAGGTGTGCAGATTTTCAAATGGAAGAGAATAGATTCCTGATGATATATATATTGATTGCATTTGATTGAGAAAATCCTTTCCTTTTGTCAATTTTCTTTAATAAACTAAAAATATAAATAAATACTAAATACCTGTATTATATATTTTAGTAGCAACTGGAAAATAGTTTTAAAGAGCATAAACATTTTTAGCCATACTTGTTAATGCATAATATTTATCATGTATATCAAGTTCTTAGAATTCAATAGTAGAAAATATTTAATTATTCGACCATAATGATAATACCTTTGATTATCCTTCTATATAATTTTCCCATTCCTATTCTAATTTCTCTATTAATTCTTTATCAAATTACTCAATATACTAAATGAAATAGATTCTGCATTTTTCAGCATTCTGATCTTTAAGTTTAAGTCTCTTCAATCCTTCTAAAATAGACATACTATTTTATATAATTGTTCTTTCCCTTTAATTTAAATAACAACAAAATATTGACCAAGCTCTTGTTAATGTGTCCTCATCAGTTTTATAAGCCTATGTCAAATATCTCAAAATAACTGATAATTTTCTCAATAAGAGTAGATGTTTACTATGATTTTCTAAATAATTCGAGATAATAAAAAAAGAATGATCAACACATTCACAACCTGTCCATCTAATTCTAAAAGGAAATTTTTTAATTCCAATTCCAATATCATCTCCAAAAGTCCATTAAGGTTTCTTTAATTTTCTTTTTGCTTTTTCTTTTTACTACATTTCCTATTCTATTTCAGATCTCATTTAACCTTAATAACATTATTCTATAATAATGTTAATTTTTGTTTTTAAACAATATTTTTCTTCATTCTGCAATTTTCTTACTCCATATTTATTATAGAGTTTTATTCCTTGTTCATCTGCAGCTTATGCTACTTATTTATATTTATTTCTAAGTATCTCTAGTTCTTCATTTTACTTTATGATTTTTATGTTGATAATTTTTATGAAACTTATATTGAATTTTAATAAACTTATATTATGTCTAGAAGTTTGATTCTTCTCTTTAACATTTACTGTCATGCTTACAACCTTTTCCAGAACTACTTTTAACTATTCAATAATGGTTGGGATTATTTTTGTAATCCCTTCTAGTGCTTTAAGATAATCATTCAAAACCTCCCCAAACCATTATAATTTTAAATCGCCACTCAAACCTAAGTTATAGTTCAAATATTTTCCTATAAAAATAGTCTTTTTGGAATACCTTCATTTTCAAATTTGTAAAATACTCCATTCTAGCCACTCTATCCAAGGTTACATATTGAAACATATCTAGTCCAAAATCCAAATGCATCTATTAATGTCTGATTACCTGTTAATGATACCTATAATATGGATTTATAAATGTACTTTTGTAATGCGTAATAAAATGAGTCTATTTCCTTCAACTTTCTTATATAGTTGTTAGACTTCATTTATTAAATTGTTTGCAACCAAAAACAATTGAGTCAACTCTATAGATTAAGTTCCTAGTTTAAGTAATTGAAAATCATTAAATGACAATGTGACAGTATCACCTGAAGTAGTACATCCCATATTTTAATATTATTAATGCTCTCTAAATTATTTAATGTACTAAAAATCACCATTTAATCACTTATACACTCTAATATTGATGTCAGATCAAATTAGGATGACCTGACGAATAAACTGTCAATAAATTGAAGAAAATGATTAAATCAATATTTTATCAATTAAAATTTATACTCTCAATAGAATAACCTTTCTCAATAATTATTACTACAACAAATTTAAAGTAAAGTCAATTAAAATTTATTACAATTATTCAATTTAATAACTCAAATTCAAATTAAAAGTAAAACTACGTAAAATATATCTTCATTATACCTCATTTAAGAAAATGAAACCGTCATAAATTATAAATATATAATATATATATTTAAATATTATTTTGATTACTTACCCAATTTACACTTATAAAAAATGGAATCTTTCAAAATTCAACCTTAAATGATCAATCATAAATTTCCTTAATTTAATTATCTTCTTTTTAACATTCATAATTTGATATATTCTCATCAATTAATAAAGACATAAAAATTATATAATAAGTCTAAATTATATTGCAACAATGAATTCTAATCTAAATTCAATCAGATTAGCATTTATAATTTGAATATCTACATTATTATACATTTTTATGAATTTCCTAATTTAAATTTTTTATAATAATCAAAAGACAACAGATTATAAATTAAAACTTGTATTTCTGATTATATTACAATAATGTTAAATTACAGTAACCATTCATGTTATTTAGAAATCTTAATTACTAAGATTATTAAAAATAATTATAGAAAATAATTGATAATCTAATATATATGTATATACTTTAAAAACTATAAAAACATGAGGAAATCATATTTATTACTTATTTCTTTATGCAGATATTTACTTTTAAGTTTCAGCAAAGTTTTTAATTTTTTTGACTTTTTACACAACTTTTTCTTTTTTAATTTTCTTTTTTTAAATCTCTTAATATTCTTTATTATATTTGCTCTATTATTCAATTTATTTTGGTTGATATCTATATCCTGCTTTAGGGTTCTTAACATCAAAATCTACTTAAACTTGTCTTCCATGTACTTTTTTACCATTCATCTACAGAGCTTTTATAACTGATTAATGATCTTCAAAATCTATATAAGCAAAGCCTTTAAAATTCTTAGTGACAGTATTATAAACCATTCTAACATTTGCTACCTTACCACATGGTCTAAAGGAGTCTCCTATTTGATCAGCATTTAAATCATAAGACAGATTTTTGACAAAAATTGTAAGACATTCAGGAGGTGGAACACCTGTTTTTTGAGGTTAGGTTCCTTTGGCCTCTTTAACATCAATATATCTGCCTCCCAATTAAGAGCCGTTAAGTGCTAATGCTTTTTGTATTGCATCAGAATCATTAAATGTAATATGACCATAACCTAGAAGTCTGTTTGAATCCTAATATCTTGGCAATTTAATTGATCTAAATTAGATGATATGACTTACAGGATTTCCCCACAATCTTCAAAAAGTGCTTAAACATCGTTTTCTGAAGCAGTGTATGGTAAGCCACTAATAAAGACTTAATACATTAATATTAATATAAAATTTATGTTATTTAATATAGTTGCCAATGACTAAGAAAAATTGTATGAAAATGAAAACCCAACATATGATGAGATCATACGCTTTATAAAACAGCAAATGAATATAATTAGTCCTTTATTAACATATATAGATGATGATGGGAAATCTTATTATGTGAATTGTACAAATGACATTAATGAAATAAAAAAGAAATTGGCTATTATTAAGAAAGTGAATTTGTATATAACATTGTAATCTTGGACTTGTGAATTTTGTACATATGAAGAAAATACTGAAGAGAAATGTGAAGTTTGTGGATAAATTAAAAAATGAATTATCTCAATTATCTATTTAAATGGTAACTACATAATAGAAATATTATATCCCCTATGCTTCTTATCTGATATCTACTCTAAAACATTCATTTATTTCTTAAATGAACTTACATATATCATAGAAGTAAATTTACATAGTTTTATAAAAAAATCAATTTCAGATAATAATTGGATTAACATTTTTTTTAAAAAACAAAATTAATCTTAATAATCATTATTAAAAGGCTATAAAAATTTATTTTATGTTCTACCCATCTTTTTTTAAAATTAACTTCTCAAAGTAATCATATTGTATTAAATAAGAAAATTTAGTTATACTTTATAATATGATTTAAAAGGGAAATATAGTTAAATAGTATTTTGAATTAGAAAAGCAATTATTTTTGAATTCATTTATATATAAATGAGAGAGCAGATAATAATTATTATAACTAATTTAGATTTTAATATAAAGACTATATATAACAACTCAAAGTAGATTAATATATAATTTTTAATTTAACAATAAATGAATTAAATAAGTAATTATTTTTTAATTTACTCCATTGCTTAAATTATTGCAAGAATTTCTTTCCCTTTACTTGATCTAAATAAAAAATTAAACAGTTTAAGAAAAATAAGGTTTTTCATTCTTTAATAGTAATAGACATTAAAATTATTATTCATACAAAATTATCAGTAATGGTATACAAGGGTATCGAATTTTCTGTGACAAAAAATGGCTATAAATAAAAACTAGTAGGTCTATGTTTAAGTTTATAATATTTTTTAGACTTTACCTATTAATATTATAAACATAATTGACTATTTATTTGTCAGTTTTTATTATTTTAAAAACTACTAGAAAAATCTGTTTATTAAATAATTTCCATTTTATAGTTGTTAAATTTAATTAGTAAAATTTTAAAACTTAAATGAAAGATCATAAAATTACAATTAACATTCTATTGTTATTTTCTAAAACAATATAATATTTATTTTAGTATTATGGTATTATTTTTAAGAAAAATGTTATTCCTAAATTTAAAAAATATTGTAATTGAATAAATAATGACTTAAAAGTTTAAGAATTTAAACAGTAAGAGAATAAAATTGTTAATGAGAATGATACAATATAATTAAATATACTATAAAAATATAAATATTATGAATTTGGGCAATCCATATGATTGGATAGAATCAGAATGGTAAAGTCCTATATGGGGAGAGGATTCATTTATATCGATCCAGATTTTTGGAGGTATATAGAGAAGACTAAATATTTAGTTATTTTGGAATTGAATTAGCATTAGTCACATCAATTATAGGGGGATCGTTAGGTATATTTGAGACAAATTTATCATAATGATTATTGAATTATCATGATTTGCAAAGTATAAAGCATTGAGTCATATCCTAATGATTAAATGGACGAATACTATACAATAGCTTTATTTAATTGTTATTCCTTATCTTAAACTTGTCTATTTGTTGAATTATCGAATCTTATTAATAGGTATTTTAATTATTGCAATAGGTATAAAAAATTCTAGATATACCGATAGCTGTAGCTTAAACTCCAGAAATTTTTGTAAAAATCTTGGTAGATAAAATTTTTAGTTCAGCCCTAGATTTATTTGATGTGTTTGTAGGTATTATCTAATGTTTAAATTAATCCTTCAATAAGAATTGATTAAACTTACTTTGTACATTAAATCATATATATATATAATTGCTTGGATTATTATTATATCAACATAACCTTGATCATTTAGACCAATTAATTAATATTGATTATAGATAATATTAATTAAATTGTGTTGTAAAATTAATTGACATACATAATATAATGATCTATTATTATTCCCTTAAAAAACTTTCACAATTCAATTCTACAATTGTAATTTACAAAATTTATGATGGCCAGCATCAATATCAACACAATTAATATAGAATAACAGAGTTTCTGTTTACGTTGCAAATAACTGACTGCAAATGGAACTATTCTTTAAATTTAGAATTTAAATGATTCTATCTACACTCAACTTTAAGAAAACAGTTGGCGTAAAACAGGTTAATAATTTTACCATTCCAATCCAAAAAGTTGTTGCCAATAAATAGTTTGTAAAATACCTGTTTTTTAATACAATTCACCAAAAAGATGTTTAAAAGCATTGAAGTAATATATTTACAATACTCTTAGAAACTTAACTTAAGAATATTTCGATGTTGAACTAATTAAAGAATCTATATATAATAATTTATTACAATACGTTGATTTGTCTCGTCCTTGTCGAGAAACCTTATAAACAAGATTGGCATTCTAACATTTTTTACTAGTATTATCATAACGTTTGGATTATACTTCTTTAAATAAATTTGGGTTTAAGGACAATTCACATGAGGAACTTAAGAAACATGTATAATCATTGAATAATGAATTACATATGAATGTAAAAGTGGATAAAAAAAATTATTTACATTTCAATTGGCCCAGTGATTTTATTGCTTTGTTAAGAAAGTCTAAAAGGAGTAGTTTAATTGTTATAGTTAAAGAAGCAACTTATGATTAAGAAGCTCATTAATTATTCATTGATAATTATTTTTAAGTTTCAAAGTAGAATTATTAGAAAATGTATTGTGATTCCTAATATCAGATGATTAAATATTATGCTAATTCTTAATTGACAGGTGTTAGTTTTATTGAATTGAGATAAAATTCATTACATAGATTGAGTTTTCATTATAATAAAGAAATAAAAGAGATAAATAGAATAGCTATAGATTATGAAATAAAGTGGGCATAATAATTAAATTTATAGAATTATTATTATATTAAAAAAAGTAGGAGTATAGAAAATAAAAATTAAGTTATTAATGAAATGATTGATAACAATTTTCAAATTTTTAGAGGATAAAAAATGATTTAGATCAAATAGTTAAGATCTGTTTATTAAAAATATCTTATTGAATTGCTTACTAAAATGAACTCGATTATGGGTCCATAATTATTTAAACTTTTTATATATAAATATGATTGATTATATATAAATCTATCAAGATAATTTAGACTTGAACTTTTCCATTTTTGTAATTTTTAATTTTGATTTTATTTCATTTTTTTCTTAAGCTGTAAATTTTTTACTTGGACTAGATATAACTTACTTAATCAAATTGAATACTTCCTTACTATGATTAGGAAATTTGACTTAAGAACGATTGGTCATTTCTGTAAAATTGGTTGTTCGAGTTATCTTTGAGATTTAAAGATTGCTTTTTGGTTCTGTTCTCATACGCATATTAATTAAAGTTTTAGCAAAATCATCATGTTCATTTTATTTATCATCAGATCTTAAATAGTCTAAAATTTCTTTTTTTTAACTTTATAATTATTGTGTTTAAAAATATCTATTTCTTTTTTTAGCTGAATCTTCAATTTATTTTTCTTATTATTAAATATCTAATTATTATTTTTAATATTTAATTTTTTCATTATAAAATCTAAGAGAATGATTACTTTTATTAATTAAATCAGGAAGAGAATTTGTAATATTATTATTTTAATTATTATTTAAAGTATGACTCTAGATTTTAGATGGATAATATTTATTTTTCATATATATTAAAGAGCATTCTCTTAAAATGTTATCAATATTATAAGACATCTATTTTTCTTTGGTAAGTTTATGTTGAATAGACTTTAATAATTCGAGAGCAAAAAGGATATGTGCTTTTAATTTATATGTTTATGCATTAAGATTCCAAAAATGAGAAGTGGGATTATTAATTTCAAATAAACATAACACTTCAAATTATTTATTTATTATTTTGATAATGTCATTACTACTTGCTGATATGATAAGTTATGTTTTAGTAGAAAATAATACTTCAAATGGATCAATTTACATGTATGATAATTAAATTATACTTTCTGAATGAATTGAAACACTTAAAGTAGGTGATTAATTTGGAATATCAAAATGTTAATCATAAAATTATCCTGCCATATTTTTAACTGCACTCAATCTAGTCATTCCTGTTCTAAATTTTTATTTAATTTTCTAATTAGGAGATCGTTATAATTATATTAAATGTTGACTCATATTAATATCTTTAACTAAATAAGAATTAATTATTCTATAATTATCAATAAAATGTTCTTAAATATTATTATGATAAATAACTCTATATGGATTATAATTAGGTTTAGTATTAATTGGATCTTATTATTAAATTTTGATTTCAGATATATCATATTTTAACATATATCCATTATTCAATCCAACAATTAAATCTTAATCATCTATCAACATTTAAGTGGCATAATTTCTTTCATTTATACTTGTCAAAAGTAAAAGACTACTTTCTACATTTAAAATAGATTCTATTGCACATACATAATGATCATTTTTAGATGTTATAGATATAAAGTATAATTATGCTTAATTTGTACCTACAATAAAATATTATTTATTATTAGATATTACAATACTAGTAGCAATAGCTTATTCTTCTAATTAAATTTAAATAACAACTGAATAATATTCAAGATTCCATATAGTAATAAAGTCATCATTACTTGTAATTAATAATCCATGAGATAGATTGAATGTACATATATTAACTTAAGAATGATGCATTAATTATCTAAGAGCTCTTTTATCTTTAGCATTAACATTATCTTTACGTACATTTAAATGTTATAATGGTAAACATTTGAGTGAAGAATCAATATTAAATATATGTAGTAAATTAGATGTTTCATCATATGAAATTTTAATGATTTCTTCATTAAATAATTAATCCCATTATTAAACTATTTCTCCATTTTTTATTAATACTTTCATTACATGTCCTTCAGATGTTCCTAATATCATATAATTATTATGTTCTATTAAACAGACTGCAGTTATCTCATCCTTAAAATCTTATAATATATATTCAATTTTTCCATTTATGCAATTCTATATTCTCACATCTGTCCTTGTTACAATAATATTTCTTTAATTCCATTAATCATAAATCAATTCAATTAATTTTGTATTTTTAGGTGTGTCATCATGTTATTCAAATCTTAAAGCTTATAATCTTGTTGTAATAAGACATAAACACTTATTATAATAAAATAATTATTTAGACATTAATTTAGTTTACAATTTAATATGTTAATGAATCTATTAAGATCTAATATCCCATAATATTATTGTATTTTTACAATCAATACTAACCAATAATGATGTATTTTCTAATAATTCAATACAACTTATAGTCTATAAATGTCCTTTTAATTAACATTTCAAATTTTAATCATTATATTTTGTATGTAATTAATAACAACATATTTAACTATCTAAACCTATTGTAAATATTAATTAAAATGTTCTTGAATATTTTACATTAGTTATTATGTTATGAAGAGTTGAAAATCTAAATAAGAATTTCTGTTCAAACATATCAAAACAATTAATTATATTTGGATTAGATATCACTAACAACATTTAAAGATGATCTATTTCACATATCTCTGTTATTGAATTTATTTATTAAGTAATACAAGTATAATTAGCAGTTTCTAAATTCCATATCATTATTTAATTTTGTTTATTTACACTTATCCATTAATCTTATAAATGAAGATATCTTAATTTTGAGATCTCCACATTATTCTCTACTTTATAATCAAATTAATATCCATCACTCTAATCCCAAAATACTATTGTTAAATCACGCATCACACATCCTAGTCTTTCATTACCATAACTAATAAATTGTATATAATTGCCTTCATCATTCTTTTTCAGATTAATAAACTTTTGAAACTCAAAACCCAAAAATAAACTTATCCTCTCTTGAAATTACATTAAAAGAAATAATTCATTCTAATGAGTAATCGCCTATATTATTTATGTCTTACTGTTAGTATCAATTGTTTTTAGATCATTTTCTATCCTCCTAAGCATATCCTGATTCAACCCCAATATTTCTGGTGGTGATATTTCTGAAGCTATTAGTTAACGCTTTTTTGTTCTTATAAGATGTTTAGGAAGAAACTTCTTATTAAAATGAATATCTAATTATTCTGCACTTGAAATCAAATAGTCTGTGATATGCTTTAATTATACAGAACATTATATTTATGATCGTACATCCTGATAAAATTATAATAATCTTGTTATTGTAATTAATCCATCTAAACCACTCTCTTCCATTCGTTACACATAAAATGTTACAAAACTTTGTAAATCAATTACTTAATTTTAATTGTCATCTACTATTTAAGCCAAATCAAATAAATAATGTTATACTACACTACTTATATCAAATTCATCCATCCTCTCAGCAACAACATTTAATAATTAGTCTATATTCATTTTATATATATAAATATTAAATTATAACATCTCAAAATTATCCATATACTTCACTCATATTTCATTGAATAATCAACTAAAAAATGTCATACTATTTTAATTATGAATTTACTTTTCATATTGTGAATTTCTATATTAAAATAAAAATTCATATAAAAATATAATTATCAAATAATTGATTAAGAATTTACTCTTCCTTTTTTTCCATAATATCTCTTATTTTTGAATTTGTTAGAAAGATAAATTAAATTTTATTTATTTAACTATCAAATCAGTTCTTAAATTAATGAATTATTTGATTATCTTATTATCCTTATATATATATATATATTTTCAATTAATTCAATCTTCCTTTATATATATATATAAAAAACCTTTATTATTTATAACATAGATCTTGTTGAGATATAAAATTAAACATTATTTTGTGAATTTTAGTTATAAATAATTTCATTATACTCACATATCTCAATTCAATTTCTAAAATACTTAATTAATTGAAGAAAATGAATTAGATTAGATTGAATAGATAGTTATTGTAACTATATTTTCTTATTTTTCTTAATGTTGTTTTGGAAATTGAGGTAAAAGAATTTGATAATTTATGAGTTAATGAGTTCTTATTTAGTTTAATTTTAAATATGAGTGAAACTAAGGTATGTTAATGCTGGTAAGTATTTGACTTATAATTGAGTTTGGAAGAAGTTTTGGCTACTAATTATTTACTTCATTCTCTCTATTGTGAACGTAACATTACAAAATGCAATATATGTGATCAAAGAATAGATATAAATGAATAGGATGCTCATATGGAGACACATTAAAAAGTATAGATAAGTATATATGATTAGACTGAATGCATATATTGCTCTAAATAGTTTGAAAAAAGACTTATTGAAATGCATAAGAATAATTGTCCCAATAAACCAGAGAAGTGTGGATTTTGTGATTTAATGATTAATATGGCAGAGATGCCAAGACATTAAGCAAATTGTGGTTCTAGAACAGAATAATGTTAAATTTGCAAAAAGCATATACAAAAAAGAGGTAAATTATAAGTTGATGTTTTAGAGTTCAATTTACATATTAGTATTTGTAGAAAAGATTAATAACAATCATAGAAAAGAAATAGATTAAAACGTATTACAAGTGAACCTACTTCTGAACAATCTTCGAATGATTCATCTGTATAAGAAATAAAGTAGATTACCAAAAGAAAACCATAGAAATAAAATAAATAAAGATCAAAACAAAAAGAAGATATATCGAAAAAATATAATGATGATGATGATGAAGATTTCTAAAAAGCTTTGTAAATGAGTCTGAATTAAAAATGAATTAATAAAACTCAAGTTTATGTATATGTCTAAACCTATAAGAGAACATCAATCTTTCTCTTATCCAACTCTGAAATCATATTAATACAAAAAATGAGTAGCGTATTGAAATTCTGTTCTTTTTCTTCAGACATAAAATAATCTAAATTAACTATGAGAAAAATTTATTATTATAAATCTATATGCCAATCATATCTTAATAGAATCCAAAACCATTAATGTTCCATTCATTATAAAGATTTCACTTATAAATATGTAGATATCCCAATTATAGATTATTATTAAATAAGGATAAGTATTTATTAGAAGAACTATTCATAAAAATAATCAGCTACTAATCAATAATACACTAAGTTACAATTCTTCAACTTACCTACAATCATTACAAGAGCTAATTTTATTTAAAATTAGAAATTCTTTAAGTATTCATACATTCGTATATTCATAGAATCAGACTACAACCTTCTGGTGAATTATGAATAATCGAAATTTTCTAAAAATATAACTTTTTCTTAAAATATTATCCGATCATAAACATATTTAAACTAAATATATATATTAAATTTTAAACAGGAATAAAATAAGAAACTTTTTAAGAATCACTTAACTAGCATAATCATTTAGAATTTATCAAAAATTGACATAATCTTAATATTATTTATTTATGAATTTTATAAATAGATTTTTAGAATCAAGATCTCATCAATTATTACTCCATATTTTTAATTATTTAAAAAAATCTTCAAGAGTTGAGAAAGTGGGTTAATCCTTAGAAAAATGGAAAATTAACAAACCGGAATTCATTGCTTTGATCATTAATTCTTTAGAAAGATCTCTTATTTAAACTTAAAATCTAGCAGTTATAAATAAAAATTATAGTCAAACTCCTATTACTATTTTGAATGAATATTGTAATTAAAATTGCTTTAGAATTATTAAAATTGGTAATAAGGGTTATTTAAGTTAATAAATATAAAATTATATATCTCTATACCATCGTTGGAAATATGGGATATACTTAGGCTTTTTTTGATTTAAAAAGTTTTTTGAAAAATTGTTTTATCAAATAGAAATATATTGTTAAAAATGATAACATCAAACTTCTTAATCCATTGGGTTGATAATCAAAAAAAGGATAAAGTATGTTAAAATAATAAATGAAAAATTATAAAGAAGATTTAATCCATTTGATTGAAATTAATAGGAAATTATATATAAATCTATATTTGAAGATGAATAAAGGATATCTATCTTTATGGTATTTTAAATGCTGATGTATTAAGTATACAAAGATAATTGATGGTTAAACAAGAAATACACTATGATAAATATGAGTATATAATGTAAATCAATTTCTGTTGAATATTTCTACACAATATCAAAATATTTTTTCAAGTATTCTATTCTTATTTTATAAACAAACATCAATTACTAAATAATAAGAAAGTTGCTTAACTACAATTCTATTTATATTTATTTATTAACATCATGATAATTGTCAAAAAATAAGTTAATAATTTACTTACAATTTATTACTTTCGACTATTTTTTGAATAATTTCTATTTTTCAGATAGGTTTAATTGACAAAAATTATAAATATTCTTAGTATTATTGACGAATGAAACTTTATCTGTAGATTTATATTAAAACAGAACTTTTAAAGTAATCTAAAATTAGAATTATTATGTGTGATTTTTAATAAAAATATTTTATTTATGAGAAACTAAGTATTTATTTACAATATGAAGGATTTAATTTGAATATTTTGTTATTTGGGGAAATTTTAAAGCTTTATTTAAAATTCCTTAGACTTTGAATATGTAATAATTAGCCATAAAAAAGTTTTAGAAATTAAAAAATAACTTATTCTATATTCTAGTAATTAATATAATATAGTTCAGCAAGTAAGATGTAAGAATTTTATTTTAAATTGAGAATTTTTAATAATAATGAATATGAATATATTAAGTTAAATGATATATGATGAAAGAATAATATATCAATATATTGATTACTCTTTAAATTAGACTCTTTTTGATGGTTTATCTCTACAATTATTTGAACTACAAGCAGAATCAGAATAGCATTCATGTGATCGTGCACTTAATATTCCTTTCATTACATCATTTTAAAAGTGAATTGATTCATCAATCACTATTTTAGGTTCAAGATAAACAATAACATGTTATTATTTTGGAGATAATGGTGGAGGAGATAGTAAACCATCTCCATCTTAATATTGATACAATTAACAATGTTATTAGATCAGATCTCCAAATTGTCCAATTTAAATTGAATCCCCTAAAGATTTGATTCCACTATCTTAACGAATAGGATTTAGAATTTCTTTTGAAGATTGAGTGATATTTGAAGTTTGAGAACAGCATTAATTGCCCATAAAAATAAAAATTATTCATTTCACAATCAATTTTTTTCATTTATATGTAAAAATAGAAATGATAATTACATCATTTAATGATAGAACAATAATCAAAAATTGAAATAAATATCAAATAACTTGAAGAAATATATATTAAATATATGTATTTATGAAAAAATAGTATTCTAGAATTCATTAAAAAAGAAAAAAGAATAAAGTAATACCTTCAAATTAATATTATTTATTATAAATTAATTTTAACTCTTATAATTGTTAAGGATTTTTAAATTTTTTATTAAGTAGGAGAAAAATAAAGGAAATAAATTATTAATTTAACAAACTAAGATTAAATGTATAAATTAATTATAAATAACTAAATCACTTCTTCGATTTAAGTACTTTCTCATAAGTAGTTTAGGATTCCTTTTTAAGAAAAGGCATAGATTTCTTTCGAGATGCTTTGACAGTTGGACTTGAAAATTAAGATATTGGTCGAATTACACTTTTTGAATAAATAGATATATATATATACCTTATATCTGCATTAAATATCTATTGTCCTAAATCAAGGGCTTAACTCTTAGATGCTTTGACTCTATTAGCATTTCTATTAGATGAAAGACAATTTTCCTTATTTTCATTGTCTATACTAAAATCAAAATTGATAGGTGTTGGTTGAATGGAAATATTAAAATTATGATAGCCTAACTTTTTTTGAGTAGTTTTCTTGCGACATTCTTCACAAACTAATTTAAGCTTTTCATCAATTAGTTTATTAACTAGTTTCTTGAGAGCCAATTGATCCATTAACGTAATTATTAATTAAAAAAATTAATTATAACAATCGCATGAGTCATAGCTCTATGGAGTAAAGGGTATGTGGAATTAATATATTTTTAGAATGGATAATTGTTAGTAATGACAATATAAATAGATGATAAACGTAGTGGTAGAATAGATGTATTTGAAGGAGATGATCCTGAAATACTGGCAAGAGATTTTTGCATTAAATATAACTTAAATTAAAGAGTGGCACCATTACTTATAGATAATATTCAAAAACAAATTTAGATAGCTTAAAAAGAACGCATAAATATGGTTCAATACGTAAGTAGTTGGAGTCTAACTTTTTATTTAGTTATCTCAAAAGAAGTAGAATCAAAGACCAACTGAGTAATCTAATGAAATACAAAATTAGTAATAAGGCTCTACTCCAATTATTGCATAATCTCAATAATCCCCAATGAAATAAGAGAGCATGAGTTAAACTGTATATGACAGACTATATCAAGATGCTCATAATAAAAAGTTAAAAAAACAATTACAATTATCAGAAAACAAATCAAGCAGTTAAATTATGAAATCTTAAGAATCAGAAGTTAATTATGGTTTAATTCTATATTAAAAAGGAATTCAAAAAAAAGAAGAGAAATTACAAAAAGCAGAAAGTGCAAGAAAAGATATACAAAAATCTTAACTTTAAGAATGTACTCACAAACCTTAAATTAATTCTCTTTCATCTAAAATAGCTTAACGTTCTCCTAAACCAGTTGGTGAACATTTAAATGAATTAGCAAAAATAATATAAGAAAAAAGAGAAAATGCTTAAAATTTTAAAATGGAAATGGAATAATAAAGTTGTTCTTTTCATCCTTAAATTAATAGAGTGTAATATATTCTAATTATATTATTATAAGTTCCTCTTCAATAGTTGATGAGAAAAAGAAATAATCTTAAATTGCTATTCCTCATTATGAATCATTATATTAAGATATGGATGTGAAATAACAAAAATTAAATGAATTAGATAGAAATTATTTTGCATAAAAACATACATTTCATCCTAAAATTGATTAAATATCTGAATAATTAGTTTAAGGTTTAAGTTTTGAAGAAAGAAGATAAAAATTTAGAAATAAATCAAAAGAAAGAAATTCAAGTGCAGATGAAGGAAATATGTTTAGACCAAGAACAGGTAGACCACCTGAATAAAGACCAGAAAATTTATTTGATAATCTATATAAAGATGCATAATTATTAGCATAAAAAAGAGCAGCTGTTTTATCTTTTAGTAGGGAAAAAATTATGAATTAATCAAAAGTTAGAGCTAGTTAGAAATCTGAATTCTTAACACAATAAGCTATTATAAATTCTCTTGCTAATATTTTTGATTAGATTGATAATGATAATGATGGTGAAATTGATTCTATTAGAATAAATCTAGGAAATCTTAATTAAACTGTTATTTAAATACTTTAACCTTTAATTTCTGAGATGGAAGAAGGTAGACATGTACTTACTAAAAGTGAATTCATTGAATCAGCTATGAGATTAGTATATACTCTTTCCAATAAAGAAAAACATGATTTATTAAAGAAGCCAAACTCAAAAAAATCTGATATCCCTATTTATACTTTTAATGTGTAACATTTTCATTAATTTTTAGCCATCAATCAATTCAAGACCATAAAAAAATTCAAGATCAAAAAATAGATGAAAGCTTACAGTAATTTATTTGTTTGAAATTATTGAATTACATAAATTATAATTCTCTAACTATTTTTTTTAATTATGTTGTTGTGCTATCTATCAATCAACAAATTTTAACTAAATATTAAAAATTATTATTATTATTTCTTAATAGTTATTATAATTGATGATATAATTATACAATCAGACATATTATTTTATTAAATTTAATTATTCTAAAAACAAATATTTCAACTTGTCTTTTGATTAAGATGATTAATTAGATCAGTTCTTTTGTAACATTCTAATTTTTACTATAAAACTATTGAAAAGTATCCAATATTTAATTAAATCAATAAATATTTTAATTAACATTTTGAAAGCAAGATGAATTCCTTAAATATAGAGAAGAATAAATTTATGAAGAGAGCAATAGAACGTAAATCTTAAAGAGAGATTAATCTAACTCCATCCATTATTCTATCAGACAAAGAAATTGAAATCGATGACTTCGATTCTCCAACTACCTTAAATTTATAAATACCAATCTTTAGTCCAACTAAAATGATTTTTTCTCTACCTAAGTCTACAGGTACAATCAAATGATAATATCTCCTACATATCTTATATATTAATTTAATTCAAAATTTAACCAAGATAAACTATTTTTTCTTATGTGTAACTATTCACTTCAATACTGATCCATTTAGAATGATAGTATTTTTTATAGAATCGAATCGAAGATTTAGATAAATAAAGCCGATAAATCATTAATAAAATTTCAGAATTTTTAAACAAAGAATTCGTAAAAGTTAACTTAAAATTATATAAAATTATAAACTTTAATAGTGATTAAAATAAAGTACATTAATAGAATCAATATTTAATTAGTCAGTTCATTATTTTTGATAATTTGATTAGTTATATATATACTAAAGTTTCTTTTTCTAAAGGTATCTTTAAATTATTCTCTAATTCATTTTCTATACCTTAAGTTAAAAATCTGGCTATCTGTTACTCATAAAATGATAACTTAATAATATTATTTATTTTTACTTAATGATTCATTATTAATTATCTTTATTATTAATCTTTTGAAATAGCCACCAATTCTGCTAAAAGGGTAGCAATTTATTCAAAAGCTTATCTATTTTATTTTGCTTACAATTCCAATCTTTTTATGTGAGTTTAATATTTTTAAAAAGAAGGTATATAATAACCTTTTGGATTTGGTTTCATAGTTTTTAGATTGTCTGTTATTTATTATTCATAATATGCATTAATTTTTGAGATTCGATTTTAATGTTTGAATAAAATTGGCATAGTTGAAATGTAATCTTTCAATAATAATTATATCCCATATTTGAAAACTATAAATAATCCCTCCAAATCATTATGGATTTATAATCTTTCAGCCAAATCAATCCAATATGATAAAGCTTCTTATCTTTTGTATTTACATGGATTTTTCACAACAGAATAAATAATATATTATGAAAGGGTGTTGATTCTTTTAAAATACTAATTTAAATTATTATTTTACCTATTTAAGACCTCCTTTAACAACAACATTTCTAATTTGCAAATCAGCATAAAAGGCTTAATTAATAACACTTAATATTTTTGCTACTTCTTCAGGATGCCAAGGAAATACTTCATTTTCTTTTAGAACAGGAAGAGACTTAGAATTTTAACTCATTCCTACTCCTAAATAGGGTTTTGATTATTATTCATCTTCAAATTTTAATTTAGTAATAGTATATATGTTTTATTCAATAAATGCAATAAAGATTTTATCATTCTTTAACTCATTAAAACGATATTAAAATATGAGATTGAAAAATAATGGAATAGAATATTAACATGAAACATAGTTTATCATATCCATTTAATTTTCATTTTGAATCCATTTCCATATGAGAAATAAAGAAAAGGTGAATAAAGTTGTAAAGTAATCAATAGTTAATACAATGCTTTTTTTTATATTGCAATCTTCATTTTAAATTTCTTTTTCTATCAACTAATTGAAAGCACAGTCTTTGAAAAAGGTATCCAAAACAATACATTTTTATATAAAATGTTCCAACCAATCTTCTTAAGATTTGAAGGCAAAACTAAATAATTACTAAGCAGCTTCAGACAAGATATCTATATCTAAAATTAAAGTTTCTTTTTTGTACCTAAACATTTTGAATAATTATGTTGCATACATTCATCTGGTAGAGTTCTAGAAGATTGCAAACTAGATGAAGAGCAAGCAGAATTGCATTAATGATTTCTTCTTATATCCATAAAAGAGTCAGTGCCATCAGAAAATTGTGAATAAAAACTAGCAGCTATTCTCTATGTTTAAACATCACATGTTTTTGCTTTTATTATTTCACTCTCTTCATTTTCAGGGCAAAAGAATAATGAATTTTATTCTTACATTTTTTTTTCTTATTTTATATATGAGAGTTTTATTAATATAAATTAAATAAATTTTCACTTCATTTAAAAACAATTTACCTTAATATTGAAATGAATTTTTATGATTCCTAAATAAAATCATACTATACTTATTTATAAATTAATTTAAAAGAAGAGATTAATATATTAACATTTCTATAAATAATAAAATCAAAATTTGACTTTCTTTCTACATGTATCGATCTACTTGGAATGGATTTCAGTTTTATCGCTAACACTGTCATCATTTCGAATTTGATTTTATATTATTTCATCTTTATGTCTTATAATATCTTGTAATTTCGCAATCTCCTAATAGCTTTTTTGTATCTGGCTTTAAATACTCTAATTTTAATGCTTTTGCTTATTAGGCTTTTTAATGTTACTCTTTAAAAGTTCATTCTCTTATCGTAAAAGCTTCACTTGGGTTTCTGCAATCTCCAATTATTTTTTGATGCTTTCAACTTTCTTTTCTAAAGCAAACATTTCATTTATGGTTTCTCTGCAATGATCACAATGTTCCATTAATTAAAAATTTATATAAATATTATTAAATTAATTAAAAGGAATTTGGTAATAATAAATTTAGAAAACAAAAATACTATGTCTATAATAATAATAATAATTGCATTTAATTATATACAATAAATATTGTTTAATGATTATTTTTTATAGTGTTTCAAACCTCATTTTCAAATTGATTAAACATTAATATTATTAAAATTTAAATAATCCCTCCCAAATTATGTAATTAAGAAGTGGTGTACTTAAGAAGCCCCCTACAAGAAATTATATCTCAGGTTATTAAATATTCTATGCATCAAAATTACCTGAATTGAAAAAGGAGGGCAAATTTCAAGTTGGAGATGCAGGTCATAAAATTTCAGAAATGTGGAGAGGTTTAGATGATGATGAAAGGTAAAAATTTGAGGATTAGTTTCATGAAATGGAATCCAAATATAAAGAAGACTTAATATTATATTATGGAGGGAACACACAAGACATTAAAAAATATAAAGCATTAATGGAAATTCCAGAGAAACCTAGAAAACCTGCTTCTGCATGTTTAGTTTATATTGCAGAACATAGGAAGGATTTCAGCAATGAAAATCCTGATATGAATATGGCAAAAGTGACAAAGGTTTTGGCAGACAAATATAATGTTCTTCAAACTAAAGATAAAAAAAAATATGAGGATGACTTTTAAAGGAAATTAGAATAGTACCATAAAGAAATAGAGAATTGGTAAAAGTAATAATTAATATTTAATATTATAGAAAATTTGCTGAAAAATAAGAATAATTTGATAAATTGATTGAAGAAAAATTTAAACGATCTGCATCAAAATAAGATTTAGAATATAAAGAATTACCACCATATAAAAGAGGACCTAAAAAAATGAAGGATGATGATGAAACAGCTGGAGTAAAGGTAGAAGTTAAAGAAAAAGAAATGAAGAAGGATGAAAAAAAAAATGAAAGAAAAGAAGATAAAAAAGATGATAAGAAAGATGATAAAAAAGATGAAAAAGATAAGTATATATATAAAATCAATAATAATTTAGTAAAAAAAATACAAAAAATACCAAAGATGAAGGTAAAATTGTATAAAATAAAGGAGAATCAAAGAAATAAATGGAAAAAGATTAAAAAGATGGATAAATGAGAAAAAAATCTGCTTAAAGAAGATGTTGAGAATTTCACTGAAATATTTTTTAATAAATTTTCTGTTAAAACATATTAAATTTAAAGACAGACTTCTAGAAATGTATTTTAAAAGGATATCAAATAATATTAAATAAATATATATATATATATTCATATTACACGAAGGCCCTGTAGACAACTCTTGGTAAGAAGTTCAATTATTTCTTTTTCTTATTCTTCTGGTAATGAAGGCAATTTTTCAAATTAAAATGCTATCAGATTATGTATATTCAAATGATTGTTTTTAATAATGCTTGTAGCAATCAATGGTCTAAATTAGTATTTGATCACTTGAGTGGCTGCTTTAACAATTAATTTGCAAAACATATAATAATATTTATAATTTCATATTCATTCTATTTATAATAGCATATCTTCTACTTATTATTTTTTTTGATAAAATTCCAATCCATTTCCTTTAATTAATTCAAAATCAAGTCCTACAGTAAATTCAACTGGTCCATGAACTAATTATATGGCCATTTCAAATTCTTCATTATTTTATAAAAACCAGTAATGAAGCTAATATATCAATATTAATAATACTCTATATTTTTTATCATCTACATAATTAATCTTATTAGCAAATTTATCCATATTTTCAATGAGTTTCACAAATATTTGATTAGGTTCAAATGGTAAAATTACATCTGTCTATTTAAATCGTTTTAACTCTCTTTTTATTGTTAAATCAATAGTAATGTCTTCCTCTCCTCTTTTGAAATTTCCAATTCCAACAGTTACTAAATTAAAAATTAGACACATACATTATTAATTTTAGTTAGCTGCTTATCTTTTTTATTTGTCAAGCAATTTCTACAAGTTTTCTTTATCTTATTATGCTTGAATTTTTAATTTACGTGCATTAAGCAGTTTAACAACTATTTCATTGCTAATGGTGGCTCCTTAATACCAAGAAGTACTAATAATTTCAGAAAGAGTTGGTCTTTATAATGGATCAAAAGCAAGCATAGAATTAATGAGAGTCTTAAGTTCATTAGAGAATCTTGGAATACCAGATTTCTCTTTATAAGCCCAAAATTAATCAAATCGATTTGTACAAATAAGATTATACAATTAATCTTTAGCATTTGCTTATTTAAATGGTAATTGAGCAGTCATCATTAGATATAAAATAATACCAGCAGCAAATATATCAACACTTTATCCAACATATTTTTATCTAACTAATATTTCTGGAGCCATATAACTAATAGTGCCTTTAAAAGATGCCAATACTCCATCTCCTTAATTTCCTCCAACAAATGTAGCAAATCCTAAATCAGATACTTTAAGTTGTCCATCTTTAAATAAAATATTTTCTGGCTTTAAATCTCTATGAGCAAGACCTTAACCATGTAAATATGATAAAACATCAATAAGTTAATGAAAGAATGTACGAGCAGTTTCTTCTTTGAATGGTCCAGTTTATGATAAGTATTCATACAATTCTCCATCTTTCATATAATCATAAACTAAACAAGATTTTATTTCTTTCTTTCCACTTCTTTTAGTGTATTCTTCATTCACATGAAAATTTAATAGTTTAATCAAATTTTTATGATTTAATCCTCTATGAATTTACATTTCTTTTTCAATTTCTTTTGAAAATTAAACAAATTTCAATGCTACTTCTTTATCTCCATCTAAACCTAATTTAACTCTAAGAAATAAAATGATTAATTACTTTCCTTAAGCTCCTTTGCCAAGAGTTTATTTGACTGTATAATGAGCATATTTTGCAAATGATTTTTCAATCTCCATTTTTATTTTATAAAAGAAAATTATTAATAATATTAATAATAATAATAATATAAAAATATATTTGCTATAATTATTATCAGATTCTCTAATGATATTAATTTAGTTCATAATATGGATTTTCTTCTGCTTCTATTTCAAATCCAGCAACTTCAATATAAGATTTATGATTTAGCAATAGATAAGAACTTAATATATAAAATATTATAAATACACTGATATTAAACAAATGAAAATTCCTAAAAGGCTAAGCATATCAAATTAATGTCCTATTTGTAATGCAGCACCACTCATATTTATAAGCATGAAAATAGCCAAATTCATTGATGGATATCCAATTTAAAAACCATGAAGAAATAATGTACAACATAATGGAAATAATACTCCATTAATAATCGAATAGGTTACTAATTCAACATTAAAAGTTCCAAATTTATGAATTGGATAATACAATCCTAATATTGTTATAGTGTAGATCATAACATATTGGGTTATTGTGTGTGTTCTTACTTTCTTGACTTTTTTTAAATTATGACCTATTATTACCATTGATGCTGCTCCAATCCATCCAAATAGTATTCCCAAAAATTAAAAAGTCCATTCAAATGTACAAAGTATTGCTCCAACAGATATTCCCTAACATTATTTATTTAAATCATACAATAAAACATATTAATTCTTTCTTTTAATACATTTCACCTAAAAGATGAGTTTCATTTATTGCTTATGCAATCCATCCTTTGATTAGAATGATTGAATAAAATGGCATAACATTATATTTATAACTAAGTAATGCACTTAAGACTAAGACTGCAAATCCTAAGCCAATTAAATGAATCTCTTGACTTACATAAACTTACTGTTAAGAACATAATTTTATTAAGCAATAATTAATCACTATACTACAACATAAAGTGATTGTGACATATTGAAATGGTTCAGCCTTCCTGAATTGAAATATAATTCATACCCCAATAACAATTCTCCAAATATGATATTGTTGCCCAAGTAAATCACAAAAATAATGGAGTAAAATATAGGAGCCAAAGTCTTTAGTTTATTGTCAATATGAAAAATAGTAATCATATACAAATCAACTTCTTAATTCATATATATTATATAATAATAATTCAAAATTTTATACAATTTTTTTCATAATCTAAATAGACTCAAATTCTCAATCTATCCTAATAATTAAATTTTTCCATCATATTCAATATGATACAGGTAACTTCCCATAAATTTATTTAGTAAGGTACTATATATATATTAGTAAAATCAACTAAAATTAAATTTTTTTTTTAATACCTTCCTTTATTTACTCATAATATAATAGTATTCTCAGCAATTTTAATTAAAAGCATTTAAATAAATAATTATTCTACGAGAAATATATAAATCTAAAAATATTAAATTAATAAGTAATTTTATAGAAGATAAACTTATATTCTCTTCTTATTGTAAAAAATTAATAATAAATTGTTTTTTTTACAGTGTTGATTGTCGATGATCTCTTATGGATCAATGAATTAAATTAATTTTCCATAATTTTACCTTTATTAATATAAAGGGATAAAATTGCTATCACATCCATACTCAATTATATAACCAAGAAGGTACTAATTTATATAATTCTGCTTAAATCTATGATTAAAACGATTAAAAGCATCTACACCAATATTGTTTATTATTATACTCACATCTCTTTCACCAACTTCTCACATTATTCTATCAAACAATTTATTATTTATAGATTCAGTAAAATCTGCTACTATGATGTGCGATTCTGTTTGTAATTATCATGCCACTCTATCTAATTTTGAAAATGTTCTTTGCAATTAAAATAATTTTAAATCCCTTGTATGAAAATTTTATTGCTAATTATTTTCCTATTTCATTTGATGCTCTTATGACCTATTTCCATATTTTGTTAAATTTGTACTTGGTAACATTAATTTCAATATTAAATATAAGACTTTTGTGCACTTTAGTAAACCAAATAATCCTAAAATATAAAGTAGAATTTGTAATTTTGGGTAATCCTTAATAAAATCTGAAATCATAAATAAATATATAAAATTTATTAATTATTTAGATGGTAAAATTGGTTTTATATAAAATAGAATTTTTGGTTTCTTAGAAAATACTTATTTAAATAAAAAATTGATCAATATTAAATTATGATAAATTTCTTTAATAATATATCAGACAGATATATCCGTCGATCTACTCCTTAACAAAGATCTAACAGTTTTGGTCACTAGATAGTTCCATTAACGACTAAATGTGTTATGAAATCCTTTCATTAGAAAAGATAATTTCTTTATAGAATATTTATAGAATTATAGAAGTTAACTGGACATAAAGGCATTCTGTAAATAAATAATCAGGCCTATAATAAGAAATACACTTTTTTTAAAAATGTTGATGAATTTTTCGAGTAAACACTATCCTCTACATTCTAAAAACATGTAGTAGACGCTGTTGTTTAATTATCAAATAAAATTAAAAACTAACCTTCTATTACAGATGACGATAAATAAGAGTTTATAAAAGGCTTAAAAAGTTAGGAGACATAAAGGTAGGATAGTTTATGTAAATAAAAAAAAAAAAAAGCTTAAGCAAAATTACTAGATATTTTAGAACAATAAGTGAAGGATGGAAATCAAAATATTTCAAAAGACATTGAAAATCAAATATAAGAAAGCATTAAAAATATCATAGAATATTTAGAGGAAATTTTTACTAAGGAGCAATGAGTAGTGATCTTTAAATAATTATAACATTTATAATTATTCATAACATTCTATTTTGAGATTCATATAATGTTATTCTTTAATTACAGTAATAAGAACTCTGACGCCATAAATGAGATCATTGACTTGCAAATATCATATAATTAATCTAACAAAATTAATTTTTTTATTATATGCTATCAGAAACAAGTAAGGAAGTATAAAAAGATTAAAATGTTGTACCACAATTAAATCAAACTCCAAGTAGCACATATTTTGTTTACAATTGTTACATTCCAGTAGTGTAAGATTACATGAGTCAGCCTCCTCCTTTATAGGTTAGGAACTCAAGTAAGAATGCAAAGTTAATTATTAAGGTGAGTCTTTTCCTCAGTTAATAAAAAACAATGATAGTATTCAATTGTCTCATTTGGCTCCTGGTGTTTCAATTCCAAGTTTTTAATTTGGAGCATCTACTCCTTTTGTATCACCAGATGATGTTATGAGAAATGTGTAGCCTACACAGAATCATTTTGCATCATTTATCTTGAATGAATAATTGAAGACACAGAATCAACCAACTAAAAATAGAATAATTGAAGGAACTTAAACTCTTTGTGATATAGAAATTGTATTAATATCGCGATATTTTGACATGAAAGCTCATGTAATGCAATTAATATTACAGAAAGGTATTTTGTCCTCCAAATAACAAGTATACTCTTAAAGAAGACACAAATATATCTAATGCTGAATGGTTAAAAGATCGTATGTTATTTCGCTATAAAAAACCTGTATGATATTGAATTTATTTAATTAGATTAAGGAGTCGTTTTCAGATATGATTGATTAATTGGAGAAGGAAGGAGAAATGAATTTTAAAAATATGGTTCATCCAGTAAAATTTGCTTAAGGAGGATTTGATAATATAGAGAGATAAGTGCCTAAATCAGTGAAAAGTGAGAAGCCATTTTCAGTTTTTATATTTGAAATACAACAATTAATTTCCTAGTTCCTATTCACTAAGTATTGAATTTATGAAAATATACTAAATTTTATATGTATCATTAAATTTAAGATCTACATGTTGGACAAGTAATATGTAACAATACCCATTTTATGAGACATTCCTTATGAAAACATGAGTAGAATGGCATTCCAATCCTACTAATTATTGATCTTATAGTAATTCCTCTCTGCAAATTACAAAATCTCCATTCCCTTCTAAATTAATCAATTTATCAGGGAATAATTAAAATCTCCTAATGATTTCCCTATGGTTCCTCTCTTTTATTTATTGTTGTTCCATTTACAAATCTCTACTCAATACATTATTATATAAGGATTTTGAACAACATCATTTAAATCATAAAATGTCATATCAAATCTGGATTCAAATGATTCTAGATGATTTAAATGAACTCTATTTGAAAACTTCTTAATAGCATAATAGATGTAAATCAATAAATAAATAATGAAGCAAATAGTATCATTAATCAAGTAAACTTCAATTTTATAAATTGATTTATCAACATATTTGAAATAGTATTTGAGATTGAACATCAAAAAAACTATTACACAAACAAATGATGATAAATAAACTATACATCTCAAATTCTTATTTATATCTGATTCATTATAAAAGTGTTTGTAGTATAACATAAAGGCATTTTAAAAGCAACTTATAAGATTTTAAATTACTTTGTTTATCATTTTCAGTAAAATCAAGAGATATAATTTTTTGAATATCATGGTTACATAATATATTATATACAGGTATATCTGTACATTTCTACATTTATCAAATCGAATTTTTCCTAAAATTTGAATTCCTCTAAGAATTTGTATACATTCTTTTCATAATTAAGACACAATAAATTTAAATTTTCTTTTTGGGCACTAAAAATTTCTTATTTAGCATTTTTTAATCCAAATAAATTTTCATATACAATATCAAAATCAGCAAATGTGAAATCATTTACTTAATTTAATACCTAACATTTCTGGATCAAATACACAACTCAAATTAATTATAGTGGTTAGAACCAAAAAATTGAAGTTGCTATAAGAAACTATCTCATTTTTTTAACTAAGTTGCTATTATGAATTTAAAATAATATTCTTGTAAATCCTCATTTGATCCATAACTAGTGCTAACATATTATTAGTATTAAGTCAACATTCTTTGTGCCTCATAACAACATTTTTACTTTGTATTCATTTATTATAATTAAAATTTTCATAATGATCAGAATCCTTCAAAAATTATCTTCTTAAGTACTTCTAAATTATATTTTTCATGATCTTTATTAAAATTCCTTTTTGAAAAATATCACAATGTATTTACATCAATCTTAGAATTAAAAACTTAATAACAAGCTAAATCCTTTAATATAATATAATCAATACCATTAATTCTTTAAATGTCAATATTCATATATACTAACTTAATCAAAAATCGCTAAATAATCAATATCATCTATCATTTTAATTTCTAATGCCTAAATGAACATACTATTTAAGTATATATCAATTTATAATGATATATAAATGAAAATGAATTTTAAAAAATTTAAGTATTTATAATATGAGTTTAATTTTATCAGCATTATTTATTCTTAATACTAATATTATTTAATTCTGAATTCATATTTGAGTATAACAATATTATTATATAATTGTATAATTTCAAATTAGAAATAATAATTATATATATACAAAAGATGTTCTAGTTCTAATTCAATTTCTTAATTAATAATTATGAATAATAAGTAATAATATGGATTAGATATAAAAATGATACTTTTTATTTTTGATTAATCACTTATAATCATTTTGGGAAATCTTTTTAATATATTCCTCTTGATTATTCAATTTCTTTGATATTATTGACATTAAAGTAAATATTCATAATATTATGATATTATCCAAAGTCTAAGCCAAATCTAGTCTAAGCAGAATCAATTTGACAATAGATCATAATGTCTGCTAGTGTTAATTAGTCACCCACACTAAATCTACCTCTTGTTCTTGAAATACTTTTCTCTAGATTGCTAATACCCAACATGTTCCAATGAGTCCATTAATCCTTCCATTCCAATTTCTTCTCTGTATGTGAATTAATATATTGTTATATGCCCAAATGTTAAAATGGCTGAATTGATGAATTGATGTATTCAGCTATAGCCCTATAAAGGATAAACTAAAAATATATACCTAACTTGAGTCCTTTAAATCTTATCCTTAGGTAAGATTGGTTTTTCAGGATGTACCTCTTCTAAGTATTCTGCAATAGCTAAACTTTCAATTAAAGCTTGTCCTTCTGGAGTGATCAATGCTGGAATTATTTGACGAGGATGTATTTTTTTATATTCTTCTGACAACTACTCTTTTTTAAGGAAATTGACTGAAACTTAAGTGTATGGTAACTTCTTATAATTGAGAATGCTCCTTATACGCTATGTACAGGATGACATAGCAAATCCATAAAGTGTATAAGACATAAATTAATTAATGAGTTTATCTGATCTGTTGGTAGATTATGGTGAGAGTAGTCATTCTTAATTCGGTAAGTCTCTGAATAATCTATTAGAAGATCAAACAAAAAAGTAATTTACTGGACCTGCGAAATTTGCTACAAAAATAGATCCACTCTAAGAAGGAGATTATACTATAAAACCACCATCAATGACTAGTTTTCATAAAGTAACCGATAACATTCATCCTTCATTATCACCAAATTCAGGAATGATTTAGTTTTCTCCAAAGACTTCTATAATTGAGGAGAAAAATTTAATGAATCCTTAAAACAAGGAACAAATCAAAGAGATTGGTTAGACAACTGCAATGACATAGAAAGAAGGCATGAATAATTTCATTAAACTTGTATTGGCTAAAAGCTACTTCAACCGTTTTGTTGAGAATATGCTTTAAAAATCTTATGTTAAGAAATTGTCTCATTTCAACATTTATTAAAATACAATGTTGGATGATCTAAGATATATTGATTCAAAACACAAGATCCACAAGAATCTGATTAGTAAGATTTGTAAGAAGCTTAGATTTGTACCAATCTTTGATTAAAGCAGCTATTTAGTTATAGGATGGCAATTGTTACACATTTTGACAATAATCATAATATTTTTTTGGACTCCATTCAATATATCCTTTGGAATAACATTTGATTAAGTAGTATTTGGTACATTGACAGTTAGAGAAGTGGAATTCTATTTTTTATTTTCTATTGTCGTAGATGCATTCATTGTTATAAATACTTCTTATATTGAAAAAGGAATCATCATCAAATAGAGAGGCAAAATCTTTATTAATTATGTTAATACATAAGGAATTTATGATTTAGTAAATGATATCTTATAACCAAGTGTTCATTTGCATCAATGTTAGTTGCCCAATAATTTAATGTAGATAGTTCAAATGAAAAAATAGGATGGTAATTGATACCTTACACAATTTATTATTGTAGTAGATAATTTAAATTACAAGCCCGAGTGCATAAACTAGAAGAGTATTAATTAACATTATTATATAGATTTTTTAACTTTTCAGGATGGGTATAAGATCTCATAGAATTAATTAAACTCTTATTTATGGTAGTTTATGTTGGTCATCTCTTTGCTTGTTTATGGCATGGAGTGGCCTTCTATTAAATAGGATTCAGAAAGACTTGGTTAGAAACCTATGATGTTGCTACTTAAGATATTTTTACAAAATATAATTATGCATTTTATTGGTCTGTTTAAACAATGATTACAGTTGGATATGGAGATTTAACACCTTAGAATAATTATGAGAGATTATGTGCCAATATGAGTATGTTTTTAGCATGTGGTGTATTTGCCTTTTCATTTAATAGTATTGGTCTAATGTTAAGTAATCTAAATTCAAGATAAGTACTTTATAAACGTAGTACCAATCTATTGAATTCTTTTTTAACTAAAAATTAAATTAAAATTGAATTGCAATCCAGAATCAGAAATTATTATGATTACATTTTTTAAGAAGAATAGGAAATAAATGATGAAGAAGTGTCATAAATTACAACAAAGTTATCCAGTTCTCTTTAAGAAGAATTAAATTTTGAAATTAGATTTAATGTAATGAAAACAAACAAAGTTTTAACTAAATTCTCTTAGAAAACATTAAGACAACTTTCTTTACTTATTGAGGAAGTAAGATATTCCCCTGAGGATTAAATTTTACTATAAGGCACTCAAGATGATTGTTCTCTATATATAATTACTAAAGGAACAGTATCTGTGTTATTTCAAGATGAACCTTAAGGTAGGAACACTAGAGTACTTTCTTATTTAGAGAAAGGAGAATCCTTTGGTGAATATTCATTTTTTACAGGACTCAATAGATGTGCATCAGCAAAAAGTATAGGTTTTTCAAGAGCTTACAAAATCCCTAGATAATCTCTATTAACTGTTTTATAAACCAATTAAATTGATTTAGTATTAATAAAATATATTTTAGGAACGTTTTTGTGAAGTGAGAGATTCCATATTACTAGGTGAAAATTATTAGCCTGCAAAATTAAGTTGTTATTCGTGCAAAAAGTTTAATCATTTAATTAAAGATTGTCCAGTTCTTCATTATGTACCTGACAAAGAGAGAGTAATTAAAAAGGAATACTTTCCTTTTTGTTAAGAAAGAAATTTAACATACAAGAGAAAAAGGACTGATCGCAATTATTATGCTACTTTGTTAGAGATGAAAAAGACAATTGCATATATAAGAGACTTTTAGACAAGAGAAAATTAAGCAGATAATATTACTATTATGGATGAAGATTTGGATGTTTCTTATGAAGAAAATGATGGCTCGCCTAATGAATAAGATTATTGTAAATTTATGATTATTATATTAATTAGCTTCTCTTTCCAAAAGTTACTCCAAAATATCAAGATAATAATCTTAAAATAGATCTTATTCTTAATATGATAATAATAACAATAATAATACTAAAAATCTATAACCTATATAAGAAAGTGATGATTCAGCAGATAGTCCTAGTCCAAATAAAAGAAGAAATATGTAGATTAAATAAACACTTTAAACTGCTGGATTTGGAGCATAAGATTCCTTTTAAAATAAAATAAGAAATGATGATTAGGATTAAAATCTTACTAGTTTTGGAAATGCCACTCCTTCAATAAAGGATGAAAATAGATATACTATAAAAAATGATTCACTTGTTTTACCAAATTAAATAGATATATAAGCAAGAATGAATAAAAAAAGAATTACTTTAGTTAGAAAATAAAAGAGAGAAGAATCTTATAAACCATTTTCATCCTAAACTAAATTAGATATTAATTAAGAGAGAGAAAAATCATTACCAAAAAAATCAAAAATGAAAGATCCTTTGATTGATATTCCAGTTATTCCTTCTATCTAATCTGTAGAGCATAAAAGAGATTCAATTGATAGGAAGGATGATAGAAGAGATTAAAAAAGGAGAACTACAAAAACAAAAACAAATAGAAGTAGAACTGCTAAAACACATAAAACAACCAAATTAGTTCAAGAAACTCCAACTTAAGAAATTTCTATTCCAGTTTTTGAAAGATAGGCTATGTCTATGGAATTAGAAGATTTTGAAGTATTAAAGAACTTTTCTCATTATTTCAGTTGGAATAATGCCAAAGTTGTTGTTGCAAGAACTATGAAGATTTTATTAAAGAATCTTGAAAAAAGAAGATAAAATGTTCTTTAATTTTCATTTTATACATTCAATTCATTAGCAATAACTAAAATATCAAGAATAAAAAGAAAACTTAAATTAATGTAATTAATATATATATTTACATTATTTTAGAGAGGATCCACCTTTAGAAAAAAAGTCTGTTCATCCACTAAACAAGACAATCAAAGGAAGAAGAACAAGTAAGAGAAGTACATAAGCTGATGATATAACTGGATTGTTTTAGAAGAAACCTCAATTTGGAACTCAAATATAAGTATTATAAGGAATTTCACTTTCAAGATTTAGTCGAAATGATTTAGACTTTAGATGAATTAATAAATATAATCTCTAATATAATTAAAGTATAATATGATATAATATATATGTTGATTGTTTGAGTAATTGAAGATAGAATCTAATAAGGATTATATTAACCAAAAAGTTCTATATGATAATCAAACAACACGGATTTTTCTTTATGATTTAGAATATATTATAGTTTAGATTTATTGAAAAATTAAAATAATAATTTATATTAAACAATTTCGGATTAATACTAATGGAAGAAGTATGAAAATAATATATAGATAGGATTTGCATTTTAAGATTCAAATGTAGGAGATGCCAACAGCTCCTCCTAAACCATTAATATAAACATCAACAGATGAACCAACAAAATTGTCTGTAGCCTCAAATTCAGAATCACTTCCTCTTTAAACATCAAATTATGATTTAAATCGTGCATCTCATCCTAAGGCATGCATTTTTACATGTCTATTCAAAGCACTTGCATTAATATTCTATCTTATATTTGGTGAAAGCATTTGGTCATTCATATTGGTGATTATTTTTTCAGCATTTGACTTTTGGACAGTTAAGAATATAACCGGAAGGTATTTATATTATTATTAAATTTAGATTATTAGTTGGTTTAAAATGGGAGAATATCATTATGGAAGATGGAACTTCTAAATGGGAATTCTACTCTATTCCAAATAAATAAGTAAATGCAGTTGATAAAACATTTTTTTGGACTGCCCAATTAGGATTTACTTTGGCTTGGGCAGTGTTTACTTTTTCAAATATGGTCTCATTTACATTAATGAAAGTATTTAAAATTGTTAATTTAGTTTGTGATAGATGTAATAGGATTATCATTATGTTGGACAAATCTATTTGGATACTATAAATGTAATGGAGATCATAAAAAGAAAATGAAAGATTTGTAAGGTGACATAACAAGCAAAGTAGTTACTTAATTTGTGGGTTAAATGATGTCTAAATGAAAATAATTATATGTATAATTATAAATAATAATTGTTTTGGAAATGGATACATATACAATTATGATAGTAGCCTTGATATTAGGATTTGGTTATTTCATATATAATGTGATAGCTTGCCATATGAAAAAATAAGATTATTCTGAATTAGATGATGAAGAAGTAAACCATTTATGAAGTATACATAAAATCATTCGTTTTTTACTTTTTTTTCAATGAAATCGCTTAAATCACTATCCTCCTCATCTTCACTATTAGATTCTTCTTCCTCATTGCTATCATCAGAACAAAGAGCAGATTCTTCATCTTCTTGACTCACCTCTTCTTGTTCCATATTAATTTAGGTTTCAATTTCAAGTTGTTTTTTCTCTTATTTAGGTTTAATATATATCTATCCATATTAATCTTTTTCATCTAAAACTTTAAGATTAGGCAATATTTCAAAAGCATATTTTCGAACTTCAGAATCCTTACAATAATGAATAAATAATATACTGGTTTATTAATTCCATTCATAATATTGAGAACCTCTAGTTTTTCCAGAGATTTAAGAGAATCTAAATCTGTAAGGTCTCTTAAAAAATTCCCTCCAGCAATTAATATTTCAAGATTAGGAAAAGCTTTTGCAATTTATTACAAAGTTTTTGAAGTAGTAAAGTTGTCTAGATACTCAAGTTGAGTAACAGAATTCATTTATTATAAATTTTCAAGTGATCTAATACCACATTAATTTAAACTAAGGATCTCTAGATTAGTAAATTTATGTATTTCTGATACAAATTCATCTGGTAATTTATTGAGCTAAAGATTATTAAATCTGAGTTGTTTAATTTCAGAGTAAGTTTGTGTTCCAATTTATTTTTTCAATTTTTACTACCAACTCATTAAATTAATAAGGGAAAATTTATTGTTGCAATATTTATGTATATTGAAAATTTCAAAATTTGCCTTAGTTTGAAATCAAACTAAGAATTTCATCTCCACAAGTTTCATCATATCTTTATTCTTATTTTATAGCATTTAATGCTTAAATAAGTTGAGTTATTTGATACTATGTAAGATTGAGTTCTTGTATTTACTCATCTGTCATTTACATAAGCTTCTTCTCTTATATTTTGAAACCTTAAAGAATCTTATAGATATATTCTCCCTAAAATTGATTTAAATAAAATACTTCATTTAATTTCAAAATTTCTTCATAGAGTTTTTTCGAATAAGTAAGATAAGAATTTGTTTGAACATTATTTTATACCTTCATTGTTTAATTGTTACCCATAAATTGTTTTTAATCTGGAGTAACAGGAGCAGTACGAGGTTTTTTTTGAGATTAGAATTATTATTAAATATTGTGTTTTTTCTTTTATGTCTTGGAACCATCTGAAAAATCAGAACCTCTTCTAGATTAAGTATCTGAAGTTTTAGTATTAGTAATAGATTATTAACAAAATGGTTATCCAATTTCCATTTTCTCTCTACTCAAATAATCTTGAGGAATATAATTGGGTATTATAGGTCCTAAATAATTTGATTTATTTTTATATGGTTGTCTTTTAGCTTCCACATGAATATTAGGTTCTTCAATAATCCAAGAGTTTTCTCCAATTTACTTACGCACCCTAAATAATCAACATTTTATTTACCTTTTGTCCTAATCAGAATGAAAGAAAGCACATTCTCCTTATCTTTTGATGCAATTCTACTATGTACAAGGTTTAGTCTTATAGATTAATGGATGGTATTCATACTCCTTCCATCCATGACAATATTTACAAGCTTCTTAATCTGGACAGCCACCCTTATCATAATTTAAAATTTGATTTGTTTTATTCCAATGAGGACATTCTTTAGGTTATTATATTTTTGGATCTCTTCTAAAATCTTAAGCATTATGAGCATAAACACAAGATGCCCTATCATGACTATTAATATATATAATAAATATACTTGACTGTATGAGGACACCATACTGTTTTATATTAATATATCCAAAAATTTTTATCTTAAACCATACCATCCAATTTTACTGGAATAATTAACTCTTATTCAGAATGAGCAAATGAACAATATACTCCATATTCACAATCCTTTAAATGAGTGCAATATTTTGTTTTATATCTATTTGGATGATAGACTTGTTCAACTTTATTATGAGACCATTAGCACTAATCTCCTCTTGGGCATTTATTAGCTTATGGACACAATTAGCATCTATAAATTAAAAAAAATAAATGTTATTCCTTTTTTACTAGTATGAATGCTATTTAACATCACGTCTTCGATCAGATTCATCATGAAAAAAAGGGCAAAACTTTTTTTGATCTATTTAATGTTAACTCTCACACTTAAGAGTTTTAAATTAGTGATGATTGATGTGTACCCTTATTTGACAATTTGGATTATAAGCATCCAAATTTGTAAGAGATGATTCATGAGATCGGACTCTTCTGCTACCAAGCATTCGTTAATAATCTATTTATTATAATAAATTATGGACCCCTCATCATCATAAACATATATAAAATAACATCCATAAGACAATTCAAAATCTAATGAAAATAAAGATGGCTCTCAAACTCAAATCAAATCTTAAACCAATTTTAGAAATGGATAAGAAAAAAACGATATTGGGTAATTTAAAGACAGTGAACTATAAACTATAGAGTTTATTGCTGATAATATTAAATATCAATTAGATCCAAGGTATATGTTATGGTCTACTGAATTATTAAAACAAGATAAACCTTAAGATCAAAATGCTTACAATTATTAACAAGAAAATCAATCAATTAAGAAGAAATCTCATAAATTTATGGATCTAAAGAAACTTTATGAACACAATAAATCCACAATTGAAGGTCTAAATAAAGAACTTAATGATCTTGAATTAGCTAGACAAAAGACTTTATAAAGACTTTATGAAGTACGTTAAGAAAAAGAAAGAATGCGTAAGATTTTTAAAGTTGAAAGAACAAAAACTGAAAACTTAAAAGGGTGCAAAGAGAGATTGGATAAACTAAAAAAAGAATTAGGTTTTTGATTATTTATGCTATTTCTTTTAATATCAATTGCTCTAGCTTAATAACTTGAGTATTTTACCGATGCCAACTTTTAAAAACGAACTCTCATATCTAAACACTATGTAGTCTATGATTGGATCATCGGATTTTGTGATCAGGAATGTCCTAATGAAACAATTTCTATAATAAATTCTTTTCCAGATTCATATTAAAAAGGGCTTGTGAATCTTTCAACTAATCAATGGATTAAAGATAATATTGCTCATAAAGGTATTTGGATTTATTATATGAACAACACTATGTGTGAGTATAAGAATGGAAATTGTGATTAATATTTTCAGGTCCCTTAAAAATATAACATCCCAAAAGTTAATTTCTTTGAGTCTAGAATGGTAATTCTATTTAGAATATATTTTAGATTGTCATTTAAATAGGATGTGTTATTTTAGTAATATTTTACATAATGGCATTCTTTGATTTAAAAAAGAGATTTTGGGATACAAAAAAAAAAGTAAAATCATCATGAAAGTATTTTATTACATATTTTAAATGTTCATGATCATTCATATATTCTTTTCATTTTTAAATTATTTACTTATAAAATACATCTTAATTAAATAGAGTTATTTGAATTATTGAATAATATTATCAATTCTAAAATATAGAATAAATAATGATCATTAATTTTTTGCTCTTTGCAATAGATTATTTAATTTGTTTAATCTTTCATCAATACTATGCAAATCTTCACAACTTTATTCCATTTTACTAGAAGGAGTAGTTATAATTGTATTTTCTTTATTTCTTTCTCTTAAATCCTTTAATCTTTTTAAAAGTCTTTATTCTTCTGGATCTTCTAACTTTTTTGATTCATTAGTTATATTAACTTTTTATTTTTTGAATAAATTAGAATTTGATGATTTTAATTTTTAAGATGTTTTACGAGAAGAGTTTGATCTTGCAGATGGACTTTGATCAATTCTTTTTGAATTTGATTTACGTCTAAAAGAGGATTCTGTATCACTATCGAAACTCTCTTTTCTAATCTAAATATATAAAAAATTAATTATACTCTAATTGGAGTTGTTTTCTCAACACTTTTCTTTTTAGATAATACTTTATTAATACTACTAGAAACCTTGAATTAATTAGAAGATTTAGAAGTTGAAGGAGATCTTGAAATATTAGATTATAATTTTGTTTTAGATCTTGTTAAAGTTTATTATAATTCCTATTCTAAAGATGAAATCCTTTATTTATTTTTTTTATCTTAATTTTTTAATTAATGATTTTCATCTACTATTTATTAAAGACAATCTTCTAATTCAATCACTTTTTTAGTTATTTCTTAATTGGTATTTTCACTTTACAAATATTTTGATCTCAATTCAATATATTCCTATTTATTCACTGTTGTTGTAGATTATTAATGTACTATGTTTTTGAGTTCTAAAATATCTCTATCTTTTTATTCTAATAGATTTTTAAAAAATTCAATTTCTTTATTTTATTCATTTATCACTTCCAAAGGATTAACTTCATTTTTCTTTGATTCTAATAGTGTTGATAATTATTTTGCTTATTATTCATTCTCCTTTCTTAATCTTATTATAGTATTTTTCATTTATTAAATGTTAGGCTGCTCATTAAAATTAAGAGGTAATGGATAATGAACTTTATCAAATTCAACAATATAACTAAGAATCAAATAACGTTTATTATTTGGGATTAGACCTTATTATTATTAATTTTATTTTGGTCTTTTGTTTTTTATTTGTTCCAGATCTTAAAATGTAAGAATATCAATATAGACAGAATCTGTTTGATTTTTAATTGCAGATTACAACATCTTTATAAATGTTGGATATTTCTTATAATTCCCTGTTTTTGATGTTATTTCCTCAATATAGGATGCTTGAAAATTTGCAATCCAAGAATCACCTGATTATTTTGATTCTACATCTATTGTCAACATTTCATTATTAGCATTAATATTTATGATGTAAGTGATATCATGAAAGTTTCTTTCCACATTTATATCAAGGAGATCTTCCATTTGAAATTATAATTCAGTTAAATAAATTAATCAGATTTTTAAATTCATTAAATAAATTATCCTTCTCAATAATTGATATTTCATTATTCAATAATATTCAAATAAATATATCTAATATAATGTTTTAATATCTATATATATATTCTATAATAAAAAAGAGATTATTTTTACATACTAATAACATGTTTGATTAAGAATTTTACAATTAGTCCATTCTTTAATTAAGAAAAGGTATACTTAATGCTATTTAGAACTATCTTAAATTATATTATATTGGAGGTATGAGATTTGAAAATAAATGATATTATTATGCTGTATGTTATTAAATTCTTCCAAATTAAAAAAATTATACACTTATGATAATTTAAAATAAAATTTTTCATTTGCAATGAAATGAATTTATTAGTATTGGTTATTGTACAATAAGTAGATAAGATTTAAATGATGTTCATAAAAGTGTCAGCTAGTTCCTTTTTTAAATTTATTAAATTTAGAATTTTAATCTTTAACATGAAAGATCATAATTTTATCTTATTACATTCAATAATCAAACACATCTATATTATAATAAAGTAAAATTTAATGGCATTAAATAATTATGACATGGAAATGTAAAGGATATGTAAATAATTAATTCATGCTAACCTAATCTAACTTTAGGAAGTATAGAAGAGGTAATAGAAATTGATAAAACAATGAATAATGTCTAATAAAAATGAACTTAATTAATAAATATATTAAATGTTTTCTTTTAAAATCAATTGAAAAGTGTTTTTCAATATGAATTATAATTAAATATATTGTAAATGCTCTTCTATTAGATTATTGAATATTTATATTGATTATAATGAATAGACTTTTTTTGATAATAATAAAATGATCATCTCCTACTTTTATATTGTGTTTTCATATTTTTAGAAATTAGTTTAGAATAATAATATAATTAAAAATTTAAAAATTAAAAAAAAAAAAAGAACCGCCCTCCAAGGGGGTCGAACCCTTGACATTTGGCTTAAAAGGCCAACGCTCTGACCAACTGAGCTAGGAGGGCTAGCTTGATAGTTATTGTTAATGAATTTAATAAATAGACAGGTATTGATCATTAAAACTTTAATTCATTATCAAATGATAATTCTCTGTAACTGTAATTCAAAGATCGACTGCTAAGACGACAACTATTAATTTTTTTGATCATTGAATTTTGAGTTTATAAGAGGGCTAATAGTATATTAGACAATAATTACTATTTAAAAATTATTCTTGCATTTAAGACAATATTTTCATATTTTCTTTAATATGATCTAACATGTGAGAATGTTATTTATTTTCATAGGTTAATGCTAATTCTTGCAAAGATTGATGAATTTAACTAAGAGTATGGGTCCATTGTTCTTCTGATTATTTTTCTTCAAAAGATTTCCAAATAATGAAGAGAGTTACAACAGTAAAATAAATGAATATAAAAATAATTTCCATAAAATTATTTATTATTAAATAATGTCATTTGTTTGTTGAATTGATTTAAAAAATTTTAATGTTGAGTGCTTCTGATATCTATCTTGCCATATTGTAGAGGAAATGAATATGTATTAAAAAACTTATTATAGCAGCAAATTAAATTAAACATCCTTCATCAATAATGGTTTTTCCAAGTATTTATCCAGAAATTGTATTTAGTAAAATGATTATATAGATGTAAATTGAATTTAAATATTCTGGTAAGTTTTAATTACTGACATGATTAAGAGCAACAACACCAACTGCTTTTGACATAGTGAATCCAACAGTATACATATAGGCTCTCACATGATCTTAAATTACATTAGTCTGTGTAAACAAAATGCTATACAGAATTACAGTATTAAAAAAGAAGAAATATCTTAGTTACTTTAATAAGGAAGCTATAGATGTAAACTTTTTGATCTTTAGAAAACTAATATGTTAGAATATATATATTTTACACTGCAGGCATAGTTATAATAACTGATATAATGAACATAAGCATAACAAATTGGTTGATTTGATAATTAAAGAACCATGGCAATTTTTACAACCACATGTCGCATCCTAATTAAGTGTTGATCAATACCATAGTAGGCAGTTGCTGCAAAGACTACAGCCACACTAATTGTACCTTCTGCAGCAGCATTAATTATTGGCAAATTCATTTCATGTGTATAATATTCTTCATGTGCAATGATATAGAATGGCACAGAGGGAATTATGTAGAGGATGACAGAGAAAATTGTATTGCCAAATTACATTGCAGTAGTCATACTTGTGCCTATTAGAAGAACATAAAAGCAAGATCAATACCCTATAATAAGATGATCATAGAATCAAAATTGTGATCCAAAATCATTCCAAGAGGTGAGGAATTTTCTTATAAACATTTATTTTATTTTTACTTGTTCTCCTTGCTTGCTTTCCATCCAAATTGTCAAAATTCTTCTTAAAATACATATATTACCATATATAACATATGCAATAAAGCTGTTAGCCACAGCAACCAATTTGGTATGAATCCCGCAAAGTTGTCACCCATCACAAAAAAGAAAAGTATATGTGGTAAGATAATGCATGCCAGTCCCATTAATGTTAATACATTAGGTCTAATAATAAAGGTTGATTCAAATTCAAATACGCAACATTCATAGGTACAAATCTTAGACAAAATTCAGCCAGAGGTGAGAGTATGTAATTGTATAAGAGTGACTGATCTGTGCCCTTATAGCGATAGCTCTTCAAGTAATGTAAATGAGTTGGAGCAATAAAGTCGTAGTTGAGGTATTTCATAAATTAAAATTATTTATTTTAACTTGTTCACACATCCATACAATCATTTGAATTTTCTTCATTCTCCTTTGTTTATATTTTCACTCTCCATTTAAATAATAATACTAAATAGATTAAAAGAGAGAGAGAAAATCAAAAATTTATTACCAACAAATGAAAATTTGATTGTTTTATTAATTTTTTAATATATGATTGTATAAATTAATTCATTAATATTAATTTATGTCAAGCACTTACTTGGAATAGGTGAGAGCAGCATTTTCTTAGATAGAAGTTATTGAAAAGACAATAGTATTTTGTATGCAAAGCAAATAAGTGATTCCAAATTAGTCTGTTTTGTTGGATCATAGAATCCATAACTTAATTTAAATGGCACAAAAAACAGCAGCTGATGCATTGATATTGATTGATGGTGCTGATGGTTGGAAGAAAGAAGAAATGAATTACTTATAAGGAGTTGGAGGATCAGGAGATGTATGGGAAAACTTCTATGAAAGATTCAAAGAAATAAAAGATTATCATAAAAGAGTCACTAATGTTTAAACTATGCAAAATAAAGTATAATATATTAAATAAATATATTAATAGGTTGAATTTTACTATGAATAAGCATTTGCACCACCATTTAAAGAACCTTATTTTTCTGGAGAAGAACATCATGGTAGATTTCTTGATATGCATGCTAGCTATAAGGAATTTTTGAATCTTAAAAAGTTAAAGGAAAGTAACAAGATCAAAATTGGGGATTATTTGTGGTATTTGCAAAATTTTTAAAATTTTCATGACATTCCACTCTATATTAAAGAAAAAGAAGGAAGTAAATATAAGAGATACCTCATCAATATGTTAGAATATATGCGTAGTTTTTATTAAAGAGTAGATCATTAATTTATTTTAGGTAAATCCATTATAAGATGTTAGCAAGATTGAATAAAAAATAGATATTGATTTTTAAACTTAATGGGAAAATGGTTAAGTAAAAGGTTGGGAACATAGAAAAGAAGAAACTGAAGAAATTAGAGGACATCCTCATTATTGTGAAGCTTGTTAAAAGAAATTCTAAAATGAAAATACATTTGTCAATCATTTTGATGGTAAAAAACATAAAGCATTGGCTAAATTAAAAGAAAAATAAATAGAATAAGTTATTTAATCTATCAATTAAGAAGAATAACCAAAAGAAGATAATGAAGGATAAAAGAAAAAGAAGATGGCTTATTTAGAAGTGGCTATTTTATAATATAAGGATACTTTACAATAATAATTGAATGATACAATGAATTTAGTAAGAAAGAAATAAAGTAGAAGATATGAAGAAAATGAAGATGATGAAGCTGTTCCAGTTTAAGATTAATAATTAGGTTTATATTGATAATTATAAAATATAGATTAACCAGAAGAAGCTAGTAGTGAAGATGAAAGTCCTATATATAATCCAAAGAATTTACCATTAGGATGGGATGGAAGACCTATTCCATATTGGTTATATAAATTACATGGTTTGGGTGTTGAATATAAATGTGAAATATGTGGTAATACATCATATTGGGGAAGAAAGGCATTTGAAGATCATTTTCAAGGATGGAGACATTCTTATGGTATGAGGTATTCTATTTTATTAATGTTAAAGATGTTTGAGAATACCAAATACTTTACATTTTAAAGAAATCACTAAAATTTAAGATGCCATCAGTTTGTACAAAAAAATATAACAGGATCAAGAAAGAAGCAAATTTAGACCAGAATATGAAGAGGAATATGAAGATACTGATGGAAATTTGCTGAATAAAAAAACTTATTATGATTTAAAAAAATAAGGATTGTTGTGAAAATATAAGCAGTGATATAAGTTAACATATAAAAAAATATTTCTGGTTTTAATGAATCAGTGGAAATTTGTTCGTAATGCTGTTGGATTGTTTGGTTCTGCAGTTCATGAAGGATAAACAAAAACAGGAACAGAATTGGCACCTAGATCACTCAGAGAAGGTGGTCTCATATCAGCCTTATATAATTTGGGCTGGGAAATTAATGATATGGGAGATATCTAAGGTAAAAATTACAGACTTCACAATACCAAAAGTCAATCGTTTCGTAATAGTCTATAATTAGGTGTTATCAATGGAGAAATTAACAAAAGATCATATGATATTGCTAAACAAGATAAGTTTATGTTAAATATAGGAGGAGATCATAGTGTAGCTAGTGGATCAATCCATGGTTTATTATAACATTATGGAGATGATTTAAGAGTTGTTTGGGTTGATGCTCATGCTGATTGCAATTATCAACTTGGACCAAATAGAAATTATCATGGAATGCCATTAGCTCATTTATATGGATCCATTTAAGAACCAGTTAAAGGTTTTGAATGGTTAAAACACAGATTGGATCCAAAAAACATTACATATGTTGGTATTCGAGATATAGATCCAATGGAAAGAGAATTTATACGTGATTAGAAAATAGTATATTATGGAATGGATGAAATCATAGAATTGGGAATAGGATAAGTAATGAATAGAATTCTTAAGCAATTTGAAGGAAAACCTATTCATGTCAGTTTCGATGTTGATTCAATAGATCCTGAATTTGCACATGGAACAGGTACACTTGTAGATGGAGGAATCTCATATAGAGAAGCTCACTATTTACTTAGAAAATTGGCATCATCAAAATAATTAGTAGGAATGGATTTGGTTGAAGTAAATCCTTAATTAGAAAAGACACCTGAATTTAGAGAAGAGTTTTTCGGTGATTTTTAATAAGTATGATAAATAACTATAATTAGATTGGTAGAATACAAGGAACATAAACTGTGGCTTTAGGAATTGAACTAATAGCTTCTGCATTAGGTAGAACACTTGTCTTATGATTATTGTATGTATATAAAGTTAATATAAGTAAGAAATTAAATTTTATTTATGAAATTTATCAATATAAAATTATTTTTTGTTAATTATTATTAATTAAATATCTTTCATTTAAATATTTTCTTGCATAATTAGAATTCTAAAAAAATGATATATTATAATTATATCACTTAATTAATACATAAGAATAAATCTGTTTATTTTTATTTATAATATGAAAAACATAATAAATTTCATAATTTCTAATTTTATTACATTGTTTATAGTTTAAAATTTCTATATTTAATTAAATAGATTTAGCAACTACTTTCAAAACAATTAATTTTCAATCTATAAAGGAATATTTTAAGAAATTTTTTATATCCAAAAATTATAAAAATTTATGTTTAAAAAGTCAAATAATATTGATAGATTAAAGAATATCTTGACATATATAATTACAAATATACAAACTTATTCAATAGAGAAAAATATAGTTTATAATAAAATTTAAATTGAATTACATTCATCATATTCTAAACCGACCAATCATAAGACAGAATTATTTATTTTTATAATGTTAATTAGACTTGTAATAAATTCAAAAATAAATTAAGAAATAAATAATGGCTAGAACTAAGTAAACTGCAAGAAAGAGCACTGCTGGTAACAAAAAGCCCACAAAACATTTGGCTACCAAGGCTGCAAGAAAGACTGCACCAGCTGTTGGAGCAACAGGAGGTTTGAAAAAGCCACATAAATTCAGACCAGGAACTGTTGCCCTTAGAGAAATCAGAAAATACTAAAAATCAACAGAACTCTTAATTAGAAAACTTCCATTCTAAAGATTAGTCAGAGAGATTGCACATGAATTCTAAAAGGAACTTAGATTCTAAAGTTCAGCTGTTTTAGCACTTTAAGAGGCTGCAGAAGCTTATCTTGTTGGATTATTTGAAGATACAAACTTATGTGCAATTCATGCTAGAAGAGTCACAATTATGTCAAGAGATATCCAATTAGCCAGAAGAATCAGAGGAGAAAGATTCTGATCAATTAATATTAAATTCAATTAAAATTGATACACTCTTAATTTTTGTAAAATTATTTAGTATAAATAATAATAAGATAATTCTGAACAATCATTTAATATATGCAATTTTATATTTTCTATTTATGTATTGTAATTCTTATCAAAATAGCAAATTCAAATTTTTATTAATAATAAATGAATATAAAAAACTCATTTAATTTTTGAATATATTTACTTTTTCTTAACTACTTTTTAAGTTTGACTTTAAGGTTTAGTACTTTTTTTAGAGACAGAGGATTATGCCCTTGCGGATTTTCTATTTGATTAAGGTGTATCAAGTATTTTTGATTAATTCATTGGTTAAAGATTCTCTTTTGATGAAATATTTAATTTAGATGGTTTCAATATAGACTTTTAAGCAGGGGGAAGTTATTCAAAGCTTTAACTTATTGATGTAGGCATAGGAGGTTTACAATCAGATTTATGTATTGAAGATCGATTTAATTTTTCAATTGATTTTCTATCTGTATCACAATTTTTAGTTTCTTTTCTTTCAGATCTCTCTGATTTTAGTGTATTTTATATGGATTATTATTTTCCACTCAATAAATTCATATATTTTTCTTCGATTTTACTTTTCTCTACTTACAATTTTGCATTCCTTTCCTCTAATTAATATATTTATTCACTTAAGACTCTAGTTCTTTCTTCAACAAGATGATGTACATCTTATTATGAACTTTATTGTCTATTTTCTAATAATTAAATATTTTTGTCAATTAATTCTTATTTTTCCTAATTTATTAAATATTATTTTATACTTATTCTAATTGTAATACAAGATTATATAATTTCATATTTTTTTCCTTATATACTTTTTTTAATTCTTCTAATTCTTCATTAAATGAATTTATTTTGTTTTTTAATTAATTATTTTCAACATCATAATATTCCTTTTATGATTTTAATTATTTTGCATGTGCTTATTTAATTAATTCTAACTCTTCTGAATTTGTTTAATGTGTTTATTCATTTTTCTCATATTTCTCTAATTTCTCTTTTAATTCTTAATTCTCTATCCTCAATTTAATAATTCTATCAGCTTCACTTGGTTACACAAGAATTGGAGGTTTACTATCTACATTGAATTACAATTCTTTAGGTCCACTTTCATCATGAACAGATGATTTTCTAATTTTTTCTAATGAAGTATAAGAATCCCTCTTTGTTTTAAAGTGTTTTTCCTCACTTTAGCACTCTTAAGTAATTTTTTTTCTAAACTATTCAAATTATTCCCAATGATTTGAACTATTATCAAGTGATTAGTCTAAATTCATAGCAGTTAATAAATTTTGAAATATATATTAATTAAAATTATTATCTGTTTAAAATAAATATATAACAATGAGATCCTAAATGATTGAATTTAGAATCCTAAATATCATGTTAATAAATATATATTAATCATTATTTAAATAAAATAAAAACACTTAGAATTTCCAAATATATTTGTATATTAATAACTTTTTTATTTTATATGACAAATAATAATTAGAATTTTACAATCTAAAACATTCCTGAACATATCAATTAATTAGTAAATTTTAAAAAATGGAGAAGAGTAGGATCAAATTTAAAAGGAGCAATAATGATTGGAATAATTGAACATTGTATTTATAATAATGAAATTGGTATATTGAAAGATATGACATCATTAACATAATATTAAAGTAATGATAAAGCATAGAAATTTAAAATTATCATTAATAATGCTCTAAAGAAATTATAAGGCAATTAAATAATTGATTTCATAATAGAAAGCCTAATATAATAAAAGGATATATATAATAATTAAACATAACAATTTCTTGATGAATATTTAAAGTAAAAATTCCACCATCCCCTATCAGACGATGATTTAATATAAGACTTTTAAAAAATTTTCAAAATTAAATTGATTATTGCAAAATTTCCACTTCCAAAAAATGAAAATTATTTACCAATCAATTCAAAAGATAATAATAGTATCATTATATTTAATTTGGATAATAAATATTACATAATTTAAAAAGATTAAGCTTCCTAAATTTAAAAATGTAGATGTTGTTAAAATACAAATCCAAAAGAATTACAGAAAATATAATGTAATCATTTAATTTGTCTAATTTGTTTAAAAAAATCATTTTCTGAAAAGTAAATTAAATTAAATTGTAATTAATAAAATTGTCCTTCATAGATTACCTTGTAATAGTTTGAATAAATAATGAAAAATTATGAAGATAATTCTGTAATACAAACATTTTAGTAGACAAAAATCATAAATGATGAGTGTTGTATTATTTGTAAAACGAAAACAAGTTTAGAATTTTTATTAAGACCTCAAGAATGTTCTCATCAATTTTGTATGTAATGTTTACAAGAGAAATTAAAAAATAATTAATAAAATGATTTTAGTTGTCCAATTAATGGTTGCAATAGTAAATTTAATTAAAAAGAATTACCATCAAGTATTTCTAATAAATTAATATAATCTTAAGTAATATAAAAATAAACAGAAATTATACGAAAATCTGAAATTTAAGAAAAATCATCTTAATAATCTATTATTACTAGCAATGGAAAATTAAATGATAAGAATCTAAATATCTAATGTCATTATTGTTTTAAATAATATACAGATAATTTGATATATAAGAATAAATGTAGTCATTTTATATGTAAATCTTGTTTTATATAAATTGAAAATAAAAATATAGATTAATTCAAATGTTAAGTATCAAAATGTAATGAAATTATTAAATTTAAAGAATTAAATCAATATTTTAATATGAATTAAAGTTAAAACCCATAGTAAAAATGTGGTAATTGTGATTCAATCTGTTAAAAATCAGAATCATTTTGTAATACAAATTGTCATCACATTATATGTTTAAAATGTGTTAATAATATTTATTAATCATAAAGAACTCCAAAATGTCTTAAATGTAATATAGTTATAGATGAAGAAAAACTAGATGAATTTTATCTGTAAATTTAAATTAAATCTACTAAAGATGTATCTTAAATAAAGAGCTTTGATCCAGAATTTTAAGAAGATTGTACATTTTGTCATTCTCCTTTTACAGATTACAATACTTAATAAAATTTAAATTGTCCAAATCATGCAATAGGTGCATGTTGCATAATCTTTCCATTAGATTGTCCATAATGTTAGATGAATTCATTGATTGTTGAAAAATGTATTGAAATTGTTATAAATTAGAAAAATTGCATTTTTTTTTATTTTATAATGATTCAGACTTTATTAAATATCAAACATAAGGTAAATTCAAATGATATATTTATTATTATAATATAATAACAATTAAATTTATAAATTGATAGTAATGATGATGTATATATTATTTATTTAAATTTTGAATTGATTATCATTATTCATAGAATTTAAATTAATATATCATGAGAGTATTATTATAATAATTATGATCATATTTCAAATAAATATGAAATATATAATCAAGCACACTATTAAGATTTAATTATAAATTATTTCAAGAGGTGCTCTTTCTGTTAACTTTTTAGTTGTACATTAAAGTGTTTGAACTGCATCTGAGAGATCTGGATATTCAGGTAGATCTGATGCAGATATAATATATATTGAATATGTTTAATTTGGTTCTAGATTTGATAAATTAAATGAACTAACAATTGTAAAGTTTGTAATATGAATATTAGTAGATGGAATTTGTACATTTATATTATTTAATCCTTTGAATATTTGAAATGGAGTTGAAATTTCACTTTAGGATGCAACAGCAAAGATATAACCATAATTACTTAATTAGACTTAGATTTCACAATCATAAAGATATGAATTACTTAATGTAGATGATTATATAGTAGGTATTTCAGCTATTGCTTAATTGATTGCAGAAATGGATAAAAATGGTAAGTACATATTCATTAATCTTTTAAATTATGCATCTGATGTAATTTTACTTATCAAATCTTTTGGTACTGGATATGTGTCGGTATCATTAAATGGAATGATATACAATTATAAAGAAGTTGTAGCCAAAAGTCTAGTTGGTGTTTAATACTAAATTTTTTATTGTATCTTCCAACTAGGTAAACTGAGTATAAAAGCTATATGATTCATTATAGTAACAATTTAGGCTTGATTAGCTTAAAAAGGAAGAAAACAATTGAATTAAGCAATTTTACTTCTATTTTTGGTAGTGAAATTAAGACTAAATAAATCTGATGTAATTCCTTCTTGATTCTTCAATACAAGATAGAAAGAATAATCAGTTTATGCAAATAAATCTAAAGTTATACTTGATTTAGCTAATATATTTAAATATCCATATTTAGATTAAGATGACATATAAAGTGGAGGACCTAAACTTAATAATTCTGATATTTCAGGTATGGTTGTTCTATTTAAACAATACATATAATAGGCTTCAGAGATTTAATTAATTTCAATTGCAATAGTAGCTGAATACTATTTTATATCTTCAACTGAAAATTTAGATAACTTTGGTTTGAGATTAGTGGCATCTATATATCTGACTATTTATTAGGATGGTATAGTATATAATGGATTATCATTAGAATAAAAGATGAGACGATCATCTTCTGTTAAAATATCTAATTACGTTTATCTTATTAATTCAGTATAATTTTAATAAACTCTAAAAGTTTATGAATTAATTCCTAGTTAGAATGTTAATTTAATGGATGACCCTGATTATTAACCGGCTACAAAGTAGAAAGTATTGTCATTATTTTTAATTGTAATATTAGTTGTATCATATGGAGCATATATTGTAGATATTGTCATAGTAAGAGAATTACCTCCATTTGGAATAGGATATAAGGCAGTAACTTAAAAATTAAGAGATTAAGAAATAACAATCACTTTTGATTTTTTTATTGGAGTGTAAATAGGATTATCCTTTTCACCATATGTCTTCCAATAAATATAATATATGCCAGTTTATAAAGTTGAAGGAATTTAAACTCTAAAAGTAGTTGACATTTTAGTATAAGAGAATATAATATCTTTTGGTGTGACTTAGAAATCTCCAGTTTATGTATGTTTAAAAGTTAGATTTAATGCCATTGGATATTCAACTAAAAATAATAAATCTGGAGATTCAGATCCTTGAGGTACTATAATGTCTTAATCATTATTAATATAGATCAATGGTCCTGAATATTGAAATTCAAATTCAAATGGATCCAAATTAGGATATGATTATTCTATTACTTATCTATCATCTTTTGATTGCATAACAAATTATTTAATTGAAACTTCTGATAATGGATTTTCAACATAGACATTTAATTGTAATGGCCCATTTATTTGATCAGCATATGCTTTTAGAATATTACTGGAGAATGTGCATTTAGAAAAACTACATATAGCATTTTAATCAGAAATTTCATAATCTTCTGGAAAATCCATTTCTAAATAGCCATTAATTGGTATTTTGTTGTATAATATCATATCATACACATATTTAGATTACCATCTTGAATATTAATTGGTTAATTGTATATTTACAAGATACAACCAACCAGGTGGTGTTAACATCTCTAATACACCAACACTTCCATTATAATGTGTATATCTTCCACTTTATCTTATACCAACTCTAAATTCTCCTGTATTAGAATTCTCATCTGTATTTGGATTCATTACATTTTATATCTCAACTAAGATAGAATTATATTATGTTGAATATTACGATTCTGGAAGAGAGAGAATTCTATTATTTACACTCAAATCAGTTTTAATTGTATTCACAAATGCTTTCAAATTATCTCCTAATCTCTTATCATAAGTATTAGGGAAAGTGATAACAATTGAACCATTAACAGAATCACTAGTTTCAGTAGATATATTAAATTTATATTTTGCTCTAACACCTTGATTTTATGGTTAAAAGGACATTTAATTAATCACTAATGATTTAGGCTTACTATAATAAGTAATTGTACGATTAAGCAATGTACTTTCATCAGTACTATCTATCAATACTCCATCATAATAGGATTTAATAATAAATCCATCACTTATTAGATCTGGTGGATTTCTTATATTATTTATCATAAATTTAATAGTACCACTTTCATACATTTTATTTAACACTATTATAAATGATGATCCATCTAATAAACAACTTTGAAATGAATCAACACCTCCTTCAACATCACAATCTGCTAGATTTGGAGGATATGGTAGATCATCAAAATTTGAACTAGGAAATGTAATATGAATTTCTGCTCCAATCAATAAACTATTTTCAGGTTAAAATTCAATTGTATATGTTGCAATCTCATTTATATTTAATGGTATTGCAAACAATTATAAAATATTTATAGTTCCTTATGAAAATACATTTGTATAAAAATAAGAAACTAAAATTATTAAAATATAATTATACAGAAATTCTATCTTTAATTAAGCATTCTTCCATCAATATAAATGTATGCTGACCATCCATCACTTTCATTATCAGGAGGACTAGTAGGTGTTTTAATACCCAAACATATAATTTAAAATATAGTTTTAGCAGGAATTTAAGTTAATTCTATTTCATCTGGATCAAATCCATTACAAGTTGGAGTTGGATTACTGGCTCTTAAAGCAAATTCATTTGGAAATTAAACTCTCATTGTTGCTCCTGCTGGTATATCATTATTAACACTGAATTCAAACTTAAATATTTATCCAGGATATCCTCTTCCAGTTTAATATTATGTAATTGTAGCAGAATTAAAATCATTTGCATTTGGAGCTGGAAAATAAGTGGCTCCACTTCCTTAAACTACAGCCTTTGATGTTTCCATATTTGATGTAAATACAACCCAATGTACATATCCAAAAGCTGTTGATGTTGTTGGCCATTTCAAATTAGATAATGTTATAATACTAGTAGTAGATGCACCTGAAGTCAATGGTATTTCTACCCAATCTATTTTCCTAAATTTATTGCATGTCATATCAGTAGTATCAACAGTACATTTAGTTGTATCTTACAGAAATCCATTTTCATATCCTGGTAATTAAATTCTAATTACTGATCCAACTGGAACTGCTCCTGTAAATCCTGGTTAAAAAACAAGATTAAATAATTGATTTACTGCTTATGCTGATGTTGAAAAACTTGAAGTCAATGTTAATTCAGTTAGAGGTACTATGGTAGTCATTGTTATTGATATTGTAGCATAATCATAAATAATCCTATTGCTATATTGACGAATTCCACTAAATATTGTTAAACTAATTGGACTTAATTCTGGATTACAAATTCCTGTTACTTTTACATTTATTGCTGTGTTTTCGCTTATTTCCTTAAAATTCTTTAATCTTATTTCAGGTAAAGTACTTGAACTACCTTAATAAATTTCACAATCAATTGAATATTATTCTAAAGGAACTAGATCAGTCAAACAAAATAAAGTAGAAATTCCTAAATCATTATCCCAAGTTAATAAAGGACCAAACTCAATCCAAATTTCACCATGTGGAGTAGGTGGCTCTAATGTAGGATATGTTGGAGGTGAAGGATTATCAGTACCTTCATCAGTAGTACCTTCATCAGGAGCACCTTCATCAGGAGCACCCTCATCTGGAGCACCCTCATCAGGAGCACCTTCATCTGTAGTACCTTCATCAGTTGTACCTTCATCTACTCCCTCATCTTCTATAATAAGATTTGGTGGAATTTTCACACTAGGAGTAAACTTAATTTATAAGGTTGCATATAAATTCACTGTACTTGTAGATAACTTAAATATTTAAATATATATTTACTCCTTGACCATACCAAATAAATTATGCTCCACTATCCAATTTTGGATTTATTATAATTTTAACACTTCCAGATTCAATATCTACATTAGAAGAATCAAAAGTATCATAAATTAAAAATTAATTTAATGCATATGGAGGTGCCTTTAGAATTCCATTAATATCAACTGTTTTAATTCCTGAAATTGTGACAGGGAAGGTCATTGTTAAAGTGGAATTAGTAAGTTCACAAAGTGAAGATGATGTTCCTCCCAATTAACATTAATTAGTTGTAGGGGTTGTAACCTAATATTACCATTATGGTCCAAAATTAATAACAATTTTATTTGCTACATTTTTTATACTATTGATAGTAAATTACAAATTTGTAGCAGAATTTGCATATGGGCTAGTAAGTGTAGCTGTTACTGGAGTATATGTAGTTACTTCTATAATATTGACAGTTAAATTAGTGCATTATTCAATGATATTCGTTTTATCATATGTAGTTTGAACAATAAATGATTGACTCAAACCAGCAATTTATGGATTGACTACTCTGAATACTATTTCAATATCACTATATTAAGGTATCTAATATATAAATTATTTATACTTCATAAAATTCTGTAATTATAAATTAATACAAAGTTGATGATATCTTTAATGTATCACTCACAATACCAGATGTTACAAATATGTAATCATATCCATTAGCCAGTTAAAAATTCAATGGCAATTTGACTATTATACTACCAGTCTTGGGTACAGCATTTTTTATTTTAAAATTAAGTTTATAATCAGAAATTATAGTTGTTTTTTTGGATCCTGGTGTTATTGTTATGTTAATGAATTGACTAGGTTAAATGTATAGACCATCAACAGCTGATCTCCAAGAATAAGCCATTTTTGTATTCTTTCTATAAGCTACTATTCTAAAACTCTCAGTAGTCTAAGAATAGGATGGATTTTTAAAGTTGATTTAAATACCAAATGTAAATAATGCAGGAACACTAGAGAATCCAGTTACAATAATTCCATTTTCACATTTAATTTCACCACTTAGGGTTATTGAATTAAATGGAATTAATTTACATGTAGTCAAATCACTAGTCAAAGGACTAGTAATTTATAAATAAAATCCTTAAGGTAAGTCAATTGGTGGTTTGATATAAAAATTATATAAGGCTATTTCATTAACAATATTTGTGCTATTCTCATCTATTTTAATTATCATGGAATTCAAATCAAGTGCATAATCAGCTATACCAACAGTTCCAAAAATCAAGTTTTCATCGAAAACATTCTATCCAAGTTTGGACCTAACAATGAAATTTCCTGTTCCGCCTTTTCTTTCTGGGTTCTTTACATTATTAATTTTGACAGTAATGGTCTCATTGATTAGAATGTCATTTTCCATATAAAAGCGTACTAAGTATCCACTAATTGAGCAAACATGTGAGCAGGTATCATCTAAAACTAGATCTATGCCCAATCCAGAGAGATATTAAGATGGGAAGATGATTTATAATTCACCTCCAACAGGAATAGCTGATTCTGGAATCATCTTGAAAGTGTAATCAGCATATTCATATCGATTTGAAATTGATAATGTAATGGCATCAGAGGTTGGCCATAAAGTACCGCAAAGGATGTTTTATATTTGTAGTAAAATAAAAAGCATATTAAAATAATTTATGAATAACTTTTACATATGATGTTTGAATATCTCACCCAAGGTTATTTAGGAACTATATTACTTAAATTTATAAGATGTATTCAATAAAACTGTTATGTGACTTTTGACATTTATAAGGATTCCTATTGTAATGAATAAATAGCTAAATTCAAGAGTCAGAAAGTATGAAAAAATTAAATTTAACAATTTTCCCCTATTATTCTCTTTCTAAAATTTCAATAAAGAATTCAATTTAAATTGATAATCCATAAAACTAAATAGTATTTCTTTAAGCCAATAGAATTTATATTAAGATTATGTATAAGAATACTATTGATATAATAGAAAATGATAAGAAGTTAATTATATATGTATTTATTTATATAATATCAGTGCCAACAATGTCTATCTCTACTTTATTTTGATCTCATTAAAACTAGATCTTCTCTACTTAATTCACCATCAACTGCTAATTTATCAGTCTTATAACTCCACATTCCACTCTTTTAACGCATTTCTAGTGTTTATTTTTATTTTTTTATTTTCTTTGCTACTCCTGCAAATTTTTCTTCTAATCTATCTTCTAAACTTTTCATTTCCTCAACAGTTGGTTTTTTACGAAATTGATAAGGTTTAAACACTGGAATATCTTAACCAAATGCCTCTCTTATTAATAGAGACTTTTAATTCAACATAGTTAATATTTCTCTTGATTCCATTTCTAATGTTTATTCATTAAGAATAACTAAAAAGTCTCCAGCTTCCAGTTGCTTTAAAAATTAAGTATCCTAACCATGAACAGATGTTCCTGAAGTAAATATCATTCCTAAACCATCTTATAATGGTTTTTCAATAACAACTCTCTTTGCTGGTCCTTTTTCTTGAATTTTCTCTAAGAATTATTGTTCATCTTAAGCAAGTTCTTCTCTTTCTACTTTATTCCTAATTTTTAATTCATTTTTCTCTTGTTTTTCACCAAAAGAACCTTTGAATTTTAATTTTCCTACACTCATTAATTAAATTTTAATATTTATATTAATATTAATCACATAAACATTAAGAATATCAAAATATCTATAAAGGTACTTTTGGTGCGTATTTTGGAGCATATGTATCATATAACTCTTTCAATCCTTCTATATAAATTTGGTGATATTTATCTATATCTTCTTTGGATGGATTCTCAATTTTTGGTAATTCTATTCCTTTCCCGCAAACTGTTATCATTTCAGTATGAGGTTCCTATTGATAATATATAAATGATAATACAGGTATTGTTAAAAATCTACTCCAATAGATTGTTCCTATTAATTTAAATTTGTTAAGCCAAAGTCTCAATGATTAAAATCCATTATATGTGTAAAACATATTATTTTCACCAAAAGTAAAAACAGGATAAATAGTAGTACCAAATCTCAATGCATACTTAATGAATCCTTTTCTTTCCTTTATGTAGACTCTATTTTCTCCATATTTAGTAAGAGTTGCTTCTTCAAATCCACCTACCATTATTCCTACATTTGATCCTTTTTTTAACAACTTAGTTAGATTTTCTGGATGTACTCCTTCTAAACCAAACAATGTTAATAATAATCCTGAAAATGGAATTGATAATGCAAATCGTGAACTCAAAACCACCAAATTTTCAAAAAATGTATTTTTTGTATATAAATTATGAACCATTCCCATACTGTATATACCATGAGGATGAAAACAAAACTAAATTATCATTATATTTTACCATTGAATTACTTTTTTTAGGTTTTTCAACTTCCACTATTTCTCTCTTATCAAACCATTCCATCATCTTGAACCATAATTAAAATTTTATGAATAATTCTGATTTCACATAATTAACTTGTAAGATCATAGTCACAATAAAAAGCACTACATTCCAAGTTTCTCTATAAACAATTAATCTGTAGATCATGTATCCAGCTAATCCCATAAATAAAATCCAGAATTAAAAGAAAAATGTCCCCACAAGTACCCTAAAAGGTTTAGCCATTATTTAAAAAATATAATTACACTAAAGAAAGAGTGTTAGTATTTTAAAGTGAATTATTACGATTTCGATTAAATTAAGACGTATTTTATAATTATTCTAAAATTATAATAATTAATGTGACGAAATTCTTTTGACGATTTATATTTAATTTATATACTGTTATTTTTCATCATTACTATTCTGAGTTAAAAGTCTATTTATTTTTTTATTTTTCTAAATTTATTGTAATGTAATTCTCTATCTTCTGTTTTAATTCTATCTAATCTATCACCATATCTAAAGTTAATGGACTCCTATCAAAAGGATCAATTTGGTTATTAAGAAGATGTTTTTTAATGGTTAATCTATCTACAATTACCTAATCATAAATTATAATTATACATTTGAATGAGGTAGTTTAACTGGATCTGTCATTAACGAAAAACATAAAGGATCTAAGAACTCTTCTAGTATATCTTCTGAGTTTTAAACAAGAACCTTTTATTTCTAATTTAATTCTTCAATTTAATTAATGAATTCTTATAATAATTCACTCCTTTTTTCACAATTTATGAATTATTATGTCTAAATTTATGTTTATTTGAATAATTCAACAGAAAATGATCTATTATATTATATATAAATTTAAATACCTTTCATCCTTAATTACTTCAAGTAGAAATTATTAGTTTTTACTTAAATTCATATATATATTGATTAAGATTTCCATAATAAATATTTTATCGAAAATTTTTGCATTAATATTTTGAATCTTATAATCTTCAGATTATTTACCATTAATTTGCTCTAAAATATAATTTAAATGGATTGCTAATTTTTCTCTAATTTCATCAATCAAAAATATTTCAGGTTAAATAGAAGTTATGACTTCTAGTGTTCGTAAATATTCATAAAAATATTATGATTTAACTATTAATTCTTTTTACAACTTTTGAAAATTATAATTTTAGAAAAATGATGGTTATTCATTGAATAATTGCTTTATATTTTTTAAACATTATAAACATTCCTCTATTAGATAAATGAAATCATTTAAAAAATAATTAGAAAAATGTAATTGTTATTCTTTATCATTCTTAAATCCATTTAATAAACATTCTTGATATGAATCTTTATGTACCTAAAGAAGATATCTAATTATTAAACAAATTTTAAATCTAATATTTAATTTTTATAAAAATTAATTTTCTTCTGCTACTTTTTCTGTATCTATAAAACATTAAATAATTCCATCAATTAAGTATGTTCTAAGATATTTAGAATTGAATAACATAGTAAGTTATTATGATTATTTCCATACCTACCTTGAATCTCTTGAAAAAAAGGAACCTTTTTTATCATCAATGATTTAATATATATTTATAGACTTAATTCTTAAATGAGGATTTGTAATCAATTTTTTATGCATTGATATTGCTGCAAATTCACACAATGTTTATAATTCTACTACATGGTTTAATATTTCCTCATTAAAGGAATAAATAGATGAAAATATTTAAGTATCAATTAAAAATGTAGATGATAATAATCCATAAGGATAAATTGGTTTTAGATCTGAATCTATAAGACTTAAAGCTAATTAATTAGCAAAACATAAAAATTGCATAATTTATTTAATGCTTTTTGGGTGTAAGATTTATAAGTCAAAAGATATTTTCTGTTTTAAAATTTTATTATATGCCTAAGATTAATATGCCTCTGGTGGTAGTTCTTTTATCTCTCTTATAAGGATTGAAATGTAAAATTGTTCTAAACTAGTAGCTACTATGTGACTCATTCTTTAAGTAAATAAATATAATGCAGTCATTGGATCGATTATAGTTTCTAAATTTTCAGCTTCAACAAACTATGTTAATTCTGAAGCCAATAAGTCAACATTCTAATACAAAGATGAAAAGAGAGGATGTTTCTTACAATAAATTAATAAATTCAAATCTACTTTCTTAATATACTAATTGATTTTATTTTATGAATCAGCGAATTAGTTGAATAGGTATGTAAGAATGTAAAAAAAGTTATACACTAATCCTGGACTTGATGATAATTTTTACAATTAAATGTTCAATTATTTTTCTAAATTTAAATTCAATTTAATGATATTAGAAATAAATTCAAATAATTTACTTCTAAGTATTTCGTTTGAATTCAAAATCTTTTGGAATAGAATACATATATCATCTATAATTAGAAATATTTTTGTTCTCAAACAACTCATTTGATCTAACATTTATTTTCTATCATCCGAGAAAAAACTTTTCCATTAATGTCCATCTGTTGGAAATGAACTTAAAGTTAATAACATCCCAATTATGCTGCTTTTTTAAAATTAAATTCCAGTTTTAATTTAATCGAATTTGCCAAATGCCCAACTGTTTGATAATAGTTTCTCCATAAGTTTTTAATAGTTGATTAAATTATGCAATAGAGCTAGTGAATGCTATTATAAAAGAGTATCATCAAAAGATATACGCTTATATAATGTAAGTTCTCTCTTCATCATAAGTTCTAAAAATTTAAATGAATCATCTTCACTAGCTTATGTTTCTAAATAATCAAATAAGTTTTTAAGAGTATTTTAGGCTATGACAAAATTATTTGAACAAAAAAGTTCATAAAAAATGATATTGGCTCTATAATTTTTAACATCGTCAACAACATTAGGATCTTCATCAATGTTTTACCAATCGAAAGCATCAGGATATAATGTACACGTAAGTAATTAACCTTAGATATGATTCAAAAGGTCAAAATATTTATCTTTTTTGATTTTGCCTTCAGCCAAGAGCACTGCTTCATTCTAAATTTTGTAATCAGATAAAGAAGATAATGATTTAATAAGGAATTGTAATTTTTCTTACTCTGTAAATTAGGAAGATGTTAAAAATTGATAATAAACTTGTTCTATTAAAAAATCAACTGTCAATATTTAATCTTTAGGTATAAAATCAACTTACTTACCATAAATCTATTAAGTATTTGTAAATATTCCAAAAGTTCTTGACAACCAAATATTTTCAATATCTTCAGCACTTTATATTTCTTCATCAGTATTTTCTAATTCTCTTTTCTCATTTTAATCGCTGTTGAGATTTTGGATCATCTATTCTTAATTTAGTTGATTTGAGTTGAAATCCTAGCTTTCAGGACTTTTTTAGTTACCTTAAGCAGATTGAGTTAATTTTTTGTTTGATGATTATTCTTGTTGTGAAACCATTTAAGCAGGCTAAGCTTAACCCATAATATTATAAATGAAAAAATTATTAATATAGATTATTTTGCATTATTGCATAATTGTCAATTTTTCATTCACATTAATGTATATGAAATTGAGTATTTATATGAATATCCTTAGCTTGGATCTATAGATTGCAATTAAATAAGTTTAGATTATCCAGGGGGGATTTCTATGACTACATCTTAAGTAATATCTAATTCTACTCCTTTCAGATTAGAGACTTCTAATTAAATGGTTTCTTGATATATTCTAGATTCTTTATTTTCATAGTAGAAAGCAACTCCTGCTGGATACTTAACAATATAAAAGAAGACTTATATGTTCTTAATATTTATAATTAAATACTTATCCTTCAATGCTTCTTTATACTTTTTAGTCTGCTTATTGAATGGCTTGTTAAATAATATCTTATTCTGATTTGACTTAAATAACAGATGTTTAAGATTTTAATGAGTATCCAAAAGAACCTCCACCTTGTTTGGTAACTCTATATTTAACCATAACTGTTGATAAAGGATTGCATTAAATTTTTACCTCGTTTGGATTTTAATAAGGTGGACATATCTCCAAATTTTATATTTTATTTAATTAAAGAATCTCATGAAGTGTTTTTATGGTTGTTTAATTTTGATACCAATAATAAAGATAACCACCAACCATTCCAGAAATTCTTCTGATTCCAGGTTCAATATCTTTAACTTTTTCTTCATCTGTGTCTCTCTCATGCGCTCTTAAAAACCCATCGAAAATGTTATCAATTATGAGTTTTTCTTAACCAGCTGTAAACTCTAATTCACTAAATTAAACTGATTTTGATCCATAACATGATACTGCTAGATATCGATCATAATTTTATGTCCAATCTACTTCAACGTATAGTGCATAATATCCTGGCTCAAAAACTTTCTCAACTACAATATCCCTTTCATTCTCAAAAGCAGAACCTGAATAATGTAAAACCTCTTTTTTATTTGTTTCTAATTGTCCTATAATTAATCTGGCTAATGAATATTAATGACCTTTCTAGAAAAAGCGTTTATCTGATTAGGTTAATGAAATAAATGCGTGTGCTTATTCATAAACCTTCATCAAAATCACTTTTTTAGTTACACCATCTGATTTCTAAACTTTAAGGGGTGTAGCAGTGTATAAATAATCTGGTTTAAATTTGCACACACAAACAGAACTAAATTCAGTTATAAAATCATTAACACTCATCCAAAAAATTCCATCATCTCTTTGCTAAACTTGCAATCTCTCTCTTAATTCAGGGGTCCATTTTGAAGAACTATCACTCCAGTCTTTAGTCCATTCTTTTCTACCCCAAGGCTATACAAATTCACTTTAAATTTTATACATTTCTAATCCTAATTATTCTATCAGGTTGTCCATCACTTGCAATGACTTTTTATAAATCCAATATTGCATAGCAGTGTTAAGATACTATACCATTTCCATTATCTTATTCCATACCTTATTCATTTGTTTCTGAAGATGCAGTTAGTATATATTTTTCTTTATCATTTTTCTCCATAAAATCCCAACATAAATTAGCATCTTCTAAGGTTTCAGCTTTTCTGATAAAATATTCACTTGGGGCTCCGGTTAAATCTTTTAATGCATAACCTGCTAAACCTTATTCTATTTTATTATAGGATCCATAGATTTTAGCATAAGCTTTTTCCAAAAGAAGGACCCATAATTCATTTCCATTTGCTTTAGAAAATATTGGATATCCTTTCTAATTACATGGAATATAATCATCAACCACACACTCTTGTAATATTCCATTATTACACATAAAAATTCCATAAAGTCCTTTATGTTTACAAATTACTCTTACCATTCTATTAATATTCTTGATGTCGGAATAATTTTTATACTTATTATGGAATTTCAGCCAAAGCTGATAATGAACTTAAAAAATAGCAATCTCCAAGCTCACCTTACTTGATGTCCATAGGATCAATTGTCTAAATAGTTAAATAGATATTACATCAAACAATTTAATTTAACCTGGCTCTAAAAATTGGTCTGGCCTCTTCCAGACAATGTTTTTTCCCTTTTGAAAATTAGGATCTGATGAAAGGCTACATTTATCAGGAGGAAATTTTGAATCTTCAAATTTTGCTTATTATTTTTTTTGCCTAAAATGAGCTTAATACATTACATTTCTTGAAAAACGCGATCATATTCTGTTTTAGTTTGGTCAGTATTATTGTGCTAAGGGATAATTCGATCAGCCACAGTATTTGTTTACTTTGTATTCACTTATGGCTACTACTCAGGTACTATTGATGTGTCAAAAATAAAAGGTTTATAATCTATTTCATGATGATTATCCTGATTATGAACTCTGTTGCTTTTATTACTTGTACAAATTCCCATTTGATAAAGTTTTATATATTATTATTTATAGAAAAGATTTTATAACTGTCAAAATACTTTTTCTTTTATTTATAATTATATATGTATATAGTTATAAAAAATCTACCACTTTAAAAAATAATATACGTAATCATAAAACTGTTTCACAAAACAATATTAAAACTACATAAATGACTTTATTCTTATAAATAGCAGCCTTTCCTATTTTTAAAAGAATTTTTTCCATTTTCATTTTTATTTATATTTAAAAATTGACAATAAAGAATTTTTAATTAATTATTTAATTATATTGAATTTTATCTTGCCTTAAAATTGATAATGCTATCAGAAATATGTTTAACTGATTAAACAAATTCTATTGCTATAAGGAAATTGTTATCATGGTTATTATTGCAAATGAGACAAAATAATTATCAATTTTACTGTTTCCAATCCACCTACTTCAGAATAAATGAATTGAATTTGATTACGAAGTGAATGTGTATCAAAAAAACAGAACAATAAGAGCCATATAAGAAGAGTTTCTGATATATTCATTCTCATATAAATTAATGTTGCAATTCAAGTTTTTATCAATTTTTTACACTAGAAGCACCATATTCTTCACAATCAGATAGATTTCCATATATTATTTAAAAGAATATCTACATTACAGATAGATATTATATTTAGACTTTTATTAACTTTTAAAAAATTTTGATTGGGTTTTATTTTTTAATTTTATGTAAATGGCACTTAAATATACTAAAAATATTTGAAAATATTCTATATTTTTAGTTCTGGGTAAACTGAAACTAATTAAAACGAATATTTAATATCATAAACTATTTTTTTCCTAATAATATTTATTTGTTGATGTAAATATTTTGAAGATCTAAGAAAAAAAATAATCATTATAACAAATTTCATTCTGTGTTAATTTGTTAAGTGTTCCTTTTTTATTGAATATCAAATTATTTACATACTATTAAATTCAACGTATTTTTTAGATTAATAGCAAATCTTAATTATCATTTTATTTTGATAAATTATTAGCTGATTATGTCATCTCAAAACAATAATTCAAACGTTAGATCGAAAATATCAACCATAATGATGAATATGAATATAGCTATAGGATCTCTGAATATTGGATATGTATTAAGCTATTTGACACTGTCAATTGATACGCTTTTTGCAAACTTGTATTTTTAATTACAAAATGTTAGGTAAATAAAAGAAGAGGATAGAACTTCAAAACTAAGTTTATTAAATGGGATCCTTCCTTTAGGATGTGTTATTGGTGTCCTTGTGGGGTATATTATAAAATTAAAATTGACAAATAAATAATGTCTTCAAGTTGCAGATGTTATTGGAATATTTAGTCTTTTAGCCACAATATCTAATTATGAAGTCATAGTAGCTGTTAGGTTTTTCTTAGGAATATCTAATGGGATTTCCAGCTTAATTATGCCTGTTTATATAAAATCTTTATGCCCTCCTTAATATTTTAGTCAAATGAGTATGCTAGTAGGATATGGAATCAATACTGGGTTAGCAATAGGATAATTGATGGGAATAGGCTATATTAAGTATTCATTTATTATCACTCTAAAAATAGTTATCATGGTTCTACTTCAAACTGGTGGAGAGTTGTCTTTTCATTTCCTTCAATAATCTGCATAGTCAGATCATTAATAATCCATTTCATATATAACTATGAAAGCCCAGAGCAATTAATAAAAAGAGGAAATTATGAATAGGCCTAATATGTAATCATAATAATAATCATAATAATAGGTGATTTGCCAGATTTATAAATTAGAGTATGTTGAAGAACAATATGAAAGGTACACTAAATTAGCTTAACAGTAATTTTAATAAAAATAATAATCATTTTTCAAAGTTTTTGAGAAGCAAAAACTGATAACCCTTCAAGTAGGAATTATATCTGTATAATTTAATAATTACATAGATGCTTGTATAAATATGGTGCGGCTCTTTTGCAGTGTTTTATTATAGTGCACAAATATTTAGTGATTTATCAGATAATGACATTACTCAAAAAACAATATTTACGATATGTCTTGGATTATCTGGCTTTCTTGCCTAATTTTTGACCATTTATATGGTTAATAAAATTGGGAGTAAATACATTTTAAGTATTTAAATATTACACTTTAATAGTGATTGGTTCTTTGATAATCGGATCGTTAAATTTAGCAGTTTCCATAATATCTTAACATGCCAATTAAGGAACAGAATTTATAATTTTCATTTTATTACTTTTGCTAATTATGACCTTTGCAGCTACATTAGGGCCTGTAGCGTGGGTAATATATGTTTATTATTTTGTATAGAGCATAGTGCCTTAAATAAATGACAGTGATGGTACATTTATATCTACTGAACTTAGATGGAGCTTCTAAGCTATTCTTATTTTTTGTTTTCCTTTTTTGGAAAAGGGAATCAAGATTTTTGGCGGATTTTTGTTATTTGCCCTAATAAATTATTTATACTTTATTTATTGTCATTTTTACTTGATTGATGGAAGAGGCAAAACTAATGAATAATTAGTTGCTATGTACCACAATAAATATGGATATTCTGTCGTTCCTTTAGAGAATTAAAATAATTTGCCAAATATACAAACCGAAGCACCAAATACTTAAATAAAATAATTAGTAAATGATCTTCCTATAAATTAAGAGGAGGGAGGAGATCTTCCAGAAAATTAAGATTAAGGAGTTGAAATAGAATAGGAAATGTGAGTGAAATTATAATATTGTATTTATTAAAACTTTAATTAATTTATCAAAAATAAAAATTTTTCCTTTAATGTTTCTTTGATGATAAGAAATAAATATATTTCTAAATAAATTTAATTTTCAATAATATTAAAATCATACAATTTTAATATAATAAAAAATTTTCTTTAATAGTGGTGTATTAGGTTTATTTAATTATATGATAAAAATAACCAAATTATTTTCTTCTGTCAACAAATTTATGAATTTCGAATCCATTCTTTTCTTTTTTTTTATATTAACCAATATATTCCTTATCATATGATTTCCATATGAAATGACAAATCCATGCATTTTTCCATTTTCTCAAATATTTTTTTCCAGTTTCAAAAGTCATTCACCCATATCCATTGAAGTTACCGCCCAAAAATTCTCTTAGATAAATAGCAGATATATTTTCCTTTACCACTTCTAGTTTTATTAATTAATACTATAAAATTTACAGCCATTTGAATAATTTTGAAAAGTTTACAACAGCATTCTCTATATTAATATATTTTTATTAATAATATTAATAAAAATTTGATAATCTCTTAAAATTAATAAGTGTTCAAATGAATTAAGCTTTTATAGCTTAGAAATGCATTAAATCTTGATTTGAGATTTTTTCTTTTTGCGAATATGTAAAGTAGAACAATATTAATGTATTTAATTAACTGAATACCAATTTACTTTTAGAGATTATGCATTATTATTGTTTATAACATATAGAACAATTTAACATAATATTTGAAATATTGGTATTTATTTAAATGTAAACCAATTACATAAGGAGATATTGTTGAAATATCTAAATAAGCCAAATATCAGTCAAAATTTAATGCAACTTTTTTCAAATAATAATTGAAGATTGACTAGAATATGTAAGCTTAACAATTAAAACTCAAAAATTAAATGACAAACAATACTTCAGCATATCTAAAAAGAGAAAGGGTTGCTGACAAATATTAATAGAGCATGCATATTAAAATAACTACTACTCTAACTAATTATCAAGTATATGTAAAAGTTTATTCTGAGGTTTTAGATAATATTTTTACAAAATTCATTAATGAGTAAATTATGTAAAGCTTACGTAAAAATTATTTCTATAAGATCCAATATCAATAAGTAAAATAAAAGTTATGATAAAGATGATTTAATCACCCCATCTTCATTTGAAACATTAGTCTTGGGATTGTAGAAAATATTGATTGGGCATATTACAGGATTAATTATAGTAATAGTTTCATCATGAATATGAAAACATAAACAGAAATACCAATCTTATCTAAATTAAACTCAATAGACAAAGTGCAATTTTTATTTTCAAATAAAGAAATCTCCACTATTTGGGTTATAAATATTAAAAAAAAACTTCTTACAATTAAACAGAGACAACACAATTATTATATAATCTATATTCTTAAAATTACTTTACCACTATTGAAAATAATTTTAATATAAAGAAGCTTATTTAAGCTAAATTGAAGTTCTAATTTAACAACCAGATCTCATTATATTTCTGAAATTTTTACTTTATATCTCAAAATAGACAGTTTTAAGGCTTCTCAGATATATTTTCAAATCTTAAACTAATTAAAAATTTTTTTGACTTTTATAAGTCATGAACTGGCTAACTTTTAAGGACTGAATAATATTAGTCTTATGTCATCTATTAACTTTCGTTGGAAATCTATTTGATTAATTCCTAATCATAGATGGTAATCGTTTATAAAGCTATTGAATTATAGGAAATTAAGCGATTGGTTCTGGTAGATTAGTTTAGAAGGATATGATTTTATTAACGAATAAAACTTTATTTAAAACAGAATTAGATTATTCTATTTAGATTTATTTCCTTTCCAATTCAATTCGTTCTAACTCCTAATTTAGTTTTTTATTGAGCTTTTACCCAGTAAAAACACTCTAAGCTCTTTTTTATTTAATCGTAGGTATTGATAGATTTAGATTTTAGCTTCTAATTTATTTAAGCCTGGGGTAGAGAATCCAAACTAATTTCATAATAATTGAATAATCTTTCAACCATTATCTAGCTCTAAATATAATTCATCAATTAACTCGTAAAGCTAGTTATTTAATTATAAAGTTTTTTATTAAGATATAGTAAGTTTTATGAATGTTTAACATTTTTACTCACTTTTATATATTTTTAAATCTTACTTAATATTTTTAATCTTTCAATTAAAATTTTCCGAAGCCATTAATCATTCTAAAAATTGATTAGATCTAATTAAAAGGTTAATTTAATCTTGAATTTGTTATCATGATCAAAGCGATTCTCCAAATTATTGTATCACATAAGTATCATTAAGTTCTAAAAGGCATCAATTAGCTATACTAAGTTATTTAATTTAAATTACATCCTATTGATGCGAGAAAGGAAATTCTCAAGAATCTAATTAGCCAAAAATTTTCTATAAACAATTAATAATTAAGAGTCACTTATCCTTTACCTATTTGATGAGAGGAGAAAAATCACTCGTATATTTTCCCCTATGGTCATTACTTTATGTTTTCTATGTGGCAAAACCGGAAGCTTATTGTTTTCTCCACATAAGGTACCATAGAGAAAAATATATTTATCTCTGTCTTTTATGTTAAAACTACTAAAAATCAAAATTATTAAAATAAATGTTGCCGATATTTTTCATAGTTTTTATCTAAATTAGCTATGGCTAGGTAAAAATAAGTGTGAATAGCTTAATCTTGATTTAGTTTTTTACTTTATGCACTTAACTAATGATGTTACTGCTCTTTAAATGCTCTTTAAAAGCCTTAATTCGAACATGTGTTGTACAGACATATAAGTATATTCTTGGCCTTAAATTACTTAACATTTTGAGGATAATGAAAGCACAATTTAAAAAGACACTTAAATCAAAGTAGTGCAATCTTAAAAGAGAATAAAGTTTGTTTGATTTATTGAAAATCAGAAAATTTCTCAATTAAATGACTCTATTATAAAATAGTATGTATAATCTTCATAATCTTGAATTTTACGAAAAATGTAAATAAGACAAAATAGATATATCTACAAAAAAGGCATAAATTAATAGATTGAATAATTCCTAGAGTTATTGTTATTGAGTTGAACTCTTTGTCTGTGAAATATTTATGGTTGAATTATATAGCCTGCACCAAGAAGTAATCGAAGAGAATTGGCAAGTGACTAAAGCAATCAGAAAAAAATTGAAAGCAGGCTGCTATTTAAAACGATGTAAAAGAGTCTTAAAAGAGTAAATGAGGGAGAGGAAGAGCTTTTTTTAAAGAACTTAAATTTTGTAGCAGGGGTTTGGCTTATCATTTTAATAGTAGAGAAAGAGGATCTCAAATCCTAATATGGTTTGACAAATGAAATTGATGCTAAGCTATATCATAATTTAATCCTTCTTGATACTTTCAGTTGTTATTACAATGATAACTCTTATCATCTTCTAGAATATAAAAACATAAAAATAAAAATTTGGTTTTTAATACATCTTAGTCTGTTTCTCTCCTGATGGAAATACATTAGCTTCTGGTAGTTATGATAACTCTATCCGTCTATGGGATATCAAAAACAAGTATTGTTCAGATTATAGATTTAAAGAAATTTAGGTCAAAAATACAAGATATCCTTTTTTAACACACTTTTGCAGTAAAAGAATATTATTTAAAATTTAGATACATCAAATATAATGGTTTACCTAGACTTCAATTTTTCAAGGTTTAAGAGAGTTTTTTATAAAAAACCGTTTCCTTTTAGGAGAATTATTGGAGTAACACTTGATTAACCTATTTTAACCCTTAATTTAAATCTATTTTCATGTACTTCTTGTGTCCAATATTTGTTGATAGAGTTCTATTTTATAGTTTTTTTCTTTTTTAACAATCTTGAAGCATTACTAAAATGGAAATTAATTTAGCACATTTAAAAATTACAATAATAATTATTAGTTGCATGAATGCAATAATATCTTAATTCTTTGTATACTGTTTTTTTGGTATTATTCTTATCATAACCAAGCATTTTCTATCAATTTATATTTCGAATGTGAATTGTATAAGATTTATAAAGTATATTCTACAACTAAATCTTTCAGCATTTATCATTTCTAAGTTTTCTAATCTTCTTATTTCTTGAGAGTGAATATATCTTATTCACAAAATAATATATTCTCAACTCATATTTAATTAACAGTAATAC